CCAACGGGGAGCTGGTCAATGTGTTGGGTCCAAATAAACCATCCAAGTGATGAATGATGCGCAGTTACGTCAAATTTTAAAATGCAATAACACACACCATTTATGGAAACAAAACGGTCTCTTACGTATAAGCCGGGTATTCAACCAAAAATTAATATGATTTGAAAACCGAGAAAAGAAAAACTATTTTGAAAATACCCTTGTTCTGATTTCGTAATACGGTTTGGTTATCTTCAGTTTTCTTTTCGCAGACCTAAGGAACGTCGCTGAGTGGAAAAAGGCTGGTGAACAGCCTCCATGGCTTATTATGAATCATTGTATCTCTTTTGATAAAATTTAGAGAACAATTAAGTGCGGCGAAGAGAAAGTCGCGAAAAATTACATTTCTGTCTGAGGTTTTCACAACTTTAAATTAATTAGGAAGTAGACATTTTCCCTTCTGTACCAATCAAAGGGACTTAACGTGCCCATGACACGTCGGTTGATAGCTGTATTTAAAACTAGAAATAATCGATTTAAGCGCCTAGGGAATTCTCCTTGACCATTTTTTTTGTGTATCGAAAGTGCGATTTGGCGGCAAAAAAGTGTTCTCATTAAGCGCGCGGCGAAAACGGTCATCTTACATCGTTGTGACGTATTTCTATACACTATTCTCCAAAGGATGTAGCTGCATGGCCAAGTGGACTCGTTTCGATCGTCGACATCGAGGAGATTTTACTTTTCAATGTTGTCGGCCTTATGCTCCGTACCGGCTCTGAAGGCGGCCGTTATGAACATATACCACCAGACAAATCAGGGGAAGATAACCAAAGAATTTAGCTCAATAGAATGCTGATTAAGGAGTCGTTCCCACAACGTAAATGATTCTTCTACATTATTTTCGGCTGATGAATGGTGAGCTTGTTGTTGTTGTTTATTTCACGCACTTGAGATGTACTCATACTCCTTGTCTTTCCACGTGACTTTATCTGCGATTTTCTCATCGTTTGAAAATCCTACCAGTTGTAGTTTCCATCGTATTTTGTTATCAGAAATACATAATTTCCTGAACTGACCGATATCCTGTTACCTGAACGGTGCGAAACCTCTGACGGATACTGGCATAAACACAAGCTTGAAGGGGCCGTATATTCTTCCAACCTAAATTAACGAAAATGCTGCACTTAAACTAAAGAAGTTTTCTCCATTGAAATCTCTATTTGAGCTTAACTTGAACCAGATAAACTCGCTCGTTTTCCGTTTGACTGGCTCGGCGACAACAACTTTACTGAGCCTTTGCAATCTTTGAGGAAAGGAGTAACTCCGATACTGATAATCGATACTGACTTTCTCGAGCTCAGCGCACATTAGGCCTAGTCAAAGATATGAAGTTTCCATTCATGTGCTCTATATACCTAGTCGGCGGAAAAAGAATTGTTCGACTAAAAACTCGTAAGCTGTGCACTGTGCAATTTCACCAATGACGAACCAAAATCCCTTCAACCTATTGTTCTACGAATCGTTAAAATCCGCTCATAATATCTTATTACCGTATTTCTTCTATTAAACGCCGCCCTCGAATAAACGCCGCATTGTAGAGCAGAAATATTAACAAACGCCGCTCTCGAATAAACGCCGCAGCAAGATGATGTGAGCTGTACTAGTTCTGACGTCGAGAGAGCATATCCGACATCAGATCTAAAATTTCCTTTATGTATTGCAGTAATATTATCATGCAAATTGTGAAATTGAGAACAATATAAAAAATACTTTTTAGACAAGCTCTAAAACATGTTTCTGTTTTTTCAAATTAAAATGGTCAGTTGCCATACTATTGTTTACAATAAATAAATAAGATTTTTAATAAACGCCGCCCTCGAATAAACGCCGCACTCGAATCTTGAAAACTCTAATAAAGGTTGCGGCGTTTAATCGAATAAAGACGGTAATCATAGAATTGAGCTTTTGTGTGTTTTGTTTTGGTAAACGCTCTTGCCAGGCTCTTATATATTCACAAAGTGTTCTGGAACCTTACATAATAACTGGGTTGGGTGGGTGAGTGAGATCAAATATGAACTGATAGCGGCAGCCAGAGGCGCCTTTACAAGCTGACGTTCGATCTCACTCAATTAGAATTGTAAACCGCCTTGAGACAGTATGTGATATGTGCGGTATATAAATACATTCATTCATTCATTCAACTGCGTAACTACATATAAAGACTCACTTATGTAGTAGCTGTTGTTGTTGTTGTCGGAGCGACGACTTTTTTGCAGGCTATACCGAGAGAGAGTTAGTGCGGAAGATTGCTTATTTCAAGGAACTTAATTTGGAGACAGCAGTGAGATTGCGTCAATGGTTAGCTAAAATATAAACTATAGTGGGCTTAAGTAAGTTTATCACGGATGAGTATAGTATTGTATTGCCTCCAGGAGACGCTCTTTGTTAACAGTATTACTCGTTGTTTAATGAAGTAGTTGAGTTTGTAGGATTGTATTGTTTTTCTGTCGGTTAGATTATACCTTGAGAAGGCTAATTTTGTTCTTCCTTTCGGTTGAAATGCACTTCAACCGAAAGGAAGAAAAAAATAGTGAAAAATAGTGAACTGTTTCAGATTTCTTGGATTCCGTCGTTAATTCAGTGTAGAACCTGAAGGCGCCCTCAAAATGGCTTTGTAGACGTTCTTTAGTTCAATTTCCTTTTCTTTATTTTGTGACTTATTAGGCAATAATTCTAATACTAATTCAAATGTGTGATACTGTCAATGTAGTATTTTTTCTCGGAATCTCTTTTACATCCAGTCTGTGAGTGGTATGAATAGTCTCAGATTTTCTGCCAGACTCAGTGTCTGAGTGATTGCAGAATTTCTGCAACACCCAGTGTATGATTGGTCGCAGAATTTCTGCAACACCCAGTGTATGAATCGTTGCAGAATTTATGCCACATCCATTGTATAAAAGGTCGCAGAATTTCTGCCACACCCAGTGTATGAGTGGTCGCAAATTTCTGCAATAACCAATGTAAGAGTGCTTACAGAATTTCTACGACGCCCAGTGTATAAATGGCCGCAGAATTTCTGGTACATCCAGTGTATGAGTGATTGCAGAATTTCTGCGACACCCACTGTATGCGTGGTCGCAAATTTCTGCAACATCTAGTATATGAGTCACATTTACCACAATCGATCTCCTCAGTTTCCCTATTCAACTCGTGGACTAGGCATAAGGCACACCTCATACTGTTATACTGAAATTTGTTGCTGATTTATAACAGAGGTTTTGGAGAATACGGAGATTTCATTTATGATAACATTTCTTTGTTGTCATGTAAAGAGAGCAATGTAAGATTTTTCCCGATAAGTGCATGTTGTAATTGGTACATTGGAAGTGACAGATGAAACTCTGTGCTATTCAATTAAACAATTACATGGATTAAGATATACATAAACACGTTTATAACAAAGACATAGACGACGTTAATATAGCTACTTTGTACCTTGTGTCGGGAGATTAAATGTGGGTCGGTTTAGCAGTGTAAAAAATGTTGCATTTGTTGGTTGGGTGTAGGGTTTTGTCGTCTCTGTTCTTGATTCTTTAAAACGAGTAGTTTCTGGTGTTTGTGACCTCCAAGTCGACACTAAGGCAAAGAGAAAATCAATTGTAGAAATACTTGCGAATTTATTAAATACCTCAATTTATTTCAATTATATGCTCACAAAATATCAATGATTGGACCCTAATTGTTTGTTTTCATCTTTCTTCAACTAACACTGTTCGAACTGACTCGCCTTTTAATGCCGTTTTTGTCAAAGTGGTATATCAAACCTTACACCTTTTTTAGGATGTAATTAAATCATATAAGATGCTATCTTAGCTAAATTGATAGCGGACTAGTTTCCAATAACTATATATTCTTCAACGAGTTAAAGGTGGCGGAAAAAACAAACGACAACAACAACAAGATATAGGTGTGCACTATTATTGCTACCGTTCAAGTCGATGGTAAAATTCGAGAGGATCGCGAAAATTATCTGAGAGTTCTGTCACTGGCTGGAACGTATTTTTAAGTAATAGGTTACGATTACATTATTTAATAGTCTTTTAACCCACTTATGCACTAAACTTAAATTTTATATAGTTCTAAAAAGTGAATTCTTCTGATTATTTGGTGTCGCTGCATATTTGTTCCATTAGACCTCAAGAATACTGAGTCGCCCCCGTCAAAGTGGCTACACGCGCGTCGCTTTTTGATTGCCTCTTCGCCTATAGGGCCCCCTAAATTATTTGTTAAAGAGAGGAAATCGTGAATTCGCTTAATTTTTCTTATGGCGAATTCATTTCATTATTCCAAAGGGGAACAAAGCACGAAAAGGCTAAAACAGTATTATTGGTTACACAAAAAAGTCACTCTTTGTATTTTTTCGGTTTTGGGGTCTTTGGATTACCTGACTACCCCGCAACTGATTTTGTTTTAATATCAAAGTTGCCTTAAACAAGCTGCTCATTTAAATTTTCTGAAGGACTGTGGGATCTCTATACGAGTAGGGTCACAGCTATTACCATACAATGGAGGGAGGGCTAGAGTCTTTGCCAAAAAGCTCATAGGATTTTCCACTCTCTCGTCCCCCTCCTATAGTACATAATATATATTTAGTGTTTCCTTTTTTTAAGTGGACAGGGAGGGGAGGGGGAGTTTGGAAGTGCGACATCCGACAAGAACTGCGCAATAGACTAAGGTCATATTACATTTCAAATTCCCGTCCAAGTAGATCTTACCTTCTGAAAGCAGCTTATTCCGAGTAATCGTCAATTGAGTTTTGTGTGAGAAGGATTTTGTCGTTGTCACCAACGGTTGGGGGGTTGATCGAGGTCTGGTTGTTCTCTCAATGAAAATATCATCCTTTTCTGAATTGTTGGATATGGTGGAACAATCTAGGAAGAAAATATGAACACGAGTTACCCGCTTCAAAATAAGAGTTCGCTTTCAACTTTCTTTTTTTCTAACTGTAATTTTCAATTGGGTTAACATAGCTTCGGCATGATCATGAACTTACTGACTTGCTTTTCACATATATATCCTGGATCTTCATAATAGTTTTTTGCCCGGCACGGAATGTTGTGATACTTTCCGTTTTGCCACATCTCTCCGCATTTTTCTTTTCCAAAATTGTTTGGTTCTCCTACAATCCAACGCCATGTTCCAGCTGATGTCCCGTTGACCCAGGCGATGCTTCCACTCAACCAGTACCAAATATAAGATCCATTAACTCTTTCCAAGCCAATGAACCAACTTGTCTTTGTTCGCTTTTCGGTTAAGTTCTTGACAAAGTGCCATTCTTTTTCAGTTTCCATTGAGACAAGTAAACCCTTCACTTGTTCGCGACATTTTTCCTCGGCTGCACTCCAGCTAATTTTTTTGTCGTGGAAAGTATACTTGGAGCAGATCGTAACTAATGTTTACGGGAAGTCGACCGATAAGAGAGAAAAAAGACAATCAAGGCAAAATGATTTATTTACTTACCTTTCAATTGCAAAAATTAAAAGAAGCTACACAGAAGGGGAACTGAATGAAAAGCTCCGACACACAAGAAAGTTTCTACATCTGCCATGGTGCAGTGGGGATTGGGTAAACGAAACTGTGAATTTGCAAGATTAGGTCACTACATAAGTAAAAAGACATTTGAGGGGAGGCATCCACCTTCCCTTCCCCTTCAGTCCCATGTTTAATGATATAAAGGTGAGCTTGAACTCTGTTCCTGCATCATAACAACGAATACAAATACGTTGGGAGTTTTCTATAAAATCGTGTATGTAGCAATATATTTCATGTTTTACGCTACAACATTAATGCACGTTTAATCTAACCCCCAGATAGACAAGTATTTATATATAAAGATGTGTGGATGTGTAAATGGGATTCGACCTCACGCAAAAACGCGAACTTAATTGAACATAAACATCGAATGCAAAAAGAAATATGGTGGAAATAGCGGTCCTCAAAATATCCTGTAGAAGAAACAGTCGAAAATCTTCAGTGGGGTTGAAATCGAAATTTTATAGGATGTTTAAGGAACAGAGCTGACGGAATTTGAGGGAAGATGATTTTAGAGTATCAAGCTATGATAATCGACTCATATCCTTTTCAAACTTTTCCTCAACCATCCGTCGACCCTGTTTGATTTTTTTGCCAAATGTAAACAACCTGACTTTCTTGCAAAGGAAAGCATTTAGAAAGATATATTTTTAAGTGCACACGTTTGATTGCCTTCAGCTCATATTTTACCAAGATGAATTCAAGGTATGATTAGATACTGAAGAATTAATGTGCTTACCATCGGTGACTTGATCTTCTGAAGCATTTGTAACACCAAATGCAAACAAAAAAAAAATGCAAGCAGCGGTCCTCATAATATCCCTTAAACTCCAATTTAGCGCAGATACGGTCGAAATGTTCAGTGAGGCTGAAATCGAAATTTTATATGGTGTTTAAGGAGCAGAGCTGACGGAAGTTTTTTGTTTCTTTGTTTGTTTTGTTTTTTCTTATTTTTTTTTTGTTTCTTTGTTTTTTTCGATCTAAAAATACTTCCTAAATCTATTTTTAAATACTATGCGCTCCATTTTGTCAAAATACAATACAACGACACAGACAACAGAAAACAAACAAAGAACCAGCTTTAACCCTTGAATTCCCAAGATCTTGTTGATAATTCTCCTTACTGTTTGCCAATTGGATCAGCCATTAATCCCCTAATTGATATTTTTCTTTTGTTTCATTACTTGTCTGCTTGTTATTGTGCTGATAGTGTAAGGAGAAATTCTGTCTAGATCACTACTGGGACTTAAAGGGTAAATCCACTGCTCCTGTTCTGACCAGATAGAACTAAGTTATTCAAATTTTAAGGAGCCTGGAATGTTTTTTGTTGTTGTTGTTGTTGTTGTTGTTGTTGTTTTTTCTTTTCCAGTGAAAATTCCGGCGTGATGTGAAGTAATAAAGGAAGTATACATTATGGTAATGAAACTTATTCCGTAGGGATAGTTTTTCTTCAAAGTCCTAATGGAGGAGTACATAACTGACCACAGAAACTGAAATTTGGCCTCCATGGCGTCCAGCATTTTGCGCTTCTCACTTTACGCTTAAAAAAACTCCACTGGAGAGGAAAGAGACAGTAGAAATTAAGAAATGATTGACATGTTTATGCCTCGATGTAATGTTTAGGTGGAGCTGAAATTTGCACAAGCTCTTATAAGAATATGCTATCTTTTATTTATTTTATTTATCCATTTTTCTTTTTGTATTTAAGAATAATCGATTGTTCTAGATGGTTAGCAGATAAGAGCTTGTGCAGAATGCAACGCCCGAACAACTAAAAAATTTTAGATCCACCAAAACATTTCAAAAACATGTCAATCATTTCTTAATTTCCACTTTAACAATGGAAAGGCTATGCTATTCAAACAATTACCTGTTGGCAGCTTCTCTTCTTTTTTTTTTTTTTTTTTCAGTTTTTACATTTAGATCAAAGTAATCCGCCTGAAAATGTTAAGGCTCAAATAACGAAGAATGAAACTTTATCAAGTGTAAGTGAAACAGCACAGGCATTGCTCACCCGTTTATTAGTTTCCTCAGCCATTTATTTAATTCGACATGATTAATATTACTGTCCGAATAAGGAGCCTCATCTAATCAGGCATGTATAAGTGTGGTTATATTCGTCGAGAAAACTGACTACAAACTTCAATTAAAAGAAATCCAGAACGACGTTCATTTATAAGGAAGGCTGGGTAACTCCGTTACGTGGCGTTTACAAATCATGATCTTAACTATGGAAACTGCAAACTTCCATTTTAGGCTACTAAATCATATGACTTATCACGGTGTCTCACGTTCGCTCTTAAATATTTTTAAAATTATTGCATATTTATTCCAGTAAAAAAAATTATGTTGCCCTGATCGCAAAATGAGCTCCGAATTAAGAAGGTTTTCCGCATGGGATACTTTTCATGAAACTGCGGCTACGTATGTTACAGTTGTGGTTACTGACTATTGTTCAAAGAAAACTCTCTATTGGGCGATGGCAATGATAGTGTAGCTGGATATAACAGCTGAACCAGCGGGATGAAGCCGGTGTTTCGTTTATTTTGTGTTCCTGTTATTGTTTCCCAAATTAAAACGCGTGGTTCATAAAAATGGCTCTGGGAAGTCTTGCCATATCTAAAACAAAAAGCTTCCGTCAGCCCCTTTCCTTAAACACGTTCTAAAATTTCGATTTTAATAGCAGCGAACTATCTAAAATCATAGGACGAAGAGCTGCTTCCTCTTAATCATTAATAAATACCGTCTATTTCAGTTCAATTTCACTGCGTGCAATATTGTTGCCATCACTCGAGCGCATTGGTCTATGAAGTAGCCCAAAGAAAAAGAAATGACTAAGCAACTAGGTCTGTTAATTTTTCCGAGCAACAAGAACTCTGGGAAAGTAGAAAGGAAGATAAGAGGTCAAGTTATGCGGCGATAAACGTTCAGGGTAGACTTTGGATTAGACATCTACATTAAAAAGTAGGGGTAAAGGAGTTGCACTTAGACATATATTCAAGATAATTCGCCGTACAACTGCGGCACGACTCCATCCTTTTGACCGACCATTAATCTGGGAGAGCAAGTTAAGGTGGCTCGCAATAGTTTTTTTGGCACGCAAGGACTGGATTCCAATACACGCGATCACACGCGGGACTTTTAAAGTTTGCGAATGAAAAAATATGTAAACAAAGATGGCGACCGCTTTCGTGTCACGCTTGATTTTGCGCCGGCCAAGTAGACTGTGTTTTTCTTTTGTAATGAGGCCGAGCTTGCTTCTTCGTTCTTAAGTTACCATGTTCTTTACAAAGAAAATAAGATAAGAGTTAGAAGTTCAGGTAAATTGTTTCAATACGTAATGATCTTCCCGGCCTCACATCGCCGCAATTTTTCTTTCAATACGTCAAAGTGAAAGTTTGTTTTGGGATCCTTTTGATAACAGTGTTTGTAATAACTTCAGTTGATGATGCAACATGTGCTTGGGAAAGAGGATTCCTCTGCTTCTCGTAATGACTAAGAAGATCGAGCGTGTGCCACGTCGATTAGTTCCGGGTCCCTGCGCAATCCAAGTACCGGTCGATTTTCGACATCGAGCAAAACAAAAAGCTGCTCAGCTAATGGCTATTCGAAACTTCAAGCCGAAATAAAGCTGAACTATCTGTACAGGATAACCGAGAACGTGAATTAAACAAAAAATGCGAAAATAGAAAGTCCTGTGCGTCTTGCGCGTTCTCTCTCGTGTAAAAACTCTGAGCATGCGCAGTTGCCTACCTTGTCGTGTCAAAATGTTTAGAAATTTGAAGCTTTCGGCGGCATTATTTCCGCTTTCGCTCGGTAATTTTTTTTTTCTTCACTTTCAGCATGTTGTCTTCGCTCCGCTTGCAATGTCTTGAGAGCGATTTTTTAAAAATTCTGTAAACAGAGAAAAAATTAAGAATGAATTCCAAAACGCGGGGATTTTCACAAAAAATTTCTAACAGAATTTTATTTAAGTTGGCTCTCAGGTAAAATGCATAATTCTAAGACTGTATGAAAAACTGAAACACAATTTACCGTTCGTGGGCCTTTCTCTAAAAGCCCTTTGTGTTGCTATTTGCTATGTGTTGTTCCTAAATACACTAAATAGACAAAAAAAAAAGCTGTTTCGAGCCACCTTAAACCGTTTTAGAAATCTCATCTTTAAGAGTAACAGCCGCCTAGCGTAATTACTGCGGGCTTATAAGCAGATAGCAATAGGGAAAAAAGGCAACTAGGTCTGTTAATTTTTCCGAGCAACAAAAGCTCCGAAAGAGTAGAAATGAAGATAAGTGGTCAATTAAGTTATGCAGCGATAAAACTTTCTGGGTAGCGGCATAGGAGTTGTATTTGGCCGTACATCCAAGATGATTTACCGTACAATTGCGGCATGACTCGATCTTTTCGACCGACCATCTATCTGGGAGAGCAAAAAGTTGACTGTTTTTGAAGTCTTACTCGCAGAGTAAAAACCGCTTAGCGTAATAACCGCGAGCTTCTGAGCAGATAACAATAGAAAAATATGCCCTCCCTTTTTGCACTTTGCACCCTTAACGAAGAGGTACGCTTCCTAACATCTGTCACAGCATCAATTGGGCATGATCCAGTTGTGCTGGACTCACGGTCAAGGTCTTTAATTTTGCGCAGCCCCTTGCGGATAAAACTGAATGTGAGTAACCGTAGTATCTGCACTAAAATGCTCTTAATTAGTATAAACGACATACTTTTGTTGAATAAATATAAGCCAGCTGGTTTTGGCGAGTTTTTTTTTTTTGTGCCATCAAAGAGAGTTTGATAGATTTGTGGCGCAGAAGAGTAAGTTTTTCCGGTTTTAAGACTCAAATAAAACATCCCCAAAATACAATCACACAATTTCTCCTTTCTCCTTTCCATCATTAATTTGAAAAAAAACACATTGCTAATCCCGCTTTATCTAATTTTATTTTGTTAGGTAATCCTTGATTTGTCACAATACACACGATAATCATATCAATTGATTCAGTGAAAAAGAAGGAATCCTTGTGTCATTCTACTCAATCGTTCGGTACTGAAGCATAACGTAACGATATTTCTTTCAAGGCGTCAAGCTCCTTGAGGAGAGAAAGGAAAAAAAGATTAACCTATCAGTGAATACCACATTTGTCAACTAAAGGAAGCTACAGAGTATACAATGTATATGATGCATCTCTATGCCGGCATGTATTACATTATGATTTACCAATCAGCCGAGGATGTGTATGGTATGGATGTGTGCTATTGTTCCAATTCTAGCGCTTCTCTGAATTCAGGTGATGAAAGCTGGTTTTTAGGGCTCTTATCGATCTAAATTCATCAAACAACTTCCGGTGACCAAACGGTCGACAAAAAAGGCAGTATGCAGAATTTTTGGTGTTTCACATTTTCCAGATGCATGACGAAGGCCGAAATTTTACAGTTTTTACAGTTCTTCTACACTTTTAATAAGCGGATTTCACATCTTAGGCACTTTTACCTCAGAGTTTTTCAGGGTTTGGCCTGAATGACCAAAGCTTGTTTATGTTCAGTCCGAGGAATATCCTTGTCTACGATGTATCTAAACATAAACTTAAACCTGGTTTTTAAATCTTGGATAGTTTAAAATGGTCATTTTCTTCTTATTTTTCAAGGTTTCAGCATAAAAAAATAAACAATAACTAATCAAACAAACTAAAAAACTAAACAACTAAATAAATTAATAATAACAATAATAATAATAATGATAATAATAATAATAATATTAAAAATAATAATAATAATAATAATAACATCAAAGTTTTGCAGCTCTTTATGCCGTGATCTTTTATCTGAACTTTTATTACCTGACCCACTTCCTCCGGAAATTTGGACATTCAAAGTGAGTTGCTTCGTATCCGATCCAAACTTGTTGGTGGCGGTGCAAAAGTATAGTCCGGCGTCATGTTCTGTCGCACTGAGAATTATGTAGCGTACACCAGTCACTGCATTACCTGACCTGATGTACTCTATCCTAACAGGTCCTCCGAAACCGTCTGAAAAAAAAAAGCAGTATTACCGCATAATTAAATTCTTTTAAAAAAGTTCGCAGCAGAACTTTAATTAAGCTAAAAGCCGCGCTATCAAAAGAAGAAGAGGAACCAGTCACTTCCACTCCCAATACAGTTCCTCTCGGTTACTCTTTAGGAGACCCCTGTGGTTCGTTTACTCTCGCCAAACATCGTTCCCCGTACTTTGCAACTTAACGCTTGGACCACTTATTAAAAGTATAATTCATAACCGGTTTCTCATGAACATGATTCAACGCTAATCAACTTCCTAATCAGTCATCGCTGCCTTGTTGGACTGAAAATTCTATTAAAATGATCGTGGTTTTGATTTGGGTTGTCATTCACAGCAGTTGGGTGGATAATAATGCAGTTGGTTGATTACGCCCCCGCAAGTATCAATCTTTCTTCTTTATGAGCCAGGTTGCTTTTCAGATATGTTATAAGGATAATTCGACTCAAACTCTCGCCACAAACCTGGTGCTGGCTTTGTCTTTTTAACTAAGAACGTAGGTTCTGGTGGTCCAGCTGCCATACACTCAAATTGAACTCTGCCATTTTCATCCACATCGACGACCATGGAAGGAGGTCCAAAGGAAGAAACTGTTGGTGTTACTAAAGGCGATAATAAAGGCAGTAGCATTTGAATAGGATGAAGCATATCACCAGTTTGGGATTATTCCGTAAATGTGATATAAGCAAGGGAAATTAATTTTAGAAAAGGCAAAAATAAATCAAATAATTACAAAGAAACGGAAGTGAGTTTATGCAGTGAAAAAGATAGCTAAAAGAAAAGCAGTGATAGCAGAAACGTTCCTCTTCTGGCAGTATGCAGGAAGTTTGTCATCATGGACCTGGTTAAACAGCCTGCAACGAGCCTTCTGTAGCTCAGTAGTAGAGCGTCCGAAGTATTCATCGCAAGGTCGAAGGTTCGTCTCCTATTGGAAGCACTCGGAGTTCTTCTTCTCCGAGTATGCCCGTGTCATTCACTAAATAACATCATATTTCGACACAATTTTAGCTTAGAAAACAACTGAATGGCGTCAGAGCTAAATAATATGATTGCTCTTACTTCCACAGTCATCCAAGGAGGTTGATCCCTTCGCAATTGTTGTGAGTCCATTCGGGCATTGCTTACACTGTGTGGCACCATATTGATCTTGATAGAATCCAACGTTGCAAAAATAACACGCATGTTTGTCAGGAGAATCGAACCCATCTCCTGATGACATCCCTTTATCACAAAGATCTTGACAGAAAGACGAAAGTTCCAAGTAACATTAATAAATAGCCAACCGAAAACTTGGACTGAGTATACTCACAGCTCAACAACTACAGCTCAGTCTATGAATCGGTGATTCAGTCAATCGGTAATCAATTAAGGAAAAACGATTTCAACCAGAAAAGGAAAAAGAAACAAAAACAAACAAACAAACAAACAAACCAATAGACAAAGAAGAAAAAGAAAGAACAACATTAAAAATAGCGCCATAACCCACAGCATCGTGCTTACCTTCGCATGTTTTCGACCCCTCCTTTCTGGTGCTTTTTTTTTCTGGACACTTGGTGCAATTCAGGCTTGATTCTTGTTCACTTGTGTAACCAATAGGGCATGCTAGGCAGTCTTTCTGTGTCATATCATATTTCATCCCTCGAGGACATTTAACTGAAAATAATTCAGTAGAGACAAAATCAAGGTTGAATGGAATAATATTCCTTGTCACAGTGCAACGAAACCGGGAGAGACACATGTGTGAATGATAGGCGTTAATGGGCTAAATTTCTGTTTTGATTTGTGAAGGAACTCAAAGAGAATTTGTCTCATTCCTATCAGCTTACATTCCGGACCGGGTCCGGTGACACACATCGTTCAATATTTCATTAAGACTGAATTGATTCGATTCTGTGTAAGATAGCATTCTTAAAAGTGCTTTCGGAAAAGTTCAGAAAGCATAACAGGGTAGTATTTATTCCACTCCATGATATATCCAAGATTTTAGGGCTTATTAAAGCGACATACCGCATGGCTTTGCTGGATTGTTGAAATTAATAAGGGATGGCTGCGGAATTGTTGGATGAGGGCACTCTCCACTTGCCGGCATGGCGACAGAGTCTGATGAGGCAAACAATAACAACACAATGTCAAACATACAGAGGTAAATCTACAGCTAACTCGCTCAAGGGTCTTGAGGAAAAGGAAATGAAAAGTTATTTCAAACGTAAAAAAAAAAATTCTCAAACCTAAATTTTGTTTTTCCCGAACGAAACACTAAATGTACTTAAATTTGACGGTGTCCGATAAACAAAAGTTGCAATAGAGTACCAAAAGTTAATATTGCACTATGACGTCGTTTTACAACTTTAGGGCCATAGAACGCCCAAATTATAACACATCGGTCAAAATACGGACAAAAATGATCTAAGCGATCTGTGATTTCTCTTTAATTTTTCGGACATGTTATTTTCAGCAACGACATTCGAGCCACTCAAGAAGTCTCTTTTGGTCATCGTGGTCACTTAAATGGTTTCCTTTTTTGCAGTTTTCTTCTTTCACGCACGCATCATGCTATCGGTACAATGCTCAGGTAAGACCGCATTAAGTTTCGAAAATTAGAAGACAAAAGTCTAGAAAAAGAAACGAGAGAGGAATAATGAACCCTCATTGGACAGCTTTAATACAGTACGAACGGAAATTTTGCTCATTGCCCGTCAATACTCCGCAACTCGCAAGATATCCGCACTTATTACATGCTAAACCATCGAATAAGGTGTATTTAGGATATTTGTAATCTAACGCGTGGTACCCGCATCATTACAGCCTAAGTTCATTCATGAGCTTATAGGATGGTTTGGGTATGTATTATACCGCAATATAATTTGCTGTCTTGTCATAAAATTATTTTCCTTAGAAATGTTCATACCGCCTCTCTTTCCACAAACTTGGATGATGGAAGACTTACTACTAACGAAGAACTTTAAGGTGTTATCATGATCACAAGTACAATAATTTAAATTTTGTTATTTTATGCTGACCTACACAGTCGATTAAAACCTCCTCTGGTGACCACTTCAACGAAGATGGGTTGCAACTTGAGCCAAAAGAGTACTTGAACAACTGTTTATTAGAGTTACATTTAATTGAACAGTAAAGGAAGTCTCCGATTGAATTGCAAACCAATTCTCCATTGTCAGGCTGTTCGCTTGGTTTTTCGCACCTCTTCCCTGCAAGTGAATAAAAGCTACACCTGGGGCCCATTTCTCGAACGTCCCGGTAACTTATTGGCCCCCGGAGCCATATTTCAAATTGAAAATTCAAAGAATAGAGAAGCAGGTTTATCACCCTAACCAGCCCAATTTCTTTCTTTAGCTAATAGTTTTATTGAATGATTTTCAAAACTTTTGAAACACCCATCTTGAATGAAAACGAAACAGCTTTACGGGCCCGTCCAGTTACTTGGACCCTCGTCAAATGGGCTATAGAACTCCTATCCCATTAACGCAGCTATTAAAGTTATATTAGGCGTTCTAAGCTTGAGGGATTTTAAGATAAGCGGTTCACCAAACGTAAGACATATGCTGGGCTCACTCATAATTGAATAGGAATTTTTCTTTATTACCAAAGCACCAGTTTGGATTTCATCAAGAGCGAAAAAAAATCAATTTCTCCGACTAATGAACGTTAATTATAAATGTTTGAAATTAAAGTGCTTAAAGATCTCCGTTTGTTATAAAATGCTTGACAGCCTGTCTATCAACTTGACAAAAAACACAAGACGGCAGTTTCTCTACTAAATAATTGCAAAAAAAAACGAAACAGAAACCATTTAAAAATACCAACAAAGATAGGAAAAATCATGCCTTCAAAGACTCACGCGTTAGTTGCACTACGGAAGAGCAGCCCTCTTTCTTCCCTGCGGCGTCAAACGCCTCATAAAGTACCGTAAGAGATCCAATTTGGAATGTGTCGCCAGGTTTCTTTGTCGATGTGACTCTTACAACCTCGACGTTGTCTGTGAAGCTTGGCTCTGTCCATGTAACGGAAGCTTCTGAACCTGATATTGCTTGATATATATTTTCAGTGCAGTATGTAATGGTCGGTTTTTGTTGATCTGAGGAAAAAGAAAAGGTAAGAAGCTTTAAGGATTTAAATCTCCGGCTTTCTTCAAAACGTTAGTTTCACAAACACAAAAAAAAACAAATAAATAAATAATAATAATAATAATAAACATTTTAAAATTGAAGCCTTTTTTACCTTGTATGGTCACAACTGTAGTACAATTCGCTGTTTCACCGATTTCGTTACTAGCGACGTAAGTAAGCACAGTTAAGCCTGACGGGAACACCAGGCTGCTGCGGTACTTATCTGGGTACATCTGAATATTTTTGACATTGGACTGTGGTTGACTTAGCAACCCAGTTATATCGTGTTCCTTAGCGTTTGGTGCAAGGGTAGCAACGACATCTGTAGGGCAAGTGATCCATGGCTTCGGATAATCTGCAGAAAAATAGCCATATTTTACAAAAGCACCAAAATCAGTGGCAGCGGTAATAACAGACAAACAAAAAAAGGAAACGAAAAATTTTTTAGCAAGTAATTGGCGAAGAAACAGTGCGTATCGAAGATCTTTTGGCGAGTTGAGAGCAAGTGACTTAGGCGCATTGAAGCAAATAGAAAAGTAAGGCAAATTAAAAGGAACAAATTATGGAGACACCAAACCGACTAGCAAGGATATCGATAAATAACTACCTCGGAATTCGGCTAATTTTGACCTCATTCCCCATTGCCGATTAAACATTTACCTTTATTACAACTCGGTGTAGTTTTGTCGTCCCACTCTCCATTCGCTTGGCACGTTTTCGTACCCACGCCGGTCAATTTATAACCTGATTTGCAACTGTAAACGCAACTGCTGCCAAAACTATTTCCGGAAATTGGGCAAATATCCGGAAGTAGGTCCCCATTTTGAATAGGAGGTAAGGCTGGGCATGTTATACCTGGAAGAAAAGATAATATGTAAACAATAGAGTAAATTATCTTGGGTTTCTACTGCTACTACAACTACTTCTACAACTATTACTACTACTACTACTACTATTACTACTACTACTACTACTACTACTACTACTACTACTACTACTATTACTACTACTGGCATTGCTTAAAAAAAAGAAAGAAACAACCTAACAAGCAAAGCAAAAGCCAGTGATAGCAAAGTTATTTGACTTCATTCATTTTTCATTCTAAAAATTTAACATGCACACCTCAGTTCCCTTTCGAAATATAAAGAAACACTCCCAATTAATCTTCGAGACTTACGTTGGCAATTTATGATGGGTGCATCCCATGAACCCGTTACCAAACAGGTGAGGGTGTCCTTCTTTGGATCTGGAAGCTCGTATCCATTGTTACAACTAAACTTGCAAGTCTCATTCACTTTCCTGCCGCCAACGACTAAGCATTGAGGCTTAGGACTCACAGATGTGCCCATAGACTCCAAGAGGGCTGGGCAAGTGATGACTTCAAAAGTAAAAAAATAAAAAAATATATGGAAATATTTCATTTCATGAACTACCGTGTTTTACTTTGATTTCCAGCCCTGGGAAAAGCCGTAACTGCTCGCATGTAAAATTGTAATCATTTTTTAGGTGTGTTTGTTATCGCCAATCAGCTGCTGACACGTCACTCGTCATTTACACCACTCTATTAGGTTGATGAGTATTTTGGTTGGTTATGCTTTGAGTTCCTACTGGCTCTTAAAGGCATTTTCCTTTCTCCTACAATTATATATGGTCGTTGTTATCACTTTGGTTTCGCTTTTATGAAATTCAATCGAGAAATGCTATAATCACTAAGATGACGAAAGTTATTATATCACAAGCTATTACCTTCAAGTGTTAACTTGAAATCAAGGATAAATTTAGTAATTTGCGATAATAAGGCAAAAATTCACTTCACATATCTGAGAAATGATTAAAGCCATTTGTATTGGTTACTCCAACAATGAAGATAATCCGTCGTCCCCCTGGCTGAGGGTAGAATGTGAACATAAAATATACTTCGATAATCTTGTGCGTGGAATCAAGTAGAACAGGGTCAATAATGAAGATCCATCGATCAAAAGTGCTATTCGATTGACTAACCAACAGGTAGGACACGAAAGTAAATAAATCCAGGTCAGAGCAATGGAAATTACGAAAGGAAGCAATGAGAACTCAGTGGTTAGATAATTAAGCCGGTCAAGGGAGGGTAGATGAAAGTTCTCAAATCAATGAACGGGTCCTTAAGTATTGCACCTTTTTTGTCGAGAAGGTGACTTGCGTTGCCTTTGTTGCTTTGAGCCAATAACTTATCAAAATTAGGACATTCAATTAAACTTTAAATTACATTCGACACTTAATAGAGAAATAAGTCCAACAGGACCATAACTGATATGGTACTTACAGTCACAATTGTATGAGTCTCCCTGTTTGTGTTTGAAGCCACTCTTGCAGGGACACCCGTATCCTCCTTGGAAATTTTGGCAGCTTGTAGCAATTGTCAGTATTTCGCAAGCATTCGTCAATGTCTGTAAAGACATAACCCATTGAAATTTAATGAAATTAAACATAAAGTGACGTAAACAACGATTGCTCTGTATGTTTAACCCATTGGCTTGATAAAAGGATACTAAACGTTGGAAAAATAAGGAAAGAGGGGAATAATTTTTTTTGTTGGTCGCCATTCTTTAAGACAAAAAAACATTTTTTTACGCTGTCAGCGTTCTAGATAGACCCTCCAAAATTAAGTTCTGCAAAGTTCTTCAAATTGGATACTAAGATGGACGATATACAACTTTCAAACTCACCTAAATTTAAGATGACGTCGAGTTATCGATCGAGATACATGTGCCGCGTTTTGGAAGCGAACTTAGCGAAAAAGTTTGCCGCGGATTTATCTTTGCAAATCTTTTTAATTCACTGTACCTTTAGGTATGGCTATGATGAAGCATTCTAGTCGCCAATTTGGCGACTAATCTTCAGGAATTGGTCCTGTCAGTAAAAATTTAGTCGCATTGGCGCTTGTATTAGGCGCAATTTTACGCCCTAGACTTTAAATAAACGGGCCTCAAGAGTTTACTAACGAGTAAAGGCAGCTAGAGGACTCAGCGGTTGGATCAAGATGGACAAGGCTCTGTTTCATTCATTTATTTATTTATTCATTTACTTTTTTTTAATCGGAACAGCAGCTTCTGTTTGGGTATAAATTTTACCAATTTATGCCAAAGGTAACTGATCCCATACTTAATGCCAAACACTACAACATATTCCTCATATTTTACCTCTACATTTGAATGTATCATATAGCTCAAAGCCATAGTTACACGAGCAGTAATAGCTTCCAATGGTATTGTGGCAATTAGTCTCGCAGCCACCATTGGCCAGCAAGCATTCATTTGAATCTATGGAAGATCAACAAAACCATGACAATTATAAATAAAAAAGAAAATGTTTTCTTAGGTTTTATTACGCGATAAAGCCACGCGGAATGTTGGGAGAGCGCGAGTAAAGCTTTTAAATCACGAGCCGTAAAGCAAGTAAATAACATGCTTTTCAAATTAAATACCGAACATTCTTTTGGAAGTTTGGGCTGACCTGTATATTTATGAAGGAAAAAAAGTAAATACCTCTGCAGTTCTTTCGCGTTCGATCCAACTCAAATCCGATAGGGCAGGTGCAGATGTAGCGTTCTTGAAGATTCTGGCATCCATAACTACACCCGCCATTATCAACTGCACATTCATCGATATCTAATACAGAGCGATAAGAAAACCATAGATAGTGGTCATTCTTTATCGCCTGAGGTGGGGAGGGGGGAATAATGGTTATGTCACGATAAAATTTACCTGATCGAATTGGCAGCCAACTTTCTATAGTTTCCCTTCATGTTCTGTCTGCGACAGCTTATCCTCCCTTCTTTCCCCTTGAGAAACACTCCCAGATAACCCTTAACCCCTCCCTCCCTCCCCCATCGTACATCGTACATGGATAATGTCTAGTCCTTATAAAGGAATCGCTTATCGTACCTATTAAAAATAAAAACATGTATAACGTTTGCACGAGGAACTTAAAGCAAGCCTTTATAAACTCAAAGGTTTAGCTTAATTTTGGGAAAGAGATTATAAATCTTTTATAATAAAAATCATTATCTAAGACTCTTACCAACGCAAGTATGGTTATCCTGTGAAAGCTTGTATCCCACGGAGCACTCACAATGATAACTCCCAAAACTATTTCTGCAAAGCTGATTACAGCCGCCATTGTTGTTGTTGCATTCGTTTATGTCTGAAATAGGACAGCACGTAACGAATCAGAGTTGTACACATAGTGATCTCAACATTGCTATCTTAGGAGCATCCAGAACGCTTGAACGTAATTTTATAAACTTAGTTTATGGACTCACTCAAAAATGAAATCGCCGCCTGGCTCACATACTCAATTACGTTCACACCATCTATCTCTCATTCACTCTTCACTCACTCGCTCACACTATTCATCAATTTTTTAATTCATTTAGCATTCAAAAACAAACTTATTTATTTTTACAAACCTTAAATAACGGATGAAAATTTAATGCAGGCCTCAACAATTTTGAATCTTGAAGAAAAAATTTCAGTCCGCAAGTACATAGAGCAATGTACAATGGAGTGTCAAGATCAATCCGAGATTGCTTTGCTTTCATTCGACTTTGCTCTGTAGTTGGTCCAGAAATCTCGAATCATCCTCCAAACCAATAAGATGCAAAACATAGAAAAAATCCTAAATTGATCGTTTGCGTTGTCCGTTTTCATAGCAGATTGCTTATTTTAATTTTGATTTCCTATTTGATTCCTGTTTTTGTTTTGTTTTTTTTACCAATAAACGTATTTAGTTCTAAATATAGATATTGAGGCAATTTGTTTTTCATGGTTACCATTGCATTTGTGCTTGTCGCTGTCAAGAAGGAACCCACTGCGGCACTTGCACTGATAACTTCCTTTAGAATTTTTACAAATCTGGTCGCAGTTGCCATTGTTGGTTTCACACTCATTTATATCTGTTATCAATTTGAACAAGAAAGTATTGTATATTAGACATTGGTGAAAATTGAATGCAAAATTTAATTAATCTGTTGGTCAAAACTGATCAACCAAAGTGACAAGTAACGAAGTAAGTATGCAAACTCAAACTTAAGCTTACCAAAAGCTTATAATGATTGAAAGAACGGATTGTTCAAAGACTTTATTTCATTTTTTATTTCATATGTATTCATACGAATGAGCCGAGAAAACCTTACACAACTCAAAGAGATATTTACAGAAAATTTCAGCAGATCGAGATTAAATTTAGAAAATATCAAGCAGCAAAAAGGAGCGATAGTTGCTACTTGACCATTCACCGTCACCTTTGTCGTTGTTTTCAAGCATCAGGTGTTCTAGTTTGCCTCAAACCAACAACTACGCGAACATTTGTTTAAAGTCTTTCATTCGATTGGCTACAATTTGGAGATTCCTTGATTTGGATTGAATATCAAGGGCTAAAAAATTCCATAAACAAACTACCGTAGAAAAGAAAAGAACAAACTTGAACAGGCAATCCCTGAAAAGATGTCAATAAATACGAGCAAAATAATTAAATTTACCAGCACAATTCTTCCCGTTTGCCAGCAGTTTGTATCCAGACTGACACTTGCATTCCACCCATCGTGTACACAAGAAGTCGATATGACAGTTAAAGTAGCATTTACCAAAAATACAATACTTGGAACGTTGTTCACATATCTGAGAGCAGCCCCCGTTGTTTTCACTGCACAGTTCAGGATTCTTTGCTGTACAGTTAATGGTGAAGAATAAATGAATTAGAACAAAAGGGAATGGATGGATGAGAAGTGAGATTCCTTTAATTTCTACATCCAGGGGAAACACCTTCTTCACTTTATTTTATATGTGATGTTCTGCCTCTGCTTTCATATTTTTTTTCCTTTCGCTTTTGTCTTTTTTCTTTTGTTTTGCCTTCTCTCTTTTGTTTTGTCTTGTTTGGTCTTATTTTGTTGTAGTCTTAGCTTTCTGTCTTTTTCTTTTTTAGTTCATCTTGTTTATGCGTTTGTTCTGCCTCAAGTTTTCGTTTCATTTCTTTTCATGTTTTTCCTGATGTTTTTTGGTTGTTTGTTTTTTAAATTTTGCTCTCTTTTTAAATTCCAAGAGATATTATAGTAGACGATAGATGAGCTAAGCAACAAAGAACGTTACCTCACTTCACACTTACTTAACTCGTACTTTTTCCAAGCAATGTTAAAAAGAAGGAATCCTTTGAGTTTTACAGTCACTATGAACTCCTAACAGATATTGCCATCTCACCTTTACATCCGTAAATTTCAAGCCTCATGCAAGGAAATTTGTGGAATTCCAGAGGCTTCAGACGGATGTACTGGGTTCTTATTTCCATTTCAGCCATTGGTTTTGAAACCTGGGAAAATATGATTGTACTATAACAAGATAAAATGAACTAAACGGTACTTTTAAATGCTAGTAACAATCATTACTTCTATTAGAAGTAATTTCTTTAGAATTTAAGATCAAATTCTTTGTTTTGTGACAATTAAGACACACACGTTCAAATGTGAATTAATTCTAATGTTTGTTCAGTTGTTATCATTAGATTCTCTCCCATATCCAAGTCCACCGTTAATGTATAACTAACAAGAGGACGTAATTTAAACTTGGCAAACGATCATAACCGTTTCCCCATTTCAGAAGTACTGTGAAATTTGTCCCTCTCACCGCATCAAAGTCTTCATATGTAGCTCCGTCGGCACTGACTTGAATGAGGTACTTAGTTACACTCCTGGCAGTCTCGTTAACAGGGGGGTTTGCCTCACCGGCAATTTTAATTTTCTTCACAACTTTCCGCCCACCAAAATCAACCTGAAGCGTAAATTATCTTTAATTAGTTTCTTTGACCTTTAGCCGTACAAACGGCTAAATATCAAGCAGACAAGTGACGAGAATATAGAAAAATATCAATTAAGAGCATATTAGTCGATCCTATTCCAAAATCTTAAAATTAACATCATTATGTTGTATGGCAGAGGGTAAGGAGAGTTACTATTGAGATCTTGGCAGTGAAAAGGTTAAGATTCACTTGTTCAATTAATAATTAAAGAAAAATTAAAATTCCGTGTTAAATCAGTTGCTTAACTCAATAGAAGAAACAAGTTAAATGTTATAGAAATGACTGTCTATGACTGTCTATTCATTCGATGTTTGGTTATCAGTTAGCCGAATCATAGAAGTCTCATTGTCAGAATGAAAACTTGCCGTAAAACTTTGTTTTGAATTTACTATCAATTATAACCTTTAATATTTTAAAAATTTAAAAGCAACAGTTTTACTTTAGCGATGGAAAATAAACACAAACCTGAAGGTATTCTTCGTCAGTAAAGTTTTGTTTTGGACACCATGCTGTTTGAGAAGACAAAGCTGCATGCTCAGGGGAATATTGCGGAGAAAGCTGAGATGAAGCTGTAACTGTGCTTGTAGAAATAAAAGGCTTTGTACATTCTAAAATTTAAAAAAATAGTGTTAATGTTAATTGCATCAAAGCTGAGTTTCATTCCATTCAATTTCGAAAATATAAATTAGCGCTATACAAACGAAAGCTTCATAATCACAAAAACGTAATCATTGCATAAAGATTCAGTTTTGATAATTTGGCTTTATGATATGTTCAGTTGACTAAAGTTATGAACTAGAAAACACCCAATTATGAATACATAGTCAAACCTAAAAGAAAAAAAACAAAAAAAGAATTGGAGTTTTCAGTCGCTTATATCATTTTTACAGCAGTGAATATTTGGAGGGAGTAAAATCTTATCTTTGAATTTTGCCGCTTGACTACTCCGTTGAAAATGAGTAGGTCTTAGTTTGAAGGACATGACTTTCTCAAATAAGAATAATTATTCCTTCATAAACACGAAATTATTGAAATTCTGAATAACGAACAAGAACAGACCCACAACAAAGCCCCATTTATGCGCTGCCCATGTAGGTTGGATTGCTTCACATAAGTCGCTTGTACTTTACAATCTTTCTTTTTAGATAAATGTTACTCTAAATCTAGACCTTATGAATTCACAAGAAACATGTTTATTCTCAAATTTCTATTCCCGAGAGCCTAAGATTTATCCGAAGTTTCTCTTTTTTTTCCTCAAATCTTTCTCTTATTTAAATCATTCATGTTATATCCAAATTCACAGAAGACAAGTACTCGAATAGCAATCTTAAGTGTTGGATAGGTTTCCCTACAAGGGAAAACTATATGACGGAGCCACGACCAAAATCATATTTTTTCCATATCTCTCTAATAACTGAAACTTATATACTCACCTCTTCTGCCAAACTGTCCCGCAAAAACAACTACGAGTACTAGCAATGAAAGATAAACTCTCATTTTCTCGGTGTTCGTTGAAAATTAGGAATGATTTTTAGTATCAACGAATGGAAAAAAGTTAAGGATCGATGCAACAACTGACTAAGATTATTATTCTTTGAGGAAATAAAACCTATTCAATCAGTCGTCCAGGTGTTTAAATAAACGAATTCGTAATTAATTTGCGCGACGAAAACCGACTGCATACAATAGATGCATTTGGAATAACCATCACGTCGAAAGTTACACATGACTCTACTGAGATGAGATAACCGAAAAATAAATCGAAAATCAAAGCAAAAACATGCTTCATGAAGAATAAAGACATATTATGCTTATTGCAAATCGCTTATTATTGTTGAGAAGGTAGACTCTCGCTTAGTGATTGACTCATTGTTTGAAACACCATAAATGTAATGGAAGAGAGTAAATAAATTCTATAGTCGCTTTTGCTGATTGCTTCATTTTAATGGAGAAGTCATGATATTTATCGTTTCCTCAATTTGAATATTACAGTTTAAAACAAAATTGAAAAATGAGCCGAATTAAAAGCAGTTTTAGCTGCGGTTACAAAACCAGCAACAACAAGAAAAAAAGTCAATCTTTTACCACAGCTGATTCCATGGAGTTGAAAGGCAGTGTGCAGTTTTAATGAACGACTAAGGTCTTCTTCTAGCGCGGTGTGTGTACTGATTGACTGGAAGCTAATGACTGTTCAGTTCTGTGTTGCCAGTTGTTTTAACCAAATTTGAGTAGATGTTATCTTTTTAAGTTGTCTTAACTGTATAACTTTAGATTATACAGTCAATAAGTTCAGATTTTTGACAGTAATAATTAATGACGTACAAACACTGCCGATATTTGTGCTCAAAACTGTGCCCACCTTTCATCTATCCACCAGGGATGATTGCCTTCATAATGAATAATCTACTTAGCAAATTACTGACGAATTCCAAAGATAAACATTATTTAACTAAAGATCCCTCAAGTAAGAAATAGGATTTAAATTGATTTAATACATCTCTTATCGTGAGATGAAAAGCTTCATCAAACTAGACGTCTACACATAGTTGTAACAAATCATTTAAGACGTAGATTGCCAAATGAAAAAATTTCTCCTTGTTTTTTCTACGTTAGAAAATTAGAGAGGTTGTGTCATTGTGGTCTCCGTGAATGTTTTTGTTGACGATGTTACAGTTTTATGGTGTTTGTTGCAAGTTCAGAAACTTTGAGGAAGTGTCTTAGTCATGTACTTACCCAAAACGACTGAGGAGAAAATCTTGTTCATAATCATTAGATTTACTTCATAGTTTCCTTTGCTTTATCTTTTTATTTTTTAATTTTTTTATTACTCATTCATTGTTTCTTTATTGGAATAAGTTCATTTTTCAATCTATTTTTTTTTATAATAATACTTTAAGAAGTTAATGATATTACTGTTTTGTATAACACAGACAAACACGGCATACACACACCAACAGAGATGTGCGGGACAATGTCTCTCCTGTCCCCTTGTTCATTTTCCTTGTTCATTTTATTTAGTTTACCCTCAGTGCTCTTTTCTTATTGGTTAAACTCAAAGGAAGGAAAGTGACACTGTAAAGTAAAGTCTATACTCGATCTTATTGGTCTGTCAACCCGGAGCTTATCCAAGTATCAATAGCACAAAGCAAATTGGAGTATTCATTTTTCCCCTGGATGGGATGCTAGAACTTCCCCCCTGCCTCCCTCCCCTCAGATTCAGATTTCTCTGACAATTCGCTGGCTCCCATTTTAACATCTGGGTGGAGGGCACTGTGAGAGTTAAGTGCTTTGCACAAAAGAACACAACACGTTAACCCAGCCAGGTCTCGAAACTAGGATCCCTCGACCCAGAGTCCAGTTGCAATTGCACTAGGCCCCTGCGTCCCTTACCTGATATTAGTTTACGTTTGATTTAAACCAGTTTGATGTCGAGGAGGAGATAATGCGAAGAAACCTATAACTGTAGGAGTAGATTTTAAAGCATTTAGTTACTTCAAAGAAAGCAGGAGGTACAATTTTTAGAGTAATTATTTGAGACGGCTTTCTTTCATATTTCACACCCATCCAGGCTAAGTGGTTTATAACTAATTTCATAGTTATCATTTTTATGTTTTCGTTTTATTTTGTTAATGAGCCGTTACATACTCTGCAACACATCTGAGTTTGGGCGGTTGTTTTCGCCTGTCGTTTCTGGCAACTCTCGTTTACGTATTTAAGAACCACCCAGGGAAATCAGATAGAGGGGTTCTTTACAAAGTTTCAAAATGCTAGCGATGCAGTTGGCGGGGAAAATCTAAATTGACATTCATGGAGAAAAAATTAAAATAAGTGAAATCGTGATAACACTAATGATAATGCTTTTAATTCGTTTCGTTTCTAAAGCCATTTGAAACATGTAGCCGCTCATCACAAAATTAGAGGCAAAAACGGCGCAGGTTTCTGTTCTAACTGATTGTTAAATTAGTGTCATTTCCTTGAACGAAATATATAAAGAATTCCGTCCTCCAATCGGCTAATTATGAAGAAATAAATAAATAAAACTAGTTTAAAAAGGAGAAATTAGAATATTTATTCACTTGAATATCGATTGAAAAGAATGGTTGGACTACTGTTCCCAGATTACTGCCGTCGGTGTGGGTGTAAAATAATATACCGTCACCCGAAACGAAAAAGGGTTGGGAGCGATTAATTTTCAGTGACATAGGCTGGCAATTTTTGTTTATGCATGGGGAATTTTTTCAAGTTTGTTTCGCGGGCTTGACGGTGTTGTAAGGCTAATTCCTACATAGACCATTAAAATTAGAATTTAAAAGACTTGTAGTCTACAAAGATAACTCCTCGTTGGTCTATTTGGGATATCATTATGAATTAAAATTCATTTATTATGCGAAATACCGTTTGTTGCATAATGAAGCGCCAAAATCGGCTCATATTTTCTTCAGAAATATCAATAACATTAAAGAAAACATACACGTCAAATCTAAGGCAATACTGTTCCTAACACGAAACACATAATCTAATCCATTCACGCCTTTTTCTTGTAATGAAAGGAAACGGTAATCCTATGTGACTTACGGGGTTTCTGTTAAACGAGTAAAAACTCAAATGCTATAAACACGTTCGTCCAAAAAATGGCAAATGAGAGTAACCGTGACGAGGACGTGATTGAAGGCATTTATTATCGCAGGTGTGTAATTGCAAATATTAAAATTGGTCGTCATCAGCCATGGAGTGTTACCAATGCGAATCTAATCCGCTAACATTCGTAAACGGACTAATCGCTCCATCTTTTTTTTTTTGTTTTGCTCTTTTTCCTTTCCTGATTTTCTTTAATTGAGTGCACTCGATAAGGATCCCTAAAACGTCCTGGTAATGGCTTAATTGCCCACTGTGAAATATTTCTGTTCCCAGCAATTATATTTCAAAAATTCGGTAACTTATTTGGAAAGAGAATACATCGTTAACTCTAAGAACACTATCAAATTTAGAAGCAGTCAAAACGTAAATAATCTTAGAGATCTTTGATACAGATTTAGGCAGCATTAGTTCGTGATTGTCCATAAGATTAAATTGTTGTTTGTTCAGGTGGTCAAGCTAGTCAAACCCCTAATGAGACAAGTTGGCAAATTTCGTAATAATGTTGGTTCACCTGCATTGATAATGAAACATTTTCTCCGACAATATTAGGCTCTTTTTTTTATTTTCCAATTACCATAACGAATGTGAATGAATGACATATCAATAACTTGCTCATTAAAGTAAAAAGAAATCAACAACATTTCCCCTTCACATTTCGTGTGCTGCCTGCAAAAATTCAGACTACCTTGAGGTTTTTACACACCATCTAAGGATGTTTCGTCCATGCCTCATCTTCCTAAGCATCGTTGTAACCTGGGCTCTAGGTAAGATTAGGAGTTAAATGTACACTTCTGAATATAGTGTGATTTTCTGAACTCGTAAGCATTCTTTACACTGGCTACTTTAAGTCAGTTATCAGCTTATTTAATGATATCAAATGTAACTCGAAACTGGAGGAAACTACAAATTAGTTTGTCGGTGAAGTTTACTGATGAAGAACTGCATTGGTGATCACCACTTATACTACCTCCATTTCCTAATAAAAATAAAAACAAAAATACGAATTTCGCAATATTTTTTAATTTGCTTGTGCTTTTCTTATATTTCTTTCTTTTTCCAATTTTTCTTCCAAATCAAATCCAAATGTATACCAGACTAAAAGATTTATGGTAGTTTTGTGGAATAAGAGAGCCATCTAGCAATGGAAGTTTTCTTAAAAACATACTGTACAACAGTTCTCAGATAAAATTAAGGAATAAATTTATTTTCTTAAGCTCGGGAAATAAAAAAATTTCAATGTATTCCTGTTCGTTTCGCGAGTGATAAAAGGCACAACTTGCGTTAAAAAATTGACCACAAAAGCATTTTTCTTCTCTGGTAGCGCTTTGAAAATATCTAGCGCCGTTGTCGCAAACTATTGCTGAGACAAAATATTATTTTGGCTAATTATCATGATTACCTTTATATTATTAATAATTTTTTTTATGGTCATCTTTGTTCAAGTCATTTCCTTTATTGTAAAATATTATTTTCAAAACAGATCTAGGAAGTACGCAAGAATACATTTTTTTTTTCAAAAAGCTTTATTTAATTAATTGTCTTGCGACAAACAAAGCTTGAATCGAATTGATGATCTCTCTACGAGATAATCTGGTTTTATCACTTGACTTGATGAAAATTGGCCACCCTAAAGAGTTTCTGAGGCTAAAGTTTTAAGCGTTAGCGCTTCACCTAAATAATTACAAAAACAGCCAAGATATCATTTTGTTACAACCTTTTTCTAATTTTGAACATTTGGGGACTGGAAATTACCACGAATTTAACTAAAATTTACTGATTATTCTGCTAGCGACGTAAAAAGTTTTAACACTTAACAAAAAAACGAATATTCATCCTTCTTATTAAATCAATATACGCTTCTATTTCTCCATCAGATTGCAATAAACCAGTTGGTATTGGAGATGGAACACTCTCAGATTCAGCGATGACTGCAAATTCCGAGATCAATAAGTTAGTAAAGAGCTTGATCGAAACTCTAAAAGGTTTACTTGACTGTCATATATCTCCTCTTTTATTGATTCTTGAAAAACTTTGAGCAAACGATATTGATACTTCATTTTTCAGCGTTTATGAAAATTTCAAGTTGGTGCTCTTAATGCTTTCATAACTTCATTTTAGGCTACTTGTATATAAAAAAATTAAAAAAGAGTGAATATTTCGAAATTCCAGGTTACATCTACTATGTGGATTCAGTTATTTGAATATATACTGCTCGTATTTCCCTTTTTTAGTTCTGGCTGGTCAAAGTAAAATCAGGAATCAATTGATTCGTTTAAATGACATACTATTCAGCGCGTGCCTGTCCGCCGTGTTTTGAACTTTCTCAATTAAATAATTAAGAAATGTAGTCAGTCGCTGTTTCCATGTTGGATATGTAAATTTTACACATCCTCAGATTGTGTTAACTTTATCATAGATGGCATGGAGCTAGGGAAGGAAGGTTAAATAACTATAAAGGAAAACCAGGAAATCCAGGGGTTGGCGCTTGGTGTGCGGACAAAAAGGATTCTAACCAATATCGTTATATACAGGTAAGGCAAGGAAAAAAATATCATTCATCCCAACTAACGTAAACTCTTGCTTACGACCCACACCTGTGCTATGTCAAACAGAAAAATTGAAAAATTACAGCACAAAAATAAGTTTATTACTTTTTTTAATTATTAAAGATGAACCTCAAGAGAAAAGTCTGAACTTACGTTTTGTTTGGTTTGTTAATTCTAAGTCTGTTCCGATTGTTTTGAAATGAATTCGATTTGTGACGTTCTGAAGCTCAATTCAAAACCGGTTCATGTAAATAGTGTTCTGATCAGCCCTCCAGTTATAAGCCCAACTCAAACCCCTCCGAAGTATTATAGCTTATTAGCGGCAGTTTATGGTTGACTAACTCTCCGGCTACAGGTTCCCGGATTGAAATCCTTCCGGATATAGCAGGTAATTTAGTGTTAACAACTAATACCCCATTCACACCAGCAAAACATGTTTTGTTAAACTGGTTTTCATTGAATGAAAATTATATACAGAGAACTGAAAAACTTGATTTTCCATAGGATTCAAGTACTTGCTAACTTGTATTTCCGATGTGCTACATTCAAGTCAAAAATATTCGGTTAAATAGTTTCTAGGAAGAAAAAAAAAATTAAACTGTGTTTAACAAAACAACTTTTAAACATGTTTAAGCTTTGGTGTGAATGGGGCATAAGTTGAAAACGTAAATTAGCCACCGTAAAGGGTAAAAAAGCTGACGTTTCGAGCGTTAGCCCTTCGTCAGCATCGCTCTGATGAAGGGCTAACGTTTGAAACGTCAGCTTTTTAACCTTTTTCGGTGGCTAATTTACGTTTTCAACTCAGTTGTTAACACTTAATTACTTACCATACTCTCCCATCGACGCAGCACCACAGTTTCTTTAGAAACTTACCCCTTTATTCATCCCGATATAAGCCCACCTAAAACCCTTACGAAGTTCTATAAGTCCAGGGTTTATAAGCTGCAGTTTTCGGCAGGTTGACTTTTTATTTATCTGTGCATTTGCTAACTCACTCAAGCATACTTGATTGAAATGTATCTTTATCTATTTCTTCTTTTTAAAATGTAATCTATTTATCATCCTCGTATCTAGTTCGACTTGGGTTCCGTGCGTAAAATTGGAAAGATCGCCACTCAGGGTCGTAACACGTCATCGTTCCAATACGTTAAAAGTTACAGAATACTTTACAGCGAGTCTGGCAACGTATTCTCGGGAATAAGAGATATAAATCAGAACGAAGTGGTAAATAATCCGCATTTAATATGTTTTTATTTTTGTTTTTGTTCTTTCTAATTTTATTTTAGTTGGTTGTTAATGCTTACATACATTGTCCTCTTGTAATTCCATAGGTATTTGCTGGCAACACGGACAAAAATTCAATTGTGACGAATGATATACCTAGTGCTGGAAGAAATATTAAGGCCAGGTACATTCAAGTGATTCCCGTTGACTTCAGGGCTAACATTTGCATGCGTTTTGAGCTCTACGAGTGTGTGGGTAAGTTATCGTATTGTTTGGGATGAGTTTTGTCTGAGATAAAAACATATATTTAATAAGTAAGTCATAAGTTCGAGATTTCGTACGTATGATATAATTATAGTTGACTAAGGGGAAGCTCGAGTCGACCCACAAAAATACATGTAGAGATAGAGGGCAAATAATATCATTATTTAATGAAAATTTACGAGTCTTTAAGTAAATTAAGTAAATCACAGGCTTATGTTTTTATTTTGATTTGCTTTTAACCACCTTTAATGTATTTACAAAAATCTTAACAATTTACGTACGTAAGAAAATGACTTTGATGTCAAGAGGAGCCTCTTTTCCTTTTTACTTCTGATGAGTGAGTATTTGCGACTTTATTTTCCTTTATGATCTTACAGAGTCGGTGCCCACAACTTCTGCTCCCCCACCAGGTACGTTTTAACCTAGCCAAAGCATAGCTTTTCAGAACATTTAACAAGTATTCCAAGCTCGCGTATTGGATAAACACCAACGTAAACAGCCAAGGAGGACGTAGCGCCGAGTTGGCTATAACTAACCTTTCACCCAAAAAGCGCGAATAGAATAATTTTTTTTTTATCAAATTTCACTAAATCCTGAACGCTTGGATCATTATTTAAGATGACTCAGAATATGAGCTGATAAACGGAGCTGAGTGAACCAATCAGAAGGATACAAATCCGGTATTCGGAATTGGAATTTAATAATAAAACATTATCTAGCCGGCAAGTGCGGAGAAAAGACAGAAATAATTACCGGTTATGGGTGTTGCGTGATATAAACACCAAGTTCTTCTGACCAATGGAAAATGAAATTCTTAGGATATACATGAACAAAGGATTATTCTGACTTACACTACATATTGAAGTGTTGGCAATTACGTCTCAACTTTAACCACGCTGATTTATGACATTATGCAAAAAGTTGATTAAAGCGCAGCAATAAAGAAGACAGATCTTCTACTAATGTTTATTTTTCGGCAAATTCAGTAGTCGCGTTAGCTTGGCTTCATACATATCCTATATGTCTGCGTTACTGTATTACCTATTATAAATTTCTGACTCTCTTCTTTTCTTAATCGTTGTCTTCTCCTTACGATTTGCCTACGATCCAACCAGCCACGACTAGTCCTCCAGTTGGTAAGAAATCATTCTTTATACTGCTCCCAGGATTAGTTGTTGCTATAGCACTGTGTATCTCCACAGATGTATCACTGAATTATTCGTTTGCTTTCTTGTTCTTTCTTCATCATCATCATCATCATCATTATCACTGTCGTCATCAGCGTCATCATCATCATCATCATTCTTTGCATCACCATCATTACCATTATTAGTTTTATCGAATTTCTTTCATACATATATATATATATAAATTATTTTTCATTACTTTGTTAGCTTGTCCTGATGGATACCGCTTGGGAGCAGATAATAAGACGTGTGAAGGTACCATAGCATTAATGATCATTACTGCCATGCAAACACTAGAACGCAGCGTATAAAAGGAAAAATTCTCAGATATACAGAGAGCCTTTAACTGAGTCCCAAAGTGAACATAAAATTCAGAAAATTTAGCGCCTAAAGAGCTCTTGGTCAGTTGCTTATCGTCATTCCAGTGTAGTGTAAAATATGAGACACGTAGAACAGCGATCATTGTCCTTATCTATTAAAAACGCCATTTGTTTTACATGCCGTCATTGTTTAACTGTTTGCTTGTTCTTCCAGACATTGACGAATGTGCTGAGCAATCAAGTAAATGTAATCAGTACTGTCACAACACAAATGGTAGCTATCACTGCAGCTGCCAACAGGGATTCAAACTTGACACGGACCAGCGAACGTGTATAGGTTTGTACACGAAATAAGTTTGTAGAGTGTGGATACATGTACTTGTTATGTCTTGCTGTAAGATTCTATCGATTTGATTTTATATCCATTGCAGAGCTATTTGCATGTAACAATGACTTTGAAATTTGACTTCATCAAAACCTCGCGCGCTTTCCTCAAAAAATACCAACGACAAAACAAGCGGAGCAGCAAAGAAAATGATCGCCATTAATACAAACAAATAAACAAAGTAAAAGTAAATAAAGTCAATTCGAAGCAAAGCACAGCAAAACCCAACAAACAAAAATTGAAAAAAAATCAGAAATGAGAAGATCAAACCACTCAGGGATAGTCAGGAATGTACTTGATAGTGTTTGCTTCTCCTATTTCTTCAAGACATCAACGAATGCTCAGAACGTAATGGCGGCTGCAGTCAGCTGTGTGAAAACACGGCTGGAACCTTTAATTGTAAGTGCCGTGATGGCTTCAGATTGCAAAATGACGGGAAGACATGCAAAGGTGAGGACAAAATGTAGTACCGAAACAAAATAGTACCCTGCTTGTTACTCCCTAGATAAGGGGTTTCTGATGAAATTAATCTTCTTAAGATTTGCATCATGTACTTTTTTCAATTTTGACGGTTGCTGGTCTGGCATGCCCCATCCACTAACCCAATTACTCTTGCGTCAAACGTTTGAGCACTAAAAGTACGCCACCCGCATACGCGACATCTCACAAGGTCATGATCGTTTTCTACCCCACCAAAGTAAAAAGAAATTTTCTCTCTTCCATCAATTTTTAATCAGTTTTTTCATCATCGAAAAAAAGGAAATGTTTCTCCGACTCTGATACAATCTTTTTGATGACTTTCTCAACCACCAGACATCGACGAATGTGCAGAAAGCATTGATTTGTGTACTCAGAACTGTCATAATACCGAGGGAAGTTATACCTGCAGCTGTAACGCTGGATACAGACTCGCCTCGAACAAGTACACTTGCGAAAGTAGGTGAATGGTTTATTATAAAATTAATTCAAATACATGCAACAAAACACATATAGAAACTTGTGAAAAAAAAGTTTCATGGCTGGTATGACGCACCTTTCGCTCTGGCCAAAAGATACATCAAATACCTCTTGGAGTTTTTAAGCAAACGCGTTGAGCATCGTGCTCTAAGACCTGTCCATCCAACCGAAAATTTACGAGATACAATTTACATCACTTATGAATTTTGTTCTATGTCAATACTTTCCTATCATTTTCTGCGCATGAAAAGTTGAATGAGCTTAGTTTTCTAATTACGGTTTCTGGAGTAGTAGTAAACATTTGCATGGATTCATATAAAAGAAATATAAGTCAAGATCCAATATTTTGCTCTCAACTTTTTTTTTTTTTATGTTCTCATATTAAGACATCGATGAGTGCCAGGAAGGTACTTCTGGATGCAACCAGATCTGCACAGATACCCTTGGAAGCTTCAAATGTAGCTGTAGGACCGGTTACAAACTGAAGTCAGACATGAAGACTTGTGAAGGTATTTCAATCTATTTGCATATTTAGAGCTTCATGGTGTCTACCCTCATTCAGGGGAAAGGTAATAGAAAAGAAAGGTTGGTAAAATAAAGTTTGGTTAGAATAAGATACAAATATATACATAAATATATAAATATATATATATACACAACAGAAGCATTGTGTTAACCCTTTAAGTCCAACTAGTGACGTAGACAGAATTTCTCCTTACACTATCAGTAAAATATCAAGCAGACAAGTAATGAGTATAAAGAAAATATTAATTAGGAGATTCTTGGTTGGTCGGATTCTAAATTCCCCAAACTAACATCAAATGAATTGTACGGCAGACAGTAAGGAGAATTACTGAAGAGATCTTGGGAGTTAAAGGGTTAAGGCCGGTTTTTCGTTTGTTTTCTGTTCTCTGTGTCGTTGTATTTATTATGACAAAATAAAGGGCATAGTACTTAAAGATAGATTTAGAAACAAACAAACAAACAAATAAAAACTTCTGTCAGTTCTGTTCCTTAAAAACCATATAGAATTTCGGTTTCAGCTTCACTGAACATTCTACCGTATCTGCACTACATTGGAATCTACGGGATATTTCGAGGAACATTATTTGCACCATATCTTATCTATACACACACACATATATCTATGTATATTTAATTATGAATTCACATCATGTTCATCTCAGATATAGATGAGTGTCTGGACAGTAATGGGGGATGCAGTGACACTTGTCAAAATTTGGTGGGTTCGTACATTTGCACCTGTCCTAACGGCTACCAACTTGATGGAACTGGAAAGAAATGCATTGGTGAGTCAAAAATGAAGTTTTTCCCGTCTATTTGGTAATTTCATTTAATTTTTTTGCTTCAAATTAAAGATCAGATGATTCGAAATCTAGTCTTTTGTATTGTCACTACGATTTTTTTATCATTGCCGTTGATTTTTCAAGTCAAATATTTGCGATGAAAGAGCAAATGGAAATGAGAATGGCATCATCACTGCTTTCAGTTTTTCGATGTTTGGGTTTACATTCAATCTGAAGACTGATTTTTGATCTATAGACAAAGATGAGTGCGCTCTTGCAAACGGTGGATGTCAACACACCTGTGAGAACAGTGTTGGTAGCTTCTCATGCTCCTGTAACGATGGGTATAAACTCAATTCTGATGGCTTAACTTGCTCAGGTAATACTCTTGATAGCTTTTTCCATTTAGAAACGAATCTGAGAGATTCAGAGAGGAGAAATAGAATGATTGAATGAATGAATACGCTAAGGATAACATTCAAATGATAACAATTATTCTGATAAATGAAAATAACGGAAATGCGCTGCCGTGTGATGAAGAAACTGATCATGATGCTGACAATGATGTTGATAACGATAACAACGACGATAATAATAACAATGATGATCCTTATAGAGATAGTGAAAGTGGTAGAAATAATAACAATAATAATAACAGTAATCATAGTAATGATTACTTGGAGTGATATTAACGTGCAATTATATTGTATGGGTAATCACACGATTTCGAGGGCAAATTGACATAAATCAGGACGAAACAGGCTTTTTGCTAAAAATTTGTAATCGAGCGTTTGTACTTTCTCCAAGCTCGGTATCATTTTAATCATGTCAATAAGGGCACATAGACCTGAATCAATGTTGTGTTTTGTAGACATCGATGAATGCTCAGATGGTTCAGCACAGTGTGACCCAAAAAGCACCACTTGTCATAACCTTATACCTGACTATGAATGCAATTGTAAACCAGGATACATTGTGATAAGCAATGATAAATACAAGTGCAAAGGTAACTGCTTGTTCATGGTTTCCTTGACTCACTGCCAGCAGTGCATTTAACGTTATATTCTGCAGAAGTGGCGACCTTTGTAGAAAAAAATTTTCTTTCGATTTTTTTTCACCAGTCATCACGAAAAAAAAGATAAACAGAAAAATTTGCTGTGCTCTATAAAGTGAAGAGACTAAATGTTTGTTTTTGAAGATCAAAATGAAGTTGAAAGACACTAGGCTCAGATTTGTGGTTTTAATATTCAGTTTTTTGGTCCAATATTTAAATTTTTTTTTTCCTTTTTTTTTTTATCTAATATTCAGTTTAATTTGCTGATATGGTAGATCTACTCATGTGAGAATTCGTGAAACTAAAAAATTGTTATTGAAATTAAAAACTGAATAATTTGGATCATGAGAGATTCCTTTTTATGGTATAATACCTATACACGACATTGTTAATATCCCATCAGAACGTTGTACCTCCAACCAACGTAAAGAATTGAGATCCCTAAACGAAGAAACAATTTAAATTAAATTTTATTATAGCTCCAACTTGCCCAGCACTTGTCCAATCAATGGGAACCACCGTTTTTCCATCAACTTGCCTACAAGATCAGGTCATGGAGGCCGGCGATTTGTGTAAATTCAGCTGCACCGACGGGTTCGAGCTGCCAGATAACGAAGATACCCTCATCTGCCTAGCTACCGGAAACTGGAATGCATCAATAATAAACTGCAAAAGTAAGGAATACACGCGAATATATAGTTTTCACAGTTAATTAAAAAAAAGATTCAAATTAAGTTACTTGTTTAAAGCATATTAACATACAAAATTTAGCAATATCTATGGGTGGTAGAAACTGTTATCTCTAACACAACTCTACGGAAAAGGATACAAAACTCACTATTCGTTGCCTAAAAATTTGCAACTTCCTCGAGCTTCACTTGGAGGGAAAGAAGGAAATACCATATCAAAATAGAACTTGATCAACGAGTGTGATGATAATGCTCACGAAAATGATAAGAATTCTCCATAGCCAAGAAGAACGATGGGTTTCGGGCTGGACTCCAAACGCTACCTGGAAATAGGCTTCCGTTCAATACAGACGTCACTTTGCGTTATTTAATGTGTTTATTTCATTAATACGGGACATCGTAAAAATATATTATTTGGATTATTCTTTGTTATAGTCGTTTCAATTTGTCGAGGCTTCCTTCCAGAGTCTTTTCATAACCGATTACATTTGTTAATTATTTCTGTATCACAGTAAACATGACAAAAAGAAATTTTAAAAAGAATAAAATCAATCAAATAAAAAGCAAAGGCAAAAACAACAAAATTGAAAATTATGGATGGCTGAAGTTTCTTAGGAGATCACTATCTTCTTTAAGCAGTGCGGTAACGTCCTTTAAGCCTTTAAGCTCAATAGGAAAATCAATTATTACCAAAAGTTTGAACATTGGAGTTAAAAAAATCAAAGAGCCGAATATAGATATTTTTAGAAAAAAACATTGTCGTACTCAAAGGTCTAGGACCTTTTCGAGAAAGTAATGGCATGTGAATGAATGAAGGACTTTCTTTAAGTGTCAATAGTATTTAGCTTGAAGAAAACTAATTGGGGACACTGTTTACGCATTAAAATATACTTAAGCTGCATAAAGTTAAAATTATTTATAATTCAATTCATAATGTATAGAATTGATAGATAAATAAATAAGTAACTGAAGTATAGGAATTTAGTAAAATAAGCGTAGAAGATATTAAATATATACAAAATGTAAAATTCAAAGGGGCCTAGCAGCATATATCACAGTTTTACAATTATTTATCAAAAGTGATAGGTCTTTGCCCTTAATACTGTTTTAAAACTCACAAAATTAGGATTCTCTTTATCACTTTGTTTTATTTTTTGTTTAATTTATTTCAAAGATGGGGCCCAAAGTATCGAAGAGAATGTTTTCCATAGTGTACTGTGCGAAACGTGGAATATTGAAATCAGCGTTCCTCAGATTATATCGTTTCGCGGCTGTATTTAGTCTGTTTAATGTAGTCCGTTTTTTACCTTATTCATGAAAACGGTGATACTTTGTAACCGTTGTTGGTACAGACTTAGTAGACCTGCTCTTGTAAGTAGCTCGCTGTAGGTCTCCGATTTGGACTTAAAGACCGCCCTGAGTGCCCGCTCTTGAATTCTTTCCATTTTCTTCTCATCAGATGAATTGTAAAAGTGCCATACAATATCACAATATGTAAGGTGGGATAAAATATTACACTTGTACAACTGTAACTTTGCGGACCATGGGATTAAATTACATAGTCTCAGTAAGACCCTAACCTTGCAGCTCGTCCAATCAAATGTACCTGTATTTCAACCAACAGTCATATTTAACACTTAAGCTTGTCACTCAATGAAGTGTTAATCTCCCTTGACAGGAGTAAGCTGTCCTAAGCTGGTTGCTCCCGCAAATGGAAAGCTGAATCCAGATACTTGTGCTTCTGAAGGAGGCCATTATCAAGGAAAGTGCGGGTACGTTTGTAACAGTGGTTATACCTTGTCAGGGGTTCAGATCAAGAATTGCCTGAGCAGTGGACAATGGGACAGCCAGGAAGAACCAACATGCATTCAAAGTGAGCATAAAACCTTTTATAGAGAATGATGAATCGACGCCCGTATGAATGGAATTTCTCTTCGTGTGTTCAACGCGTTAGCTAAAAAGTGAGCGGAGCGAACGAGTGTGATGTCGAATTAAACACGAGGAGAGAAATGTCATATCTACAGGCAATCATGTATTATTAATTTTTGTTTATCATAAAAACACAATAGTCCTTTACCGACAAGAAAAGTCGACTTCATCAACGAATAAAAATAAAAGGATCGACGATCACCGACCAAAAATCGTAATATGCGTTGAGGCTAAAGCCTCTTTCAAACAGTTACGACGGTCGATAATAGTTTCAACTTTCATTCACTATTACTGACTATCATGTTTGCGTGAAAACAGTTCATAATAGTTGCTGATAGTTGACAAAATCACCCAAAGAGATGGCGTAATTCTAAACAAATATGGTGCGAGCTGAGGTCAGCAATTCAGCAGTTCGGTGAGATTTGAAATTTTAGTCAAGTTGCGAGTTAAATACTGAAGCTAACCACGAGGTGATAATAATAAACTGCTGACCAAACGACTATTATTCACTTTCATCCGCTCGTTTAAACCGCAAAAACTATCATCAAGCATCATGTCGAATTCGGACATGTCTAAACTACTTAATAGTTGATGAAAGTCGTTAATGACCAGTGTTAGTTCGTGTTCAAACGCGCTTGCTATTTAAAACTATCATCAACTATCATGACCATTTGAACGGGGCTTAACGCTCGAGATGAAAAAATGCTTTGACACACTACAAAAAAAAACAATGGTCCCGATTTTCAATAAGCAAAATTCTTAGTTATTGATGTTGTTCTCACCGGCAGAAGAAATCTTTCAGATACATAGCCGAAATCGGTCTATGACAAATTAGTGGATTTTCGTTCTCAGCGGCGAAAAATATCATTCACAGCCTGAGAGCCAGTGAATGCGTATCTTTCGGTTTTTCTTTTCATATTTTGGTTTTATTCCCCTCTATAAAAGTTTAAACGTCACTGTCTGTAAGCGATACGGATTTTTCAGTGTATTATCAGCAATAATCTTGGATTTAGAAAGGTGAAGACTTCATTCATCAACCTGATCGAGTTTCGCGAAAGACGAGTGACGTGTCAGAAGCTGACTGGTGATATAAAACACGTGAAAAAATATTGTATTTTTTCACGTGTATTGTTACGGCTTTTCTCTGAGCCGGAAATCCTTGTACAACATCGTGGTTTATATGATAAACTGCTGTCTTTTGTAAGAAAGAATCCTTAAACCTTGCATGAACTCATGACCCTCAAATGCGAAATTCAGATAGTGTAAATGAGTCCCTAAAACTGACCTACAAGTACAGGTGAAGAACGGTTACCTTTTTTTTGTAGAAAAAAACATTTTTCAGGCAATGTGTGTTTACATCCTAGAATGTAAAAGGGTCGTTAGTTACACGAGAGGTGTCAGTCGATTCCAAGGGAATATAATCCGAAGTAAAAATTTTAACGATAATGTTTTGGGATAGAAGGAATTCGAAACCGTTATATTTATGTTTGATCCCGGTAAAGGCCGATAGACTGCTATGTATGCAACGATGTAAACGTTCTGATCTTTGATAGTAAAGCTGATTGTCAAACTGACCTAGATTTTTTTGTTACCTTAAAAATGTCCAAACGATGGACTAGACTTCATCCGATCGGAAAATTTGCAAAATATCTAATTACTGATAAAAATACGTGAAAGACCCAATCCTGCGAAGGGTAACAGCCCTGAAAATTTCATTTTTCCTACATATATGTCGGCTGGCTTATTTGAAAAATCAGAAGCTGCACTCGCCTTCGTCTTGTGATTTATAAACTTTTCTTGTGTTCACCCAATATCCTGCGTTGCTTAAAACGCCAGTTAGCCGATAGAAAGTGTGGTCTTATGCTGATTTCTTATTTTAATCAAGAGATAAGAATTTAAAAATAGCTACATTTCTTCAGATGAACGCAATTAATAAAAAAAAGACATCAGACATTTATCTCACTTTACACAGGCTATCAGGATCCTTATATAACATGTCCAGATAACGTGCAAGTTGATCTTTCTCCTGGTGCCAATGAAGCAGACGTTTCGGCCTTGCTCCAGGATCCCACGTCCAATCAACCACCTTCCAGAATAACAATCACACCGGCAGAGTACTTCAAAGACAAAATGTTTCCAGCCGGCACAACGTTTTTGAATTACGTGGCAACAAACGAAGTCGGAAAAACAGCCCAGTGTCAGACTGTGATCATCGTCGTCGGTATTCATTGAGCCATTTACTCATTTATGTCAATACATTTAATTTTAATTTATCCTTTAGTACTGCATTGATTTATTGAGTTATTTATTTGTATATGCATTTCCTCATTTGTATACTTATCCAGCCATTGATGCAAATAGTTGGTTAAAAGTCCTTAATTTTCTAGCGATTCAGTTATAACAGTGAGAGCTGGTTCATTAGACTGGTATTTGATGTTGTTGCTTTTTTTTTTTTTTTTCGCATTGGACGGCTTTTTCCTTTTCTTTTTTTTTTTTTTTTTTTTTTCGATCAACTGAACTCATTTTTGAACTTTTGTCCCGGTATTTTTTTTTTATCTGCCATTTATCTATTCATTTATTCATATAAACCCTATCTTTTTTGCTGAAGATGAATAATGTTTATTTGGTATCTAACTGACTTGTCGTTTCCTCTCTTTGACCACACCAGACAAAGAACCTCCAAAAACAGACAATTGCCCAGACAGTATATATGAAACCACAACGAGTCACAGCAAAGCTATAAGTTGGACCCCACCAAAATTTACCGACAATGTGGCAGTTGTGAAAGTGGCCTCTGATAAGAACCCAGGAAACACTTTTTCCCTCGGCTCTACAAATGTGAAATACGAAGCCACAGATGCTGCGAGTAACAGAGGAACTTGCACGTTTGTAGTCCATCTTAAACGTATGTAGCCACGATCAAGTATTGTGGTCTCTCTGCTGAGTTCCGCTTCTTTTCATAACCATTCATTTTCATCAACAAATCCTCTCCCCTCGACAACATTATCTGAACAAAGATAGGTTTAATATTTAATTTTCATGAAAGACTGTCATTTACAAATTTTTAGGGTAACCTATTACTTGCAAATCTACTTAGGGCGCTCTGAAATTTCACCCAACTCAGAGAAAGCGGTGAAGCCTACAGGTCTTAAAAAAATTTGCCAACGATTGGACGAGTGTTCAAATAATCTGTATTTTTTTTAAATTTATTTATTCATTAATCTATGTAAAATGTACTTTGAGTTGTCATACGATACAGTACACTCGTACAATACAAATCAATTACTCATCAATTTGTCATTCATCTACTTGCTTTCAGAAATCGGATGCACACAGCCTAAAAACCCAGATAACGCTAAGCTGAACTGTTTTGGTAGCTTCTGTACCATCCAATGTGACCCAAATAAGAAACTTTTCAAAATGGCTTTTTACGTATCATGTTCAACCACGACGTTGACGTGGGGTGAAATCCCTGACTGCGTAGGTAAACTGCCTATAAGTTTCTTTTGTTAGACATTTTATAACAATATTTTTTCGTGATATGACTAAGAAGTCGTTTTCCACTAGCATTCTTCACGGCAAAGTGAGAATATTATCTTGCAGTTATACTGTAAGAGACCATATATATATATTCATCAACAAAACTTTCTTTCCCCAAGAAATAACTCTTTTCATACCCTCTTTTATTCCCAATGACACACAGATCACGCACAGCCGGATGCCGAAGGTTCCTGTTCTAGCGGCTTTGTAAAACAAGGAGCAATAAATGGTGCAACCCCAGAATCCATCTGTGGTGAGTATCAATAGCTCGCTGTGGAGCGACGAGTGAAAAGGATTAATATGTAATATTTTTTTGTAAGATTCAATTCCCCGGTAAGGGTTATTAATAATAGTCAATTAAGAGTAGTAGGTAAAGGGGCATTGGCGTATAGTATCTTAGTATAATTTCTCAGGTGATTATAGAGAAATCTCGCTAGAATCACCTCTCTCGAGGTGACTATGGCATAAGCGCTAAACATCATGATGACTACCTTACTATTTGTAAATGTTTCCGAGGAAGTGATCGACGCGGTATACGAAAACTCAAATAAGAAGAGCAAAAAAGGTGCCATTGAGTTTGGCGGAATACTTTTCAAAAGAGAGATGTGAAGTTTTAGCTGATTCATTTAAATAAACCTGCTTAAACTCTTTGCTTATCTTGATACGAGTAATCACCACAATTGTAACAAAATACGCGCAATGCTTTATTTATTGACATAATTTACAACAGAATTCGAAAGCACCTGAGCAATTATACTGAAATAAATATTATTCGCCTTAGGCTCAGTGAACATTGTTGAATACTCCCCTCAACTTCGTCTCGGGTTTGTATTTCAATGTAGTAACGTACAATAATGTAAAAAATAAAAGAAAAGTAATAACCATAATGATGACAATAATGATGATGATAATAATAATAACCATAATAAAAAAAACAATAAATTATTCGTCTCTAAAAAAATAAGTTTAAATGATTTGATTAAGCTTTGGGCTCATTTCCTTATTTATTCTATTTATTGGCATAATCTTATCTCTTATGTACTCCCATTCGTTGACTTGCTCAATGGATTGGCTCACTTGCTGAAATACTTCCTAGCTTGCTCGCTTGCACAGGACGAAATTGCAAGAATCCGTAAACGGAAATGTGGCAGAAACATGTTAAACCGCTCCGGAAACACGACGGATAACCTGTGTTTCCGTTACCGGTTTCGTGACGTTTTCTCGCGTTTCCGTTGCTGCGTATACAACGGAATCGGACCACTTTTACGTAAACATAACGGAAACATGGAGTTGCATGTTTCCGCCACGTTTCCGTTTACGGATTCTTGCAATTTCGTCCTGTGTTGGCTCCCTTGTGTGATTACTTTCTTCGTGTTGCCTTAACCCTTTAACTCTCAGATCAAATTTGTAATTCTCCTTACTGTCAACCATACAATTCTTACAATGTTTGCTTAGAAAATTTAGTATTGGAACTTCTAATCATCCCCAAATTGATATTTTTCAATTTTCTCATCACTTATCTGGTTGATATAGTATTGATATTGTAAGGAGAAATTCTGTCTTGGTCACTCATGGGAGATTAACGGTTAAGTCTTTCTCACCATCCTTATCCTGTCCTTTGTTTTTAATTTCTCAACGTTTTTAATTTTCCCATTTTTTCTCCGAGATTTTCACAATTCGCTAATTCAGTTAACTCTATTAACAACACCATTAAACTTTCTTTTATACAGTGAAATGCCCGAGAGGTTACTTCTACGATACTAATACAAAAACGTGCGAGCCATGTCAAATCGGCTACATAAGTAAAGCGGAAGGCTCAATGCAGTGCGAAGCATGTCCGGCAAACAGTTCAACTTTAGAAGTTGGATCCAAAGTTTGCACAGGTAAATTAATTTGGTCAGATATATTTGCGATAAATTCTTTAGTTTGCACTGCTGGTTTATTTGTGCAGTTTCGTAAGTGAAATGTGACGTTGTACGGTTAGTGATGAGATTACTTGATAATCATTCATGACCTTGAATTAAATCAAAACAAAAATGGTAACAACAAAAACGAAAAAACAACAATAACATAAACAACTAACAGAAATAGCCACTTCAACAAAACAAAGAGAATGCTGAATAAGAAAAAAAATAGCTAAAGAAAAAATTACGGTAAAATAATGTAATTATGATGTAGTCTACCTCCAGTCGTTCACAGTGGCTGCAATGTCATTGCTCATCATGTGCGTCGTTGTTTTTATTTCTGCACACAGCTCAGTGTTACGCTGGTCATTTCTCCAACTCAGGGTTTGATCTGCAAGCAGATCTTGAACCCTGCGAGCCCTGTCAAGCTTCCTATTACCAACCTGAAGTTGGCAAAAAAAGTTGTGAGAAGTGCCCTAATGGTACCACCACCCTCGGCACGGGATCAACATCTGTCGCTTCCTGTGGAGGTGAACTTCATCTTTCATTAACAAAAATATAACAATTAATGAATGAATTAAGCTTACAGTGTACTTTTTAACCGATCCTCAAGGTTTTGAATGTCAATACATGTAAAGATATGCATTTTCTAGAAAGCATATTTCAACCTATGCCAGTATAAATTTTACCTCAATTAGCATTAATGTCGCAATCTTATAGGCCAATTTGCCATAGTCGCCGAAAGTACAGACAACGCTGCCAGCATCAAAGTGTCGCGCAATGGTCGTGCACCGAAAGAATCGTTTTCTTTGTTTCATTTCCTCGTCAGTCATCAACTATTTGACCGCTTTGATGACGAATGCCGTTGTCGATAAGCGTACAGACCACACTAAACCATTATCAATTTGTTCAGTGTACCATAGTTATTCGGCTACAAGACGCACTTAGTTATAAGACAAAAGGTAGTCTAACCATTTAAAAGTTGTCTTTAGATGAGCTAGAACTTGTCTGCAGACGCCGTTATTATAAAAACAACGGCAACGTAGTCGTTCACACAGATCTTTAACACTTGCGTCACAAACAATAAAACATCACCTATGTCAAGAATGTCATGTCATCACCAAGGTGCCTTCATCTTGCAGCAGAACACAATCACTGATCTTAAAATTAATAATGGTAATAGGACCGCATGGAGTCCAGTTCGGTCTGTGATTAATAAAATCGGATGACCGCGAAGCAGGACTTCGATTTGTTAATCGCGAGTATGATTACAGACAGAATTGGAGGACACGAAGTCAGGTTACCAATTAAAACCATGACAAAATTTGAGGAAGAAGCTAGACATCGGTTGTACGTTTTCATTAAAAAAAACAGTTGACTCGGCGAAATGATGACGCGTTCAGTCCAAATACATAGGCATGACCTGTTAACGGTCCCTTTAACTGTCCCATAAGACTGTGCAATTAAAGGCATGACGCGCACACTGTCCTATTAGTTCTCAAATCGGGCTGGTGATAACCAATACGTTCGAGAATTTTTTTCAGTTTTGATTTATATCTATAACCTTTTCTCGTCATAGGACCACCGAAGATCACACGATTCGAACCTAACCCTACCAATGCGACCGAAAGATTTCCGACCCAATTTGAATGCTACGGAGAAGGATTACCTCTGCCTTCTTTTAAGATCACCAAGGTTAAACCGGCACCAGGTATGACTGAATGTTGCTCATTAGCATAATGCTTCTTGAAACTTACCGCTCGATTGACTTAATGATACAAATTCTAAGAAAAATGCAACTAGCTACGCCACCGTTTAGCTATCACATATATGACTAACATAATCTGGATCCGTGAATATTTTAAAAGGATGTTAAATGACAGCTTTTTGTCCAATTTTAGATGGTTTTGGAGGCCCGTCTACTCAGGAGTACATCAAAGGTCCGGATGGCAACCAGATTGGTATTCGTCACATCATCAGCAAGGTTACTGAGCACGATGCTGGCGCTTACGAGTGCAAACTGGAGAATAAGTTTGGCGCTGATCAGAAGTACCTGTCTGTGAATGTTAAACTCAACTTCGATGTTGGTTAGTAAACATGATCCTCTCGTCTTCGTTGTGGTTTTTTTTCCTTGTTCGTCCATGTAATCGCCTTTAGTTTTCCAAGATCTCGCTGTTTATGAAACCTTCAAAAGGGTAGAATAATCAGCGGACATGACTGACTTATCACTACGCTGTCCAAAGAAGTTTTCCCAACTAAATGATGGACTTACCAGTAAGCCAAGCGCTTCTCTTATGGGACATTCTATAACTAATGGAACGAAGTATCCCAAAGAAACTAGTATGTGTGTCGGCGGGCATGTGAAACTTCTAGCTACGTATAAAGTAGCTAGCGCTAGAAGTTGATAAAGTTCAGATATCGATCACCATGACGTTTTGAGCATCTGCCATTCGTCAAAGCAACTAATTTCAATCAACTCTCCCTTTTGTTTGGTGTAAGAAAAAGCGTTCGTTTAAAGTGGGGTGTATCTCTGAGAAACATTTACACAAAGAGCCAGACACAAAGTTACTCAACATAAATCAGTTATTATATTACATTACACTACTTACTCCTTTTTTTCCTGTTTTTGCGAAATGCACCTTTGCTTAAAATTGAATCAGCTGAAATGAGATATACGTTCACAAAAAAAAAATTCATACCCACATTCCTCTAAAAAAACAGATCTGTGTCAAGAGAATAACAATTGTTTATGTTCTCTTGTCTGTATGACATCTAAAAGACGCACGAAATTCGTACAATCTAATAAGGGGTCACATTTTTGTTAAAATTTTGACCTCGAAAATGATCATGGTTGCCAGAAAGTTCCAGCAGTGATTGAGAGTTTTTCCGATGAATGTTAATGTGTCACTTTTATTTTTAGGAAAGCGCCGCCGCCGTCGTCGTCAACAAATATTACACTCTGCTTGATAAAAAAAAAACAGTTACTGGAGCAATACAACATGATTTGAAATACAAATTAAAGCTCGTCTAACTGAAGTGTCTGGAAAGTATTGTAGAACTTGTAGAAGAGGTGATCATTAAACACAACATTATCGTGTGAATTGTGGTTTATTTTCTTTAACAATTAATCCTTAATCTTGATACTTATTCCTCTTCAGCTAGATCTTTACAGGCGTTCATTTATTAGAATTATTTAGGGTGATGTGATACTCAAAAAGCAGAACTGTTACGAAGGTGTTGTTTTATCTGTGTCCGGTTTATTTCTTAGTTGCATTATAGTTCCGACAATTACGGATTGTTTAGGGGAAGGAGGTCTTTTGCAATTAACTTTCAGTCAGAAAAAAAGTTAGCAATGGGGACGATCCATAGAAAGAGTCGTGAATGGAAGGAATTACAACCTCATCAGCGCACCTAGCTTAGTCGGTTGTTCGAAGTAAGACGAGAAGTATAATCATAGCCTAGCCTCTTAATTTCGCTCAAGACGCGAAATTGAAAGAAATAATTTGCAGATACAAATTTGGCTCTTACTGTAGAAGACATAGTTGACGTAAAAATATAGAGGACGGAGAGAAAAAAGAACGAAGAAAACAGCGCAAGTTGTTGGTGTTTAAACGACTCTAAACATTCGACCTCGTCGCCTGAGAAGTTTGGCGGTATAGCAGTCGAAACGTTGCGATCTATGCACGCTTGATTAGCCTCGCTCTTACATCGTGAGACGAAATTTACGATTAAACGTTCATTTACTTATAAAAACCACTATAAGCAATAGTATTTTCCACACAAGAGCAAAAAGATGTTGTTGATTAGCAGCTGAACTGTATATTGTGTTAAAGTGCACTTACGGACTAAGTAAAACAATTCACGGTGGTAGTCTTAATATTTCAGTTAAAAAGTAGAATTTGCTTAATCTACTACGTCTAGTAAGTCTAGTCTAGTAATCTACTACTTTGCGCCTTTAATCTTGCCGCACTAATGCCTGTTTACATGGAAGTGGGGGACCCCAGTCAGGGAGGTAACCCGCCTGTCTTTATAACTTCTTATTTTGTCTTGATCGCGTTTACATGATAGGTGGGGTGACCCCACCTAGACCCTACCTGGTCTACCAGGTAGGGTAACCCTGTCAGCCGGGGTGACAATTTGCCAAGTATAAATGTCTGGTGGGGTAACTCGCCAAGCCGGGATCGCGTTCATGGCAAAAAACTCAAAAGCGCAACACGTATGTTTTAAAACTTTGTACATTTCCAAGTCGTCTCACGGCAAAAATCACCGGAAACCGCAACTGACACTCAAGGAGTGAAAAATGTTCACATTTTGGAATATTTAGCGTTGTAAATCGACCATATTTCAAACTATTCCTGATAACGCATTAAGTCAACGGTTCTTCACGTAACCGAACACCGCGTGACACAACGCGTGATGCTTTCATCAATAATTAAATGAATACGTGTCCGAGAATTTGTCTTTCGTCTTTCTCGAGACGTGAGCTTGGGACGCCTATGCTCAAAGTCCCTAATTGCGAGCGCAACAACAACCTCAAGAAACCTCACCTCAGCACCTCGGGGTTGTAAGATTGTATGTAAACGCGTTTTATTTTTTGACTACGGCTAGGCGGATTACCTCACCTACCTGAGGTCCCCCACCTCCATGTAAGTATTCCCTAATGGTTAGCCCTGGCACGGATAGAGTCCAAAGATTTCATGATAAATCAAACAAAACAACCGTCAAAGAAATTGTCAAAATACATGAATCAATGATGTAGCTAGCGTTTCCCTTTATTAAAGTTGTAAAATGCATCTATGAGTTTGCTTTATACGTTGTGCGAGATTAAAAGCCAAAATGTAACCCACTGCCAGTTTGCCCTGACCTCACTAATACATTTTCAAAAGTCTCCTTTGTCTTCTAAGCGAAAATGAAAAAAAAATGTCTTCGCCAAAACGGACTAAAACGATAAACAGAGTGGGACTTGGAATTCCGCATGCGTGAGAGCAATCATATCAGTTCATTTTTTCGTCACCGTTTTCACCTGTCCACACTAAAACGGAGTGTTTTAAAAACAATGCGTTTTCAAAAGAATCGTTTTTTGAAATCGTTTTAGAAAGTCTCTGTTTTCATCAACGTTTTCGGGCGTTTTAACGTGAATGACCGGCGAAAACGCACCAGAAATATGCGTTTTCAAACGAAAAGGCAGTAGTGTGGAACGTACCTTAAACAAAATTAACTTTTATAAGATTTAAAGCGACCAATATGTTTCATATTACCAGTAGAAAATTATTCAATTCCAAGTGAGGGAATAAGTGAGCTGTTTGTGATTGTCCCATGCATACAAAAGCTTTTCTTTGGGATTGTAGTCTACCATAGAATTGTATCCATACTGGTTCGTGAACTGTATATTGGGGTTCCATTGATTACCAGTCTTTGTGTCATAGGCAAAGTTGATGGTTGTGGGATTGCTATTATAACTGTCGATGCAGTAGATCACTCCACAAGCTATGAAGGCGTTACCCATCGAGTTCATACGTTCTGCGATAACAACCAACACAAAGAAATAACTTGTAAAATCAGTTGCCTCTCCTCTGTACTTCGAAATAACTTCGATTGAAAAGAAGTCAATTTCTCAGCAAAATAGAATAGAAAGTGAAAAAATCCTGAGCACCCTTTTAAGTGCCTTAATTTTGATAATAGTTTCAATTAAAATGAGAATTTAAGGGCGATGGTGAAGAAGCGGCGTGTAAAAAAAAAAAAATAATAAACGCGACCTAATAATAATAAAACCACATTGACTTTCGCTATAAAATTATAACTGTAATCATGTTTCTTTTAAAAAGATAAAAGTCGCATCCCATGAAGGAACTATTACGAATTATGAATTATGTTGCCTTTGATCTCTAAAATGACTTACCTGTAGCCAAGTTGTAGTTGTTTACTATGACATCCCCTTCAATCTTGGAGGCGGACAGTCGACTGCCATTCCCTGTGTTGCCCCACAATACCCATAAACCATTTTCGTCTACTGCCAAGTCAACCCCACTGTATCCACCCCACGTGTAGGTAATACTTCTTGGCGAGTATCCGCTTAAAGTAATATGGTTATCGATGTTGCTGGTGAACAAATTATACTTTATGATGAACTGGCTATTTTCCCTGCAATAGAATGAGAAAAGTTTCCAGAAATAGATTAGAAAATAAGCCGAAACACTTGCACTAAATATTCACGGTGGTGGGTTGCCAATAATTTAGTAATCAAATGAACCAAAAAATTCTCTTTTTTCAATTGCCCAGTGATCAAGGGAAGAAAAGTCAATCAAGGAGAGTGGGCGCAACGAATTCGTCTCCTATTTGTTTTGACTTTGAACTTTAACATTTTAAATTCTCAACAAGAATAAATAAATAACTGAAAACGAAAAAGTAATGAAGGTAGGAAAAACCTATTGTAATAGAGGTGATTTCCATACACCACTGCCCCTGTTCCATCCCATTTGAAGGGCAGAGTGTAATTCTTGCGGACCACTCCTGCTTTGAACTTGTTGAGGTTTTCAAATTCCTCAACGTTGTCGTTTGAGTAATAACTTTGCATGACGAATATGGTGTCGTTACCCATGACACCAAGAGGGTCTTTCATCCACGCTCCTTGAGTGGGAGATCGATTGTGTTGAGTAACAGGATTTCCAACACTCTTTAAAGTCAAAGCACAGCCAACTGTTTCATAAAAGAGAAAAAAAACTGTAAACTAGGTGTAATGCGAGACAAAAGCGCGCGCACATGACGCGTTCTGTCCACTTACATAGGCATGACCTGTTAACTGTCCCTTTAACTGTCCCATTACACTTCCAATCACAAGCATGACGCGTACACTGTCCTATTAGAGCTCAGATCGGACTGGTGATAATTAATCGAGAATTCGTTATAGTTTTGATTATTACCAATATTCCGTAGGCTTTCTTTATTACAGACGCTCTTTATCCCTTTTGTTTCTGATCTTTTCTTCATTTTTCTTCATACGTGTAACAACTGTTACATTTAATTATCACTGAAATAGATACTGACCTTTTTCACATCGATTCCCTCGATAACTTGGTGGGCAGGTACAGGTGTAGCCATTGATACCATCTACGCATGTCCCACCATTAGTGCAAGGGTTGCTTGCACACTCATCCACATCTATCAAATAATCATGCATATCCACAGAAGGAAAAACCATTATCTTAAACGAGTGGGTGTGATATTCCTGACTTGCCCTATGATTCGTTCAGTGAGTGTCATTTCTGTTAATGGTTCTGGAGAGTATTTTATAGAATATATACATCTCTAAGAGTTGTTTATTTACAAGTATATCTATCTGTCTATTCAAACATTAAGTACTTATTATGAGGCACGCCATCATTAGGGCTATAGCACGACTTAGAGTGAACAGCCCCGTAAACTTCAACTTAGATATTTACTTTTTCTATTGATCACTTCACTGCAGAAACCATCATCTCTATAGTTTTAACCGTAACTCTTTCAATAGTCTGAACAATCTCTCCAGAAGTGATGAAGAGCTCTGACCTCATGTGACAAGTACTACAAGCCACTGATATAGTTATTTTTATGAGGCGCTTAGAAGCTCATAACACTCTTCTTCACGGATAGCCCCCCTAGCCCTTGTCAAATTACGTTATATCCTTACAAGTACAGACTTTTCCATCTCCACTGAAACCAAGGTTACAAGAACAACTGTACGAGCCTTGAAGATTCTGACATGAAGCATTGACGGCACAGATAGGGACTGAAGCACTGCACTCGTCTGCATCTATATTCAGCAGAGGAAAACCGAAAAAACATGAAGAATCAGCTTTCAGAAGAATGACTATTACTATCAATTAGTCATTCCTTTCTACTTACTAAATGACTTCCCACAATCACCCCAGAACTAATTTCTAGCTAAATCTGTCTTAAAGTTCCAAGGATAAAAAGGATGCTGCTAAAGTTTATGGGGATTCAATGGAACTGTTGAGGATTTACTGTGTTTGCCACCTACAGAAAAGGTCACTCGCACGAATAGTGCAAAAAAAGTATCCGTCAAGTAGTTACCTTCTGTGTCCATGTCGCAGTAGGCAAGTACAGACTTATCTTTTACAACAGAATTAAGCCAATATTTCCCGCTAAACGCCTTTCCACCTTCACTTGCCTTGATTTCTTTACATGATTCAGCGGGCAACTCTGGAATGGAGCCCAAGGGGACTGAGAAAAGAAAGGTAAAAAGATCAACCTTTCTTTTCTAATTAAACTTCAACATTTTCCTTCAGAACTGTACATTTACCTCGTTCTCTGTCTCGTTTGAAATAGTATCTGTTGGAATCCGGTACAAAATCCTCAGGTCTGGCCTCTTGGATCCTATTGCTGAACTCACAGGTGGATTGAGAGAGAACATAATTGAAACTTTGACACGCGACGTCTCTGTAACAGGCCTTTAAACACTCATGACCGAGAGATACGCTCATCGTTTTGTATATGTGACTCTTCAACATCATGCCCTTGACAGAATATTCTGCCCCAGTCTTACATTCATGAGCACTTGTCTCATGCGAAGATTCGCAAAGCAACAGGAGAGCTGAGAGAAAAAGGAATAGCGCCATGGCAAAGCCTCTTTCCTTGATCTAACAACGACCTGAAATTATAGTAAAAAAATATAGATTGGTTTATCTTAATAATAACTTGATGAAATGAAAAAGCTCCAAATAAAGAACTTGTCACATTACGCATGGTCTGGCGGTTTTCGTGAAAACTTTTCACAACCCACTCACGGAAATATTTCTTAAAATCAAATATGCTGTTTTTGAGCTTCTTTATTTCATAGCTCTTACCCTCTATGCATATTTTTCTGTAAAAATAAACTTCCCATAATGACAATTGTGAAGATAATTATAACGTTTTGTTTTATTGAAGACTTCAACGGAAATAAGCTGTTGTTTTAGCTGTCAATGTGAAGACAAAAAATTTTCCCCCCTTCGTGAGACCTTGTTGATTTGCGATTATTATTCAGTTCCCAAATGAGGTTTTAAAAAGGACTGCTTTTTATTGAGACATTAAAGCCATTCTGTGTCCTGGCTACTTTATTTTTGTAAGCTTGTGGAAAAAATGAGATGATTTTACAATTAATAAAGACTGATTTTTGGCAGGAGCAACTGGTTATATTCAAGGTGGTTTGACATTATCATTTAGCTTATAATCTACTAGGCTTGTGTTCTCAAGAGCTATAGCAAAAACATCAAAACGTACCGTTATATTTAAGATCATATGCTGCATTACGTATAGACACTATGTCCCAAGTCTTCGTGATTACTATTAACTGCATAAGTGATTCGACTAAACAAAATCATATTTACAGTATCACGCGCGGGCTGTTTTCCTAGTGCCATGTATGAAAAGCAGCAAGTTCAAATCTGTACTTCTGTGGCAAATCCTTTGCGTTGACTTGAATGTTAAGTTTGTAATGTTGAGTCATAAAATCGCTACTCTCACCTGATATTTATACGCAGGTCCTTTGAAACGACACTTCAAGCTTTTAATACTTGTCACGGTATTATTTAGTAACGAATACGTGCGTTTTGGAATGGAACTCACAAGGAATTACTCAAGAACAGGACGAAAGGCGTCAATCTCGAGAAACTAAGTGTATAATTTGCTAAGATACATAAGCAATGACGTAACGACCTTCCCTTCCACCAAGATCAGAATGCAAGAAGTATTTCAAAACAGTGGTGTGTCGCTTCTAGCTGCCTAGTTCTGACAGTGCAGATGCATCTATCTCTTTGAGATAATTATTTACTTCGTTTAGATCATTTAATACGATTTCGACACTTTCAACTGGTTAATCCTATCATTTACATGAATAATTCAAAGCAACGAAAAAACTAATTAAACGGACGCTATAAAAATTTAATTACATGTTTGTAAGGTGTCATTCAGCAGTACTGAATTTTCGTGTATTAGAACAGTTTCCGTTTCTTAATAACCATCCTTTTCTTTTTGCAGCCCGATTAATTCTCCATTATCATAGCACTGCGTTATAATTATCAGAGTAGTTTTATGGACTCATTTTATACCTCATGCCAAGTTTAATTTATTTCGGTTCTATTTGTTCATAAGGGCGCCACTGAATAAAATTTTAATTACTTAGCTAACGAAATAGCAGAGATAAGATCGAGAAAGCGCCTTGAAAACCCCTCGATCTGCTTATCTACCTTGATAAAAGTAATTACAATGGACTAGTCATCGACAAAATATTCAAACGTTAACGATAAATACTTTCACATTCCACTATGACTAAGCCAAAAGTCTCAAGCGTAATCCATATTGCAAAGGCTAATATCTGTGGTAGTGGTTTCAATAGGTTGTTTAATTATTGCCACATGATTGCAAAAACAGTTTTAAGCGGGTGATTATAAAAAATTAACCAAACTCAAATACGTGAGGAGAGCAAAATATCAGTTTCAATAACTCAAGCTACTCTTCTTGCGCTTTCTGGTATCACATTAGAAAGGAATACATGACTGATATAAATTTTTGTTCACTTTTTTTAACTCAAAAACCGAGTTATCTCGCGGATAGAATAGATTGCTTTCCTAAAATTGACATATTGGGTGATGTTTTCTTAAATGAATAAAAATTCAATTTTGACGCAGTATGCACTTCAGCTGAATTTATCAATTCCAAACTATTTAATTTAGTCACACTTCCAGAAAAATGTGTCCCTAGCTTGACGTACACATTTTGAAACAACTAAAGAGTTCTAGGTTTAAAAAATAATTGTGTATATTTATATATACATTTTTGTTTATTTATTTTTTTATGTACACACTCACTTATGACCTTACCTTAAATCATGCATTTTACAATTTAGAAATTAAAAAAAACTGATATCTCGAAAGATTAAAATTTAAAGCAAGTTAGATTAAAACAAAAACAAAAACAAAAGAAAAATGACACGCAAAAAAACAAAACATGAGCTTTAATTGCAACTGTTTTAACTGAGAGAAGAACAAGAGATCTCTCGATAAGCGCCATGTTACTCAGCTTGACAGACCTTGAACAACAATGGAATTCTAATTCCTTACAGAAACCTCAAAGGAGGGCATTTGCCAGTAATGCTAGAAATGCCATGCTGTCCAATCGCTAAAAGCTAGATTCCCACAACACAGGTATTGCGGAAAAATTAAAAAGGTGTCGCTGTCCTCCTGCACACATGAATGTGAGGCAATGAATCTGTATTGTTGATTTCGCGCAGTTCTGGATGCTGCTCCGTTAAAGACATCATTCTTGTGGCAAATTCTGTCACTAAATCATTTCAAAAATATTTTCAAAGAAAGTTTGTTTCGCCTCAAACATTTCATTAGTTTGTTGTTGTTATTGTTGTTTTATTTTTTTCGTTTTTTTCGTATGTTCATTTGTCGTTATTTTCAAGGACATAAAACAGAATAATCAATAAAAACCCAAACAAAACAAAAAGCCGGAAAGACTTGCTTTGTTCTACCCATGAGTCCCATAGGAATTGAAAACAAACTGCTCCTCTGATAAAGGGGGTAGGTTTCTAAAGAAACTGAGGTGCTGCGTCGGTCGGAGAGTATACATGTAATTTAGTGTTAACAACTGAGTTGAAAATGTAAATTGGCCACCGTAAAGGGTAAATGACCAGTATTAGGTGTTACGTACACCTATAATGCATAATGCATAGTGCAGATTCATGATTGATGTCATGCGCTACCAACCTACACCGAAAAGCACATAAGATAAAAGAGTCTAATCTAGGTATCCCCGAGAACGATGGGGACAGTTTATTTCGATTTACGCGTCGAAAAAGTGCCTATCTAGGTTGAGTTTCACTCAGGTGAGAGACTGAAAATCGATGTAATTTTTAATCAGCATGTGCAGCTGAAACTACGTCTTGTCTTCCTCGGTGACCTTGCGTCCGTAAAATCATTTTAGATAGATGGTTCTCTGCCATCTATCTTGTTGTAGAAAGAAATTCGACCTTCGGAGGCTGCAAATAAAAACATCCGTGTAACTCCTCTCAAGCTTAAAAAAATCGACAAGGGACCAAAACAATAACTATTCCAAGGATTGATGAAACAGCGAAAGCAACGATAGCAACGTATCGGTATCTGGATTGAACCAATACGCACTCTAACATTGTTCCAACAAATGTGAAGCAATCCACAATGCATCAGTTGTTACCAAAAACTAGATAGAGCATGTACGAACCAAACCGACCCACACGATGAACGGCCGCTAAACTTAAACTCATGCTACTCATACTAACCGGTCCTCTTTCGTAAGAACTGGGACCCAAACGCTATTGATATCGGAAACAAAAGTGTTATAGGACAAAATCCTCCGACGCCTTGCTGATCGTGTCAACTTGAGACAAAATTCTCGGTAATAAAAACAATTCATATTCATCTGTACTACTTTCTATTAGTAAAATGACAAGAGTAATATCGCTGTGAAACTTTTTCTAAGTTCCATTTAACAGCGCGAAACTAACTTCATGCAGTTTTCAATATAGGGGATCTCTTTCATTTTTTCTAAAGCAGAGGTTATTTCAGAACAGTTCCTTTAAAACAGTTGACGAGCCTTTTTTTAAGCACTTTGTCAGTGAATAAAAATTACTTAACGTTCACGCGTACGTCGCAAAAATGCTACTTTTAATTGTGTTGCTTTTGGGATCAATCATGACGCGCATCTAAAATCTAATTGCGTCTTTGATGGCGAATAAATTGTAAGAGTTTACAAACAAAGAAGTATCTATCTACTTTCGGTAGTTTCTTTAGCATCAACGATAACGTTCAAGATTATAATTCTCTACGTCATCATCGTATTGTACGTGGCTATTGTTACAGAAAGCCGCGTCATGCAACGAGGGAAATATCTTTAATCTCATTTTCTTTCTGTATTGTTCCTTCATCTCCATGGTTATTATGACTTCTTTTACACATTCAACATTTCCAGTTATTAGCTCTTATTATTATTTTTTTTTTCTTATTAGAATTTTTCCGCTTTTCTATAAATTGCAGTTACATATCAAGATTTCTCGGTCTTCCTTTTTACAACTGCTACATTTTCTAAAACAACCGCTGGAAGAAATGTACTCGAACAGAGTTATTTGAATATCTGTTATTCACAAACAGCCTAACATGTTTCTATAGGGAAAAATTGAAGAAAATGAGCTAAATTACTTCAGCGAAGTCTGAAAAGGATATCTAATTCTTAATTTTTAATAATAAAAAAAAAACTAGGGGGTTATCAATTCCATTATTAGATTCTAATGAAATTTTCCTGACAAAAACAATCAAATTTCATTTTGAGTGATACTTGCTACGAAACATTAAGCAAGGTAATTCGGCCACAGTCACGTTCCTAAGTCTGTAAAAAAAACTGCAACAGTAAGTTGACTAAGAATGATGTATTGCCCAAGTACTTCAGATTGTTAATCAAGACTTTTCAACTGTTCAGTATGCTGTAAATGAATTCGATCCTAGGCTGAACAGAAAGGTTGAATTTTCATTTAGCAATCTTTCTTCAAAGTAACAGTTTCGCAAAGCAAATGATGATTTTCTTTTACGATTGTTAATGACCCAGGCGAGCAGCTATACAAACTCATTAAGAAAAGTGACACTTTTAGTACGCAATCTAGCTTTTATCTTCACGGTGTGTCATTTTCATATTCTAACTAATTCCTGCAAGATTGCAGTTTTAAAGTACTTTTCTTACAGCATCGTCATTTCGGGAAATAAGTAAAGCTTAATTTAGGGAAATAAAACCAAAACGAACAAGGATTAAAGAAGATAACACTGAGACATTGACACTAAATAATAATGTCTGCTAATAAGCATTGTTCCCGACCAAAAAAAAAATAAATTTTGAAACTCACGACGTGGCTGTTACATAAATTTCTTAATTAACACTTAATTCCACTGAGAGAATCAAGGAGAGGAAAAGTGAAAGGAGAAAAAAAGAAAATGCAGAAAGAAATACTACTTTTTTAATCGTGATAGGGCTGAGAAAATGTTTGGAACGCAGCTGTTTCATGAGCGTGAGAAAATGTCCCAAATCACAGATATTGTTTGGAATTATGGATCTCACAGCTGAGTAAACCTGACATTTGAATGAATTAATTAAGTGGTTGGAGTTTTATGAAAGAGGCAAAGAAGCATACTCCAACTACTCCTTTTGCTAAGACAAAAATTTTCTGTCTTAGCGATCAAAAACAAATCATGAAGGACTGTTCTATCCTTCTTTCACTGATCGCTTTTTTCTGCAGCTCCAAGGTAGATGCCGGGCTTCTAGATGACCAAGCAAAAATTCTAACAGATTTTAAGTCGAAGTACAACAACAGCCAGTCTGACATCATTTTCCTTATGGATGTCTCCGGTAGTGTGAGTGACTATGGCTTCCAATCGGAGAAGATTTTTGTCGAAAATCTTCTCAATGAGTTCAGTGTGGCCCCTTATTCGACGCGAGTTGCCGTTATCACATTTGGTGCCGAAGTTAAGACGGATATTAACTACATCGACATTAGTCCGTTATCAAAATCGCATCAAAAGTGCGAGTTTCACCCTTGGTTTCAATACAACGTTAAGCATCGTTATGGATGGGCCACCAACATGAAGGACGCCTTCCAGAGAAGTATAGATGTCCTTCAACTAGCCATGGATCACACACAACGGAGGAGTGGGGTACACACCGTAGCAATCCTGATAACAGACGGATGGTGGAATAGAGGGAGTCCGGTAGATAACGCGAACAGACTTAAAAGCTCCTACACGACGGACGTAATCGCCGTAGGAGTGGATGGGTACAATCAGGGACAGTTACAACAGTTGGCAACCTCAAATGACCTTGTCCTTGGCTTCAGCACCTTCACGAAGTTTCGAGAACTTGCAATGTTTATTAGAGGAGGTAAAGATTGTTGTCAGTCCCTCAAATTTTTTCTTTTTTTTTTTCACTTAAATATTTTTTCAAGACAAATCCGAATTTAAAGAACGAGGAACAAAAACTAAAGGACTGAATGCTAATTTCTCTTTTCAGAAAAGGTTTTTTGAAACGAAGTAATGTCCTCTTTCCTTTGCGCCCAATTTCCTAAGAAAAATCAAATAATTGAAAAAGAACTGTACGGTATTCTCTCTAGTTCCAGACTGAAGAACTTAAAAACATGTCACGAACGGGCTGTGTTTGGAAGTTTCCTAAGTAGCGGAATTTCGGATGAAACAAATCCCCAGCTTTAACTGCTTCTTTGTCGTCCATGAAATGTTTTTGCCCAATTGTAAGGAAATCCGACAATCCACAAAATTGTTCGAGTTTCCTTTCTAATCAGTGCACGTCGAAGTGAACGACAATGATATAAATGGCAACAACTCCCCAACATATTATTATCCTTATTTGGAAAGCTAAATTCTATATTATTACTCAACTTTTATCTTTTTTTTGTATTATTTATTAAGAAACCTGGCTTAGCTACAATTTAGTATGAATTACCTATTACATTCTTGTTCCTTAAGACTACAATTCACTTTTACTCATCTATCCTAAATTTCTCTAAGAACAATTTCATTAATTAAGTTTCATACAATTTGTTTTGTAGCCGCCTTGTTAGGATTCACTTTTAAAATGTATTTTAGCGAAGGGCCTCGAAATATTTAGAAGCTGTTCATTGTGCGAATATTATTTTTGGCAGGTAATTGGATTTCCCAGTGATACGATCAATATTTTCCGGCTGTATAGGACCTTAAGAACTATATTTGTTTCAAGAGAAATGCGCCAAAAATGACTGCCATAAAAATACTAGCCATCACAGTTTGTTTTAATCGTTCGAGAGTGTCCCGGGAAACTGAAAATAACAGGATGACAGGATCAGTCCATTACATAGATAATAAAGTACATGAAAAAAAATGATAAAATACGCGCTTCTGATTGGCTGAAAACAACTGCATTCTCATGTAACACGGGTGCAAAGTTGTAACGCAAGTGCAAATTACAAATAGCACGCGCTCGCTCTGAAAGTTTTGTCTGTTTTCCCTTCTGTGATTTTTTTATTGTAAATTATTGACAAGTAATATAATTATTTCTCTTGCAATTTGATGTAATTAACAATTGTAAATTTTTAGACTGCAATTTTGCCGTCTTTGGAAAATTTACTCGTGCTTATGGACACCATGCAAACTGCACACGAAATCATGTTATCATCTATACTAATAAATTCCTGACAGTATCTATGAATATCTATGATGATAATTACCCTACAAGATGGCAAGATAAAAAATTTTATACATTCATCTCATCATTTTTTTCCTGAAACAGACGCTCACGACAAAACGTTTATGGAAGTAGACTCCAGTAAATGCACCTCTGGCGGCTGTGATCCCAAAGCCTTCTGCGCTTGCGGTACAGTCAGTGCAGAGTACCAGTGCGTCTGCAGACAAGGATATCGTGGTGCGGGCCTTGCAAATGGCGAAGGCTGCTCTCGTAAGTTCCTCTTAATTAATTATCTTGAGGACGATCATTATCATCGTCGTTTTATTGATAATGTTATTGTTACTGCTGTATTTGTTGTTATCGTTTTTTCTTTGGACTTATGTATTTCCTGTTTTGAGCTAGATCGTTCGACCTTATCAAACTTTGATAATTTGGTTTTTATGCGTCCTCGCTGTTACAACTGATTCCCCATAGTTCTTGTTTTATTGTTTTTTCAACAATTGAGTTAGGTTCCCAGTAGTCGCCTCCCCAATTTTTGTTTTGTTTTTTTTTTTTTTTTTTTTTTTTTTGATTGGTAGAAATGCCTGACTTTTAACAGATCTTCTGGTTACTCTCCTTCTCCATTATGGATAATATCTCACAAAACTGATGGTTGAATTAAGTCTCTAATGAACCGCAAAGAATGATTAACTTATTCAGTTCTACAGTAATCATGATAAGCATCACACAAAAGGCAGTGTTCAAATTTGTCTAGTAATGGATTGGTACATAACCAAACGCGAAGAAAAAGAAATCCAAAATTCACTCCATCTAGTATTGATTGTTAAAATTGTGAGATTGTTTTCCTTCTTCTAACAAACTGGTATGAAAGGCATCTTCTTCAAAATATTATTTCAGCATGAAATGTTACTTGTTCCAAAGCAAACAAGCATGAATTAATAAAAGCATTTTTTTTCTGAAAATGAGTGCTCTTCTTTTCAGCTTGTCTACGTGGAACTTACAAACAGTGGGCTACTCCGAGTGAGTGTATTGCGTGTCCAGAACATTCTACGACAGATGCAGAAGGAAGCATACTGAAAAGTCAATGCAAATGTCACGATGGGTACGAAGGCGACCCCTCGAGAGACATCGCTTGTACAGGTAACGATAACTCATTGAAAAAGGAACGAACACGTCTTAGCCTTAAAAAAAAAGCACAGATTTGCGATCTGATCACTACACAAAAGTGTGCCCAATAGAACACAGCGGTCAAACGTCGGGCACACGCGAGGGGATCAGTTCTGTACCCCGTGCTCTAATTTTCCGCGCTGAATTTCAAAGGAAAACTGCTGTCTTGCAAAGCAAGCGAAAGCAAAGTAAAACCTGCTTAGAATTATTTAAAAGGAAACAAACGTGGACGAAAGGAAAACTGGAGACTTTTCGAACCCAAAGCTCATTCAACTGCGAGTATCCTGTTGTTACTATTCTGTTTTGAGCTTCACTGAATAAGTTCTACGCATCTTAACACCATAATTTATCGGCTTGTGTGCTTCTTTGTAACTCGTGTGAGACAACTTGGTTCTGACAGTGGCTAAAGGGGAGGGGTGGGGGGCAGCAAAAAATACTGAGAAATGGTAGGAAATCCATCCGTAGGGGGGGGGGGACAGGGTCTTTTTGAATGTTCACCCCTTTCAGTATCATTTTCCATAATAGATGGAGCTCTATTTTCCATAACTTACGGACGCAATATTTCTTTTTATCAGTCTCTGCAAGAAAAGCAGACCTTTTAAAGTTCTCTGTTGCCTACTCACCGGAGAAATAGTTTACTATGAAGGAGTTCAAGGAGTATCATTTCCGCAAAGTATTAGAGCTCCTAATACTTCTATTTCTGTCCATTTTAGCCGTTAAGTGCGAGGAGCTCCTAGCACCTCCGAATGGCGGTTTCCTTGCAGCATGCGACGTAGTTTATAACAGTGTGTGTGAATTCCAGTGCGATTCTGGGTACAATCTTGTTGGGTCGAGCTTACGAAGATGTCAGAGTAATAAAGAATGGAGTGGAATAGCAGTGCAGTGTGAAGGTCAGTGGACTCTTGACTCTCATAAACTCACGTGATCCATTCACTAAAATAAGCAAGCAACGTTACTGACTTGTTTTATTTTTCCTTTCTATTTCTTTCCAGTTATCACTTGCGCAGTTTTGCCAACACTAAACCACGGTACCAAAACATGTTCTGGCAAAGGATATGAATACGGAGATACTTGTACTTTCAGTTGCGATGAGGGGTATGAACGCAAAGGAAGCGCAACTAGAACCTGTCAGGCTGATTCCCAATGGTCTGGAAGCGCAACGTCTTGTGAAGGTTTGTCAAATTAATCTCCACCCGAGGAAGTGGAAATAGGAGCAAACCAGGCAGAGATATGTTAGGAAGGGTGACTGAGAAGTATAAAGGCTGCATATGTGCAGTCACATGGTAAATCAAGTCAAACCCTGTGAAAGTAACAGAAAGTAACGGACGCGTGCGTTAAAAAGTATTACGACGTCGTTAGCGCCACGTAAATATTAGCTCCTGGATGCCACATACCCTGAGGCTTTCTTAACACCCCAAGATTGATTTCTATCTTCGTCTTATTCGCTGAGATTTGGGTGGAAGTCGATCAATGGGTCTCAGAGATTTTTTTCATAGCACGGTTGGGATGTGAGGATTGGCTACAAAATTACATTAAACACATGTTTAATTTTTTTTTTTCATCAAATGTGAAGCTCGTAAGTGCCCAGCTCTTCGTCAGTTAGCTTTTGGAACCATTGAACCCGTGGATTGCGTAACGACACCGCAGCCTTATCAACGAGGATGTACCATGGCGTGTGTTTCCGGCTACACCATAAAGGGAGACAGCAACTTGCAATGTGGGTCAGATGGTAATTGGGTTGGAACTTTCCCCATCTGTGAAGGTATTTTGGATCTTATGTATATCTGGTATGGGACGAGTAAGGTACGAAAGGGGTTGTTGAGGGTAATGTAGCTATTATCCATGCTACTTTAGTTCTACAGTTGATGCTCTCTTTTAAAAGAAACTAACGCAAGTTTTCAAATAAATTGTAGGCTTTGCTTCTACAAAATAAATCATTGATGAAATTAAGAGATCCTCGCAGCTAAGAACACTACTGAAACGAGTAGTTGTAAATAGGACCTGAAAAAAAATTCAGGCCCGTACGGGATTTGAACCCATGACCTCTGGGATACCGGTGCAGCGCTCTACCAATTGAGCTAACAAGCCAACTGTCATGGGTTCAAATCCCGTACGGGCCTGAATTTTTTTCAGGTCCTATTTACAACTACTCGTTTCAGTAGTGTTCTTAGCTGCGAGGATCTCTTAATTTCATCTCTCCACCGCAGTGCAAATATATGAATTTAAATTAATCATTGTTATAACTTACCGTGCTTTTTGCTATGCTGCAAAACATCGCCTTCATCGGATGTGTCTCATGCTTTGCGTATGTCTAGTATTTGGCCTTCTTATCCTCAATCGTTGTTCATTTGTTCTTGTCCAGTTGATGATTTCAATTCTCGCCCATTTTTGTTTGACAGTTTAGCAGCCTTTCAAGCCCTAACGTAGCTGCCATTGCATATTGTTTCTATTATAGATCTGCAACCACCATCCATCACCTGTCCACCCAACGTGAATAACGGCACGGACCCCGAGCGGGCGACACGGAGCATAATCTGGAGTGATCCTGTTGTCAGTGATAATGCAGAGTTGCACGATCCGAATGCTGCTCCAACAGTTACTAGATCGCCTGACATCATATCCCCGTACGACTTTCCCATTGGCACCACTCGCATTACATATACTGCAACGGACAAAGCCGGCCTAACCCAGTCATGCGTCTACACAGTAACTGTCTTGGGTTAGTCATCAACAACCATCAAACGAGAATTCTCATTTCCTCTGTGTATATGTCCATACATATTCTGATGACGCTTGGTGCGTCTCATGTTGATGTTCCACAAATGTTTAATCCCTTATTCCAAGTATCACCAGTCTTGATGTTCCACAAATTTTTTACCTTGTTATTCATCTTCCGTTCATTCATTTCCAAATGTTTGTATTTGGCTAGTTATTGATCAATGCAATTGTTTATTAACGTCTTCATTCATTTCTTTATTTGTTGATTGACTTTTTCAATTATTTTATTCATCTATTCATTAACTTTTTCTAACTTAGATAACGAGCCTCCTGCAATCTATTGCCCGCAAAACATGGAGGTCAAAAAGAAGAGTGACACACCAGCTATAAAGGTCTATTGGCCACCACCGACATACCGAGACAATTCCGGACAGGCCGTCACCATCTTTACAGAGTCCATCAATGGCTCGGATTTTAGAACCGGTTCTCATCCGATCACGTACACAGCAACAGACCAAAATAACAATAAAGGATCGTGCACGTTTATTATTGTCATTTCCTGTAAGTTTGAATTTTGTTTTGTGTACAGCTTTTATACCGCTTCGAGAAAGATTGTCAGAAAACAAGCGTGAGAGTGCCTAGGATAATCCCGGAAGGTATTGAGGGTACTTTTCAGGTCACGGTTCCCTGACTTCAGGATTTCAGGGAAATCTTAGGAAACCATACCATATTAAAGAGACTTCGCGGGTTTTGATGAATTTATTCATGTACTTATTTATTTATTTAATTATGAAAATTAATTGATTACCGGATACCCAGATTACCTCTCGATATTGTCGAGCGTAATTCATGTCCTTTCTCGAAACATATGGATAAAGGGGGTAAATTTCTAGAGAAACTGTGGTGCTGCGTCAGTGGGAGAGAATAACAGGGTAATTAAATATTATCACTGAATTGATATTGTGAATTGGCCACCGTGAAGAGTTTTATAGTTGACGTTTCAAGCGATAGCCCTTCATCAGTTGTAGCAGCGATTCCTTTGTATGATTATGCATATAACAGGTCCACTTTCAAATAATTAATGCAAGACAGTGATCGTTAAAATGTAAGTAAAACCTAAGGAAATTGTTAATGAGGAATGGGGAGGGGGTGTGGTTTAGGGTACTCGGCCGGTGAGAAGTTATTATCCCTGCTGTAGAAGAAATCATATGATCTAGTCATTTGCAAATTACTTGAGAAGATAAAAATTAATTTTTCAATCGACGTTTTTGTTGGAGTTGCCATCCTTACAGCTTAAGGTACACGAAGTTGAAAGCAAACGGAGGCGGAACCAGCCTTCGCGAATAAAAGCTAAATAAATGCAATACAAACCAGCAGGAATCCAAACCCTCCAAACTGCCACTAAATTTAAAAATTTGGAGTAGCTATCATAAAAAGTTCATGGCGTTAAAGCAAATAACATTCGATCTTAATCATTTCAAACTTTTCAATACTTTTCGCATCTTGAGACTCTCCTCAAAGAACATCGCATTAAATTTTGAAATAACTACATCTTCTCTTGTTCGTAGCTGTGAAATGCAAGCCCTACGATCCACCAATCAATGGCCTAATTTCCTGTGCTCAGTCTGATATCTTTGGAGGAGAAGCGTGCACACCCCAATGTAGCAGCACAAAAGAATTTGCCCGAATCCCGGCTGTTTTCTACATCTGTCAAAGTAGTGGCAATTGGTTTATCTGGGATTCCCGTCCCACTGTATCCTTGGAAATGCCGTGGCCTGACTGCACGGGTACGTCGACTGACATTATTTGTGAAAAAAATTCTTCAGTTTACGCTGAAACTCATTTGAAAAAATCACAGGCAGCGAACAATTAAAGAGCATGCACGCGGTAGTCACCAAAAGTGACAATCAGATAATTTAATGAAAGCTATGTAAATTAACCAATGCGAAACAGATGAGGTGAAAGTTCAATCCTTAAAAATTATACTCGTTTCATTGAATCTTTGCTCTTATAACCGCCATGGGCGAAAGCCCACCATGATGACAGCAGATGCATTCTATTTCAAACCAAATAGGAAAATCAAAAAACCAACTAAGGAACACATAACGCAGCAAGAAACGGAACTAAACGAACTACGGAACGAATGTGAAAAGGAACGGTAAAAGAAAAAATAAATTGGTGCAAAAAACCACCACAACTGAGCACTTGAGTGTCGCAAAACCTAACCCAGAGAACCCCAACGAATTGAACTTGCTTTTAAGGACAAAGCTCAGTAACTGTAGACGGCTGCCGTACAAAAGTTACATAAAACGCAGTGAATTGACCAAAAACTCCTGTAAGTTGAAGAACTTAATACAAACATCAACAAAGGGGTGATTAGAAGATGCAAATTTAGATGAAGTCATTGTCATTCTTTTAAATATTTACACAAAAAGAGATTCAGGAAGGCATTCACAAGTTCACAACTTTTTCTTGTAAAAACCCTCAGACTGAAAACGTTTATTTTATTTTTCAGAGGAGTATGTTCCAGGTGCTGCACGCAAAGGCATGGAGTGGCAATACTTTGTCGGAGACTGCTCAGATCCCGCGGTACAGCAACAAGCTAAAGAAAATTTCATAAAAGGATTTAATGAAGTGTTCGCTCCAGGTGACCCTAACTACTGTCAAAGGGAACAAATATGCACCTTGGAAAATATCAAAATTACTTGTGGAAAGGTTCAGAGGAGAAAGCGAAGAAATGCACAAGTAAGCAAATTATTTCTTTACCGCCAGTTCGAACCACTTAAAACATACATTATAATACTATACATAATACGCATCGCCATTGATTTTCGTGCCTATGAGTTAGATTTTTTTTTTTGGAGTCTAAGCGTCCTATGGAGATTTTAATAGGGAAACTCTGGCCATGGTATGGAAGCTTTGCAGAAGCGACTGCTACAATTAAAAGTCGATCAACTCAATGCAAACATTTCCTACTATGTGTTTATTGATTCGAGTGCTTCTACGATCTGTTTTTACATCATGGAATTTCTTACCGAATTGGTTTAAGTGTCTAACTTATCTCGTCATTGTTTTAGGCCGTCCTAACCATCGAACTCGATGTTGAGGTTGTTACGCAGAACAACGATTTCGACAAGGCCAAGTCCGATTTGGAGGGTAACGTAACAAACGCGAAGAACGCTAATTCAATGAAGACAATTCAGGTTAATTCCCAGACAATGACGTTGAAGACTGTGACGGAAACCCCCACAACTGGAGTCTGCGTCGACGGAGGCGTGTTTGGTCTCAATCAAGGCTTCCTCCACAAAGAAAAATGTCGTAAGTAGTCTATAATCTGTGTACTTCTTCACAGATTATTCACAGTTTTCACTCTTTCTCTTTTCCTTTTTTTAAACTTTATCGATCCAGATGCAAACAAACCCTGAAACCCATCTTCGTGAAAAGAGGCGAATCTGAATAATCTTCATGACATAATTCTTTTTTGGTGTTAAATGTTCTGTTTGCCGGTCGATATCGGCACGAGAGCAGTGTATAGGAGGGAAGGGAGGGGAAGGGGGGTGTTCCACTTCTTAATATTTTAGCATCGCTCCGACGGCATTACTCAGATATTGCACTGCATGAGACAAGATCGCTAATCTAAATATATGTGGTTGTCTTTCTCCTAGAAAACTGCCCGTCTGGCACATACTATGACGTTAACTTTAAAAACTGCTCAGATTGTCCACTTGACACATACAACACATACACTGGTCAGGTGGGCGAGTGCAGGGTTTGTCCTACGAAGACTTATACCCTTGCTGTTGGGAGTAAAAATATCTCTCAATGTTTAGGTGAGTATAAAAAAACTCCTTTACAGAGTTCAATCTAAAATGTCACGAAAAAGATCACATTTTGTAATACTCCTTCTCGCTTCTTGCCATGGAAACTGGGATAGGTACCAGCTGCATGGGTCACTTGCTTCAAGTAACGTATAGACAAGTAGTTATTTCAAAACTTTTAAGAAAATTGATTATCTTTTACTGTAGCCGCTTGTCAACCTGGAGAGTTCTCACCCACTGGCCTCGCCAACTGTGCACAATGCCCCTTAAATACTTACCAGTCTCTTCTGCGACAGACGTCGTGCATTGCCTGTCCAGGATCATCAGTCACTTTGGGATTTGGTACCAACTCAATCAGTGGATGCGGAAGTAATTCTCTGTTTTAGTTTTGATGTTGTTGGTTTTTTTTTCTGTTTGTATGTTTGTTTTTTGTGTATGCGTGTTTTTCTCTTTACGTCGTTTATTTTCTTCTTGTTTTGTACTCATTCATACGTCCATTTTTTAATCGAGAAGACAAAAAATTTTACAGTTGTAATCATCATCATCGTTGACATTACGATCCGTATTCATTTTCATTACCAATTCACCATCATCCGGTATCGTCACTTCCATTATAATTATTATCATCACGATTGTTTTTATCGTTTTTATCATCGTTATTGTAATTATTCTTGTTAGTGTTGTATTTTCATGTGAGTTGTTCTCGTAGTTTTTTCCTATCGTTTTTACCGACGTCCTCGTTAGATGTTATTGTTGTTATTCTTGAGATGTTCCTGATTTCCTGGATCAAGATATGCTAATGAAGGTTCTATCAAGATGAAAAAGGTGGTGCGGTTATTTCGAGCAGGAAACCATCTTCCTACAATGGAATCACTAGAAACAAAATCAGTAATCCCGAAGACTAGCGTGCTTTCTCAAGATTAAAGAGAGAGATGCCATCCAATATTGTTTCCAACGCCCATCAACAGGGTACCTTTAAAGAATCACTCACGTTTCATTATCAATTTCAGTGCCGTGTGCTCCTGGAACATATTCTCAGACCGGTGTTGAACCCTGCTTACCATGTGCTCAAGGGACTTATCAACCCGAAAGAAAGCAAACTAAGTGCTCATCATGTGACAACAAATCAACTTATGGTCAAGGTGCTTCATCACCGAGCCAGTGTATCGGTGAGTGGCATGATCTCTTGCAAACCACTATAGACTGCTGATAGAATTGACTTTCCATGATTTCTGAATTGTGTCTTGTGCTGTGGAAGATACTTCTGTTGCATTGTAAGGAGATGTTATTTATCTTACTTATCTCGAGAGAATAGCCGTAATCAATTTTAGAACAAATATGTAATTTATCCAACTCACTAACATCACTTCACATGACAGCGATTTTGAGCTGTGCGTCCAGTCCATGCAACAACGATGCTACGTGCGTTGAAGTGGCCCAGGGATACAAATGCAATTGCAAACCAGGGTTTACCGGAGCAAATTGCGATATCGAAGAGGATGAATGTGTCTCAAGTCCGTGTGCTAAAGGATCTACTTGCGTTGACAAGGTAGGTGATCAAGCCTTTGATGTTCTATAGTACATGTCATCTTCCTTATTGCTTTCTGTTTGGATGTTAAAGAACGATGATAAAGGTACGCATGCGAAAGACGAGTATCTAAAGTTATGACCTATAGAGAGCGAAAGTGGATGAATTAATATTGACGATTCAGGTAACATATAATAAGTACGTATTCTGAGATGTAAGGGTGCAAGGCTATCTTAGCATCAGGCCTTTCCTTCCCAAGAAGAAAAGTGGGTAACAATTATATTCGGTATAGCCCAGCTTTACCTCTGTGAAAAGAGAAAGAAGAAAAAGAAAAAAAAAGTCTTAAGGGTACTTATCTTTAGTTTACACTTCTTGGAACCGTTGTACGCTAATTTAACTTCAGCTTCTTACCTCTCTGTGCGATGTGTATTATGTTTATAACTGAGGTCGATGGTGATTCGACGGCCATCGATCCTTTTTGTGACAAACCTAAATGCTAAATGTGCAACTTATCAACCAATTTTTCTCACAGATAAATGGGTATGAGTGTTTGTGTCCTCCTGACTACACTGGAGCTCATTGTGACGTCAAACAGAGTAGCTGTGACAGTAGCAAATGCGCCTCTGGTTCACAGTGCGTCAATTCCCCAGATGGACACGAATGTGTCTGCCCAGATGGATACGAAGGACAATTCTGTGAGACAAAAATCAATGTACGTCAAAAAAGACAAAAGAAAGCAGTATGGTAACACCAGTGACTGCAAAGATGTGTGCGTCCGTATTGAAGAATATTATGACAAATTTAGCAAATAATTTGTGGAAAACTAAGAGAATTATAAGGGCTTACTACCTTTTCTCGGGAGGTTCGAAACGTCAATGCTGTGCAAAAGAAAAAAAACGTGCCTCGTCGCCTTTAGCTAGGCCAGCCTTAAATTCACTTTTTTGGAGAATATTCAGTTCGCTCTGTTGATCCTAACATCGAAAAATAATCACGCCATCTACTAGCATGCATTACTTCATGATGTATTTTATATCCTTAGCCGGCGGGAATCACTTAATTGGCTCTACAACAAGGAACATGAAAACGTAGGCAAGACCACTTTACTGCAAATGAGGCACTGACATCGAATTAATAAAGTTAGATAAATATTTGATAAATTGTTTCCAACAATGACGAACAATCCCTAACAAATTAGTCTCTGGGACCATACGAGATTTTTTTCTAGTCGATCACGGCTTGGTTCATTTTTCTTCTTTTGTTACATAGGATATTTCATTAACAAAAATATAGCCAGATATTGACTGGTACTCTTTTGTTTCCACGTCCAAGGAGTGCAAAGCAGCACCATGTAAGAATGGTGGAACTTGTTTGAGCAAGACCTCCGCATTCCAATGCACCTGCCCCTCAGGCTTCAGTGGAAATCTATGCGAAAAGAAAGACAATGGCTGTCTTCCAGACTCTTGCTTGAATGGCGGGACTTGCAAGGAAACCAGCTATGGTCCAGAATGCACCTGTTTGGCAGGTTTTGCAGGCACAAAATGCGAAATTAATATTAATGAGTGTTCAAGCTCACCATGCCAGAACAACGGACACTGTGTTGATCAAACAAATGGTTACAAGTGTTACTGCAAACCTTCCTTCAAGGGATCTAACTGCGAGACAGGTATTTGAAGGGATAACGCCAGGGCTTTCAAAATTGAAGGAGTTTTTTTTTTTTTTTCATCATTTATAAATTTGCGAAAAGGTTTCCACCAGAATTCAAAACTTTCTTTTGACACGGCTATTACCTGCTTTCTTTTTTTTTTTTACTTAATTTTCTTATGTTTTACTAATAAATTAGTTTTCAGTAGAAAATAGCTTACCAGGAACATGCCTCAATTGGTGAACCAGATATTTAAGTCGCTCCGAAAGAACACTTTGCTTTACTTTAGTTCTTGAATTAGCTTTGCACCTCACATAAATCATTCGTTATTTTACTTTGGCTCTAGCGACTTCTACAAAAGCATAAATGTTAAAACCTGTTTAAGATACATTAGCATATTTTTCTCACAAAAAGCATTTTTTTCAAGAAATTTCCACTGACTTTGACATGGAGTTCGATAGAAAACTGGGTCGTGGATTAGCTATCGTGGAAATGCGTCAGGAATTGAGAGCGTTTTCTGTCGCTTTCTGGATGAAAGTTGCCAACAGTGAGGTTAATCCTGGAACACCTTTATCATATGCTGTCAAAGTGGGAGGTATGATAATATTTCCTATTTGCTGATCATAAACAATTATTAGATGAGTTTTTTGTGATATCGAGGGATCTCTACGAAAGCATGAAAGTTGAAACCAGTTCAAGATACATGAGCATATTTTTCTCGGTAAGGGTTATCAGGGTTCTCAGCCGAAGCTGAAGGCTTCAGCTGATAACCTCTACCTCCACCTTGATTATTCAGAATATCACAAAAACCGAATCTAATAATTATCTTACCATGTACTGAACGAAAAAAAAAAATGGTCACAACAGTAAGTGGAACAGATAATTTATTTCTAAACGTGTAAAAAATATACAAATTAGCAAGCAACACAAAGCGCGCGAACTTGACATGATTACCCTTAGAAATCATGCACTGCGGTCATACATGATATAGCTACCCTTGACCTTGAGTGTCCTCGACATGATTATTGTATAATCTGCAGATAGATGACTTCCCAGGCGCTTATTGCGAAAATTCACTATACGCTTCGGCTAATCAGAAAAGAGCTATTGAGTTGAATGTACAAAAATCAAGCTTGTCAAAGCACCTTTTAATTAAATTTCGAAAGTAATCTGGAATTCTTTTAGTTTTTATATACTTCGCTCTGTGATTGGTAAAAACTCGCACCACTCTCTCAACTGGTCAGATGCAAAACTAAAAACCACGACTTTGAGTCGATTGGGTCAGTTTTAGTTTTAGTTCTCATTGGTTCTTAAAGGTATTTCCTTTCTTTTGATTGGCCGTTTCGTTTACTTTGATTGTGGTTTTACGACACTCAATCAAAAAGCGCCCTGTTAAGTATTTACAAAACTTCACAGCAAATGCAACTGCAAATCCAGGCAAGAACCGTGCACTTTGGAATACATCAACCTTGCAAATCAAGCTTAACTACCGAGAGTCTTATCTTCAGATACGTTCAGAAGCGAGTTTTAAGGATCACTTAACCAGAGGCGTCGCATAGAAAAGCGCTAGAAGATGTAAATCTGAAAACACCTTTAGATAAGCGGGAAGAATTATGCGCAAATCTGTTCAATCAGATCAAAGAGAGTGATGGCAAGCATAAACTAGCCGACCTGCTACCTGCGCACAATAATGCCTCTCAGTACAAATTAAGGAATAACCGAATGTTTGCTACGCCCGGTATCAAAACCAAAAGGTTTCAAAATTCCTTCATAATGCACTATTCAGCGAAAGAGCAAATGTAAATTTAAGTAGGTTTATATTTAGGTTTTATTATTATACGATTTATATCTTTTGTAATTGTATGCTTTTTAAATTATTGTAAATTATGTATATTGCACGAGTAATTCAGCTATTAGCTACTAGTTGTGATTTTAATAATGATGATGATAAACGATCTTCGATTAGGTAGCTAGCTTCACGTCGCTTATTTTTAAAGTAAATCAGGTCTGAACAAGAAAAAGTCCATCATACAACGTCCTTAAATCATATATTTTGCGAATTTTTTTTAGAGAAAGTTGAGGAGAATGCTCTTGTCATTCATGACTATAATGGGTTTAACATTTGGGTGAACGGTGAGAAAGCTTCCACGAATGTAGCAGCAAATGACGATAAATGGCATCATATGGTAATGACCTGGGAAAGTTCAACGGGGACATGGAAAGTGTACAAGGATGGAAGCCTCGTCAGACAAAGTGATCCGGCTGAGCCTTTTCAGAAGGGACAGGTTAGTCGTGTAATTACACCGACCCGAGAGATACAACAGATATTGCCTACTTGCTTCTTCTGTTACAAATAAAACAATCCATAATAATGCAAAAGAGTTGTTGAGGTACTTATTATGATCACTCGTTCTTTCTTATCATTCGCGCGGCTTTGATTACCTCTTACATCTCTTTGGTGTTTTCCACCCTGAAAAATATTTAAGAAGGCTAGTATGAAGGGAGGGAATGACAATTCTTTTAAGGAAACATGGTAAATCATCTAAATGCTTTAACCAAATTATCTCAAAGGCTTGGCAAAATAATTGTACCTGATGTAACTTCTGGGTTTTTTTTTGTTTTCCAGGTTATCGCAGCAGGAGGGTCTTTTGTTCTTGGACAAGAACAAGACGCTGTGGCAGCCAACTTTAGTGCTAATGAAGCTTTTATCGGCAAAATGAGTCAGATGAACGTTTGGAGTTATGAACTCACGGCCGGAGATATTGCAGACATGGCACGACACGCTGAAAGCCTCCTTGGAAATGTCGTTGGATGGCCCGATTTCTTTGATGTGGCCAATAGCGGTATTAAGAAGATTCAACCGTCCGTAGCACGAACTGGTACGTGCAATTAACACTCTCGTTCGCAAACATTTATTATCAATTATTCAATCTATTACCTTTTGTCGAAATCATGCAAATTGGAGCAAAACACTATGTTATCGGCATTAGGTTTGCATTGATGCAGAATATCTGCTACATTAATCAGAATTTCAGGGAGATCATTTCGCTTCACTTCATTTCATTAACAACAAAAACTGTTGGTAATTGAGTCAGTAAATGAGGAGGAATAATTTGATTAATCCAAACCAAATCGTTAAAAAATATTCCCCCAAACCCATGTACCGAGGTGCTGCTTGGTTGAGGGTATAACATTGATTAAATATTTAACGATTACATGTATTTGTTATTATCATTATAATTATCAATATTACTAGTGTTGTTGTTAATATTATTGTTATAGTTAGTTATTTGTTTTCGTTTTCGAATTGTAGATAACAAATGCTGGACTGCGTGGCTAAACAATGACTTACCCACCACTGGTGCAGGGGACACGGAGACTCGTGCAGGTGCATGTGCGGGACCCGGTCTATTTGATTGTCAGGATATCGATGGAAGATCAATGCCAGACCTTGAATTGAATTTGACAAGTACTTGCTCAGATAGTGGTATCACGTGTTTGAATAGCGATCAAAGAACTGGACGCAGCTGTCCTGACTTTAAAGTTCGATATGTCTGCACGTGCCCAGGTAAAGAGTTTAATTTGTATTCCACGTTTTAGAATTTTTTCTTGTTTATTCGGAGAGCATTAGTAATGTCTTACTGCTAAACACGGACATATGTCCAGAGACGCATGCGGTGACGAAAACAGCGAAAATTCTTCAATCCAATCTGCCGAGCTGAATTCGCTCAGGCGAATTTGACTGAAAATTGGCCAAAATTGTCAAATATATGAAAATTCAATCGCTTCGACGAACTTTCGTCAAATCTGCCATTTTCGTTACTGCGTGCATTTCTGAACATAAGTGGAGGAGATGTTTCCAAAAATGGATATGTCATCAAATCTGCCATTTTCATTACTGCGTGCAATCTTGACATAAGTGTAACTACACATAATCTAGCTATAATTCGCATTGTAAATCAAGAGCTTGTAATCGATTATTAGAGCCGCCTCGCAAACACAGAACGAGGAAAAAGCAAGATATGCCTTTTTGCTTTGTGTTTCTTACTAATCTAAAGATTATAATTCAGCATGATAATCTACAACATAGAGCAAACTAACCGAAAAGTTTCCAAACAAACAGCGAATAGTGCCTGCAACAGCAATCCATGTGGAGCTCACGGGACATGTGAGACTCTTCCAGTTGGATATAAATGCAAATGTCAAGCAGGATATGAGGGTCGCCATTGTGAAACAGGTATGAAAGGTTATAGAGGTGACTTATATTCCTCACCCTCTTCTCAATAACACACATTGTTTCTTTCTTAAATTACCTTAATTCAATTCTGGTCAGAGCCAGAGACCTTTGCATTTAAATTCGTCTCCGTTCGGGCTGTAACTAACATGCAGAAGTTAGAGAGTGAAACATGCATAAAAAAGGAAGGAGAAGGGACAAGAAAACACAAGCTTATGATTGCATCCACGTGAGGGATGAAACGTGTTTAAGTCGCATTCCAAGTACACAAAGCCTGAGAGCTAAAAATTCTGCTAAGCCTACAAAAAAAATAGGAAAGGCGTGTGAGCAATCGAAGGTTTATAAACGCAGGTATAGTATTCCAAAAGATATTGTCTCGACCCTCGGACTTTCGTTTTTAATAGTCATTTTTTTGGTAAGGGATGAATTCGAAGTTTTTTAGCTGACTTAATACTAAAGCTTCTTCAAGACTTACCTTTCTGCTTGAACAACAACTGTGTTTTAATAATTGATTGGCAGCTCTAAAATGTCCATGTCCCGGAAAAATTGCACATGGCAAGTACAGTGGTAGCCGAGTTTTGGGCAGTAAAATGACCATCCATTGCGATAATGGATACAAGGCAAGTGGAACGGCAACGCTGAACTGTGTTGGTGGAAAATGGGATGCTCTTGTCCCACAATGCATAGGTGAGAATATATACATGACTGAAAAGAAATGAAGTCATCGTGACATTTAACTCGTACTACTACTGGTGGCTATCGGAGATCTGATGCGCCGAGATTATAATCTCTTGGATGGACTCAAGAGGCTTTAATCAAAGCCAGCGTCTGCGAATGCAGTCTTTAAAGAAAAGACTATTTGTGGACAAGAACTTTAGATAAAAATGCTCCTTTTGCTTCCTCCACAGACATTGATGAATGCTCCACCGGACAGGCAAACTGCGGGCAAGAGTGCGTAAACACGTTAGGAAGTTACAAATGCAGGTGCAATGCGGGATATTCACTTAATCAAGACGGAAGCTGTTCAGGTAGAAATATTTTAAAAGAAGTCGCTGTTAGAATGGAAATTATGATAGATTGAAAGAACAAAAAAAAAAAAACAGGACGAAGAAAAAGTACTACAATTTTTCCCAACCTAAGATCTTCTCTCAGTCACGCATGAGTTTTGTCAAAGGTGTTAGCATTAACTGGATTTTGAAAATCGAGTAAAGTAAAGACTAATTTTACGCATTTTTTAGCAAAAACACATGTTGCCCGCATCAAGATACACTCACTAACATACACTTTCATTAAACATATTAAGTTTGATTCTTTGAATGTTTTCTATTTTTTTCTCGCGGTCTTTGTCTCTTAATAGTTAAATACTCGCTCGTTCCTCAAGGGGGCAAATCAGTTATAAACATTATTTTTTTCCGTAAAACTTTACTTAAACCAGTTTCACAGCAACAATCACCCAAGCAGACTTGACAGACCATTGTGTTATTCTAAGAATCAAGGAGACTAATAGGATGTAGTTGTATGAAATTGAATTTAACTCTCCTTCATATTAACGTTTATCAATCAGATATAAACGAGTGCAATTCCAATAATGGAAACTGCCAGCAGAGCTGTCATAACAGTGTCGGTAGCTACCGCTGTACATGTGGATCTGGGTACAGTTTAATGGCGGACAGTAGATCATGCGCAGGTAAAGCATATGCATAACCAAATAATACTCAAACAATTTTTTAATAAATGATCCAAATTCAAAAAGCTCTTACTCTAGGCTTCTCTAACTGAAGCTATGCCATCCGTGCATTCCTTCGAGCCATCGTGATAGTGGGAAGATTATCATTAAACATGACGATTTGAAGAACAAAAGATAAGATATTGCAGTCAGTGACGTAGGTGTACTTGAAAAGAAGAATATCTCGAGTGCTTGAAGCAATCTGTTACCTTACAGAAGACTCTTAGAGATGTTCGTGCCACTGATTTATCGAACCATTCCCAAATAGACTGCATGATTTACGACGGAAAAAAGGGTTAATTTATAACAACATGTTATAAATGAATAGGCATGTACATTTTTAGCATCTGAGTTGCTTCATACTGAAATTTCCCTATGAATTGCAACAGCCCATATGCTTAATCAGTAACAGTGGTCCAAGTAAAACAGGCGAGAATACTTTAACTGATAACTCTTTCTCCTTGCTTTTCCCAGATGAGAACGAATGTTCTACCAACGCTGGATTGGGCCCGTGTGGGCAGATTTGCGTCAATACGTTTCTAGGATATAGCTGTCTGTGTAGGCCAGGATATACTCTCAACAACGATAAGAAAACATGCACAGGTAAACCAGGCTTCCTACTTTCATTGCATAGAAAATGAACCCACCAATGGAAAGGCAAACATGCACGACATGCACGTCGGCTGACTGCTTAGCTAAGTAAGTAACTGGCTGGCTGACTGACTGATTGACTGACCAAACGACTGACGGACTGATAGGCTAACTTAAAGATTAAAATTTTCCGCAAATTGTAAACTTACATGTATAATCTCTTAAAATTTGTCATTCCATCATCAGCAAACTCTTGTCCAGCTATACATAGCTTTGCCAATGGGAAACTGGACCCAGCTAATCCCGTAACAACCCTAGATAGCACTGTGAAATTTGAGTGCAACGTTGGTTATATATTGAGGGGAGCGTCCACAAGAACATGTTTGGCTAATGGCGAGTGGTCTGGAAATGCACCTCGTTGTGATGGTGAGACTATTTCTAAGTTTTATCGCATTAAGACTTTTTAAAACTCTAATGGGCCGGTTATTTACGCGAGGTATAACCCAATACACGGTTTCCGCAAACATTAGGCCTCAGTTTTTCTCTATGGGGGGGGGGTTGATCTAATTAAATGAACGTCCCTTCACTGTCAGCTTTCGATCCTCTTAACACTGTTCACAAAAAAAAATTTTCATATAAAAAGTTCAGCTAACTTGAGGATTGTTTGGGACGCAGTTTTGTTGACAAACGGCTAAACTAAATCATTTAATCATTGAGGCCTTTTTTTTTTTCTTTTAGGAGTTAAATGCATCCTCCCCGGAGACCTTAAGGACGGAATGAAAAGCACCTCAGCAAATTCATATAACACTGTTGTCACTTACACATGCAATCAGGGATTCCGATTAGTGGGATCAACAACTCGTACATGTCAGGCCGACAGGTCCTGGAGCGGAGAGCATCCTCGCTGCATAGGTTAGATGGGTGACACTAAAACTTCGAGAAGGTGAAACTACGTGCGACAGCACGAATGGTTCCGCTAGACTGAATATTGTAATCTAAACCTAAGGTAATGTTTCTTTCCTCAGCTGCTGACTGTCCTGAGCCTTCGGTTCCGAATAATGGAAAGCTGATTGGTCTTCAGAGGAAAGATGGCGACACCATCAGATTTGAATGTGACCTCGGTTACAAACTGGTTGGTCAAGATTATGCTATTTGCCAAGGAAACGCCTGGAACGCTCCCACGCCGTCTTGTGATTGTTAGTAATAATTAACAGCAAAATTGAATCTTTAGCTCTAGTAAGCATGGTTGGACAAGGAACGTTTTGTCAGTGATTCGTATGAAACAAAGTAACTTCAATTTCATTGTGATTTTCTCTGAAACAATTGATTTTCATTGTTAAAAAAATTTAATTTCTATAAAGTCATGCTCTGGTTAATACTTCTTTTTATACCTCTTATTATAGCAGTTAGTTAGTTTAGTCTCCTTATTAGGTTTATCGACAGCAAACAAACCATTCACGTGAACCTTCCATGAAAAGGCTAGTATAACAGTAAATTTCATAGACCTGTTTAATTTGTATTGCTTCTCCCATATTGCTTTCGGTTGAAGATGATTCCAGCAACGACAAAACAAAGAAACTAAACACTCCATAAGTTGAATCACTTCTGAAGGTAAAGAGACGAATCTAATTTATATCTCCCTTCTAGTGGTAAATTGCGGTGAACCTCCAGCAATAGCAAACGGTCAACATCATGGCTCAGACTATTCCTACAATGCAAAGGTGACGTTCTCTTGCTTAGCCTCAAACTTCAAGCTGTCAGGTTCAGAAGAGAGAATATGTCAGGCTGACGGTACATGGAGCGGAACTCAGCCAGTCTGTCTAGGTAAGTTTTATTTCTAGATTTGTTGTTTTCTCCGAGGGCTATGGTGTGGGTGAAGAGTCGCTTCCTTCCCGGGGCTTAGCATTTGCTCTTCGAAACGTAAACATTATGAAAAACAATGTCGTGGGTAAGTATCTTTCCATTTTAATTCTTTAACATCGGTTGGGTATTCCTTTCCATGTTAATTTGCTAACTACGAAGCTCAATATGCTAACTATGCCAGAACACAATGCCTAAAAGCTGTAATATGGATAATACACTGGATTTGCCCAAACGATTTATGAAAAAATCTATCAACGCCTCAATGAGTGATGCGAATCAAACCTTGGGGCTGTGAGAAGGAACACTTAAAGTGTCTACCTTTCTAAACGTTTCGCCTACAGCTTTAAAATGAGCGCATCAAGTAGAACTATCGATCAGGGCAGCCATACTGACTCATACGTATACCAAGCGGATAGATTTTAAAAAATATTATCTCTAATCTATAACTATCAAATCTCACTTTTTATGTCTTCTGATGGCAGAAAACTCATGTGGCAACCCTGGTACACCGGAAAACGGAATTAAGGTTGGAGATAGCTACAAGTATCATGATGTTGTTCAATTCCAGTGTAATGAAGGATATAACTTAATTGGGTCCAGCTCCAGAACATGCAAAACGGACAATAATTGGGATGGAACACAACCAACCTGCCAACGTAAGTCGATGTCTAATTGAAATCATAAAGACGCAAAAGAATTGCTTTATGCCTCTCAGTCAGAAGTGATCCCGATTTGGGTACCACTTTGATGAGTTAAAACAGCAATTAAACTAAAATTTCCCCATGAGCTAGATATTAAGGGGAGTTAAGAGTAAGGTAGGAAATTAGATGAAATTGTTGTTTTTCGAAAATCTTCTTCACGATAACATAGACTTACTTACGAATTTTTTCTACATGACCGCTATGAATGTTGCCACTTATCCAGTTCAATCCATCCGTAGAGATACTTTCTGATGGAGTTCTCAGTTTGTTTGTTCTTAGCACCCAAACTGAATTGGCCTTTATTTAAGAATTTGAACCAGAGAACCTGAAGATAGTAACCACTTTACCAAGCCTGAAGATTTCATCTATCAGCTTTAAAAATTGTAACGTATCTTTCATAATCAATATAGGCATACGCGGTCAAAACTTGAGGTTGATTTGGTCATGACGGATTAAGGATCCTTCTATAGGTTCATTGGACAGGTTTTAGGAATTTGTAGTCTTCGATTCATATATCAAAGATTCAAGTTGCATTTTCAAGAAATATAACTGTAAGAAATTCCTGTAGTTGTCAGCTGCGGAGATCCTGGATTGCCTTCAAACGGGGAGCGCTTTGGATCAGAATTTACTTATGGAAAGATTGTGGTATATGACTGCAAACCTGGCTACCAACTTGTGGGAACCAGGGAAAGCAAATGCCAACTGGACGGGACTTGGTCTGCGGTAGTCCCCAGTTGTGATGGTGAGCTGTCTATTTGTACTTTTATTCGATAAACTCACTCATCCACTTTTTCATTGATTGATTAATTTATTGGATCATTCGAACATTGACACTCATGGTTTTTTCCCGTAAACGTTCATTCATTAATTTATTCACACCTTGATTTTTTCCCTTTGCTTCTCTCCTTCATTCCCCTTATTCATTCGTTTGCTCATTGGTTCCTTCAAGATAACATCCATTTTTCATGGTCTCAATTTATTCGAAAAGCCTTGGCACAGTGCCCATTCAAGGAGAATCCTGTTAAACAAAATATGGGAATTGGAAAGCTTAGCTAGATAATAATAACTGGTCATTTTAAACATTTCAGAAGTGAAAAAAAACAAAACAAAACAAAAACATAAATGCTCTCAAGTACAGTACTCAAAAGGTCCTTAAAAGCACTTCCCCACACTCCAGAGATATTCTATTTTACATTTTCTCCTCCAGATTACCTTGACAATCGTTTTCAAAAACGACTGTAAAGTTGAACTGACTGAACAAATTCATTAATTTCTTAACAGTTTCATCATGTGGCGCAGAACTTGTTGGGCCCTCCGGGAGTTTTAGTTCTCCAAACAACCCTAACAGCTATCCAGACAATGCCTACTGCCGCTGGAAAATAAGCGTGCCGGCCGGCAAGAAGGTCATGGTTACATTCAATTCGCTAAAAATCCAAAAGAACAAAGATCTGGTAGAAATATATGACGGTGGTTCCAAAGCACTTATCACCAAACTCTCTGGCGTTTATTCCAAACCGGTTTCATTCACGTCCGAAAGTACCTCAATTGATATACGTTTTGTGTCTGATGGTAGTGAAAACTCGGCAGGATTTTCAGCATCGTTCCAGCAAGTCAGTAAGTATTTAATCCTACACCAAATGTGCTGCAACGACCGTTTTCTCCAAGAGAAAATTATGTGCCACAACTCTTTTTCGTCTAGCGTTCTAAAATCTTTTATTTCTCATAAAATCACGTTTCAAGCGACATAATTCGTTTTGGCATTGTAGTGCTTAAACGATACAGTACAATACAACACAACATAATAGGCAATACCATTTACTGAAAAAAAAAACTTAATAAACTAATATTATCAAATAAGGCATTAAGCTAATATAGACCTTATTTTTCGCCTTAACGCGACTCGTTCCAACACGGGCCGAGGACGTTTTGTACTCGCACAGAAATATGTCAGCTACCTGCCTTGAGCATACTTTATAAATTTGAGAACAATCTTCTCCATCCTTCCATTTTAGTGCTCTTCACCTTTCTTAACTGATATTTGATGAAATTTGGAACAAAAGCCTTAAAATAAGTGGGTTGATGTCGCTTTTTTTTTTTTCTGTTTCCTACATGTTAATAGTCTTATTCGAAAGTGGGGAATGTCACGCGACGTTTTTTGTTACGTGGTATCATTCTGACAATTTCTTGGAGTTTCTCGGTATATATCCTTCTAATAAGACAATTTTTACCACTTATCAGCATGTGGAGGTGTAATTACTGCGCTGGATCAGACCGTAATGTCACCCAACTTCCCTAGTGACTATCCGAATAGTGCCACTTGTGTGTGGACACTCGCCCTTGGCATACCCTTCCAGCTGGAATTTGAGAGCTTCCACACACAGTCTGGCTATGATCTTTTGAAAGGATACAGCTCAATTAGCTCCTTTACTTGTAAGTAGTTATCGATTGTGGTTACTTTCGTTTATTTTATTTTTTCAGTTTCAGATTATCGATTGCCACTAGACTATTTACTGTTTATCTTTAGGAAACTAAAAAGAGCCCGTAATACACGAAATTGTTTCCCAGTCATCAACCGCGTTCTCAGGGTTCCTCTCTCTCCGTTCCTCGAAGAAGGAGGCAAAGAACCCTGGGAATGAGGGTAACCCCTCATGGCCTCTCTTTACTTCTGTTTTGGATTATTCTTCGTCATAATTTCTCCTGTTTCATTTAACCCTTGTTTATTTGCTTCTTTTAACAGCGAGTGATCTCATATTCGATTTCGACGGGGAGAGGTTCAACCTTGCACCGATACAAGTCTCAGGTGGCCAGATGTACCTGATATTTACATCCAACTACGTCGGAACTGCCCCCGGATTTAAGCTGACGATTAAAAAATATCAAGTAATCGTGGGAAAATAAGAGTGTAATCCAGACCTGGAGTTAATAAATCGTATAATTCCAGATATGTCTTGCTCTAGTATTTTTAAAACGTTTTAATCAAACGGGCTTTGTAAGAGAGAGGAACGTGAATAAATTATTGAAAACCGAAACACAGTTGGTTTCAACTAACTTCGTTCGTCTGTTCGTCTGTTTCAAATTTAAACTATACTAAAAAAAAGCCTAGACTGTGTTCTGTTCTATTGTAAAGCACACAGGAATCGGTTAGGAGCACGGGAACCTGATAAAATATTTACTTTTGGTTTGCCAAGTCCAATAGAAAATGAATGTTAAGGTAACTTTCTTCTTCCAAGACATTACAAAATTCTTGAACCATGATGATAAATCTTAGACACCAAACAATTTATAACTCTGGTAATGATCCCTTAAATATTACTAAAAATATTCTGATTGTCCTCGCAGTGCTGCTTACAAAAAAAGAGCAAAAGTTATGTTCGTTTTCCTTAATTATTCCAGAAATTGTGCTAGCTCACTCTGAACTTAATCACAGTGTTCAGAGTGAGTGGTCTATTCAGAGTGAAAGCATGCTTTCCAATATTGTTTCTTATATAAATGGCCAGCCACCCCCTAATTTTATGTTGATAAGCGCCCGTTGCGAACGTTGTTGTACCACTCAAGACACGCTCGGTAGACTGGGGCGAGTTATCTTGTTCAGCGGTCGCTGCCATGTCCTACATGTCAGGCAATATTTTCTACTGACTTAACGGTGACAACACACGCTTTTTACGTGTGCTGAATTGCGGCCAAAGTTTACTGTACATATCGAAAGCTTGATTGTTCCGCATTATGCCTTGAAAACGAGACGCTACTCTTTCGGCTAAGAGATGCTGCACGCTCCACCTCGATATCTTCATCCTCCGAAGTAACTATTGGTGAAATTTTACAAGGTCTGAAAGATGCCAAATCTAACAAACCCGGTGTCTTGTTTGCGACCTCAGCCAAGGCTGGGTGCGAAGTGGTTGAAGACTGACATACAGGTAAGATTTAAACAGGTGGTGGGCTAACTCATGGCAAGATTATATCAGAAGGGAAGGGTAAATAGTTCTTCGAACCGGTGCTGACTTCAAATTTTCTTGGCACGAGCCTCACCTTCATTTTTGTGGGAAGCAATATATGTAAATCGATCAGTTCTTTCTCTCGCCGCGCCTGCGTTTTGAACTTTATTTCAAAATCCTTCAGTGTATACCTTAGTTTTAGATTCATCAGTACCTCTTTTTGACTCATACTGGGTAATTAAAGTTCAAGATTTATTCGATCTTTACCAATTCACTCCTAATACAGTACATACATGCATGTTTTGAAATTTGAACTGATGTCAAGCCGCAAATGCTATTTTGTTATCAATTTGTTACCGTCGCTAAGCTGTTATTTATGTGTACTCATACCCGGCAATAATTCGCTTTCTTATTTCTATCATTATATCGCAAATTATATTCTCCGCCAGGTTTCATGATATAGCCTTTAATCAAATTGACTGAAACTATGATTTGAAGTGTATCTCCAAAATCGATACTTGTGAGAGTATTGCAGGTGTGATGTTTACTTGCTAAACGCTTCGCTGAAAGTCGTTACAAAGTTGTTTAACGACTATGTTCGAGGGTTGATATGCACCTGTGAAATACACTTGTTAAGCAGAGTAATGCTTTTATTACTTTGAATAATATGAATACATACAGGTGGATGGAAATGTGTACTTTTTTCCTGTGGTTGAAACATATTTTACAGAGGATTTTGTTCAGAAAGAACTGCTCAATATTTTCACCCTATTTATACGGATTAGGAAGAACCTGGTTGAATGTTAACCCTTCTCGGTGGTTTTCCAACCAGCCTGTACACAAAGGATGCCTCTTAACCCTTTCACTCTAAGGAGGGACCAACAAGAAATTTATCTGTACAATATCCAAAAGCAGCAAGGCAATGAGGAGGAAAATATCAATTAGAGGTTATACTTGATTTAAGGGGAAATTCTCAGAGCTGAAATGATAAGCAACCACGAGGGATGGTACAGAGAACAAAAACGATCTGGATCTTGGGAGAGAGAGGATTAAATACAAAACAATATCTTGACTACCTCATTTATGAGGCATATCACACCTACTCCATATGAAAATTGATATAGCAAAGGTGTTTATCCTGCATCTGTTAACCCTTTAACCCCCATGAGTGACCAGGACAGAATTTCTCCTTACAACATCTATACAATATCAATCAGATTAGTGATGAGAATAAAGAAAAAGATCAATAAAGGGATAATGAGTTGATCCAATACTAAATTCTCTGAAATAACATAATAAGAATGGTATGGTTGACGGTAAGGAGAATTACAAGTTTGATCTGAGTGTTAAAGAGTTAAATCTTTGAGTAGACAGGTTATAATTTGCCCCTTATATTGTAATTCCATTTTTTGAACAGCTAAACATCTCAATATTCAAATACAACATAGATACATGTAGGGTGACCCAGTGCATGAACGAAATGCCCTATCAATGCATGAATTTTCTCCTAAGAGAATTGGAATGTTTCTGAATGAACAGATCCCCAAAAATTCTAGGTAAATGAGTTCTTAAAATTCACACAAAGAAATTAGATTGTCTAATCAGTATGTTTGGTCAAATTTCAGCCTGAGATCTCTCCAAATTCAGTTTGAAGTGGATTGTTGTTCTCAAACTAGTAGAAATCATTTGCAAATTTCCTTCTTCAGACAACTCATATTGCTTTGGCAGTAATCCTCTTTAGCTTGTATGTTTTGTTTTCTTAATAGAGGTCATGCAATGGTACTTTATGATACTTCAGGGAACTGCTTTTTTTTTTCTTCAGATTTCATCCTTTTTCAAGTGCATAATTTGTAGGCATAATTTCCTTAAGACATAAGTAGGAATTCCTTTGAGAGCCCCCTTAGGAAAACAACTGGTATGAGCTTAAGAGGTCAATTGTTTGGTTGCATGTATCTTTCTAAAGTTTACTGTACAATGAAATCTTATTTAGATGCGATCATAGGAGTATCATTTCAGTTGAACAATTGAAAAAATAATGCAGGTTAGCCACAACTATCTACAGTTTACAATTGCAAGAATTTTCATTGTGTAGAGTTAAAGTAAACATAATGTTTTTAAACTTTTCAGACTGCCTTCTTGCCTGATGGTTTAAAAAAGCTATGGAATGAGCTAGTTAAAGATGGAGAAATTGTGAGGATGGCATCTGATGTAAAGATGAACTGTGATGGCATTCCTGCTCAGAAAGGAGAAACAGGCAAATTTTATTGTGGTCGTTGTATTCTTAAATGTACTTGCTGTGAGGGTCAATGTGGCCCTAACAAAGGTTGTAACTGTGAGCCTTGCCAGAAATTGGACCAAGAAGACAGGGAGCAAAAAGAAGAGGAGGAGAGAGCCCCTCCTGCGGCAGGTCCCCTGATGGACTCGTGGACCTGGGGAGAGCAACCAAACACTGAACAATTAAAAGAAGTACTACAAGGACTTGTCTTTGATCAAAGAATGCTTGCAAGCCAAGCTGCAGGAACAACATTGTCAGCAATGAGACTTCAGCAGCGTTTAGCTGTGTTAGGGCGTTATTTTATTGCTCTTTCGAGGGAGCAAGCATCCAATGCAATGAAGATCAGTGTTAAAAAGGGTGTGAAGAAGGAGAAACAAGAAACTGGTAAAAAGAGGAAGAAACGGGGCAGTGCTGATACAGAACAGGCTTCACTGGGCCTCGCTAGAATTGGTGCCAGGGCAGCGTTGTCATTTGCATTTGCTTTTCTACGTCGTGCCTGGCGATCAGGTGAAGATGCAGACTTGTGTCGTGAGCTTCTTGATGAAGCATTAGAGGCTTTGCAGTGTCTTCCAGAAGCAACTTTGTTTGATGAAGCTTCCGTGTCTCCTGTTTGGTTAGAAGTGGTTGAACGGGCAACAAAGTTTTTACGATCAGTTGTGGCTGGGTGAGTGTCAGGGTACAATGATGACTTAATCTATGGTTAAGTGATAATACATTGAAGGTGTCTTGGATGTGATAACTTGTATGGCTTGTTCTGAAGAACTTCTTCACAATCCCCATTGTAATTATTACTGAGTGCTGGTGCAGACAAACCCAGATTATCCAGACACTTGGGGACCAGGCTAAACAGTTCAGTTAACCCTTTAACTCCCAGATCAAATTTGTAGTTCTCCTTACTGTCAATCATATAATTCTTATAATATTAGTTCAGAGAACTTAGTATTGGATCAACTAATTATCCCCAAATTGATATTTTTCTTTATTCTTATCTCTTGTCTGGTTAATATTGTATCGGTATTGTAAGGAGAAATTCTGTCTTGGTCACTCATGGGAGTTGAAGGGTTAAATTGAGGATGATTAGTCAATCCAGTACTAAATTCTCTTGGCTAACATTATAAGAAATGTATGGTTGTCAGTAAGGAGAATGGCAAATTTGATCTGGGAGTTAATGGATTGATTGGCACTTGATGAAAAGTTTGCTTTCTCAAAATCAACAGTTAAAAACTGAAACCACAAATGTATGACAACTGATAGTTTTTGGTGAGAACAAAAGTCTGAATTTGTTTGCATGAACCTCCTACTCAATGGGTGAGACTTGAGTGCTCAAATACTTAAAAGTTTGATCAGTATGCAATCTTACAACATACTGTTTGTCTTATTAGGAAAGGAAATGAAGACAGAGTATACTGCAAACCTCTTGATTCTGTTCCTGTATCCGATCAACATGTGGCTCTGGGGATCCTTTTAGAACTTGGTGTACAGCGAGGCACCCTACAGCACATGTTGGAAGTCATCTTGTTGCTGTTGGAGCTGTGGGATAGTGGACAAGATAATGACACCGACTCTTGTTTCACATCAGCTCCTTTAATTCATTTATTGAGACGGTTTGAGGAAGTAACAGGTGCTTCTCATAAGGCACTGGAACCAAATAAGTTGGCAGAAGAGGTAGATTTCCATTCTCTTCAGGGACTTATGAAACTTACCCCACTTACAACCATACTTGTATTTTTGTGAGCAGCTTACACAACTGAGAACACCTCTGCTTATTGAGGTTACATGTACTCTTGTGTTAAAAAAGGTCACCAACAATTAACTGACAATTGGTAAAATTTCTTGCATAAATGTTTCATGTTGTCAGGATGCTGTTTTATCATATTTAAAACATTTTGAAAATTTTTCACATCATCAACTTTTTAACAAATGGATTCCGTGCTGCTGTGTGTCTGTTTAATTATCGATCAAAGATGACTGATGTCAAAATGTGGCAAGGATATTCATACATTTATATACATAAATGGCATGTATGTGTGGACAGAAAAGTGGCACCGCATTTGATGTCGTCTGTAATCAGTCTTTTACTGTACAGACCCACTACAACATGAAATCTGTTTGTTTTATATAATAAAAGAGAAAATGTTGTCAGTGGTGACATTATCTTTGCATCAGTACTCCAATAGATATATGTAAGTACATGTAATAGCCAATACAAATGTGTTGATAATTCAGCTTATCAATTTAATCGTATTGCATACTCTACAGTACTTATGCAACCATTTCTCTTCTTGATTTATCATTTTTTAAATTTTATTTATATATTCTTGTTTATTTTGACTTGTACATGTACTAGGTTATGTCATCCAGTGTACCCAAAGTGAGCCCAACTGAGTCATTCTTACGCTACCTGGCTCTTCCTGAAGACGAAGCAGAGTTTGTTGAGCTGCAGCATTGTGCTGTTGTATTGGTATCACACTTGGATAGGTTGGCTGCTCCATATCTGCCACTTTCTTCAAATCAAAAGGTACACAAAGTGCCTCAATGTTCCTCTTGACCAGTTTTATTCCAAATAGTATTTTCAAATTGTTTAAGTCTTTAACTCCCAAGATCTGATTGTTAATTCTCCCCTCTAGATGCTACATATTTCCTTGTAAATTAGTTGCAAGAATTTGGTGTTAGATCCACACAACATCTTCTACCTGATAAGTCTGAGTATTCCTATTACCTGCTTTCTGGATTATGTAGGGAGATTATGGGGAGAAGTTACATGTTAATCACTTCTGAGAGTAAAAGGGACTTAATTCACTTTGTTTGTCTCCCAAAACTTAGGGACAGTGTTTTAGTTAATTTTAAGAATGGTGACTTCAAAATTTATAACATTAACTTTTTTTGTCCTTTGTACAAATTTGATGCTTGAATGATACAAACACAAAGTTGAGAGTTCTACTGTATGTTGAATGACTTGGAAACCTGCAGAAAATCAGCCCTTTTTTGCCTGAAGATCCTTAGTGGCACACATCTCCCCTTCCTTAGTGCCGAGTCTAAATGGATGTCAAAGAAGGCAAATACGTTTGTGTTGACTCAAATCATGTATGTGATGATGTATTGTAATGAATTTGTTTAGACTCCCAGTATTGGCCTTGTTCAAGAAGTCTTAGGATGGGGCTGGCTATCATGGGGAAATGCTGGTCACACCTTGGGCCCGACAACCTTGGGTAGCCTTGTGGAAATTGGAATAGCTCAGATTTGTTGTGCTGAAAAGTGTTTTCTCGCGGTTACCAAAACTGGCAAGGTTTACACTTGTCTGTACACTACAGAGGGACAGGTGAGAGTAACTGAAAAAAAAAGAAGCTTTTAATCACTGTTACTACATGTTATAAATGTCAGTTTCCTGCATTCACAGTAAAAATCATTTACACAGTCATTGTTGTTATCATTTTTGATGATTTCTGTTTTTATTAATCTTACAATGTTGGAAATTTATTCTTATAGGGTCCAGTGCTTATTGAATCTCTTGCTCATAAGTGTGAAATAATCAAAATTGCAACAAATCCGGAATGTAAACATTTTATGGCTCTGAGCAGAGAGGGTGAAGTCTACTCCTGGGGATCTGGGGATGGTGGCAAGTTAGGTCATGGAGACAATAAGTATGACATATATTGTGCATCTTTATTCTTTCAACTCCATTGATAAGTGATTATAACTTTTGATGATTTTGAACACAAGGGCAGTCACTTGCTTTTAATACAGATGTCAGAGGCAAATGCTTCCAAAATGCTTTTAACCCTTTAACTCCCAGAAGTGATTAAAATGTAACTTCTCCCAATAATATTCATACATTATCCAGCAAACAGGTTATGAGAATACTCAAACTTATCAGGTAGAAGTTGTAACCTTGATCTAAAATCAAATTCTTGTAACTAAATAACAAGGCAATGTGTAGAAGCTAGAGAGGAGAATAAACAACTGGATCTTGGGAGTGAAAGGGTTAAGGATTTTGAACAAAAGCTTGTTTTTTTGCTTGAAAATGTAAGTAAATAAGAAGGTACTTAGTCCAAGAAAACCTTGACCTGCAACAGTGTGCTTGGTTCAGTTCCATGCCCTTCTCTGTCTCATTACCCTTTGAGATGTGCTGTGAAAGCACTGGAAACATGTTGATTGAATTCAATGATAATGCTAAGAACTATAATCAAAAAGATCTTCATACTGGTTTTTCTCACCACAGAAGTAGAGTAATAATTTGTTCTGTAGCTTTACGATTTGGGAGAATCATATAATTTTGATATTTACAGTACCTTTTTATTGTTCCTTTGGTGTTAGTTTCTATGACGAGCCAACCCTGATCACTGGTCTTGCTGGCAAGCAAGTCATCCAGATTGCTTGCGGAAGTAGTCACAGTGCTGCTGTAACATCTGAAGGAGAGCTCTACACTTGGGGCCGAGGCAACTATGGAAGGCTAGGGCACGGTAATAATAAACATTGAAATAATAGAGTACTTTGTGTGTTCGTGTGGGTGTGAATGACATTCAGGATAATCCAGTGTTGTATCTGTTTGAAACAGAAAATGGCTGTGGGGTAGTAAGGAGGGCAATAAACAGTTGCCCAGTTGACACTACAACTGTTCAAGATAGAAACAATGTTTTATTCAGGAGCCTATGATCTCACAGAGTACGTTGTATGTTAGAATGACTTCTAAAACGTCAAATCAGCACTCACAAGTATTTACTTAAAAACTGTACCTTTGCATTTTCAATATTTAAATTATTTTTTTCCATCTCAAATTTGTTTTTATCTTTGCTTTTAGGAAGTAGCGAAGACCACCTTGTTCCTGTGTTGGTAAATGGTTTACGTGGATATCACATCATAGATGTTGCCTGTGGGAGTGGTGATGCACACAGCTTAGCTGTAGCTGATGACGGTGGGTGTATTGGTATTCTACACTGGCACTTTCTAGAACTAGTTCATTCAAAGCCTGTATTATCATTCATAAACAAACTACTTGAATTTTCTGAAATATCCTTTTGTCTCTAAAGATTTTTGCCATAATTTGCCAGGAACTCTAGCTTTCTCAATGATGCAAACGTCGTCAGTTCATATGATACTGAGATCGTTACAGTGAACTCATTTTATGTAATGTACATTAATTATTATTGATGCTACCTTAACCAACAATGGCTGCATAGAAATGCGTATTTTCTGCTTTCAGGCACTGTTTGGTCTTGGGGAGACGGAGACTATGGTAAACTTGGTCACGGAGGAAGTGATGGTTACAAAGCCCCAAAAGTTATTGACAAATTGCAGAGTCTTGGTGTGGTGCGGGTATTCTGTGGATCACAGTTTTCAGTAGCACTCACACGAGATGGACAGCTGTTGGCTTGGTAATTTTTTTAATCTTCATGTATTCGTAGTGTTTCCATTTCATTCATTTTAGTTTTATGACATTTTTGCATTCCTGTTGTCACCAATTTAAGATTACACTGTATATAATAATTTTCGTTAGCAGGTAAAATTCTGCAATTTGTCGTATGCAGCAGAGTGACTGAAATGTGTACACACAGGACATATATTACCCTCCAAGTGAATTCTCTTAGTAGGGTGGAATGAGATAATGTAAACACACTGTCCAAATTCATGTGTTTAACTCAGGTTCAGATATGAAGTTCTGCGAAGGAGGTTTGCGTCAAAGTGTCCTGAAGGTCACGCGCGCGTGACATGATCGGATCGTAGCTTTTTTGTTTGGCTTGTTATTGTTGCTTTAATTTGTCTTATGTTATGATTTCTTCATTTGGATACCAGAAGTAGTGATTGGCAATAGCCTTGGTTACCCTGAATTGCTTTTATTGCCCTCTTGGTTTTAATTACTATGCCTTATAATTTGGCATCGGCAGGTATTTCCACGATGTCGTCTTCTTTCAACGTTGCAAACCGAGAACCGGCAAAGCTTCCTCCCCTTTTCTTCCTTCACGACAAGTTTCTGAGCGTTGTGTTACATTTTTTCGTCATTTTTTATGATCTATAACTTTATCAACAATGGTTCGAGAATTACTACAGTTACTGTAAAAATAAGACTTGTTAGTTACTGCGGAAGACGTGCTTGCAGTTTAAAAGATTTGCACAGCTTGTCTATGTGCAAAATGATAATCATAGTTCAGATGTAATCATTATTCACCTGGATATATATCTTACAGGGGCAAAGGGGATGGAAGTCGCCTTGGTCATGTGACAGAGGATCACGTGCGCTATCCAAAAGTCATTGAAGCATTTTGTGGAAAGAAGATAATTGACTTTGCTGTTGGCTCAGTCCACTGCCTGGCAGTGACGGAAGACGGTGAAGTGTACAGCTGGGGATGGAATGAACAGGGACAACTGGGTGACGCCTCCTGCATGAACAAAGCTGAGCCTACTCTCATATCATCCTTAGCTGGCAAGGAGATCACAGGGGTGGCTTGTGGTCCTGCACAGGTAGGTCATGTCCATCAACATGTTGACTCAGTCAGAAAGTCAAGGCTGAGACTGAAACCCCAAGTACAACTTTAGGCAAGCTGATTATTCCACTCCTAGGAATAATTCTGTAACGAACTGTAGGCACTCACTGCGAAATTTAAGACACGAATTATGGAGAAAATTGTCTATGGATGACAGATCAGCCATAACACTTAACCCTTTACATCCTAACATTGATCAGTATGCATATTCTCCATAATTTCCCTATACATTTCTTAAGGTTCTGAAAAGGAGAATGTGTTGAACAATCACTAGCTTCTTTAGTTGTGGATCATTTCCCTTATTCTCATGACCTAATGTATAATTCAGGGGTGATCTTGTAAGGAGAAATTAGATGCTGGTCACTCTCAAGGGTTAAAGGGTTAATGAGTGCAAATGTTGTATCCCCTGCTCAACATGACACTCTTAAATCTTATTAGATTATTATTTACATTAAATTAGCTATGGATGGTTACCTTTATTGTTTAGCTTTATGTTTAAAACATTTTAGACTGCGTTTTTGTATAATTCATATAGGAGTGTATTTATTTTAGTCGTTTTAATTTTGTACTTTTTATTAGTCTGTGTCCCCTAATTAGAATGAGTTTCTCCCAGGCTACATGGTTGGACTCTTAAATAAAGTGTTTATTATCATCATTATTGTAAGAAAATTCCCTTGGAAGGACAGTTTATATTTTTGTCCCCTATCAGGTACTGAGTTCCGTGTGCATTTTTCTCTACTTATCAGAGTTTTGCTTGGTCATCCGCTGGACACTGGAATGTAGGGCTGCGTCTTCCTTTCTGCCTTGATGTATGTAAGAAGACATTCGAATACTTGGATGCACTGCTAAGACGTGTAAGTGAAGACCTGACAGGCGCCCTCGACTGGCCCCCTCCCCCACAGGAGAAAGAATGCATTGCTGTTGCGACATTGAATTTATTGAGACTTCAGGTGAGTTTTGGTTATTAGTCATTTAGAAGATTACCGTTTATACTAAAGTTCGGATATAACATGCGCTGTCATTGGTTGAAAGAGCGTGCGCTATGAGAGTATAGAGCATAGAGCTGAGCTAAAGCTGTCACGCCATCTGCTAAAGTGTACTATGTCCGACCTTTTCCGGGACTTCTCTCTAGCCTTTTTTCGTTAATTGAAAGTGAACAAATTTCGGAACAAGCGAGCCAGCAAGTAGCAACAGAAGAACCAAGCAAAGGTTTGTAAACATGCCAGGCGCCTCAATTAACGTTATTATAACGTGAGCAGAGACGAAAATCCTCAAAGAGAAAACGAAGTGGATAGTCCTTTACAACAGAACAGAGCACAGTCAAGGCCTCTCTATATGTTAATTAATATCTATTCAACAGATATATTCCATGTTACTGTGTCTCTGTTCAGTTATTGACCACATGTGATGTCAAAATGTGGTAAGAACAACAAAAAAAGTGGCACGCGAGGCGATGCAGATTGTGTCACTGAATAAGTGTTCTTTCCACATTTTGACTCTTAAGTGGTCAATTACTGAACAGACCCATGGCAATATGGAATCCATTAGTTTTGTATGAAAAAATAGTAGGATGTTGTTGATGGAGACGTCATTTATGCGTCTGCCTTTCATTAAATCGTTGGTAAGAAGCATTGAAAGTGCGCGCATAATTCAGCTTATCGTATAATCAATAATTGATAGTTATTTAACCTTGTTTTTTGTTGTATCATTGGAGAACAGAAATACAATTAGAATTCAGAAATACAGTGCAACAGTCGCATTACTCATTAACTGTCCACCGGACATCGTAACGACTTTCAAGGAATTTTCATTTTTGATCCTTCCCTTCCTTTATTTTGAACTCAGCTTCACGCCGCCATCACGGGAAATGTAGATGCTGATGATTTAGGGCTGGGAGTGGGGAGTAAGCTGCTGCAGTCATTAAAGCAACAAGTGGTGTCACTGGCCAGCAACAAAGGAGTGCTTAAGACTGTACAGGCAGCAGCTCAAGGTGCTCTGAGCAATGGATGGGTTCTGTTATTGCCCACGCCAGAGGAAAGAGCGAGGGCTTTGACAGAGCTCTTGATTGAAAGTGAGTGGTACAAATTAGCCATCTTTTGCCTTTGATAATGGTCTTCTTTCAGAGTAGATTGCTGTCGGAAAAAGATCAGATATAAGTACCATTTGATACCTTCCACGAAAAGAAGAAGTATCCACACACCCCCCCCCCCCCTCCCTAACTCCTTCTCTTCTACTACCCCCTGGATTTTCTGACGGAATAATCACATGTATCTTGATCAGCGAAGATGTGCGTAGCAAAACCGTTTGTTGATTTTGTTCGCGAAGTTCTTGACTACTGTACCAGGGTAAAACGTTCTGTAGATTCAGAACATTCGTGGAACATACAATGTAGAAATGTATCGGTTACACTTGGAAACAAAAGAATTAAATGTAATAAAAATTTGGACACATCAGTGAAATGCAATTTTATTAATATACACTGCTTACTGCAAGTAGTAACTTGCTTCCTGTTTGTTTTGGACAAATATCTTCAGCTTGTGACAAGCCGACCTCTTCACCAGCTGGGAAGAAGTTCATGTTGGATCTTTTGATCAAGAGTTTGATGGCAGAGGGGAGCCTTGAGTCGGCTCTGGAGACAACTATTGACAGTGAAATTAAAGGTGGCGCTGGGGAGAATGACAAAGAGAAAACAACAGAAAGCAAAGATAAAATTGCTGATGTCCCTCTTCTTCATCTGGCCCAGCATCTGCTGAAGACATCATCAGCACAGGTGCTGGGTGAATTTCAACAATTGTTTCTGAAGCCACCAAAGTTACAGTGGCCTTACATCCCTCCGCCCCGACCCATGACAGTAGAGCTACTACTCAAGTTACAGAGGCTTCTTATCGGGAGCTTTTTCTTGTATCATGAGGATGAACGACCCTGGTATTTGGTGAAAGGTAATTGTAGCCTGATGTGTTGGTGTAGTTTTGGCAAGTGAATGCTCAGGATCTGAAATTACTTTGTGTAGAACTGTGGCCCTTCAAAGCAAGCCTGTAAGCTACAGGGCAAGGTTAACTGTCAAGTGAAAAGATACAGACCTATTCTGTGTTTGGAGATTGTGGCGTTCCCACATTTTATGAGCAAGGTAGACTTGGAAAATCGTTCATAAAGTGATGCTGATTTTCCCTCCCGATCGCGGCCTCGTTATCTTTACTATGATAAAGTTTGTATGATTCATACATGGAAATGATATGCCCTTCCTATGTTCTGGATTCTTTCTAATTCTTTGATTGATAAAATACTCCAGTTGACTAATTTCAAACTACTTTCTTGCAGGTGAGGAGAGAGACCTCAGTACTAAGCAACAAGGTGCCGCATTACTTCTTCACAAGTATGCTACCTTGCTTTGCTCCCATACTGGTGAGATCCTTCCAGTAGCCTCATCCCTGGCATCCAATGGCCCACGCCATTTCGTAGTCTCTTCCCAAATATTGCAACGAGAGATGACAGGAGTTTTACTGCCTGAATTTTTGACGTCGATGGTTCTTCTACAAACGTGCATGCCAAGTGTCATGGACTCGTCCAGAACTGTACCACTGGTGGGTGGTCTGTTGGACTTGTTGGACAAGTTTAACCGGCTCGCTCCCGGTGTACAGAAAGAGGACGAGGAGGACCTAGCCTGGCCGGGTGGGATCGGCAGTCCCACTCCAGCTCGGCGGAAAGCTGATGGTGATGTCACTTTTATTAGGCCGGAAGATTTAGACAATCATAACAAAGATGGCGGACTTTGGGTTGTTATTCATGGCAAAGTTTATGATCTTCAAGATTTTAAGGATCAGGTATGTTTGTTTGACTTACGAAGCCACAGTTTCAGGTGTAATAGCAGGTCGGGTTTGTAGTAGGTTGACGACATACATGTAGCACGTATGTTTGAGTTTGCTCGTAGATTTTATCTTTCTGTGCATTCACGTAAATAAGCAGAGAAAGGCTCTTTTCTCTCAAACTGGTCACCGAAGACTGCGTGTTGTGTGGTGTCAGGTTCTGTTCATTCTGTTATTACGTTTTGTGAGTTTATTTTATGACAATGTGTTACCGTTTTAGGCACCCTGCGGGAAAGAACTGCTGCAATCTTATGCAGGTTAGGAACTGTGCGGTGATAATCCTATAGAAGAGTCTTTGAGAGACCCTGCAATTATAGTGTGTTTATGGCGAGTGAACAACTATTATTTCATTAGATTAAATTTTTAAAGGAAAAGATGGCTAGAGAGAGTTTTGCATTTGCCATTGAGACTAGCCCATGAGCCAGACGAAGTAGGGAGGTACAGTAACGCTCAAAATTAAGTTGACAGTCTCGACTCGAAACTATTGAGAACTATTTATTTTAAGGAAGCACAACAACAGCCAAAGAGCGGTACTGTTCCCCCATATCTATAAGCTAGTTCCTTAATTCTTGCTATTTCGGCTAATCAGTCAAACCATGTAGGTCTGACTTCGCTTGATAATGGTGATTAATATGACTTTTTAATCAATTTTGTATCCAGCTGCTGATGCAACTCAAATTTTTGAGGAGACTAAACATTCTGTCGAGGCAAGGGAAATGATGCAAGCATTCTTTGTTGGTATTTTTGTAGAGGTAATTAACCACTTATATATAATTCAAAGTTTTTGTTTACCATATGAATGTTGTATTGAGGTCGAAGTAGAAACGTGCTCTTTTTCGCTATCGGGGTTCCTGTTTTCAGGCCACGCAAAAGTTGGTGATTTCACGTGGCTGTTTTGCATAGAGCGATCAAACACACATGCGGAGCTATTGTTCTGCAGAAAAACAAATTTTCTCTCTTGAAGTCCCGGGTCTCCAGGACACAAAATAGAAGGACAGGTAAACTGGTCGAAGCTGTTCAAACCGATCAATAAATGAGGACCAAGTCCTAAAAAGCACTTAACCACAGATACAACAAATAGTTGGAGAATGAACTAATAAAAGCGTCTCAAACGAGCATGGTTTTGTTATTTCTACCTAGCCAAAGATAAAAATGGATATGATACTGTGTTCTCATCTCTGTTGCAGCCTGATCAAGAGCTAGCTCTGGACAGTGCGTTGTCTGTGTCGTCTCCTTTGATTGACTGTGAGCGTACGTTGGGTCTCTTACTGGGTCTTTACGCCTGTCATCTGGCACACAGCACTCCTGTAAGTGTAGTAGAAGAGGAAAATGAGAGATGGCTGGCCTCTGATTTCTTCTCGGGTGGAATGGCGGCGTCAGCTGAACTAGGTGGCAATGTTGGAAGGTAAATTTTCGACAACAGTCTTAGTTTGTAGTAGTCCAGTGTTGTGTGACTTTGATACCTGAGTGTTTCTTCAGTGGATTATTGTCGCAATCTAATTCATTCTCTATCTTGCGTGATGCTCGGGGTTCAAAATTTCTGAGAAATAAACTATACGTTTTTAAAAGAACTGACAAACTTCGTGCAGGTCCCAGCCCTAAGTTTTGTCTGTCGATTTGGAATACTTGAATCAAAAAGTGAAATAACAACGTGTCTGATGGGAAGTAGAAATCCAATTTATTAAGATGAAACAAGCTCGATTGATCAACAACTAATCCACCTCCGCTGAAATTAGTTTGCTCTGAGGCTGTGAGCAGAGGAAGAACTCCTAAAAAGATGAGTTATTTTAAGTTAATCCGCCTTTTTCTTCCAGGAAAGAAAAGGAGTCTTCAGAAGACAAGCAGGAACCCTTTTCGCGTCAAATATCAAATAGTGATCCGGCCAAACCTTTCCTGCAGTCTCTCACTTCCAGCAAGTTAGAAGATGGAACAGCTTTGAAATTCCTTGCTGCCGTTGAACGGTTTTGTAAGCAGAAGCGTTTTATATTGCCAGTTGAATTCCCAGCTGATCACCCGGTAGAGAAAGTGGGGAGAATGTTGATGGCTTGCCTCTTAAAACACCAAGAGCTTGGTAAGTTTTCATGAACTCGGGTCAACGTATCATTCAGCAAGTTAATAACGAACGCTCGAGTAAATCAGTAATCGAACGTAAAGATGAATAAATGACCTGACTTAGAAGGAACGAACAAAACGAAGAGCTGGCGGGCAAATGATAACACGGGGAAATGGAGTATCAGAAGGGTTGACGAACGGAGAATTAGACACTTACTGCTTTATCACAGTTGGTGGAGCAGATGGGAGGGGGAAATCGTGGTTGTAGTTGCTTTATTTTTTATTATTTTTTTTACCTTTTTTTTTTGTTTTTTTTTTTTTTTTTTTTTTGTAAAACGTTTTCTTGTGCCAACGACCAAGCAAAGGACGCAAAAGGGATATGCGCCTGGCGTAGTGCACGCTGAATGATCCAGAAGACATTTCCTTTGGGCATCAAACCTAGGTTCGTCAAATTTCACACAATTTTGTGCTTTGTTTTGCCAGGTAATGCAGCTTTAAGCATCATAGAGGGTGAGAGTTCCTCTCCACCCTCACCTCACTCATCATCAGGTCAAGACATAGCCTCTGGTCCTCCACAGAGCCCATCTACACACTCACCTGTTGTTACGGTGCCAAGACCTGTCGCTGAAGTCCTTAAAATTGTGTATCAGACCAAGTGCGCCCTTGTTAGGGTAAGCTTCACCACTTTGCTGTTTCACAGGGTCTTTTGAGACGTTTATGAGCGTACAGTGAAAACCGTGAGCGTCGTTTCCAACTTTAAACCACCATTATCACTATCGTCGTTTACTTGCTGTAGATTTTGTTTTGTTTTGTTTTGTTTTTTTTTGGGGTTGGGGGGGGGGTCGCATGTTAAAACTATTAATATTAATTTGCAGTTCTAGTGGCTTCATAGTCATAGTCTCGTAATTGTTCCAACTTTTTTCAAGGCAAGACAAGAATCATCTCGCTCTTATGAGGAAGTCTGCTCCCCAGCCCTGGAGAGATGCCAGTTCATTTTCACTGATCTACACCCTGCCATGTCCAGTGAGGTGTCCACACTTTCTCGTCTCAGGATACGGAGCACTCGGCCTAGGTGGGCTAGGATTGTGCAACAAATGATTAAAGAAAAGACGTCTGAGAGAAAAGATGAACCTGTCGTGAGCGAAGGAGGAGATTTTGTCCGTTCAGATGAGGATCATTCTGAAGAAAAAGCTTTGAAAGAGAAAGAGAATTTGGAACAGAAGGCAAAACAGAAAGTATGTGGAGATAGTTTCACAGCGGCTCATTTGTCCTTGTAATAAATCAAAGAGGACACTTGCAAGGTGTTGTCTCTCGCCTCGTTATTGTGTCGAGAGAGCCTCAAGATGAGGACAGAGCATGTATTTTATCGCTGTAGCGTATTTGTTTGAGTTCCCAGAGAAACAATTAAGGACGATAATTTTTTGTTGAAGATCTTTTTGAATAGATAAGAATGGCTTCTTCCGTATCATGCAATAAATTCGTTGTGGTCCAATAGAACTGCTAATAACATTCATCAGTTTACATTTTTCAACCTGAGGTACAGTAGATGTTGTTGACGTCTTTGTGTTCATTGGTTTCACGCAGATTGACCACACCGCCCTCAATACGTCGTTGACTAGTGCGCGCAAGGTAAAGTGGCTCCGTGAGCGAATGATTGGTTCGTCTACGGAGACTTTGTTGATGAACCGCATAAAGGAGTTTATTCTTCACGATGAGCCAATAGATGTGGAGAAGCTGCGCAAATGTCTTCATAGACAGGTTTGTCATTGTCAGCTACCAGTGTTGTAGAGAGTTGCCTTATAAGCATCAGATTGTTCGGAGAACAGATGAGAGAGGCTTTAAATTTCCGCCTCTGTTCTTCAATAGCGCCAAATGTAGCTCAAAGCCCCGAAGTTATTATAAACGTGTTTGAAAGTAACCTCTTACGTGCACTTCAATAACCAATGACGTTTACTTATTGCGTTTCAACGATATCTTTCCTTGTTGGCCACTTAGGGTGGGCAGAGACAGTAGAATAATTCTCTTTGTAATGGCTTCATAGTGACCTTCGTAGATGTAATGGTATTTTACATCATGATTATTTTGGCGTTTGTTGAAGAGGGTGTTAAAACTGTAATGAAGACTTTGTTGTCACATTCACAGATGGAGAGGGGCCAGCGCAGATTAGAAGGAGCAGAAACACTGCTGTCTCTCGTATCCAAAGAATATTTCATCCCTTCTGTTCGATACTCAATCTTGTGCGGATGGCAAGGTCTCCTGTCCACTCACACGCAAGCACAGTAAGTATAGATTAGCTAAGCTACAGCTGAAGGTGTGACGTTTTTGCCAAGTTGAAACGTAATGTTAGAAGAACATAGTTCTATTTCTTTTGAAACCCGTAATATCCCTTCAAAAAAAGTCAGACTTTCCTTCCCACAGAAGATCTCATCATCAATGTCTGACAGAAAATGGGTTTATGTTGATATATACAGTTGTACGTAAGGGAACTAGCTAAACATTGTTTGGACTTTTGTCTTAGCGAGTCTCGAACTTATGCGTGACGTTTAGATAATTCTCTCCCCTTCTCGCCCTATACTAAAACTTTCCTACAATAAGACTTCATTATAGCATGCGCGTCCACGTGTTGTTACTATCTTGCAGCAATTCCGTTCCTCACTGCCTAGCTGATGTCGGTCTCATCCCGCCATATGATCGCGTTATTCTAGAAACAGCTTTCCGTAGAATCAACAGTTGGGCTGTCAAAACTTTGCGGGAAGCGATCATCTATGCCAATGACACCTTTAAGAAAGCTGAAGCAAGTCCTAACACTACCCCAGACGATTTTCACGGTGGTCTATCTTTAGGTGCTTTGCCTGTAGCACGGTTTCTGCTGGCAACCTTGGGTATCCTGACCGCAGAACACAACGCGAGTGACATGAGTCTGATATTGAACTCGGGTGCTGTTGGTCTGGCGCAAACCATTATGCGCTTAGCAGGGCCTTGTGAAGCTACCGGAGAAGAGGACGCCAGTCTGGCTGCCATCATTGATGAGGCGAAGGCAGCAAAGAAGGCCCCCATCATACCAATGACAGGACCGGATATGGCGAAGAGAATGAAGATAGGAACAAGGGTGGTGAGAGGCCCAGATTGGAAGTGGGGTGATCAGGTTGGGTTTTTGTTTGTGTATCCTCTGCAAATTTTTGTTACTTAAGAGCTGTTATTTTTGAGTAAGTAATGCAACTTACACATGTTTTCATCAGGATGGACCTCCGCCAAGCGAGGGCCGTGTTATAGGAGAGCTTGGAGAGGATGGCTGGGTGCGCATTCAATGGGACACCGGTAGTACCAATTCCTACCGAATGGGCAAAGAAGGAAAGTTTGACTTGAAGCTAGCGGGGCCTCCTCCTGCCCCAGAGAGCAGTGAAGAAGAGGAAGAGGAAATGAAAGGTAAATAGAATGCATCGTGAACTATTTCCTCAAGATGATATAAAAAGCAATCAGGCAAGCAAGCAAGCGAGAAAACAGGCACGTAGGCAGGTAAACAGGCCGTCGGACGGACGGACAGACGGACGGAATGTCAAGCGGGTAGGCTGGCTTAGACCCCTATACCCAGACAGACAGACAGACAGACAAGTAGACGCCGTAAAGAATTTCTAAAGCTGACGTTTTTTCAAGCGTTAGCCTTTCGTTAGAGCGAATTACGAAGGGCTAAAGAAACTTTAGCTCTACAAAATATTTACGGTGGCCAGTTAACGTTATCAACTCAGTTAATTAAACTTAAACCAATTAACTTTTTATGCCCTACTGACGTAGCACCACAGTTGCTTTAGAAACCTTCCCCCTTTAGACATACAGACGGACAGATAGGCAAACTGTAAAATCGGCGTCGGGAAGTTTTAATTTGAGTTGCAGAACGTTTTGGTACTCGTGTTGCCAATTGTGTTGTTGTTGTCGTTTCAGATGCTTCAAAGAAAGAGAAGACAGAAATCCAGTCCACCCATCCTACTGCTTTAATTCGCCACTCTTGCGTTTGTTTATTACAAGCCCTAGCAATAGGCTGTGGTCTCCATGCCAACAGCTTACAGGTCGAGAGTGTCAGAACAGTCAGCAGTCTTCTGCATAATCTCCTTGATGCAGGCACAAGCGTAGGCACATCAACAAGTGGTAAGAACCTTCAATGGGATTCAGATAGACGAGTTGTTTGCTTTTACTGGATGTATTAAATGCAATGTAAGGCTTTTCATGGTAGTTTTTGCGACTTATACACTGTGTTTAGTTAGGTTGAGGCTGACGGCTAAACTAAAATTAGCGAAACATTTCCTACTTTTGATTGAATTGTTTAGTACATTTTCCTCCATTTCATTTGTTCAAATGTCAACTGGAACATTTTCTTGAGTAGTGTTCAAAGGGAAGCTTGATAGAATCGTATTTGGCTTCCCGAGTTTAACTAAGTAATTGTTGATGAAGTATACTGACATCTCATTTTTTATACTTTTCCCGCGTAAAGGTCAAAGTGATGATATTTTGGTTGCACAGCAACATAGAGATTGGGCCAAGCTTGGTTTTATACGGGGTATTGCAGTATCACCTGTCATGTGCTGTTCCCTCAGTACCCCCCAGTGGGTGTCTCTTCTCCTCAGGGTGGTGAAGGGATCGCTGCCTGATGGAGACTTACCTCCTTCTAATGTGTCTGCCGCCCCTCTGCCCCGTCAGGTAATGTCTTCATGAAAGCGGTTTGATACGCTTTTAAGTCAATTTTCACGGGCTAATTGGGGTATGCACAGGGAACGCGACCCCCAGATATCTGGGATACACTTTATTTCAACTCTAACGCGGTTAATGCGAATTTTCCTATGTGATTCGCTGGTGATTTTTAAGGTGGTGCAGCTACTGAGCAACAGCAACATCAATAACTTATTTTGTAACTTGGATTTAGATTTTTGGTTCAGCATAAGGAGTGTATCACTTGCCCTAAGTAACCGTAGGAGACTAAAAAAAAAGAAAGGTTGTCTTGTGTGAAAAACAGGACAGCCACAAGTATATTGTGGAAATATTCGAAAGTAAGATTTGTGTACAAGCACAATTAATGTATCATCATTTCGAGAACAGAGACCTAATTCCTCATTTTGAAGCTAATACCATCTTAAGCCATGGTTTCAGAATTTAGTTAAGTTTCGTGTTTGATGTTTACTTCATTCCTGTTACGGTAGATCTTGGCTTTGCGTTTGTTAAGAGCTGTTTTACCCTCGTGGGATGTGACTAAGGCGTCGTGCAGAATGTCAGAAGTGGTGGCTAGACTTTTCGCTCTACTTGGAAAAGTATTGATGACTTGCCATGGAAGCCTCCCGGTCCAACCACCAACTGGTATTAGAAACGTTTCATTTATGTGCGGAGGAATATTCAGAGTATCCGTACTTGAATTTCTTTCAATTGTCTTAACTGTATCATTCTACTTCTCCTACATCCTTTCTTTCTCTTTCTTTTTTTTCTTTTTTCTTTTTTTTTTTTTTTAATTCTGACTTGCTCTACCTACATCTTTTCAAGGCTATTTTAACCTTAAGGTTTCGAACTCTAGGATTATAAATGATTTCCACATAAATGCCTGTGGTTTGATAGAATACTTCAATTTTGGGAGGGCACATTACTAAGAGAGTCTCGTCTTTTTTTATGCACAGACATCTCTTGAAACTAAATAAAGCACTTATGTCCAAAGTATAGGTGAAAGGGATTTTTCCTCAAGGTACTGAGAATAAAAGCGTACCATGGAAAATTTACCTTTGGTCTTAGGTTAGAGCAAACGTGACACAGTTCTTCTAATTGTTTTTGACCTGAAGGAGAAAAAAGTCGTCGAAGTAGACGCAAGCCAAGAATCCCAGCCTCAGTGTCGGCCACTTACAGCAGCACTGTTGCAGAGGAGTTACTCGCCCTCCTACGGAAGCTTCATACTCTTGAGGCCTGGAATCCACTTGTTAATGAGTTCATAAGCGCTCAATTGAAGAGTATTGTTACTATGGTAACGTTGGCTGAGCCAGTTCAAGAAAATGGAGAGACGCAGGTGGGTCCTTTTGGCAGTTAGATTGGCGGTGGATCAGTCAGTCAGTCAGACAGACTGCCAGTCTGTGAGCTATCGCTTGTTCGATCTGTTGCACGGTCAGTCAGCCAGAAGTTAATCAATTTGTCTGTCAATCAGTCGGTAAGATCTCCGATCAGTCAGTTAGTCTCTTACTCAGTCAGACAGTCAATTAGTAAGTAATACGTTTGGTAGGTCAGACAGTCAGTACGTCGGTCTTTCTCTCGGTCAGTCGGTTGATTAATCAGACAATTTTTCAATAAGTCGGTCTCTCTCTCAGTAGTCATTCCGTCGATACAAAAGCTGGGTTGGAATTGTTCCAGCTGTAGGGCTTACATTGCTGCACTTACCGTTTCCATCTTATGTTATAATGAAGTATCTTGTCCATTCACTCAGGAACTAGAGGGCTCTTCACCACAGTCTATTGACCAGGGTCCGGTAATGGCCGTGTTAGCAGTTATTGGTGGCGTGGATAACAGGCCTAGATTGGGAGGACTGGTGCATCACAAGGAGTGGGGACTGGGAACAGTGTGTAAGATCGCTCCGAATGGAAAAGTGACCCTACAATGTGAAGGCCAACAGAAAGCAAGAATATGCTCGATATCACAAGTCAAACCGGTAATAACCTACATGTTTTCACATCATTCTTCTTTTTTACACAGAAAAGGAACTTAACAAAAGTGTCGCTCTCGAATTTGGTAACCTTATTTAGCCCGAATTCAGAACTTTATTTGTTCGTGTTGCTAAACACTTTTTGGTTTTTCCGCTTCGATGCTGTTGTTGTTGTTGTTGTTGTTTGTAATGATAATGTTGATACGACTTGTTATTTGACCAGTAGCGATTGTAAACTCTTTAGGTGCCAGTCGTTCCATTTTCCGTGGATAATCTTCCAATGTCGGATGCAGCTCTGGGAATCTGGGCATCACTTGTGCGACTGGCGGGCACTGGTGAAAAGACCACTGGTACGGCGGACCAAGAAAACTTTCAGCTACCAGCAGTGCCAGGAGAGGAGGGGGTGGGGACAGCAAGATGCCCTCCGGTTAGACCACTGCTCTCCCCTAGAACAGGAGGTTTGATTTTCTTGCATTGCTTCAATAACAAGCTGTTTCGGTTTGAAGAAATACCTCAGTGTGTGAACACTTGTTTCTTTCAGTCGTCGACTTCTTGAATGGATTTTAAGTAACACGTTTCGTTTTGTTTTGAAAACTTTCCTGTTAAAAGGATGTAATAATTCCCGGCAGTGTTTTCTCTTATTTTAAGCATGACAGGTAAAATACATTTTCAAACCGGTAAAGCAATCCTTTTACTTGTTGAATTTTCAAGAATTCCAAGCAATTTTAAACGGTATTAAGAGGTACTACAAGCGGTAAATGTTACTGGTTACTGCCTGAAAAGGAGAACACTGATTCCCGGTGGCTGGTTTGCCTTAAAAGTCTCCTTACTCTAGCGTTTTAATGAGAACCTTATACCTTCAAGATTGTAGCTCTAAGGTTTATTCTTGTTTAGGCCAAGAAGTGGACACATCGCTGCTGAGACAACAGCAGATAACCCTGGGACTCCTCAAAGCTGCTCGTGTGTTGTGCAGTAGGCAAGATAACCTGAGACAGATTCTGAACCATCAAGCAAACAGCTCTGACAGCAACAGCACCTTCTCCTTACAGCATTTGATGTGTTCAGCCATTAAACCATCACCTGTGAAGGCACTCTTCAACCGGGAAGAGTTAGAGGTGGGTACAGCTTAGTTGCTAGTCTTTCGTGTTTTCCGAAGTGTTTCTATAATAGCCTTTTACCGGCGGTCTACTCCCACCTTTAAGACCTCCTATCGCCCTCTGTTAGCCTGTGAGCAGACTCTTGTGTTTGAGTTTGGCCTTACGTCCCCTTTTCGGGTACAGCTGCTTAGAACACCATCGTCAGCCGCCAATAGAAAACATTATTGAAACCCTTGTTGTCACACGCAATGTTGATATGAAGCCCCAAGAATTCCTAAAGATTTTAGACAGGCCGTAAAAATTGCATCGTAGTCAACAAATGACTACACTTTGGTTTTTAATCTGTGTGGATGTCATCGGCTGTAACTATCACCAATATGACCACCAGCTGCCAGATGACGCGTATCTATAGCGATGAAGGAAGGTGAATTAATCTAGACTGGAAAAAAGAGATTTTTAATAGAGTTTATTTTGATGCAGGGATGGGTAGGAAATTTGTGAATTTGGTTCTTTGTTATTCCCTCCCCCATCCTTATCATTTTTTTGTTTTGTCGCTAATTGCTATTTGAAGGCCTTTAACCCTTCCGAGAGAAATTTGAAACGGTGTGTGGTCAAACCTGGGGATTAAGGATGAGAGGGAAGGGGAACAAAGTACCAAATTCACAAATTTATTTTGTTTCCTTGGTTTCCAGGCCGCTGCTCTCGCTGCTTGTCAATTCCTCACTAACGAGGCCAGCCGTCCAGCTGAGCCTCCTACTCCGGTCACGGTAGAACGTGTGGATCGGCCCGAGCAGGAAAAGCCTCAGCTCCAGACCACCTCTAAGAAACCTCCAAAGACAAAACATCTACAAAAAAAGAAGACTCGCACACGAAGACCGACTCCACCCCCCATGCCAGCTCCACCGTTAGTCCAGCAGCTGGTGGAAATGGGATTTCCCAGAAGTAGGACAGAGTATGCGTTGAAGGAGCTTGGGGACGAAGAGGAACCTCGGGCCGAATTGGTTGTCGCTTGGCTGATTGATCATCCTGATATCGAGGTTGGTACAGCTTAAGAGTTTCCCTCTGCCAACTACAACGCGAATTTAAACCAAGAAATTTATCTACGGGATATTAACCCTCAATCTAATGTTCACAAGTCTTTACCGGTTTGTGTTACAGCCAGAAATTCTAAGTGGAAGCACTAAAGTAAATTCCTATTTTCTGGTAGTTTATTAGAAAGTTGCGAGGTGCTAATTCGAAGTATTCGGAACGCTTTTTCTTTGTTATTATTTTGTTCATTTGCATGTAGGCTACCGCCATGTTGGTGTTTGGGTTTGCTGATTCGATTGTTTTTCGTTTTCTTATTTTGGTAGTTACAAAGAAGGTTACATTCAACGTGAATCCTTTTACCCCTGATAGTGATAAATATCTCATTTCTCTTAACAATGTCACTCCTGAATCAAACATGAAGGTCATGTGAACAAGGCAAATGACAGCAAACTAAAGCAGCTTTAGAGTGTCCTTCAATTTTTTCTTGTAAGTACCATAGGGGATGTATGGCGAACGGTACGAAAAACTTGCGTACTGAAGTTAGAGTGTGAACGGGTAAGCACTATGGCAGTGTTGAACATATTTCGTCGTTTTTCTAAGCCATGAGATATCTCCCAAACAGGTGCCAGAAGGTGAAACACGGCTTGTTGTGCCACCCGAGTTGTCATCTAGTGAGGAATCCTCTGACGTGGATGATGACGACAGCGATGTTGTAAGCAGCTCCGATTCGGAAAGTAGCTTAAGTGACGGGGAGGCCATTGCTGTACCCACTGATTTCAAGAGACGCAGCGATTTCACCGCCAACGATGATTACGCAAGGTATGTGCGTGATAACATCCAGGTCGGTATGATGGTTCGATGCTGCAGGACATACGAGGAAGTCCACGAAGGCGACATTGGTCGGGTAATAAAGGTGAGTGTGTTGTTTTTTTTTTGTGCCTGTTTCTGTTTTACTCTCTGTGCTTGTGCTCGCCCGTTCTGTTAATTCATGCACCCATATCTGCCTCTGTATATCTGTTCGGACTGTTGATACGCTGATCTGTGCGATTGGCAACTCTTTCAGCTTGATCGTGATGGGCTCCACGATCTGAACGTACAAGGAGACTGGCAGAAAAAGAATGGTACCTACTGGGTCAGATACGTGCACGTCGAGCTGTTAGGTCACGACTCCTTTGGTAAGATAACAGTGTAATTTTAAAGCCAGTTAACTGATGCAGAAATGTGAGTGACTTTTCATTGACTCGCTTTACGGTGGCTTAGTGGAACACAGTGGTAAAACGTCGGACATTCACAAGGGACTCAATTTTGGCCGGTTGCGTGCAACACAACGGTCAAACGTGTGCGCACGCGCACACGTTGTAATGACTTGATGGCTTGCCTTCAGGCTGTTATTGCCATGTTGTCTCGTACAAGTTACGAACAACCACAAGAGCTAGTAAGTCGCGGTATGTTAGCAGCGTATATCCGTTTTGATAAAGCTCAAATCAACAGGATACCCGCTCTTGAATACGCGTTGTGTTCGAATAGTCTCGATTTTTCCTTTCCCCTAATTTGGTTATTTTCAGCCCGACGTGAAATGATCAAAGTGGGTGATAGGGTACGTGTAAAACCTTCCGTAACCACACCCAAGTACAAATGGGGATCCGTGAACCACGGAAGTGTAGGCACGGTGGTGTCAATCAGTCCTAATGGGAAAGATGTCAAGGTGGACTTTCCTCAACAAACCAACTGGACTGGACTGATTTCTGAGATGGAGGTGGTACCCGCTACTCATCCTCGAACAAGGTGAGAAGTTGGATTAACACCATCATTAACAGTTTACAGCATGCATATCCTCCATACTATTCTCTTTGCATTTCCTAAGGTGCTGACGAGAAGAACTTGTTTGACAATTAAGAGCTTCTTTTGTTGGTTATCACTCCCCTAATTCTCGTGACCGTGATGTCTGATTCAGGCGTAATATTGTAGGGAGAATAAGGGAAATAATTACCAACTAAAGAAGCTCTTGATTGTTTAACAAATACTCCCTGTCCGTCTCTCCAAATTTTATAGTGTAAAGGGTAAATACGTTTCTCGTAAGAACATCAGTGATACACTCGGCTGCGCCTCGTATGCCACGTTTTTATTCTTACCACATTTTACATCATCTGTGATCTTTTAATATACAGACCCACGGCAACATGAAATCCATTTATTAAACAGTACACGTTTTCTTAAATTTAAACTGCACGATCTTATTCTATGTATTAGGTGCGATGGCTGCCACATGGAACCCATTGAAGGTTCCCGCTTTAAATGTAAGACCTGTCCAAACTTCAACTACTGCGAGACGTGCTTCAGACTTCGCCGCAGCCACCGGCATTCCTTCCACCGTTTTGAAGAACCAAGCAGCATCCCAGTGAATGCTGGGAAGTCTGGCCGAGGAAAAAGAAAATTATGTCCGGTGGCTTGGGAGGACCGGAGCACATAGTGAAAGAATGGGACCGAGTGGTAAAGAGTCTCATGGTGTCGTCACGGGAGACTCACGCTGGACGACTGATTGACGGTACAGAATCTTATTGGCAATCAGCGGGGTCACAAGGGAAGGTGAGGATCTTACGAAGCAGAAGTCCAGAGTATAAATCCGTGCTGGACTCGACGATCAAATTCTATTCTGGGTTATTTTATATGCTTGGCAAGGTGCTTTTTTCTATAAGCTTCTCGCTTAACAAAGAAGTATCAGCAAGTTTCCTGTGAAGGACTAGGGTCCCATTCAAAAGAGGGAGCATTAACCTTAAGTTTCCCTAGCTGTGACATCTGGGATAAGTTTCGGCGGTGTAGGCCACTTAGCCTGTATACAATGTGGATTAAAAAAAAAAGAAAAAGAAAAGAAAAGGAAGAGATGTATATGAAATATTTCTATATTTTTCTTGTCTCGTCATTGTTCCCTTTTTTTCCCTTTACAGCACTGGATAAGAATCGAGTTGTATCCCGATCTACTAATCCAGCGGTTGACCATGACAGTGGATCCTTCAGACAGTAGTTACATGCCGTCCGTGGTGGTAGTATCAGCTGGCGACAGTATCCAGTCTTTGAAAGAAATTAAGACTGTACACATCAGTGCTACTGAGTCACTGTGTACTTTGCTGGAAGATGTGCAGAGGGTATGTTATGCATTTTTCTCTCTAGATTTGTCAGTGATCTTATCAGACGCTTCTAGTTCCATGTCTATCGTACGCAGTTAACGCCTTCCTTCGTGAAGGCCGTTATTTTGTTCTCATGTGTCCGATTTTGATTTTTCTTGTTTTGCCTGAAGTGTAGCCTTTTTCATGCTTGTTCCGCTGCTTTCTTTAGTTTTATAATGGTAACGTTGTGTTACACGTAAGTTTTTACTTAGTTTGCATCATCATTACTGTTACTCTGTCATCATTATGATCGTGATCGTTATCTTGATCGTGATTGTTATCTGTGTCGTTATCGTTTATAATTTTCATTGCCATTATATTTATCATTATCAGTATCGCTGTCGTCTTCCCTCAATTTATTTGATTGTTTTTTTCTCTATAGGAATATCGTTTTCTGGAAATCGGAATTCGGCAATGTAAGAGTAGCGGTATCGATTGCAAGATTCACGGCATTAGCCTGACGGCTCGCACTAAGACAGACGAAGACGACATAGCGGCAAGCTTTTCATTCCTGGCGTTAGACGAAGAGGACGAAGCAGCCAGACAGAGGAGAGCGCTCAGAAGGAAGCCGACTACAACTGAGTCTACCCCTGAGGGGCAAGTCAATATGTTCGTGTGGGGTCTTAATGATAAAGATCAGCTGGGAGGGCTAAAAGGTTCCAAGGTAAATGCTGACCGCAGTTTCGGATTGACCATGGAATTTTACATTATTTGGAAAGAACCACGATTTTTGTTTTGGCTATATTGTAGGGATGAACGCTTTCATATCCCAGAAGTGAAGAACTTTTTAATTCTCTTCACAATTTCATTATTTATCCAGTACACGTTTAACGAGATTAAACAATATTGCCAGATAAAGAACCTTCAAATTCACTATAAATTTACAAAGACAATTATAGCAAGTTGCGAGAGGACGTGACACTTAGTTATTTGGGAAGAGTAAATAATATATTGCGTCGACAGATGTTGTGAGTCAGTGTTGTACTGTGATGTGTGGTCCAAATTACACCCTGGCTGCTTTTAACGCGTATTTAGTCAGAGCTGCCAATACAGGTTGGCTTTGCTAAAGGGCTTTTTCTATCTTTAGATAAAAATACCAATGCTCTCTGATGTGATGTCTGCTCTCAAAGTTCAACAAGTCAGCGGAGGCTCAAAGAGTTTATTCGCTGTCACTCTAGAAGGAAAAGTGTTTGCGTGCGGTGAATCTACCAACGGCCGCCTAGGGCTAGGCCCCATCACTGGCAACGTGCTAGTGCCTCGACAGATTGAAGGCCTTAGCCAGTTTGTAGTAAAGAAGGTGTCGGTGCATTCTGGAGGTCGTCATGCTATGGCCATCACTATTGAGGGCAAGCTGTTCTCGTGGGGGGAGGGAGAGGATGGGAAACTTGGACATGGAAACAAAATGTAAGTCGCGGGGCACTAAATCTTCTTGATTGGCCTATCTACTGTTCAGTTTAGTAAGTCCTGAGAGCTTTGTGTTCAATTGCTTCTTTCTTTTACTAAAAAAACAAAAACCTAAAAGACTTGCTAAATCGTTGATACATCCCACTTGAGATACCTAATCTTTGATAGACTTATAATTTTTTTTTTTTTTTTTTACATCTATTGATTAACCTTGCATACATCTTATATTGCATACATTTAACTGTGGCTCATTAATAAGTGATCCAAATCGTTTTGTTTTGCTTCTTCCTAGGGAATCAGATTTTTTTAACAACTTTGTCTCAAATTTATGACAATTTAAGTTAGCGTCCTATTGTGGAGGACAAATTAAAGAGTTCGCCATCTGTATTTAACCCATTTCTCTCATGAAATAGTTTATCCCTAAACTAATTTCCTGTATTGATGTCTCGTCACCTGAAAGGTATTTAATTGAAAGTAGCTACTAATTACCATTGAAGTTTTCTTATGATGCGCAAATCTATATGGTAGATCCTAATGTAACCGTTATGTGTGTGGATAATCTAGGAACTTCGACCGCCCACAACTGGTTGAAACCCTTAAGACCAAGTCTGTTCAGGAAATCTCTTGCGGCAGCTCACACAGTGCAGCAGTCTTGTCCACTGGGGAGCTCTACACTTGGGGCCTGGGCGAATACGGCCGGCTAGGGCATGGAGACTACCAGACGCAACTCAGACCCAAACAAGTACGTGCCTTGAGCGGTATTCATGCGATAGATGTCGCCTGTGGCAGTCGTGATGCTCAGACACTCGCACTCACAGACGATGGTTGTGTTTGGTCGTGGGGAGATGGAGACTTCGGAAAGCTGGGGAGAGGCGGAAGTGAGGGTTGCAGTGTACCTCATGTGGTGGAGAGGCTCAAAGGCCAGGGAGTGTGTAAAGTGTTATGTGGAGCCCAGTTCTCTCTTGCTCTTACAAAACCGGGCCAAGTGTGGACTTGGTAAGGATAGCGAAACTTCTCATCTATTTACCCAGCAAAACTAACAGTGATTTGAAATTCTAGTTTTCTGTGTTATCAAGGGTGCATCTCGCACGATATCGTGGTTTACCCGAGGAAAAAAGATTATTGAACTTTGGCTAGAAATTAACTTTATTACGTGTGTTACACATGCGCTTTATAACGCCGTCTGCTGTACAGATACGTACACCACTTTCTTGCCGAGTGGGTATAAGTTTTGACTAGAAACTTCAGTCCCCGACGTATAGTAGGCAACATTTGACCACACGGAATCCAGTAGATATTTGGATACCCAAGATCAAAAATGTACTGTAATATAAGCCGTGTGTGAAATGATGCCCCCATCATGCTTAATATTGAAGCTAAATTGTTATGACTTGCGGGTTTAGGTAAGAACTAACAACTTGCCAAATTTGCTGTGAACGTCCAGCAAATTTGCCGTCTTTGTTTCCCGAAATTAATAACAGATGGCTTTCACCTTAAAACTTGTTGAATCCCCTACATCATGAAAGGAGTGTGCAGAGATATAGTCACTGACACCTTAATCTGCGGTATTTCAGGGGTAAAGGAGACTATTTTCGCCTGGGGCATGGTAATGACTCTCATATTCGGAAGCCTCAGGTTGTGGAGGGACTCAAAGGTCATAAGGTGGTAGATGTAGCTGTTGGAGCGTTACACTGCTTAGCTGTGACGGAACAAGGCAAGGTAGGCAAGGAGTGGTTTGGAATTCTTGTTTCCTCGAGCTTGCATCTAGTATAAGGTCTTCCTTGAGAATGGTTTGTTTTTGATGTCATTTCCTTTTTCACCGATCTGAAGGTTTTCGCCTGGGGCGACAACGATCATGGCCAACAGGGCAATGGCACAACCACTGTCAATCGCCGCCCACAGTTAGTCCAGGGTCTGGATGAATTCAAAATTACTCGTGTAGCTTGTGGCTCCTCGCACAGCATGGCCTGGGCCGAGTCGGACTTCCCGGCACCGGTAGCGCACGAACCTGTGATGTTCCCCGCGTCCCGTGATCCACTGGGGGCGTCAAATATTGGTCCAGAATCTCAGGAGCAGAGTAATTCCACAGAAGCCGAAACTAACGAGTACGGGGAGCACAGGCACAGACCTTCTTTAGCGAAAATTGTGCTCTCGCTCAATTCAAATTATGAACGACAGCAAGCGTTAGGCCACATCTTAACTGCTCTCCAAATTATCTACTCACGTGATGCAGTGGTACGCGCCCTTTTGGATCCTCATTCTCTTATTCGGGGCGATCCCACGTCGGTAGAAGCAGACGATGAAGAAGCGGTATCTCTAGCTTCTGTTTCGGAAATGTCTATCGACGACATTGCGTTGCCTGAAGTAGTAAGTGGAGGTGTTTCTCGGACGTCTTTTATCGAAGAGTTTGGTGAATTCACTACCAGTCTGGGACATGATGACTCTCGGCTTCTTGTGGAGCTATTGAAACTTGCTGTTGCAGATAGAGCCGGTGAAAATGGCAAAGAAGTGTTGTCAGGGGTGCTGAGGGCGTTGGCTGAAACCAAACCAGAAGTAAGTAGATGATCATCAGCGTAGATGAATCCACTTCACACGCTGGTAACAAATTTCCCTAGACGTTGACAATCTAAAGTTAGTTTGCACAAGTTTGTCAAAAAGTATTTTATTTTGAAAACGTTGCGTCTTGCAAGTAGTTGCTTAGGGCTAGAAGTTTAGAAAACTGTTAGTAATGTTGTATAATTGTGAGTGTTGCCAGTAAAAACAAAACACGCGCTCAAAATGTTTGTGGAAGCCGAATTTCATCTCTTTGAAATAATTTCTCCATAGGTGAATATTTGTTTAAATAGAGAATAATACATGAGCATACGTAGATATAGAATTTCTGTTCGAGTGTTTAACTCGATAGCTCACGAGTGAGTGCAGCGAACGAGTGAGATGTCGAGTTGAACACGAGAAGAGAAATTTCTTATCTACAAGCGATCATATATTATTTTGCTTATCATATAAACACAATAGCCCTCTACTGACAAGAAAACTCATCTTTATTAATGAATGAAAATAAAAGGATCGACAATCCCCAAATAAGAATCGTAAAGTGCGTAAGGCTCAACATTAAAAAATGCGTTGAATGATAATAATAATAATGTCGATAACAGTAATGATGATGTTAATGATATTTGGGAGATAAGAGATAAAGATAAATAGTTGATTTATAATCGCTTTGGCTTTGCAATTAAAAAATTGAATTACTCGATGATAATAAAAGATAATGTCAGTAAGAACTTTAGAAAGAACCATCAGTGGCTTAGAGCAAGTTCATATGAAAACTTGTGTGTGTATCTGTTACGTTTATAAATAAAATACGTCAGGTAAATAGAAAATTCTAATGAAATAGTTTAGGCTTAAAGGGCATTAAAAATGATAAAACTGTTACGAGATCTTTTTGTCTTGAACACGGGCCTAAACTTCCGTTTGTTTGTATTTAAGAAGGTTATGATAATTATGATGCTAATAAAACGATACTGATTTATGATGACAATGTTAATTGTGATGCTTATAACGTGATTATAATAATGATGAATATAAAAAATAACAAACTCATATCTTAGCTGAGACATAATGTATTTCTGTCTAGATTGCGTCCATGCTTCTGGAATTATGCATCTCTGAACTCGAGGATGTTGCCGCGGATAACAGCAGTGTCCACAGCGGCTTCCAACCGGTGGTACAAGAGAGTAGTCATCCATATATTGATGATACTAATACCTCTGGAGTGGTCAAGATACCAGGAGCGGAGGGGCTGAGGGTGGAGTTTGACAAACAGAGTTCCACAGAGAGAAGGTTGGTTTTGGCGTTAATGCATGACTGCTGATGCTGGGTCAGTTTTTCTCACTCGTTTGGCAGTGACGTCAAAGAGATATATATTGATTGAGGCAAATTGATAGTCGTCTTAAACAAATTTGTGAAAGGCCACGTGGGATGTTTGGCGTGTGAGAGACATAGTGTGTGTACGTCGTAATAAGGGACCTTGAGCATTCAGGAGGGTAACGTCGAGGAACACGGCAGTTGAAAAATGAATTTATACTTCCTATTAGAATTTAAGCGAATAGCTAGATGTGTTTACCGTCCCTTAAGGCGCCAAATCTCAACTTTATCATAACTATTTGAGGAGCTTTTAGTTCCAAATAGAAACTGAAATATTTCGCCGTCGTGTATCTGTTCTCAGACCATGCAAAAGTCTGGTGATTTCACGTTGTTGTTTTGCAGAGTACAGCTATGAAAGGAACACAGTTTAAAGCGCACGTGCTGAGCACATGCTGTTCTGCTCATTAGATCTTTTAGTCGGCCGTATCCTCCTTGCCGTCGCCGTCGAAGTTTGCCATAGGTCCCTCTAATTTTCCCTACGTGCACAAATTAAAACAATTTCAGTCCAAATAGACATGAGAATGTAAAGAGGTTGGTAACCTTTAAGCATCACAGTCCCACTGTACCTTGTTTAGGTCCTTTTGTCTTTTATAGCAATATGTTTACATACTATTTTAAATAGTTGACGTATGCATGACCAAGTGTGATTTATTTTTATTATATGGTAGGCACGATCCCCTTACCATCATGGATAGTACTGGTCGGGTAGTCTCGGTCCGTTCTGGACGTGAGTGGTCCGATTGGTCGAGCGAGTTACGCATGAGTGGTGACGAACTGCGTTGGAAATTTATGAGTGACAGCTCAGTGAATGGATGGGGCTGGAAGTTTACGGTGTACCCTATTCCCCCGGCCGCGGCGCCTTGCGACGTGTTATCAGACAGAGCGCTACAGTCGAGACCGTCTATAGACTTGGTGCGCTGTCTCCTGGGTAAGGAAAGAATAAACAGTTAGAGTTGGTTTTGTAAGACAGTAGTGAGGTAGAGAGACAGACATAGAGAACACAGCGGTCAAACGTAAGGCATGCGCAAGGGGATCCAATTTTACCGGCCGCACGCTAATTTCCCACTTAAAATTTCATTGGAAAACGTTAGAAACAAAAGCTGCCACACAAACATATGCGTAAAAAAATCATGGAAACGTTCATGTAAATTTGTTAAAAGAAAGAAAGGTAAGGAAATGGAAAAATCGAGACTTTTCGTGCACAAGGCTTATTTAATCGCGGGTCTCCTGCTGATTCATTTATTTTTGTTTTGAGCTTTCCCGTATACGTTATACGGTTTTTAAAAACCGCGACTAACTCGGCTGTCTGGTTGCTTAGAAGACAACTTGCCTATGCCAGCTTTAAAGCCCACCACCTAGTCTCGACATAGCCTCTCCAAAGTTCGCACTTGCGCAGACATTTAACCGCGTTGTTGATAATGAAACAGGCATTCAGCCAGACAAACGGACAGATAGATGGAAGTAAAGAATGTAGGTTTTAAAAGAAACTGTGGTGCTGCCACAGAGTACAACAAGATCATTTGGTTTTATCAACGGAGTTAATTATGAAAATCGGCCGCCGTAACTATTACTTTAAGCTGACGATTCGAGTCTTAACCCTTTCGCTCTGACGAGGGGCTAACGCGCGAAAACTCAGCTCAGAAACATTTTTAAGGTGGTCCATCATCAATTTTAACTCAGGTTAAAACTAAATCATCTAGCAAGATGGAAAGACAGACAGACAGATAGACAGACAGGCGGACAGACAAAAAGACGGACGGAATTCTAATATTTTGTCTTAGGAAGCGGCATTGAAAGTTGTGTCCTTGTTTACCCATTTACAGACTTCAAACTAGAAACACTAGGAGAAAAGGCTCAAATTCCTCGCCTAGCCGCATCTTTATCCGCATGCGCTCAACTGAACACTCTCTCAGCTGGTCAAAGAACGTGGGCTCTGCATCGCTTAAGAAAACTTCTTATGTCAGAAGTAGGTCCGGTCATTGATGTTCCTGCCCTGTTTGGTTACAATCTGATGTACGACCAACCTATTGTCCAAATGAAGAACACTGGTAACCAGCGAATGAGCGTGGTAAGCTTTGCTTTTGTCTTTTGAACAATGAACATTAGACTTGTTTTCAAATTCTGTCCAGATTGGTTTATCAGTGGTCTAGAGTTGCACTAGGACAGCTTTTATAGTTAGGTGGTGTTTTATGTAGTGATTTGCGTGAATTCTTCGTGCGTTTTCAAGTGAATTGATGGTCATTTGTTTGCATCCAGTTTAGATGGTAGAGTGCCAGTTTTCCTCAAAGCTGCTTACTTGAACTACAGACAATCGGAAAGGAATTAGTGAAACTTTTGTAGTTACATACTTAAGAGAATACAAAGGATGAAAGAATAAGTAGGAATTTGGTTTATTATGACGAGACCTGTTTTAGCTAACCTCATCTTTGTTTTTTCCTTAGGGCATCGCCTCCTCGGCTTTAGGAAAGCTTGTGCGAGGTCTCCCAGACACGTTAAGAAGACAATATGAATACGAAGAACCACTAGTTCGAGGTGGAAAGCACCTTTTTCACAGCGACTTCTTTAAAGTGAGTATTGCATTGCAGGTGTAACGATGGCTGTGCAACGTCGGGATAAAATTGCTGAAATTCTATCTGGGAGGCCTTAACCCCTAAACCCCTAAGAGAGACAAGCATCTAATTTCTCCCTACAGTATTACCTCAGAGTCATACGTTAAGTCATGAGAATAAGAGAGACTAGCATCTAATTTCTCCCTACAATATCACATCTGAGTCATACGTTAAGGTCATGAGAATCAAGGAAATGATCACTAACTAAAAAAGCTCTTGATTGTTAAAGAAATTATCCTTCTGACACCTTAAGAAATGTATGAAAACAGTGTGGAGAATATGCGTAATGATGTTAGGGTGTAACAGGATTAATTTCGTTTTGAGTTCTGCAGATGCTTCAATTGCAGCACACCTGAGACGATCTGTACTGTACTTCGTTTTTAATCCGCAAGTCCAATGAAATTTACCTTATTACAAGTTGTGTCTGTTTCCTCCAAAGTAGAGACTTAAATTTGACTTCGCTCCCAACATGTGGCTTCTCAGCTCAGTTGTTAGTAGCGCCCAACTAATATGTGGGAGGCATGGGTTCGAATTACGTTGAAGCCTGGATTTCTCTTTCAGGCTTCTCTCCTGCGCTTGCTAAGCTTTGCTTAAAATGTTCGGTACGAAATATTTCTGGCATGGGTTTGCGTCAAAAGAGTTTTGTCACGTACAGTTAGTTGTAAACAGCTCCAGTAGTGACCAGCTTCTCATAGAATGAAATGCAATTTCAAGGAGGAGAACATCAAACAAAAACCGCTTAGCTCAAAAAAATGGATGGATTAACTCACTGGGAGAAGACTGAAACGGAATGCACGCTTTCAATTATTTTTCTTTCCCGTTCTTTCTATTGTTTTCATTCTGTATTTCATGCAATTATAATTTTTTTCTTTTTACTCATTTCTTCTTCTATTTCTTTCTTGTTTGGTCAATCGTAGGTTCTTGTGGCCTTTGCGTGTGATCTTACCCTAGACTTTTTACCATGTTGTGCCGATGGGCACGAGTGGGCCTGGTTTCGACGCTTTTGCATGGCCTCTCGGGTGGCGTCTTCACTGGAATTAAGGTCACCCTTGCCGTATGACTTCTTGACGGAAGTGGGAGAGAAAATAACAGAAATGATGCTGGAAACAACTCAGGACTGTATAGTAGAGTACAATGATCATAAGGTGTTTAAAAAGGAACACGACGAACAGTTGCTTTTGTGGCTCAATCAGTGAGTGTGATTCATCTATACCAGGCATCAATGTGAGTATCTGATGAACTGTACACCTACCCCCTCCTCTAACCCAATGACAGTCAACCGATAAAAAGTTAGTGCTAATGTTGGGTTAGGGGAGGGGAAGGTGTGCAGTTGCTCAGATACTGACATTGATCCGATGCAAGAGTAGACGTTGTGTAAGAAGGTTGCAAAGGAAGGTGGAAGGGAGGGAATAGAGAGGATGCAAATCTAATTTTCCTGCCCGTTTTGTACCTTCGTTTTTTCTCACCTCTTTAACTGCTTTTCCGGCGAAAAAATATGGGACCAAGTAACCAAACAACCATCCAAGTGAGTGAGACCTTCAAGACAATTTAAGGTCTTCTTTGACAATCTCGGTTTTTAGTCGGGTTGTAACATTCCGGCGTGAAGGCGCTAAACAGCCGTGGCAGAATTATGAGCGCTAGTGTTTGAGAAGCTCCTGGCCCGTAGGTTACTAGGACGTTATTAGAACCTAGACACATGTTTACGCCCGTAACTAGAACTTAGACTCTTGAAATTCTGAACTAGGGCCAACATTCTTGAGGTATTCCCTTAAGTGAGGTTTTCTTAATTCGACAATTTCGTCGAAAAAAATTTACTTCTCCTCGGAAAACAAAGGAACCTTCGTTTCAACGTTGTATTTTAGGGTTTCTTTTTTTTTTTTTTTTTTCTTGTAGAATTTTCTGAGAAGTTTGCGCCTCTGTCCAATTACTCTTTGATTTATTTTTATTGTAATCAGGCGACCATCTGATTGGACGGTTACCTGGGGCGGCAGTGGAACTATTTACGGTTGGGGTCATAACCACCGCGGACAGCTGGGTGGTATTGAAGGTGGCAAAGTCAAGTTCCCTCAGCCATGTGAAGCACTCAGTGCTATCCGGCCTGTCCAGATTGTTGGAGGTGAACAGACTCTGTTTGCCGTAACAGCAGAGGGAAAGGTTTGATGAGTATTCTATATGTGTGCTTCGTTTTTGTCTCTGATTGTTCCTACGTTCTTTTTTTTCAATAAATTATCGAAGTAAATGATCTGAGGACGGTTTTAAATTTTGCTAGTAATCTTAAATAATCAAAAGGAGTGCCTGTACTGTTAAAAATGTTACATATTGATTTTTAGTTTCCGCCAGATTTTGTAGAAGTTTTGCTATTGTGCGTTATTGCGCGGGTTTGGCAGAATTGGGCGGTTCTGTCTGAACCGCTGCATCAAAGTCAAGAGGCAGAGCAACTGCCTGTATTTATTTTGATATCGTTTGTATTCGTATAGGTTTATGCGACAGGATACGGTCATGGTGGGCGTCTTGGTCTCGGTGGAACAGAAACGGTAACGTCAGTGCGACTTATCGAATCGCTCCAGCACGTGGTCATTAAGAAGGTTGCTGTGCATTCTGGGGGAAAACACGCTATGGCTCTTTCCCAAGACGGTGACGTGTACTCTTGGGGAGAAGGGGACGACGGGAAACTTGGACATGGTAATCGGAAGTGAGTATTTCTCTTAGAAAAAACATTCTGAAGTCATTATTGATTTTTAAAAAAAAAAAATTGCGGTCATTCATTGCGGCGAATGCATTTGTGAGGTTTAATCGTTTCCCCACGATATAGACGCTTTCGATGAGGATGGCGACGTTTCGACTTTCAGCGTCCTTCAGGTGACAAGTTTCCACGTTATATGCTTCTTCCTAAAAACCATTGTGCTTAGTCCAGATTGGCACCGGTCGAAGAAGTGTTCCCTTGGAATCGCAATCAATACACTTAGCTCCGGAGAGGGCAATGCCCGCTGTTAGCCTGCTCTGAAACAACCGAAACGTGTGGCTGTGACCGGTCGTTATCTCATTATTTATTGCTTGGGGGGGGAAGGAAGATTTTGGTTTCGCGTTTGCCGCCAGCTGAGCAAACAAAGTGGAGTTTTGGACGTCCTCCAACCGTTGACCACTCAGCTAAGAGGTACTTTGGCAGCGGGCGAATCACTTCTCAGAGTCTTATCGTCTTGCAACTGTTGACCACTCACCTTAGAGGTAGAGGAAGCAAAGCTACCAGCAACAACTTTGGCAGCTGGCGAATCGAGTGTCAGAGACTCGTCGAGTTTGAGGGACCTTGCAAATGCTACAAATGTGTCTCAATAAAATGTACCTGATCCCCCCATAGGGCTCTGTAGTATTCTTATGATCCTCTCCCATTGGCAGTCAGTTTTCAGTATTCCCCCCTTTGTACTCTGTTGCGACGACTGATCCCCCTCCGGTCCTCCTAAAATCCATGTTATTTCCCGCCCCCCTCCCCCTCCCAAAAAAAAATCCTTCAACCCCTTCTCTCCCCCAGTCGGTCGATAAATAATACAACTCGGTTCGGTACCTCAGTCATCCTCCGTGACTCACTCTCGCATAAGTCCTTTCAGTCTTCAGTCTTCAGTCTTCAGTCTTCAGTCTTCAGTCTTCAGTCTTCAGTCTTCAGTCTTCAGTCTTCAGTCTTCAGTCTTCAGTCTTCAGTCTTCAGTCTTCAGTCTTCAGTCTCGCTCAACTGCATTTACAGGGTAACCTGTAAATCAGTCAATCAGAGCTAAGCACAGTTCTTCTCCAATTGATCTTATTCTTATGCCATGCGTTATAATTTTACAGCTCATGTGATCGCCCTCGAGTCATAGAAGCCCTGCGTGGCAAATCTATCGTTGACATTGCTTGCGGTGGCTCACACAGCGCCTGCATCACAACCTCTGGGGAGCTGTACTCTTGGGGCAAGGGCCGTTACGGACGGCTTGGCCATGGTGACAGCGATGACCAGCTGCTACCGAAACTAGTGGAAGCGTTACGTGGCCAACGTGTCATAGATGTAGCATGCGGAAGCGGTGATGCGCAGACACTGTGTCTTACTGATAACGACTGTGTGTGGTCCTGGGGTGACGGAGATTACGGAAAGCTAGGTCGGGGAGGTAGTGACGGCTGTAAGATCCCGATGAAGGTAGAGGCGCTGATGCGAGCTGGCGTGTGTAAAGTTGAGTGTGGATCACAGTTCTCTGTGGCTCTGACAAAGTCTGGTGCTGTTTACACATGGTAAGTGTCCATAACATTGCAAATTGTCAAAGGTAGAAGTGTTTGTAAGAGTAGTAAACAGATTCAGAGGAGTCATTGGTCGTTTTATTGCGCCCAATCTCGGACAAGCTAACAGTAAACTGGACATTTTTAATCACACGATCTTGGCCTGTAATTCAGAGAGCTAGGAATTCACTGCATGTCTGTTTGCATGTTTGCATTCTCTGATAAACCCAAGGCTATGGATTCCTACTGCCCTTTTCCCCGTTTTCTTAGCTAGGCTGATCAACAGAACAAGCAGATGTATCCATTATTCCTTTGAATTGAATGAAAGAAGTCGAAACGCGGGAAACATGGCAAACTTGTGGACAAATATATTCTAGGGTTGTATCAGGAAAATTGTGGAAGATCTGTTCCAACAGAGCCGCAATTTGTATGATTTTGAATTAATATTTTGATACTTAGGGGTAAAGGTGACTATTACCGTCTTGGGCATGGCTCAGATGATCATGTGAGACGTCCCAAGAGAGTAGCAGCCCTGCAAAACAAGAAAGTAGTTGCTATAGCAACGGGTTCGCTGCACTGCGTGGCATGCACGGACACGGGAGAAGTCTACACGTGGGGCGATAATGACGAAGGTCAGCTGGGAGATGGATCAACGAATGCCATTCAGAGACCGCGCTTGGTAACAGCTCTACAGGTAAGTCGACTGTAAAATGTCTTAGTCAGTCTAAAAGTCAGTCTACTGTAATGATCCTTTGGGAGGTCTATCGGGTTACTGGAAGCCCAAAAGTGGCGCAAACTGCAAACACAAAACAAAAGCTATTTTCGGGAATGTTCCATTCATTCTTTGCCATAGCTTGAAGCCGTGGACTGATCAACACGGTTGTTCAAGTGCGTTCAAAACAGTTTCCTTGCCTTCCATTTCTTGTTTGCCTTTGAGCCTTTGAGGTGGCTCTTCTGAGATTTTGCGAGCTAAGAAGGTGTAAGAATATTATACAGAGAAAGGATTAATTTGATACCGTCCATTTGTCTCTATGTAGGGAAAACAGACAAACCGGGTTGCTTGTGGTTCTGCTCATACGATCGCCTGGTCCACTACGAAGCCCGCCAATGCCGGCCGCCTTCCAAAGGAAGTTCCTATGGAATTTAACCATCTACAGCATATCCCCTTGGGGGCCTTGAGAAATCGTCTCATGCTTCTTCATCACTTCTCCGAGCTTGTGTGTTCTTCTATCGCTTTATTTGATCTTCAGCCCCGTTTGAAAGAACCCATAGGTCAAGGAACCTCTGTGGCCCTGGATGCTCTTCGAGGTGTCCTAATACCATCTGGGAAGGTACGGTGAATCACTTGTGCTTTTCTTCTCAGGTTATCCTGCGATATAACTTTTTCTTCCTTTTCTTTTCTTTTCTATTCCATTCTCCTTCGAAACCGCCATGCAGTAAATTTTACCCTCATACAAGGGTAGTTTTGTGGAGGCGCGGTGGCCTCATGGTTAGTGCGCTCGACTCCGGATCGGGTGGTCCGGGTGCGAGCCCTGGCCGAAGTCATTGTGTTGTGTTATTAGGCAAGACACTTTACTCTCACAGAGCTTCTCTTCATCCAGGTGTACAAATGGATACCAGCAAATGTGCTGGGGGTAACCCTGAGATGGACTAGCATCCCATCCAGGGAGAAGTAGCAACACTCCTAGCCGCTTCATGCTAAGAAAACCGGAGTTAAGCATCAGCCCCATGGGCCCCATGGGCCACTTGGGCCCGTATAAAGGCTTTACAAGGGTAGTTTAAGAGTATGATTAAAGGGGGTGAGCTTCGGTGCGTGAGTTTAACAAGATAATTTGGTTTTATCTACCGAGTTGATAATGTGAATTGGACACCGTAGAGAGTTTCTAAGCAGTTTTACAACTCTTTATGGTTGCCAATTTAAATAATCGACTCAGTTGATGAAACCAAATTATCTAGACTAGGAGTGTCAACATTTGCCTTTTTAAATGCAGAAGCACACAACTGATTTATGATGAGGTCTAAGTTGAAAATATAGAGTACACAGGAACTTAGAAGCATTCTCTGATTGGTTACCGAAAGAATGTTTACGAAACGTTTTACCAAGGAGAGCAGCCTTTAAAAAAGACCTTGTATTGATCCCAATTATTTTTTAACCCCAGGAGGCTGCTTTTCGTAAGGTTGTTCAAACAACTATGGTCCGTGACCGGCAACATGGTCCTGTGATAGAACTGAACAGAATACAGGTAAGGCTATTTTTGTAAACTCAATGCCCTGACAGAAGTCGAACCATTAACCACCCACTAAGCACTTTGGCGACCACAAGTAGTCAGGCTTTTGAAGTAGGATTTTGTGACGAACTTTCTTTTGACATTTTGTTATGAGGCATTCTACGTCACAAATTGAGCTCACGAGCTTGTAGAAAGGATTGGGAGCTGAGAATCACAAATCATAAACGAGTTTCACAATCATTGTGAGATAAATTCGTTTACGATTTGTGATTCTCAGCTCCCAATCTGATTACGTCTCGTTAGAAAATTAAAAGGTCATTACTCAGTTCCGGTGAAAAATGAGGGAAACCCATATTTCTTAGATTTGAATGCCTGCGATGCCTTAGTGCCATGATGAAAGTGAAGATGGCATATTGAAATGAGAGATTTATTTATCTCAGTCGGTTAGAGATAACGTTAGCTTCTTCATGTGACTTGAATTTACAATGTTTAATGTGGGGCCTTTGCTTCTGATTAAAACATCTCATCTCCTCAGATCAAGAAGTACCGCTCCAAAGGTGGACTGACAGGTCCAGACGGCTCCAAGTCGGTATTTGGTCAAGCTTGTTCTAAAATGAGCAACTTCGGTCCTGACAGCCTGTACCTTCCGCACCGTGTGTGGAAAGTCAAGTTTATCGGCGAGAGCGTGGATGACTGTGGCGGAGGTTACTCTGAATCCATCGCAGAGATGTGTGACGAGCTCCAGAATGGCTCCCTCCCCTTGTTGATTGTGACGCCAAACGGACGTGAAGAGTCTGGAGCTAATCGCGACTGCTTTATCCTCAACCCGGATGCTGCTACTCCCGTTCATCTGAATATGTTCAAATTCTTGGGAGTGTTGATTGGTATTGCGATCCGGACGGGAAGTCCGCTGAGTTTGAATCTCGCTGAACCTGTTTGGCAGCAATTGGCAGGTACTTGTTTTTGTCCCTAGAGCAAGCTTAAACATTCTCTTAAGCGAATACCGTACACTTTATTTTTTGCTGATGTGGAGATTCTGGCTTAAAGTCGATTTATCATCGTCCGAGTGATGATTTCATCAATTCTCGTCATTTTTTTCTCAGTAATATGCGTTAACATTGTTATACGAGTGTGAACGAAGATCTTTCGGGGAGTGAAAGGGTTAAGTATGGCGTAAGAGGTTTGACCTCGTTCTTTAGTGTCCTTTTTTAGCTGCTGTTAATAGTTATCCTTCAGAAACTTTCACGTTCTCTTGTGTAACTTTTGCTGTAGCGATGTGACGACTAATTTCATAAAAATTTCTTGACCTCCTTATCCCCTTAGGGATGTCTTTGCGAGTGACTGACTTGGCTGAAATCGACAAGGATTACGTTCCAGGTCTTATGTGCATCCGGGATATGGAGCGCGAGGCTTTTGAAGCCATGGAAATGCCATTTAGTACTCCCAGCGCCAGCGGTCATGAGGTACAGCTGCATAACAAGATTAAGTGCATCACGCTGGACAACAGAGAGGAATATGTCAGGCTCGCTCTACATTATCGCTTGCACGAGTTTGATCTGCAGGTATTGTACTCAATTTGAAAGGTGCTTTCTGTTTCCTTCCACGTCATGGAATTCTGAATTGTTTTCGTGAGAGAATCCTTTAATTCCCCTTGTCGTGTTTAATGTAAATGATATTGACAATAAGCTTGGACCTTTTGGTCTCTCTCTCGCTTCGGGACCTGAGGTACTCCCTAGTGGCATTGCCGAGGAATTAATTTATAGTTTATAGTTGAAATTTTGCGAATGGCTCGATGTGTTTACTACCTCTAAGGGGCGCTGAATCTCAAATTCATATGGCGTATTAGGGAGAGCATCATTGAGTTCCAAAGGAAAACTAAAATAATTTTTCGACGGGTTTTTCGTTCTCAGACCATACACGTACGAGTACCTGCCACGCATTCGTTGCCGTCGCCTTCGTGATATACGTAAGGTCCCTAACTTCTACTACAACTTCAGTTGACCATAAACTTTACAGTTTAAGACAGGCACGTTTTTCTCCTTAGATGCAACTTCTACTACATTTAAACGAGTCCTTAATTTGATTGACGACACCGTACGAGTAAAAACTTGCGTTCTTTGGCTTTCTTTGATTTTCTTGTTTAACATCAGGTATCTGCAGTTCGAGCAGGCATGGCACGAGTGGTTCCAGTTCCTTTGCTGTCATTGTTCACTGGTCCAGAATTGGAGACAATGGTTTGCGGCAGTCCCGACATTCCTCTGGACCTGTTAAAGTCCGTGGTGACGTATAAAGGCGTGGAAGCTAATGCACCATTGGTTCGTTGGTTCTGGGAGACACTGGAGAGTTTCTCGAATGCTGAACGCTCCTTGTTCCTCCGGTTTGTTTGGGGGCGCACCCGTCTACCAAGAACCATTGTAGATTTTCGAGGCAGGGACTTCGTGTTTCAGGTAAGCTAACTATTCGTATATAGAAAGGGGGGGTAAGTTTCTAAAGAAATTGTGGAGCTGCGTTAGTGGGAGAGTAAAACAGGGTAATTAAGTATTATCAACTGAGTTGATAACGTTAACTGGCCAATGTAAAGAGTCTCAAAGCTAACTTTTCGAGCGTTTCAATCGCTCTGACGGAGGGCAAACGCTCGAAACGTCAGTTTCGGTGGCCAGTTTACGTTATAAACTCAGCTGATAAAACTTAATAACCTTATTCGTATGAAGAACTGATAAGACTCTGATGCTGTAGCTAGAAGCGATCGTGACACATTACCTATTGGTATTTCCGGCCTTGTTTTGAAGGAAGTTTTAATAACTTATCACAGCACTCTTTGTATAGAAGTATTTTGAGGGCCAGTTAACTGATTTCATCCTCGGGATTTTCCCAGGAAATTACCTTACAACTGCGATGAAGCATAGCATACAAGAGAGAGCAATAAAGTTCAGTGCAACCAGTTAAATTGCGCTTACAGTAGAGTTGTAGAGGATTCCAATTCAAATCTGCTAACATATGTGTTGTTTTTAGGTGCTTGACAAATACTCTCCCCCAGACCACTATCTGCCCGAGTCCTACACCTGCTTCTTCCTTCTGAAGATGCCGAGATACTCGTGTCAGCGTGTGCTCTGTGAGAAGCTCAAGTACGCTATCCACTTTTGCAAGTCAATAGATTCTGATGATTACGCCAGGATTGACCTGACAGGCGAACAGGCTGAGGAATACGATACTGACGTGGAGGCGTTTTAGCTGCAAATCTTTGAAAAAAAGTTTAATCATAATGCGGTGAATTAACAGCACATGACCTTTTAATTTTATGGTCTCCATGTAGATTCCTTCTTCAAAGCCAGGTATGGCTTTTAGTGGATTAATTGTTGGGAAAAGGATAATTTTCTAGATAAAAAATTTTATGCCAAATGTATTGTTTTCGGCTCAATGGAGTCACAGATCGAGGATAAAATTTGTATTACGCTTGGTTCCGCGCTCACATCTTCCGAAATTTTTCAAAATGCTGGTGTAGATGTTGGAAGAAAAATTGCGGGCCATGTTTGCGCCTGTGCACGGGAGTGTCTGCTGTAACTTATGTAGAGTCCCACCGTCAGATTTACTCTACTGTGATGGTACTTCGACAATTCATTGTATACTCTTGCCCCGAATGTTTGTGGTGGAGTTAATATAATATGAAAAAATGTTCCGAGCTCGAGAATATTACAATTATAGAAATGTAATCCTAAGTTATTAACATGTGTGAACTATTTTTAATTAAGTGTATCAGTGTGTGAATTGTTTCATTTATAGTTACAATGTTTTTCGTTGTGTTCTCAAAAGAACTAGTGGAATACAGTGAAGAATAACAATAAATTTGAATTGTGAAAATATCTTTTTTGGAATCTGAGTTGTTTCATTCTGCAATTGTTTAACTCGAGCAATCTTTAAATGAAATAGAACTGGGCCATATCTGAAAAACGCATTTTCGGAATAACTGGTCATATGGCACGTTCTATCAGAGCATTACCGGACAAAGAGTTTATGTTACATTGGTAGAAATTTTGCTGCTTTCTTTTCTTTTCTTTTCTTTTTTTTTTTTTTTTTTTTTTTTTCAACAGATGTGTTGTTTTGTTCCCCGCGTAAGCGATCAAACAGAAGTCGCCTTTACTACTTAGTGAGTAAAGGGAAAACGATCTTAAAGAAAACAAAGGGGTCTTTGCTTTTGACAGGCAAAAGGAGAACTTGCTTGATGAACAATCTCCGCCGGCTTTGTTTTAGAAATGTAGCTGAATACAAATCGTGCATTACTTCAATAACATAAACAAAGTTATTGAATGGAGGGATTATTTCTCAAGGGAGCATAAGCTATTTTTAGTTTGCAGAAATAGCCAACACTTTCTAAACATTGTCACTGAGAATCATTTTAAGCCAAAGATTTCTTCAGAAATTCAAAGGACCAGATCTGGATGTTAAAATCGACGACGGACAACGAATTTTCGCCGAAAGAAATTGTAATTAACTGTTCTTCATTTCTAGCCTGTTTACTTAAAGGATTTAATAACAACACTTCGTTAGGTTATGTGTTTGTTCCGTTAATGTTTGTTTAACGCCGAAGCTTTGAACAAGGCACGATCACAGTGAAACTTACCTAAAAGCGACATTTAAAGGATTTTTTTTTTCATCAAAGTGGTACGCAAGGATTAAACAGAGTTAAAGAGAGAATTAGCACTGTTGTAAGCTTGCTGAAAAGCAAAACGTGTTCACTTTTATGACAAACTAATCCTTTCTAATCTACCGTCACTTATGAAGAAAGTCGCGGAAACGGAAAATGCAAATAAGCCGCCAAGAGTAAGTGTCAGTCATTCAGGGTTTATTGAATTCAATTTGTCGGTCGAGAGAAATCCTGTAATTCCGGAATTTCTTTCGTCACTATATTATAAGATACGCGTACAGTAACATACGTGATAGTTTCGTGAGCCATCCAGGCCATGACTACCGTGTAACACTTCAAAAAAACTCAGACGATGTATCTAAATATCTTAATGTTGAACAAGCCCCCGAAGTAATTATCTACTAAAGTAAATAGCACCGAGTCGCATGAAAATACAAATGGAAGCAACTGGCAGTAAACCCATGACCAAGATCCACAAGTCAGGATTCACCAGGAATTCGATATCTACCCACAACCTTCTGGAAGGTTCGAAGTATTATGTACTTGGTAAGAGAGAATCCACGCCCGAAATTGATCTCGACACGTCGGTTCCCTTTCGTCGTGAGAGTATCACATTGAGGACTAAATCAACAGACACTATGTCGTACAACCTATGGAAATCTCGCCGGAGTTCTTTACCTAATTACTTGCCCACTGGGCAAAAGAAAATTCCAAGTTGCTCGGGGTTTTCTGTACCTTTTGTTTTAACAAAGGAACCGAAAGTGCTACGCAAGTATTCTACTTCTCTTGGGAGCACTGAAAACCCGGAGAGCAAAGAGCAAATGAATGAGGTAAACCCTGGCAAAGACGCTGCGAAAAATGATGCAGTATCAACAAAGATTCGCGTATTGCCAAAAGAAGAAACATGGGAACAGATATTTCGACGAGAAAGCTCGGCGATAACGCAGGGATCAAGATCATATTGTGATTCCGTTTCAACGCTAAGAGGTTCGAGTATTTCTTTACGAAAAAGTGGAGGAGAACATATGGCATATTACGCAAAAAGTGACAGCATAAAGCGCTGGCTCAGCGAAGTAGAATAAAAGAATCAAGAGATTATTCTTAAACCCGAGCTTACCCAACCTTGCTTCATTTTACTAAGTAATAAAACGTAATTTTAAGAAAATGAGTTGAAAGAGAAAACTTCGGCAGAAAATTATAAATCTTGGAATAGCTACATATTTCGCCACGTGATTTCTGGAACCGTTTTATTTTAATGTCATTGGCGTTGCGCCTTCACGATATTGATCAATCGATACTGCCACAATTCATGATTTGCTCAAACGTTTTGTCCCGTTCGGGGACTGAAAATTTGTAGTAAAAGAAAGATTTCGCCCGCTTCCGTTTGATTTACTCTGATTCTTTTTAACTTAAACTCAACGAATTCGCCTTGTAGGAGCAAAGGGAAATTTTTACTCATGGAAAACCCAGCTAGTTGGTTACACTAAGTCAAGATGTTGAGGGGCAGAAGTGAGGTTTGGAGAAAAAGCGGAACTTCATATCATTTACCACTTAGGCCTTTTGCATGCTGGATTTTGAGCGAGGATGTCACTATCCAATGACTAGGCGTCCTTAGGAACCGTCAATAAGATGGAGCACCAGCTGCTACCGCAGAGTACATCTAAACAATGATTTAACCATAACATAAACTGACACCCTAAAGCGCCATATTTTTCGCTCCTTCCATTTTATGGAACTCAATTGACCATGTTACGACGACTGGAATTATTGACAAACCTCTTCGTTTGTCTGTTTATTGAAAGGTAGAATAGTACGATTTGTGGTCGATCTTAATGATTTAGTCATAAAACTAATTAAAAAAAAAAAAGGAACTCATATAAGCTGTGACTCATGTAAGACAAAACAATTTTACTAATTTCCGCTCCTTTGTCTGCACCGGGCGAGGGTTCACTTTCTCACGCCAACTTAAGTAAAATTTGAGGATCAAAATTTATTACATAACATGGCATGGAGCAAAGAAAGATTATCTTTTGATTGCCATAACAACTTCGCCTCATTAATTTTTGTAAATTGCTTTTGGCAGTATGTTGTGCAACTGTCATGGTGGATTTTGGGTTTTGTTTTCAACTTAGCCCAGCTCTTGGAAAGCAAACAACGGCGGGCTGAACATCGCAATAGATATCACGAAACATTTTGTGTCTTAAAAAAGAGGTAAACGCCAATTATCCAGACATCACGTACAAAACGCGTGGTCCAAGATTTACAACTTTCCAGGACCCATTTGTGACCTATGGATTAGCAACGACCAATTCCTCCTCACGGAAACACGGAGGCTTTGGCGGGAATTTGATATTGATAAGACCCTGCAAACACCAAATGAGCCACATAGCTATCCATCAAGAAAAGAAAAATATATGTATGGGTACTTTCAATTGCTCTTCATTATCTAAAAGACGTCATGACCGCAGCTTGAGTATGCACATAGTATAAGTACCAACTTTTCCGAAACGTGATCATGAAAGCCCAATCAATTATAGGCACTGTAACGGGGAGGGAGAGAGGAACTCGGGAAGTTTCTATTTCTCTTTAATAGCTCTCCAGAACGACATTTGTTTCTTTGTTCTTTTTATTTGGTCTTTTGACATTCTTGACGGTCAACTGCGCATTCGTGAAGTTTCGAAACAGCAAAACCTCGATGCGTATTAAAGGAGAAAAAACATTAATTCTACGCTCTCTACCAGCACTTTATGAAGAAATATGTCAGCTTTATGACAAGAATTTGAGGCTATAAACGGTAGGTAACGCAAAGCCACAAAAATAACTCGTAACTCAACAAAGTAACATCTTGAAAATACGCTGAACGTCATAAATATTCTATCGACTTAACTTAACACAATGAGAGAAACAAACAAAATGAATTAAATACGCCTATGGAACTTATGTAATGGATGTGTTTTCTCTCCCAAAGACTAAAGGTTGTTAGCACAGAACTTACCTCATCAATCAGGGTAAAATGAAGCTTACTTTATTGACCAAACCTCTTCTAGGCACTCAGTGTAAATATGTCAATTATCCACAAATTGTCTTTCGACTAACATTTTGCATAATTATCAAACGTTTGAAAAATTTCCCAAAATTACCTGCTTCAGCGGGATAATCAGGAACGCGAACGGAAACGGAACCTCTTCTATCAAGATATTTCCTTCCTGAGACAATCCTTGAATCGCTATTAATGATCCACGAAACATTTCAAGAGTCATTCAAGAATCGAGAGAGGCTCTATGTATTGCAGCCATGTATCACGCAGGGTATAAATTCATTGTGTAAAGGGAAGTTTATCGAAGTGAAAAAAATATGTTATTTTGAGCGCAATTTACTCTGTATTTGTTTTAAATAAGATACCGTTTAAAAAGCAGAGGGATAAGTTAAAAATATATCTCGATGATACTAAATTGTATGGAGAGAGAAAGAAACTGAACATGAATGTGATCTTCGCAATAATGAATACTACTTAAGTGACTAGTGACTTAAGTGTCTAAGCTAACACTACTTATCAAGCGAAAATACGGCTTGAAAAAAATTCAGGCCTGTACAGGATTTGAACGCATGTTCAAGTGATACCGGTGCAGTACTCTACCAACCAAGCTAACTAGGCTGTTATGTTCGTTCCAAATAAACCCGTAAAGGGATAAACAAATGAAGGTGAATAAATGAAAATCATATATGTAAACTGCAGATAAAGAAGTGACTATGAAAGTGATCTTCGCAATAATGAACACTAGTTATAAGGCAGTAGTGGAAAAAACTACTAACTAACCACTACTTAGCAGTAGTGAAAAAAACAGACAGCAGGAATAACCTTAGCAATCTTCTCCTCGCTCACATATTTTACTCTCGAGGAATTTCCCTCATAAATGTTGAAATTCGGTCTTATTTCGATCAACTTGATTTTCAATTCAGATGCACGTGACTGCACTTTCGATTGATTATTGTTTGATTGAACCTATTTGTTTTCGTACGTTGTTACTGTATCCTGACAAAGAAACTGGTCACTTCCAAAAGCTTAAGTTATAAACTAACATTGCGACAGGCGAATTAAAGAGGACGGCACGTATCAGAAGATTCAAGTTAAATATTGCTTTTTGTTGCGATTGGGAAGAACGGGCTTAGGGTGCTATAAGAAGAAACTGAGGGCTCTAATGGAAAATAGCGAGGTCAATAACCTCTGATATCAATTACCATAAAATTAACTATTAATAAACTTGCATGGGAAGGTTTTAAAATTGCGCTTAGAAACACATAGCATACTATCATCACTGAATATTTTGTTTCACATCAACATATGTCATATAACTGAAGCTTCTTCTTCAATCAGTTTCACGAGAACTGAGAATGAGTCATCTACCCTTAGCTAATGACTCGACCTTAGATGTTGCCGACTTAATTTCACCCGCAAAGAGTGATAACGGATATTCGTCTCTAAATATAGAGTATCGTTCGCAAGGAAAAAATCTTGAGGCATATCGTACATTCGTTTCTCTCTCTGTGTTTACCACAGGAGGATGGAAACAGGGTGTCAATTTTGTATCCAGATTCCAATCTAGCAAATGAGATCTTAACGGTGGCCATCTCTTAATTTTGTTCGACGTTTTCATGAGTCAGAGCCTTTGGTTCCACTGACGTGTCTCCGCTTTTTTACCTGTTAATGGACCTCTTTGAACTTGAGGAATAGAAGAAGGGTTAAGAAAATTGTCACTCAGCTCACCGGCTGAATTAGAGTCATAGCTTGTAAAAGGTTGAAGCGAATCCGGAGATTTGTCAACCTTCAATACGGGCAGACTAATCCGTCTTTGCCGAGGTCCTTGGTTGACACTCACTCCACCTAGGACAGAATTGTCCCCAAACATCCATCCGTTCGCCTCAGTTTTTCGAAGGGGAGTACTTGTATACTTCTTTACTGAACAAGGGTTTTCATAAAACGCAGGCATATGTGCATCCAGATTCACTTCTCGTTTTGCCAGCTCCACACGTCCTCCTTCGAGAAACTGATCAGGTTTTAGCTGAACGGGTCTACTAGGCAGTGATATCTTTCTACGACGATGCAATCCAACGAAACCTCCATTTGCTGCCGTGCTTGTTGCATCTTGAACACAATTTACAGGTTCATTTCTCTCGCCAGCAGCTTCAAGCGAGCCAAGAGATTTAGCGTGTCTTGGAATGCTTCCACTGGAAGATGAAAGGCGTCTTCGACGTCCGTTGCCATTAACTTCGTCATTTTTTAAGTTCACTGCGTCGTTAGCCATACAGTTTTGTTCCTTAGGCTCAATAAAACTTGACATCTGCGGAGAAGGGAAATTGTGCGAGTCCATTACACTACCAATGCCTTTGTTGATATATTTCTCAGCATTAAAAATACGAATTCATTTCGTCACGGGTAAATAAGCCCATTTTGAAGTCATTGCCCCCAGCAATTAATTTCGCCAATTACTTTATTTCAAACTTTAGAACCTTTAAACTAATTTGAGCCCACACCGCTGAGCACACACCGTGTGGTTGACAGCTTTCATGGAATAAATTAATTTTGGCTCCTCGAACCAATTGCACCGTAGCTTAGACTAACGAAACGCTTGCCCTATAACTTACTAGTCGTCATAGCTTATCCATGAATTAGAAATGGCATTCCTTTTATAAAGAGAAGCGTCCTTCATTTTCCTTGGTTTGTATCCTATTATTTCATTTGGGCGCAATCGTGCTTTCGTCTTTCAAAGGTTTCGTTGAGCAAACTGTACACAGATTCACCCATGCAAAGCAAATTGGTTCCAAAGTTTGATAACTTTGAAAAAGCTTGAAGGGGGGTATATTTCTGAGACCTTCTCTGAATGTTTAAGGGAAGGTGTAAAATATTTCCAGACACTTCATTTACTGTGCGCGAAACGCCAGTTAATCAATGACAAAATGAAACATCAGTCAAAACAATAGTTTACATAAATTACGAATATCTCATCTAACCAAACAACAGCTCAGAAAAAGACTGATCTCGACCTAATCCTGACCGAGGGGTAGACAGTTGCCTGTGATAGTCTTACCGATGAGATTTCTAAAGTCTGAATAACGAAACAACTAGTCACGCGCGAACACTCCGACTGCTTTAATTAATCACGAAAAGATTTTAAATTTTACTTACATCGTAGATATTTCGTAATAACACACTGATATCATTTGCAGACACTGGATAAGGTTCGTTACCTCACCATTAGGGTCAGATGAATTATGCTGGCATAATTTTGAGCATAATGCTATAATTAAACTATCGAGCTTAATGCCGGCATAATGGTTAGGCTTCTTTCCAATTCCCTTGATGTTACATTTCAATAAGAGATAAACTTTTATTCTTAACAAGTTTTACCTGTTAATGATAGGAATAGAAGGGGTGGTAGGTTGAGGGGCTCTTAAAAGTTATTATTTTTCTTTATCAAATTTAGCATGAAGAAAAATTTTAAGTTAAAGTTTCGGCATAATGCTATGTTTTCAGGGGCGCCGTTCAAAAGCATACTGCTCGGATTTTCGAGCATAATTTATGTCATCCTATTCTGCGTAAAAGAAGAGACCGTTCTCTCCTCCGGATTAGAGGTAGAGATCGATCCCAACGCAGGATTTTCTACAAAAAGAAAAGAATCTGTCTTTTCTTTTGGTCTTTACGAATTAGCATATAATATGTAGTTTTGTACGACTTTTGATTACTAATTAGCAAACTTTTACTAATTAGATTATGAAAGGAATCAAGTGAATGCATTCTTATCGAGCGAATCTACAATCTCATGGAAGTTTTCGTTCCATCAGTAAAACATGGTCTTCAGTTTTCTTGTGCAGCAAGCCGCTACGCGATGATAATTCTCTTATTCAGTGGCCAGGAAAAAAGATGACAAGCCAAAGTAAATAAAACTAGATGTAAGGTATTAGATTAATTAAGCTTTAGCTTGTTGCGTAAATTGCCAAACAATCCACTGTTTGATAGCATGGCAATGCTAAATGACCTTGGGATAACAACGCATTGTTTAAAGAAGTATGGAAAGTATGAAAAAAAAACGGAAGAAAGATGCTTGGAACTAACACCTAGTTTTGTATATTCTAATACTTTTTGATGGCTAGAAAAACATCACGGGACACCTTGAACTAGTGTGGTGCAAACATGAAACTCAGAATCCAAAAGATGTAAGTTTCCTAATTACCCTCTTATAGCTGTAGTTTCCTATGCGCTCCAGCGATTTTTAAGCTTCTTGTCTCATTTCCTTGGCTCACTTGTCGGGTTTTTTGCCTTTTTGTTATATACTCACCATGTAAGCTGTTACGTATTCTTTTTTAGCAGAGGTCAGTTCGTATCCTTTTAGCCATGTTTCTTTTTTTTTTCTTTTTTGTTTCTCGTGTTTGTTTTTTGTTTTTTAATTTCAAGCTTTAAAATAATTGTTAGTTTCATCGGAGTCAGAGGTTAAACCACGGCAAGGAAGCGTTTGGTGGCTTTCGTCACGAACATCAGTTATTATTTATAACCGAATTAGTGAGTCAAATCAAGGTATCTGTTTTGCAACAAACACTGCAAGAGTCTCCGCTCAGCATTGAAGTCTCTTAAGCATCCTATCGAGAAAGTGACGCTAGCGTGCATTTGTTTTGCATTTTTCCTTCGACGTTCCCAGATATAAAATCAATAGCGATTGGTCTAGACCTGATTGAGATTGCTTACACCGCACCATATTCCAAATATCTTAACAACAACTTTAATATATTGATTCATTAAAGTGAAGCATTTTTCGTTTCTTCCTTGCATATCTTTTGATTGGCTCTGGGAGATAAAGCGTGAGGGTGCTTCTGCACTATTGCCGGTTGATGTCACCGAGTATGCGGAGCTATTCATGTTCATTTCACGACGCAATGTATTGTTACGCTAGCAACCAGAAAATAATTGAATAAAGAAAGAGAGTAAACAAATCAGTTTTATTTGAGATAAGGGCAGCTGTTCATGCGAGAGGAAAGAAGTTGAATAATGTAAGATATCTTTAAAATCCATCATTTAGAGATATTTTTTAAGTGTTGAAAGGAAAGTGCTAGGCCACTATGCCAGCACAGACTCGAAAAGCTTCGTAATCTGAAGATTCTAGAACACTGAACATTCTCGAAAATATACAGGCATTTTTTGGGTAATGAAGGGAAGTTTATCGAAGTGAAAAAAATATGTTATTTTGAGCGCAATTTACTCTGTATTTGTTTTAAATAAGATACCGTTTAAAAAGCAGAGGGATAAGTTAAAAATATATCTCGATGATACTAAATTGTATGGAGAGAGAAAGAAACTGAACATGAATGTGATCTTCGCAATAATGAATACTACTTAAATGACTAGTGACTTAAGTGTCTAAGCTAACACTACTTATCAAGTGAAAATACGGCTTGAAAAAAATTCAGGCCTGTACAGGATTTGAACGCATGTTCAAGCGATACCGGTGCAGTACTCTACCAACCAAGCTAACTAGGCTGTTATGTTCGTTCCAAATAAACCCGTAAAGGGATAAACAAATGAAGGTGAATAAATGAAAATCATATATGTAAACTGCAGATAAAGAAGTGAATATGAAAGTGATCTTCGCAATAATGAACACTAGTTATAAGGCAGTAGTGGAAAAAACTACTAACTAACCACTACTTAGCAGTAGTGAAAAAAAAACAGACAGCAGGAATAACCTTAGCAATCTTCTCCTCGCTCACATATTTTACTCTCGAGGAATTTCCCTCATAAATGTTGAAATTCAGTCTTATTTCGATCAACTTGATTTTCAATTCAGATGCACGTGACTGCACTTTCGATTGATTATTGTTTGATTGAACCTATTTGTTTTCGTACGTTGTTACTGTATCCTGACAAAGAAACTGGTCACTTCCAAAAGCTTAAGTTATAAACTAACATTGCGACAGGCGAATTAAAGAGGACGGCACGTATCAGAAGATTCAAGTTAAATATTGCTTTTTGTTGCGATTGGGAAGAACGGGCTTAGGGTGCTATAAGAAGAAACTGAGGGCTCTAATGGAAAATAGCGAGGTCAATAACCTCTGATATCAATTACCATAAAATTAACTATTAATAAACTTGCATGGGAAGGTTTTAAAATTGCGCTTAGAAACACATAGCATACTATCATCACTGAATATTTTGTTTCACATCAACATATGTCATATAACTGAAGCTTCTTCTTCAATCAGTTTCACGAGAACTGAGAATGAGTCATCTACCCTTAGCTAATGACTCGACCTTAGATGTTGCCGACTTAATTTCACCCGCAAAGAGTGATAACGGATATTCGTCTCTAAATATAGAGTATCGTTCGCAAGGAAAAAATCTTGAGGCATATCGTACATTCGTTTCTCTCTCTGTGTTTACCACAGGAGGATGGAAACAGGGTGTCAATTTTGTATCCAGATTCCAATCTAGCAAATGAGATCTTAACGGTGGCCATCTCTTAATTTTGTTCGACGTTTTCATGAGTCAGAGCCTTTGGTTCCACTGACGTGTCTCCGCTTTTTTACCTGTTAATGGACCTCTTTGAACTTGAGGAATAGAAGAAGGGTTAAGAAAATTGTCACTCAGCTCACCGGCTGAATTAGAGTCATAGCTTGTAAAAGGTTGAAGCGAATCCGGAGATTTGTCAACCTTCAATACGGGCAGACTAATCCGTCTTTGCCGAGGTCCTTGGTTGACACTCACTCCACCTAGGACAGAATTGTCCCCAAACATCCATCCGTTCGCCTCAGTTTTTCGAAGGGGAGTACTTGTATACTTCTTTACTGAACAAGGGTTTTCATAAAACGCAGGCATATGTGCATCCAGATTCACTTCTCGTTTTGCCAGCTCCACACGTCCTCCTTCGAGAAACTGATCAGGTTTTAGCTGAACGGGTCTACTAGGCAGTGATATCTTTCTACGACGATGCAATCCAACGAAACCTCCATTTGCTGCCGTGCTTGTTGCATCTTGAACACAATTTACAGGTTCATTTCTCTCACCAGCAGTTTCCAGCGAGCCAAGAGATTTAGCGTGTCTTGGAATGCTTCCACTGGAAGATGAAAGGCGTCTTCGACGTCCGTTGCCATTAACTTCGTCATTTTTTAAGTTCACTGCGTCGTTAGCCACACAGTTTTGTTCCTTAGGCTCAATAAAACTTGACATCTGCGGAGAAGGGAAATTGTGCGAGTCCATTACACTACCAATGCCCTTGTTGATATATTTCTCAGCATTAAAAATACGAATTCATTTCGTCACGGGTAAATAAGCCCATTTTGAAGTCATTGCCCCCAGCAATTAATTTCGCCAATTACTTTATTTCAAACTTTAGAACCTTTAAACTAATTTGAGCCCACACCGCTGAGCACACACCGTGTGGTTGACAGCTTTCGTGGAATAAATTAATTTTGGCTCCTCGAACCAATTGCACCGTAGCTTAGACTAACGAAACGCTTGCCCTATAACTTACCAGTCGTCATAGCTTATCCATGAATTAGAAATGGCATTCCTTTTATAAAGAGAAGCGTCCTTCATTTTCCTTTGGTTTGTATCCTATTATTTCATTTGGGCGCAATCGTGCTTTCGTCTTTCAAAGGTTTCGTTGAGCAAACTGTACACAGATTCACCCATGCAAAAGCAAATTGGTTCCAAAGTTTGATAACTTTGAAAAAAGCTTGAAGGGGGGGTATATTTCTGAGACCTTCTCTGAATGTTTAAGGGAAGGTGTAAAATATTTCCAGACACTTCATTTACTGTGCGCGAAACGCCAGTTAATCAATGACAAAATGAAACATCAGTCAAAACAATAGTTTACATAAATTACGAATATCTCATCTAACCAAACAACAGCTCAGAAAAAGACTGATCTCGACCTAATCCTGACCGAGGGGTAGACAGTTGCCTGTGATAGTCTTACCGATGAGATTTCTAAAGTCTGAATAACGAAACAACTAGTCACGCGCGAACACTCCGACTGCTTTAATTAATCACGAAAAGATTTTAAATTTTACTTACATCGTAGATATTTCGTAATAACACACTGATATCATTTGCAGACACTGGATAAGGTTCGTTACCTCACCATTAGGGTCAGATGAATTATGCTGGCATAATTTTGAGCATAATGCTATAATTAAACTATCGAGCTTAATGCCGGCATAATGGTTAGGCTTCTTTCCAATTCCCTTGATGTTACATTTCAATAAGAGATAAACTTTTATTCTTAACAAGTTTTACCTGTTAATGATAGGAATAGAAGGGGTGGTAGGTTGAGGGGCTCTTAAAAGTTATTATTTTTCTTTATCAAATTTAGCATGAAGAAAAATTTTAAGTTAAAGTTTCGGCATAATGCTATGTTTTCAGGGGCGCCGTTCAAAAGCATACTGCTCGGATTTTCGAGCATAATTTATGTCATCCTATTCTGCGTAAAAGAAGAGACCGTTCTCTCCTACCAGATTAGAGGTAGAGATCGATCCCAACGCAGGATTTTCTACAAAAGAAAAGAATCTGTCTTTTCTTTTGGTCTTTACGAATTAGCATATTATATGTAGTTTAGTACGACTTTTGATTACTAATTAGCAAACTTTTACTAATTAGATTATGAAAGGAATCAAGTGAATGCATTCTTATCGAGCGAATCTACAATCTCATGGAAGTTTTCGTTCCATCAGTAAAACGTGGTCTTCAGTTTTCTTGTGCAGCAAGCCGCTACGCGATGATAATTCTCTTATTCAGTGGCCAGGAAAAAAGATGACAAGCCAAAGTAAATAAAACTAGATGTAAGGTATTAGATTAATTAAGCTTTAGCTTGTTGCGTAAATTGCCAAACAATCCACTGTTTGATAGCATGGCAATGCTAAATGACCTTGGGATAACAACGCATTGTTTAAAGAAGTATGGAAAGTATGAAAAAAAAACGGAAGAAATATGCTTGGAACTAACACCTAGTTTTGTATATTCTAATACTTTTTGATGGCTAGAAAAACATCACGGGACACCTTGAACTAGTGTGGTGCAAACATGAAACTCAGAATCCAAAAGATGTAAGTTTCCTAATTACCCTCTTATAGCTGTAGTTTCCTATGCGCTCCAGCGATTTTTAAGCTTCTTGTCTCATTTCCTTGGCTCACTTGTCGGGTTTTTTGCCTTTTTGTTATATACTCACCATGTAAGCTGTTACGTATTCTTTTTTAGCAGAGGTCAGTTCGTATCCTTTTAGCCATGTTTCTTTTTTTTTTCTTTTTTGTTTCTCGTGTTTGTTTTTTGTTTTTTAATTTCAAGCTTTAAAATAATTGTTAGTTTCATCGGAGTCAGAGGTTAAACCACGGCAAGGAAGCGTTTGGTGGCTTTCGTCACGAACATCAGTTATTATTTATAACCGAATTAGTGAGTCAAATCAAGGTATCTGTTTTGCAACAAACACTGCAAGAGTCTCCGCTCAGCATTGAAGTCTCTTAAGCATCCTATCGAGAAAGTGACGCTAGCGTGCATTTGTTTTGCATTTTTCCTTCGACGTTCCCAGATATAAAATCAATAGCGATTGGTCTAGACCTGATTGAGATTGCTTACACCGCACCATATTCCAAATATCTTAACAACAACTTTAATATATTGATTCATTAAAGTGAAGCATTTTTCGTTTCTTCCTTGCATATCTTTTGATTGGCTCTGGGAGATAAAGCGTGAGGGTGCTTCTGCACTATTGCCGGTTGATGTCACCGAGTATGCGGAGCTATTCATGTTCATTTCACGACGCAATGTATTGTTACGCTAGCAACCAGAAAATAATTGAATAAAGAAAGAGAGTAAACAAATCAGTTTTATTTGAGATAAGGGCAGCTGTTCATGCGAGAGGAAAGAAGTTGAATAATGTAAGATATCTTTAAAATCCATCATTTAGAGATATTTTTTAAGTGTTGAAAGGAAAGTGCTAGGCCACTATGCCAGCACAGACTCGAAAAGCTTCGTAATCTGAAGATTCTAGAACACTGAACATTCTCGAAAATATACAGGCATTTTTTGGGTAATGATATGAGTTACTCGGTATTTTATCCATGCGTCGTCCCTCTCCCGCAGCCAAAGCTGCGGATTTCCTATACCGCTGAGTCTTTTTATAGAATACCCCTTTGTCTCAGTTCCATTGTTTAATGAAGAGCTCACTTCATTTAATTTCTTTTGTTGATAAACCCGCCCTAGTTTGAGGTCTAGAGGAACACAACAGTTCGGAAGCAACACTAAACAACATTTTAGTGCTAGTGGAAAGTAGTATCTGTCCTTCTTTGTGGTAAAGGGTTAAAAGATATTCCGAAAACATTAACTTATCAAACTACAACAAAACCTTCGTCTGATATTTGGATTATCATCATCACCGATATCAACATGAAGAATTCTTTCAACCGACATGCCATAGGAAAGAAAATTTCTTTGGACTATTCTCGTCATCTTTGCGATGATTCAATGACAGTATTAACTAAAAGGCCTTCTAGATCCTTCAGTGACACTGCTGCCATCGAGTTTATCAGAAGGAGAGCTCTTCAAGAAAGCACTGACTTTCATGAAAAGGATCCAAGGTTTGTTAACTCGGCGAGCACTGAAAGAATTTATCAACAAGTTTTCAATAAGGACCAGTCATTTCTTAACAAGTATAGAGACAAGAACTTAAGGGTAGAGGCACACGGCCTACCAGAAACGAAACGTCCCGGCTGGACAAGTAGTTCGGACAGAAATTCAGTCGTTAACCCGGCGAGCACTGAAAGAGTTTGTCAACAACAAGTTTTCAATAAGGACCAGTCATTTCTTAACAAGTATGGAAACAAGAACTTAAGGGTGGGGACACACGGCCTACCAGAAACAAAACTTCACGGAAATACAAGCAGCTCGGGAAAAAATTCAGTCGTTCACGCGTTCACAATAACTAGCAACGATGACGAAACTCGATCATGTTGTGATTCTGTTTCGTCGATCATTTCGAGTAACTTTGCTAGCCCTGACGAGAAAGGACAAAGAAAAAGCAAAGTTAATGGCCTTCCGGATAAAAAAGAAAAGTTTGATTCCATAACAACGTGGCTTGAGAGCTTACCCAGACCAGTTTTATAGTTTGTATGTTACAAAAGCTGAAAGAAACGGTACAAGCATGCTTGTAAAGATCCTCGAAACCACCCGAGTAGAACATGTGTTAACAAGGTGGTCGTCACTTGTTAAATTTTAAAAGGGTAGCATCAGATCCCGTTAATCTGATGAAATTACCTTTTTACCAGAAACTAGATTTTTGTTTCATTACACTGAGAAATACCGAATTCTTTTTTGATGTCTCTCTGAACAGTACTGTAAACAAAACCATAGAATTTGTTTTTGCTTCAGGCCATATGCTAACAGGTCTTTTGTTTGGTTTAAGAGTCTGAAATTCCATGTGGGTCATTTTGAATCATCTAGATCATTTATGGAAATAAAAACCGCTAAAGTCACGAAAGGAAGGTCATTTTTGACGCATTACACCGCAAATCGTGTCGGCCGCCTAACAAAATCAATTCAACAGTCTTGATTGCAGAATAGTTATGATGGCATGATTTCGCCAATTATGACTTTGGTTTTATTCAATTAGAACTTTAAGCTCAATACATTGTCATAAAATACAAATAAAACTTCTTCCTGCCCCTTGTTTTTAACAAACCGATTTTATTAAATTGATACAACGTTCGTACGTAGCCTTGTTAAAGAATTCTAGAAATTGGTACCTTCGTAGTTCCGCAAAATCTTAATTAATTGTTTAACTGTTATTGATGATTTGATAGGGAAAACACTTGGGTGATTTTAGTCCACCGCCTAAAAATTCTGCTCCACTGAGACGGTTTGGACGAATTAATGGCACTAAAACGAGCACGCAGACAACAGAGTAAATTTGTCAAACTGATTTTGCATCTTTCAAACCCATAGAGATGAAGCTTACTTTACAACCAATATTATTGAGTCAAAATTAACCCCGTAATATTTAATCAGCTTTAACAATCTAAGCAAAATAGTTATCCATCATAGAATCAGTTGAAAAGATGTCCTTATCATTTTAAATGGATAAACAGATCCTTCAGTATCAATGATAGGGATCTGAAGCCCACAGCGACGGGGACGCGGCAAAATAGTAGATTCTGGGTAGAACAAGAGTTCAGCACGTGCGTTTTAAAACTTTTTACACTTTCTTGGTCGTCTGCTGCAAAAAAAAAAAAGCGTTAAATCACCAAAATTTGCGTGGTCCCAGAACGATAACTCCGACGGCAGATTATTTAAGTTACCATTGGAATCAACCCTGTACATTAGCGTTATGCTGAAATCAATTGAGGTGTGGCGCTTTGAGAGAAGGTAAACTCATCGGCCATTCGTGAAATTCGTTCTAAAAAAATTCATTGCGCAGAACACCTATTGTTCTCGCGACGTTTACTAACAGTATCGAGAAAATATAGATCTGTAACATGAGCAAGGAAGCGCAATCTGGAGACAAAGATTACGCGGGCTTTCCTACTCAGGAAATAGTGCTTTAGCTCATTAACTGTTCAAGGCGGAATTAAGAAACAATAGCTTAGAAAGTTATTGTTTATGCTATTTGTAAATAGAATTAGAGAGATGGTGAGTTTTGAGCTTGGTAAAGAAATAGAGAAAGATGTTTATTGTCTTGTCACGAGCGTGGGACAAAAATAAATTTTTGGGTCCCCATGAGGAATCGAACTTCTCACCTTCGGATTCCGCGCTCCAATGCTCTACCACTGAGCGAAGTCAATTACAAAGTTCCTATGACGCGCGTCCTGCATACTGCTAGGATTAGCAAAGTCGATAGCGTCATGTTTGTAAATAGAATTAGAGAGATTGTAAGTTTTGAGCTCGCTAAAGAAATAGAGAGAGATGTTTTTCGTCTTGTCACGAGCGTAGGATAAAGAAAAAATTTTATTTACAAACATGACGCTATCGACATTGCTGATCCTAACAGTATACAAGACGCGTGTCATATGAACTTCGTAATAGATCTCCCTCGCTGCAGCGTTGCTGTGGGTTAGTGGTAGAGCATTGGAGCGCGGAATCCGAAGGTCTGAGGTTCGATTCCCTATGGGGACTCAGAATTTCTACGCTCTTTTCAGAAATTTTACGCTCGTGACAAGACGAAAATCATCTTTCTCTGTTTATGCTCTTGTTAGGAAAAATCACACACTACGTGCTCGTGTTACACGCTGGATGAGAGTTCGATTTTGATACTGACGGTTACATATTCATCTCTTTCTACATCTTACTCAACAAACACTTCGGTTCCATCATTACCCGGATTCGATTCGATTTTCATCGGAAAAATTAACCTGCACGATTTTTCTATAATAGTATTGACGTAATGAAGTCTTAGAAGTCACTTTGACACTTGTTTCTACGAAAGGAAAAAAAATGTCACACACGTGTTGAGTTGAATCAGGGACAAGATGTACTGCCTTCTATAGCTTTTGTATTTTCTTTTTTTTTTTTTCATTAGTGTCAAACATTATTTACAAGGCATTGGTTAGTTTTGATGCTGAACTGTTTTTAATTATTTGTTGTTTTTCCACCAAAAAAACCTGTCGCTTCTATCATTAATTCCTTTTCGCAAAGCTGTTGTAAACCGTTTCTTTCAGCTTCTCTTGATCAGTTTCAGCACCAATCACCGATCGTGTACCGCATTGTGAGAGGAGGCGGAGCTTAGAGAAAATTAACGTACTCGCGGGAGACTTGAAAAAGGTCTTACCGGAGCCCTTTGAAGACAAATTTAGCGGAAAAGCCGAGGCAATAAGCGACGTTTCTAGTGAAGGTACAAAGGGCCTCTATTATCTCTCTTCTTCAAAAGCCATATGGTAAAAGTGGTTTATTCAAAGTGACTCAAATGAAACTAAGATAAAAATCGCCCCTCTGATGATTTTAAGGCCGTTTTCTCTATTGTTTGGCGCGCGTTCCGGCAATTCATTTTCAAATTTACCACCGGTAAGTGTTAACAAGACCCGGATGTGTCGCAGCATTCTGGGTGAACTTGAATTCGTTTTGAAATCGGCGCCTTTCTTAGCGTTGTCGTCCTGACTACTTCAGGTCCATAATGATAATAATAATAATAATAATAATAATAATAATGATAACAACAATAATGATAACAATAATGATAATGATGATGAAGTTAGTAATAAGAATAAGAAATATCTTTATTTCAAGTGCTAAAATCTATTTTCAATGAAATCTGTAATTCCCTATTTTTTTATATATGTCGATAACAATAAAATTATAAATATAAATACACTACTAATATGTTTGCTAAGGAAAAAAACAAAACATGTTTAAAAATCTGTTGACTTTGATTGAAATAGGTAAGATTTATCTAGGCTAAAATATAGCAATAAAGAATTAAAGGCTGGTATTAAGAAATGTAAAAATTGGCGATAAAAAGACCTAGGAGATGGCTCCTTCAATAAAGTCAATATCAATGTCATTGTTCTTAATGTCACGCTGAACTTTCCTAATGTTCCCAGAGCCTCTTATACAGACAAGAGCAGATCGCAAAAGCGCAAAGAGGATGGCTGTGGAAAATTGCTCTTCTTTCTTTGAAGCAATGAGCTATGCCACTCTACAATGAAACCTAAGGCATTCTTTCCCCATCCCACCCGTTGTCGTTGAAATCCGGCCGGGTGAGTGTTCCCTGTTCCACATCAAGCACTCTTCTAGTACTAATAATAGATAAAGAACTAATAAGAGATATTAATAATAGTAGTATAATCAACTTTAGTTAAACAGGGGAGAACACATAACACTATAAAAAATGAAAAGCCACTGCACCTCGCAGATAATTAATTATTAAAAAACCTAATCAAGTATCTATGTTGAAATGACAACCCTAAAATAACTTAAAAGAAAAGCTAAAAGTAGGTAAAGCTACAGCTGATAATCAAAACAAAGAGACATTCAAAACATATTGATAAATAATTCAATTACAAGATAATACAGTCTGAATGCTCCTAACCGTTTTTGAAATGTTCAAAAACTGACTTCCTGAGGCTAGCTAGATTCAATTCGCTCCCGATTGTGACTTTTGTTGTTAATCCAGAGACTTGTGGTCGACACATTGAAAGACCCTCTCCCTCTGTCTCCCGTTTGAATTGAGGGAAGAAAAGATTTTGTAGACCATATCTGCTTGATCTTTCATCGAAATCGATATTTCTTTTGCGTATGGATAAAAAAAGGGTTACCCTGTGTAAAGCCGAATCTTTAGTTTGCGACGTATTAATTGGCTTAAACCGTTACTTGCTTTCAAACATTTAGAAAATGTTCGCTTTGTTGATCGCAAATGGAGCAACTACGTCATAAGTAATTATTCGTCTGAGAATGTGTGACGCACATACTTGCAATGGCCAATTAAAAGATGAACACGAAATATATTTGAAAAATTTCTTTTAAGGGTTTTCTAACTTACGAAAAAAAAAATAATTACAGGATAATTGAAACTATATTAGGAAAAATAATATTGTAAACAATCCTCCTGTAGGGACCCTACGTTCGAGCAGATACAAGACCTAACTTGAAATACATCTTATTCACTCTAAGGATTCTGAGGCGCTGGGACAATCCCTGAAATATTCTGGTTTTCCATGACGACATAGCTAATATCAGAAATTAGCCTCACGGAAAATTACTCTGACACATCGGTCAACCCTCTGAAGAATGTTCAAAGGACTTCAAAGACAAGCGATTAGTATTTCAAGGGCCAAGTTTTTCTTATCTTGGTCTGCTCCAAAGATGTCAAACAAAATTAATCACGAACTGAAATCTCCATTTTATCTCCAACTTTAAAAAGAAGACGTGACAAAAAACATGTGCACATCCGGGCTACAAAATTTGACGTAAAATTTCATGCAAACACAGCAAACGATCATCTGTTTTCTTATGTCTCTTGTTAATTCCCCCAGAAAATCGCTCAAGAAGGAAACAAATGCATTGTGTGAACAACGATTTCCAAAGTGCGAAAGAATTGGGTTTCTATAGTAGCTGAATTTCTGTTCTTACTTTCAAAATGCCTTTCCGCTGCAAGACAGTAATAGCGCCGCGAAAAGTGTAGAAGAAATGGAAGCAGTTTTACAAAACTAAAACCCATTTTCCTTGCTCTACACATGGCTCTTGACTGAATGGCTCAGAATTGCATCAGCCTTATGTCTCTAAGAAACGGATAAATACAGAAGTATTCTGGGTCGATTCACAGAAATAGCTCGATCACATTTACGATAACTAAACGCCACTCGAATTTTCTTCCTTTAGAAAATATGTCTTCCCTTAAGAGCAAAGTAAGTTGATAAATCGTAGGCTTTTTATTCACCACCAGAATGACCATTGCGAATATTCATTTTATCCCCATGGCGTGATATGACTGTCAATCAAATCACTGAATCAATTTGACGCACCGACTTCGTCACACTGAATAAAATTAATGATAATCGATTATGTAATTCATAAAAATCCAAATAGATTAACTTTGTTCCCTAACTGCGGAAGCAGAGAGATGTCTGTTAACATCTTAAGCTAAAGAGATGACATCAAGAGAGATGTTAGCAAGGAACGACCGCTTCTCCAAATGGAGACAGTCATTAGACTACTCGAGACATCTCTGCACTGTAACTAGGCCTTCAGCATCACTGAGAGGTAATTCGATACAATCACTCAATACCGTTGGAGCAGCAAAACCCTTTGGAAATACTCACTGTGGCTCATTAAACGACGGCAAGAAGAGGAAAGGACAGTCGACTAGCTCAGGAAACGACAAAATTGATCTGAAGCAAACTCAAGCTTCCAAGCTTCGCGGCATGCGAAGTGCTCACGACTTTTCACTCAGTCTGCGGCCTCATACAGGCAGAAAACCAAGTCGGATGCCTTCATATGAAGGAGGTGAAGATGTTTATGGAGAAGATGAAGATGATGCAAGTTCTCTTTGTAATTCTGTTTCGTCCATTGCTTGCAGCAGCATATTGGACGTGGATAAACCGGAAAAATGGATCAAGGATGTTCATAAGTCAGTTGATAAACTAACAAAGTTTCGTGCTGTTCAAAATTGGCTAAAAAATTTACACAAACGGTTTTAAGGCTCGGCATTTCTATGAGAACACCTTTATCAGATATCGTTTGAATTTTTTCTAGCATCAGCTGACGTTTTCCATACTCATTGGAACACTACAAATTTGGATTTTTGTTGCATGCTGGAGATAGTTTCTTCAAGCAGAAAGTAGAAATGCAGAAACGGTATAGTCTCTTTTGGTTTCCATTATATCATTTCAAAGTGTTCACAGTTTTTTATTCCTATTAGCGGAGTTCCAGTTGAAGCGATTCAAACACGAGTTGAGAAATATCTTACTATAATAAGCTAACGATTTTTATCCAAAGCCATCGATTGATCCAAGTGACATCAGCAAAACCAGGGGGGAGAAATAATCTTGTTTTTAAATTGACTATTCATTCAATACGCTTTTCATAGAATATGTAAAGAAATTTAATCAAGACAAACAATTGGGTAGAGAGCATTGATCAGACTTTGACTTTGCTTCTCTTGACTCTTTCAGAGATCATTTCGTTTCATAAATTGCATGCAACGCAAGTACTTTATAAAGACGACAGGAAGCGTCTTGACAAAAATCCATAGCTTCGATAGGAGAGGATTTCCCCTCTTGGCTTCAAGTAATGCAAAACTGGTAGTCACAGGATTCCCTCTGTTTTGAAATATAGTTCAGAAAAACTCCCAAAATTTCATGCGGCTATTTGCATACATCCTTCAGTTGCACTCTTGTTTCAGTCTATTAAACTTGGTAAAGAAACGGTTAATTAAACAAACACGTTCACCCTTTTGAAAATGCTCAGTCATTGCTCAGTAGGCCACAGCTATCACGTGTAAGCCACCACGCTCTGCGTGTCAATAGAGTAAATTTGATACAATATCAAAGGTCATTGTTTCGTTCTTTTAAATGTAAAGAAGGGTACTACGGTTCTTGACTAACAAAGCATGATATTGCTGTGAATTTTTTTTTCATTATAAGTAATCTCAAATGTCTTTAGCGGTTTCTCATCGTATTACTTTGTTAAGGATTATTAGTTGGACGAGGATTTTCTAAATCAAAAGTAAACAGCTATATTTCCCCTCAGTTAATGCAGAAACTATCAAGAGCAGTTTTGAAGCCTATTTGTTCGTCAACTCGCATGAATATGTCATTGATTCACAATGTAACACACTATAAACAAGTCGTGGAAATAGATATTGGCATCAGTTAAAATGTCCGGAGGACTCCTCGAAGTTAAATATCTTAGATCTTTCAGTAAAACGTGTTCACATTATTGATATATGGATGAGAGGAAAGAGCGAGACCACATGCAAACTTAATAGAATCAGAGCTTTTCTTCTTGCTTACGAGGCATTGCAACAAAAACAAGATAATTAATAAAACTGTATGCTAAACAAAAGTAAGGAAAGGAAAGGATAAGTAAGCAAGAAAAAAGCTGTAGTTCTGGAAGGAAACAATCATTCCAATGACCACTCAAGATATCTATGTTTTATTCTACGATCTCAAACATCAATGAAGAATGTGTAGCTAAAATTATTCAGGGTGACTCAGGAACTGCAAATGTTTCGGGAAAACAGATTGGTTTTTCCATAATGCAATGTGGGAGACCAGTTTGAAATTGCCTTCTCCTTTAATTAAAAAACCGCAAAAAATATCTCTTCCTGGTCAGACACATCCTGCATTTGGCTTGTGCCCAACAACGCTCAAAAGTTCATGCGTGATTCTGGTTGAATGATAAACGAGTTTTTCTCGTGATAACAGGAAAAAAAATTATTGCCTTTTGACTAAGGAACGTATAGTGCTGCACCCTACACAACTGACCGTTAGCCGCCGTTTGCTGAGACGTACAACTCAATTTCTTTATTTCCGAACAGGATAAAAGAACTCTCTATGCTCCGACAAAACACATATTCAAAGTAACAAAATAATCGATTGACGAAAGTAAGCACACATCTTCAGTCTGGATCTTTACGCGTCAACTAAATGACGTTATTTCCATTGTCTACACTCTTACCATAATACCTGTCGAAAGATAAGCATCACAATTGCTGAAAAAAGTTCGGGAAACTAGAAATGGCCTTTCACAACCTGAGAAGCTGAGGAATTTGATACTTTTGGTGGAAAGAGGGGTTGGTCGATGATTCCAAACCCGTTCAGGTTGTGAAAGTTGTTAATAACGTAACAGAATCTTCGCATTTCTGCAATGTTAACAGGTCTCATACTATGCAAAAGATTCTAAGATTTGACAGCATTTAAATTTTTAAATCAAGGCACGTTTTTATTGTGACGTGCAACAACAAAGAGCTATGGCTAAGGCCAGTGAAACATGCAATACAAGATGTTGTGTCACTGATCCATGACGCCCCTCGGCTGTTACGTCATTAAGACTTATAATTAGCAGACTGGTTTGAAGGGACAGACGGAAAAATTTCGTAACCTAAAGTTTGAGCCTTTCAGAATATGTAAACCATGGATACCACGACATTTAATGTTGGCAACTGAGTGGCTAGTTTTACGTTCTATACACTTAAGTTTACCAAAAATACAAATTGTTAGCAAATATTTCATCAATAAACCATATAATTTATATTTTTCTTTGTGGTTATACTTCAATCGGTATGTCCTCTGTCCGGATCATCCTAGTTACAATCATTACCGAAATGCGATTTTCCTTGTAACTCAGTAGAGCGCATTTACCCATTGTAATACCGAGCTGCGCTTGGAAATAAAACAGTTCCCCACTTCATTACTTGATGATGATGAACCACTGGACTTGAAACTAGAGCAAGCAAGGCTCGATAGAGAATCACAAAAAGATCTTTTTTCAATGTTATCACAGAGTACTTTGGAGTTTTTTCCGTGACTTAAACTTGGTAAAAGACCCCAAGGTGTTCTGAAATGTGTGCAAATCGTCCTGCCGCTTGGAGCAGTGGGATCAATCTGAGCTCGCGACAAGTACTTCTTCTCCCGCTCAACAGTCAAACAGATAACTCCATCAACGTTTTTATTCTTTATCGGCCTATTTCTGGAGACCAACTTTGGAAGAAACCTTGAGCCACTCTGCAAGTTCCTGAATGAACTGCCTTTACTGTACTTCACTGAGTCTGAAATCTTGCCTTCTCGAGTGCAACTTCCGTTTTTAAATTCGTCTTCCTTTTCTACGACTAAAGATGCTCTATTCGAGCGACATACCAACCAAGAACGACGTCCAGTTTTTATGTTTGAGCTCATGGTCGGTCCAACCTGAGTCGATGCTTGCAAACTCGCAAAAATGAGCAGTTTATCTCCAGCGGCCTAATGGATCGGGCGCTTAATTAAGCCCAAGAAACGGAACACGTGCGATTTACGTTTATCTTGACAGTCGCGACGGCAAAGTACTGCCGGCGTTTGTCTACTTTGACAGTTTTTGAAAATCAACAAAGCAATCCGACCATGAAGGAATGGCGGATATTAGTCTTGACGAGATCTCGTCCATGGAGTTACGTCATCTGGTTTATTAAACCGGCTCTCAGCCACCTAATCATCGATTCGGTTGAATGGAATTGAAAAGTAGAGTCAAAAATCATTAGTAGGAAAACAAAAAAGAATTGAAGTGCATTCAATCGAGACTCAAGCAAGATTAAGTGCATAGATGATGACGAAAGCCAGTTAATTATGGATTATTGGGGAAACAAATGTAACAAAATGATTGATGACTGCAACTAGGTCGTTTCTTGCGGCACTCATTTGTTTAAATAGGTATGTAAAACTATTAAATTAAAACTTTTTTTCGATATTTCTGATGCTCCATACAAAAGAGAGTCAAGTAAAAATGCTTTGCCGTCCTCTGTACTAGAATGTAATTCTCAAGAACGTCCAATGCTACAACCAACTACATTGCTAGATGTCTGGGTCTTCTGTTCTGTAAGTCTTGCTTTACTTGACTTTCATCAGCAGGTCAAATTAAATTTATTTAATTTAATATTATGACTAGATTCCTCCACGTGAGAGAAGAACCGTCTAAAATGTGTGCGCTCTCAACATGTGGTTTCGTAGCTCGATTGGTAGTATCTGGGAGGCCCGGGTTCGAAACACGTCGATGCCTGAAATTTTTTCAGGCTTCTTTTCTGAAATTGCATAAGTTGCAGCTCACTTACGCTGATCATTGCTTCACTTAATCTGCTGTTAGCGCTGCTTTTTCCAGTCTTTTTGAGATTCAATAAATATTTCCGCTGACTCTTTTTTCCCCGCCGATTTCCCAACGTCTAAATTTATGGGATATTAAGTCCTGGTTCGACAATTATATTTGCATTTGTAAACATTCAAAGCTGCTAAATGTTTTGCATCTTGAAAGGAAGGGAAAAAGGCCCCCCATAAAAATCTATCGGTGGAACATTTCTCCGTGTAGAAACAAACTTACCTTCCTTGGAGGATCCCGATGGACCTTCACAATGTGTCAATTCGATCAATCTACTTTTGTGTATTTCAGCTTCACCAGGCGAGAGTTTTCCGGCCAAGTGACAAAATCGATGTCTTCAATAATTTCTTATATCTTTCACTAGCTTCGTTTCAAAATTTTTTTATAGCAATTTTATTATTTACTATTTGGAACGTTCATGTAATATACAGCGACAGATAACCAATTTTGTGAGCCTGGAAAACAAATTTCCTTCCAGTATTTTCGGTTTAGATCATGTAGCATTCATTTTTGCTCCTCCCAAGTAAAATCGGACTTTCTTATGTGATTAGACATTTCCTTTAGAGCTATTTTCCGACACTAACATTATGTTATAGGAAACTCGTGGGACGTTTTGTGGGACGGTTTGTCTGTGTCGCTATCCTCAGCCGGAAAGAAATCGCTTAAAAAAGTTTTGCCCAAAGTCAATTGTTGGTCTGTCCACCGCAAAATGTATATATATTCAGAAATACTTTTATTCATAAGCTTGCCGATATAGTTTAGTTTGACTTTTATTTAATTCATTTCATAAATGAAGAACAAAAATACTTGTGATTTTGTTTCGTAAAACACAAAGTTGCAAGCTGATGACGATTCAGTTTTACCCGGCATAATCAGTAAAATTAAGAAAAAAAAAAAAAAACAGATTTTATTGACAGCTGATGCAGTCAATGCAACTGAAGAAAGCTGATTATGGTAGAACGTTTTAAATTCAGTCATTCAGTTTGTTTTCATGAAAATTGGTTTCCTTTTAAATTTCACAAAAGTCACTGCGATATAAAAGGATCATTTTGGAGCCTGCCGAGTGTGGGAAGATGCCCCCCAGGGTGAGTTTCATCTCATAAATTGAAAGAAACGAGGCTCGTTTGGAAAAAATAGTTTCCATGGAAGTATTCAAAAATGCAAAACACGGCCGATTACGTGGGTGTATTACCAAAAGAGAAATGCTATTTTAGTTCATATAACTTAAATCTTCGCACGTAATTTGCACTTAGCTCTTCGCACGTAATTCACACCTTTGGCATGAATTAGACACGTGGCATATTTATCTTAAAAAAATTAAAATGTGTATTCATTTCTAATAATAATAAAGATAAGGATAAAAATTTTAATTCTTATCAAGATCCAAACCTTACATATATATTCTTGCTAAATAGTGTCTATTTTGCTTTAAGTTTGTGATGATAAATCACATAAACCCATACGGTTAACGCTAGATACGTTCGGACGTTCGTTTAAAGGGGAATTTAATATTATCAACCGGGTTGATAACGTAAATTGGCCTCTGTTAAAAGTTTAAAAGCTGACGTTTTGAGCGTTAGCCCTTCTTCAGAGCAATTGGAGGAATTGTGGGTTGAGTGCGTGGGTTTATATGCAGAAAATGGAGCTACGCTGTTGTGGGAATATGGTGACGAGAAAACAAGAATAAACTAGTTGAATGAAAAGCGCTTTTTGCCGATACTGTGGGGATTAAGAGTGCCGATTTGAAAGATAAATTTTTGTTCTATGGTTTTGCGGCTTTCCGAACTGCCTAGATGTAGGGAGAGGCTGCAAACTGCCATATGCTGCTTAGAATCATTAGGTAGATTAAAGTGTCTAGCGACTGGTTTGGTTGCGTCCTTGTCATTTCTTTCTATGTCCCGGAGGTGTTCTCGGAATCGGTCACCCAGTCGTCTTCCTGTTTCACCATTGTATAACTTTTTGCAATAAGTGCAAGTTATGCAGAAAATGACATTGGCGAAGGTGCGCGTAAAGTGATCAGTGATCTTAATGGATTTCTTGGGTCTCGACATTTTCTCTACTTTATGAATGAAAGGAAAAGTTTTGCATCGTGAGCGAGCGCAATTGAAAGTTTCAGGTTGGCCATTGGTTTGAAATGAACTTGTGACCAAAAAGTCGCTTATGTTTTTGTCACGTTTGAATTAAATTAGTGGAGGTTGCAAAAAGATAATACCGGTCTCTGAATCGTTTTGGAGTAACTTAGAGATTTTAAGAACGATAGACCTAACTTCGGGGTTGTGAGGGTGAGATGTGTGAGTGAATGGAATGCGATCAGTGCTTTTCTTCTCAGCCGTTTATAGCGCTGACTGTTGTTGGGCGCAGTGGTGGCCCGCTTGAACGACAGAAACAGGATAGCCACGTTTATCGAAAAACTGGCGCATTGCCACTGATTTTTCGGAAAAATCAGAGTCGTCACTACATAGGCGACGAAGTCTGAGAAACAGTAAAGAAGGTATGGAATTCTTGAGTGTGATGTACGCGAAGATGAATACAACAAGTAACTATGTGAATCTGTATGTTTGTAGTAAATACTAGAGCGTAGACCGTTGCCTTCAATTGAAATTTTGATGTCTAGAAGTATATTTAAGAGCCGGGCGAAAGGAATTAATGGCGGTAGAGGAGGTAGCGTCGATGCAATCATTAATGTAGCGACCGAAGAGTTCAGGTTTGGGGCCGTGGTACTGACTAAAAAATTGGTGTTTGATAAAACCTCGAAAAAATTGGCGTAGCTGGGTCCCATTTTAGTACCCATGGCTACGCTATTAGTTTGTTCGTAGTAGTTGCCTCTGAATGAAAAGCAATCGCCGTGTAAGTACTAGTTCAGCTAAAAGGAGTAGTGTTTCAGAGCGAGGTTCCTGAGCTAAAATATCATTTGTTTTTTTTTGTAAAGCACCCACGTAATCAGCCGTGTTTTGCATTTTTGAATACTTCCATCGAGATAATTTTTTCAAACGAGCCTCGCTTCTTTCACTTTATGAAATGAAACTCGAGCCGGAGGGCATTTTCCCACGCTCGGTAGGCTCCAAAATGATCCTTTTATATCGCAGTGACTTTTGTGGAGTTAAAAGGAAACCATTATTATGAGCATAAACTGAGTGACTGAATTTAAAACGTTCTACCACACTAAGCTTTCTTCAAGTGCATTGACTGCATCCGCTGTCAATACAATCTGTTTTTTTAATTTTATTTTACTGGTTTTATGGTGAAACTGAATTGTCATCAGCTTGCGACTTTGTGTTTCACGAAACAAAATCATAAGCATTTCTGCTCTTCATCTCTGAAACAAATTAAATGAGAGTCAAACTAAACTATATCGGCCAGCTTATGAATAAAAGTATTTCTGAATATATATACATTTTGCGGTGGACAGACCAACGACTGACTTTGGGCAAAACTTTTTTAAGCGATTTCTTTCCGGCTGAGGATAGCGACACAGACAGACCGTCCCACATAACGTCCCACGAGTTTCCGATAATATATTATTAGTGTCGGAAAGCAGCTCTAAAGGGAATGACTAATCACATAAGAAAGTCCAATTTTACTAGGAAGGAGCAAAAATGAATGTTACATGATCTAAACCGAAAATACTGGAAGGAAATTTGTTTTCCAGGATCACAAAATTGGTTATCTGTCGCTGTAAATTACATGAACGTTCTAAAAAATGAATAAAAAAAATTACTATTGAAAATTTTGAAACGAAGCTAGTGAAAAAAATGATAAATTATTGAAGACAACCATTTTGTCACTTGGAAAACTCTCGCCTGGTGAAGCTGAAATACACAAAAGTAGACTGATCGAATTGACACATTGTGAAGGTCCATCGAGATTCGTCTAACGATGGTAAGTTTGTTTTTACAGGAAGAAATGTTCTCCTGATAGAATTTTTCTTTTTGTGCCTTTTGCCTTTCTTTTCAAGATGCAAGCTTCTCGTAATTAAGCCATTTTGCACACTGCCTGAAGGTGATGTTAATTTTTCAAAACTCCTTGATTTGAGCGCTCTTAAATGTCATGAATGAAAGGGTCGAACTAAGAGATGTCTCGTAAAAATTTGAATTCATGAGAAACGACGCTATACCAAGGCACAAAATACTCAAGAGTTGCCAGTGATTCAGGAAAACTGATGAAAAGGAATAAATTGATTAAGGGGATGAATAAATTTAGCAGCTTTGAATGTTTACAAATGCAAATGTATTTGTTGAACTAGGACTTAATTTCCCTTAAACTCAGATGCTGGGAAATCAACTGTTATTGAGGTATGATTTTAAGGGATTTATTTCGTTTCACCAGAGCTTTAAAATGTTCTCCTGGTTAAGCTCACGTGAAACGCTCGCAAATCTCCCTCTTTAATCTTTATTTTCAATGGTGGTGTTATCTTTTCTTTTTCTAGAAGAGGACTTCAGCCTGGTGAAGGACGATGAAAGAAATAGCTTCAAGTGAGACCAATCACTTATGGGTTTCATAAACACTGTGATCTGTTTTGCTGTTGTATTTACACGGCACTTTACTGACACTCGAGGTATTTATTATTTTTCCTATCTCCTAAGATAATCTGACGCCAGGTTTCTTTTATTTTCTAACAAACGGAGCAGATATTGGCTATGAATTCGCCTCATATCAATTGAAAAGGTTATTCATCTTCGACTGGCTATTAATTTTTGCAAAAAAATATCGAAAGATTTTTTAGGCATGGAATGAATCTGATTTACACTTTTGCAAAAAGAATTTGCTGGGCTTCGGCTCATTGTAGCTCATATTACTAACGAAACAAGTAAGCTGCTGAAAAAATTCAACGTTTTACAAAATTTATATTTCTGTTGCTTTGAAAATAAACTGTAAAACAAAGGAGATGGCAAATTAGTATTATCAGCGTGCGGAAAAAAACAATATCTCATTTTCCCCAATTCGTGTCTGTGACGCGTAATGAAAAGTAAGGCGTTTTATCGAGGCTTCCAAATTTCCATGTACTTTAGATTACGATCCGAGATATATGACAACTTTCCTCAAATCCAATTTCACGTTTGACAGTTCACGAGTTTATTTCTATATCTGACGTTGTAAGAGCATAGCCTTACTTAAAGTCTTAGCTTTCAGCCTACCACAATCAACTAAGTTGAAATAGATTTGAATGAACACGAGAACTGCCAGACTCTTAAGAGATTTGTCACACCTGTAGAGAAAGGCCAATCATTGGTCTGGATATCAGGCTTGAATTTACCCCATCTGCCCTGAGAGACAAGCAAAAATCCTGCTGATTTGTCTTTGGCGAACATACTTTCCTCAGCGAGATGTGCTCGCAGTTCACATCCGCCAAAATAAGTACGGTCCATGACATCTCATTAAATTATATGACTAGTCCTTTATCCATCTCTATGCATCTTTTTTTTTTTTTTTTTTACAGCATGCCACATGAACATAACCAGTCTCAATGGAACGATTAACATTTTAACCCCTCCCGCGAAGCAAACGAACTCCACAGGGTACACCTGCAAGTGGAACATTCAGCTAATGAAAGTCGACACACCTCGCCATGTTGAACTACGTTTCACTTCATTTGACATCGCTGGAATCATGCCAGAGTGCTTCAGTGGAAATTATATCGAATTATTTCTTGGTTGCAATCCATCAAAGTCTATCGGTAAATTTTGCGGGAAGTTGTCAATGCCTGTAGTATATTCGTTTGATCACTGTCTCCAAATAAGGCTCATCGTCGCGTCTGATTTCCGATTTGAAGGAAGCAGTTTGCTCCATGGTGTGCCCTATTTTACAGCTGTTTTCAACCAACGCTTACGAACAAAAGGCGAGTGATTCATAAAGCCATAAGGTTTGATATGCATTTAGTTAGGCACTGAGAGAAGTATGACGCGAATTAAATAAACAGCAACTCAATAATTAGCAACTTAGATTTAAAATGACTACAAAAAGTTTTCCGAGACACCTCCCGACTATATTCAAAGCGCTCATAAACCACTGAACTTTATTTTTTTTCACAGTCAAACCAATTTCACATATACATTGACCACAGGATTAAAATTTGAAAGCAGTGAGGCCTTATCGCAAAAAGGAAAATTCTGAAGTGATGAGAAAACCTATTGAGGATGACTGTCCCCAAAAAACTGTTTAATGAAATATTCCCATTATATTAGCATAATAATGGCGATTGCCGTGCCATGCCCACCGTTTAAAACGTTAATCCTTTAGTTAGCACATGTGCCGGAGAATCGTTTGACTACAAAGGAAGAAAGTTGGTTTTTGAGTGCTCTGGCTTCCAGTGCACTTATTACTAAGCTCCCTGATAATATTTTTTATACTGATATTATTTTTATTTTAGACATTTATGTACTTCATGCTTAATTAATGATGCCGATAAAAGTTAACAAAATTTCTGCTATCTTTCATTTTCCTCAGCCTTATCGCAGAATTATTGTAAGTATAATTATTTGTGATCTTCTTGTTTAACTGTCTCCCTCAAGGTGAAATGGAAGACAAAAATGCTTCTTCTGAGTTGACTAATATTGTTCTTGAAATACTCATACAATGATAGGAGCAGAAAATAATTCAAGACTAAACATAGTTTTGGAAAATCTCTTTTTCCATGGACAATAACAAAGATTTTTAGATCTTTTCGCTTTTTCAATGTTGCCTTACTATTACTCTTTAGTGTCATCATTCGCAAAATGATATACTTTTAAAATTGAATTTAGCGTTGTTTCAGAGAAAATTGATTTCAATCTTACAAGTTTTGGTCTTTGAAAATTTCTTTCTTTTTATCATTCATGGAATCACTAAGAAATAAAAGGAAAATCTAGGCATAATAGTAAGTAAACCGCTTATTAACGAAATATAACAGATTATCGCGAAGAGATATCAAAAGCATTTTATGATAGAGTAATCCTTTAACTCCCAGAGGCTATGTATATGTAACTTACTAACATTCCAATAAGTTATTTTGCAAACAAATAAAGGGGGTAAGTTTCTAAAGAAACTGAGCTGCTACGTCGGTGGGAGAGTATAACAGGGTAATTTAGTATTATCAACTGAGTTGATAAAGAAAATTGGCCAACGTAAAGAGTTCAAAAGTTGAAGTTTCGAGCGTTAGCCCTTCGTTAGGGCGAATGATGAATAATTGGGAGTTAAAGGTTGAGCACGTCAAATTTGAAATTATCATCTTCTTGTTTTAACCAATTCTCTATTTAGGTAAAAATATTTGGATTAGCTGTAAAATAATCACTCATTTTTGACGTTTTTCAATTGTTGAGAACATCTACAATAAAACTCACTGATTCTGCCAACATTAATTTAAGACTTCGATTATACATTTCTAAAAGTTTACTAATAAGAAACTAAAGAAGAAAGAAAATTACAACTTCTCATTTGCAGACGGTTGTGGCAAGGATTACTATGCCAATGCAAGATATGGAAATGTCTTCTCGCCACACTGGCCTCTACCCTACCCCCGGTACGTAGACTGTGTATGGCACGTGACTACGCGGAAAGACTATAATATCAAGCTGCTGTTCTTTGATTTTGACGTCAGATCAACGAACGCAAGCTCAGAAGCCGACTTCGTGGAAGTGAGACCAGGAAGTAAGTACCTCATGGATAAAGTAGTTTCTTTGTCTTAGCTCGTTTTATTGTTTGGTTTGGTGAGTATACACAGGGCGGGAGGGAGGAGAGGGAGGGTGTTAGCCATGGGGGAGGTATTTTCGAATGAAAGGCAAACTGGAATCCCAAATAGAGCGAGAAAGATGGTAAAATAAAACAACTGGTTCGTCTACAAGCAATCGAACCTCAGACCTGTAAGCTATATGATGTTCTAAGAAAGAGCTAAACAGAACTAAGTGGAGTACTAGGCCTATATTAGCTTCATATGAGAATTTTGTGGCCTGTTGAAAGCTCTAAGTCAATCAAGTTTAATTGGCAAAAGCGTCTTCACCCGCTTATCTCGACTGTTTCTTTAATCAAGGAAGGTTAGTGACAAAATCCAAACAGTGTGGAAGAAAGGACCCCTTTTCACTAACGATTGAGGGAGACTCAGTATTCATACAATTCAAAAGTAATGCGGAGGCTGGAAATCGGGGATTTATGGCCGGATTTGTAACCTACAGTGCTGGTACGTAGATATTGAATGTAATGATTTGATGTAGATATCGAATGTAATGATTTGATGTAGATATCGAATGTAATGATTTGATGTAGATATCGAATGTAATGATTTGATGTAGATATCGAATGTAATGATTTGATGTAGATATCGAATGTAATGATTTGATGCACTACACATTCTTCGCCATACGCTAAAAATGGCGCAAGTGTTTTATCGATAACTGTAAGCCGAAAACTGTTGAAAATACTGATTCCCGCCTTTCCGTTTTGGACCAAATTCTCTTGACTCACTGTCAAAAATCACCAACCTTTAATTTTTAGTCTTAGTTCTTTATTTTCGTCGAGATCCCGTTCGAAGCCAGCGACCTGATTTCCACTACCATCTTTGATATTAAGTCTCCGTACTAAGAGCGGTCAAGGGTAGGATTTGCCAAATCTATACATTTATTGTATGTAGGTCCTAAGAGACCTATCGCACTAAAGCACTTTCCAAATGAAAACTTGTCGTAATGTGTGATTCGTTTCCACACACAGAGACTGTCGACTTTCAACCTCAAGTCCTCATCATGCTGGCCGTGATATTCTCAACTCTTTTGCTTTTTGCGGGAAAAGCTTTAGTTAAAAAAATGTTAGAGAAAAGACGATTGAAAAGGAAGGCTAATCTTGACCAATCAGCACGACGCTACTGGACTAGGAGTGTGACACCAATATCACATGACCACTCAGTGGGAGAATCCACGGCAAAGTCTGACTTCTTAGGTCGGAAAGGGTCCTCAACAGGCAACTGCCCTGTGAAAAATGTCACTTTTGAAACAGCAGAAACAGAAAGCAAGCCAAGCCCTGGAAAGGAATATAGCAATGAAGATCTGGAGCAAGAAACTGTCTGCTAATCGGTTATTTGTCGCCTTAGGTCGGTCGTGTCGCAAAAAAAATATACTTGATCCCTCCTAAGACTCTGTAGTATTCTGAAGACCTCCCCTCATTGGCAGTCACCTTTCTTACCCCTCCCCCCCCTCCATTTATTCTCTGAGTAGCAACACCTAGTCCCCCCTTATTTCCCCCCTGAAAACCATGTGAACCCCCATAAATTATTTAACCCCTCCCCCCACAGATGATTAATAGTCTCAATTCCCTTGGCTCTCGATCAATTGACACTTTGAAATCAATCGATGTTTGGAAGTACATGTACATAACTATTGTAATGAAATGTTCCTCTCATCGATAACTGTCCGGATTTTTTAATATATATCTGTTACAGCGTTTTCTCACAATGACGTTATCTGGAGAATTTTCGGCCCCATTAGTTTGCAAATCTGCAGTTCACTTTAGAGAAAAATAAACCACAGTGAAAGAAACCATCGTATCCTGTTAGAATTAGACTATGAAACTAATAAATAGATTCCACATTTTTTAGCAGAATCGAAGTGAGAAAGAAGTTATTTTGTTTTTGTTTTTCTGTCTCTAAATTCGCTTACCTGGAGAATCTGCTAATCAGTATAGTGAGACTGTTGTAACGACCCGCCACAGAAGAAAGTTTAAATTGAAGTTTTTTTAATTCAATTACGAGATGAAGACTTGATTTGCATTCGTTCTGAAAATGTATTTCTTTTAGATCGAATAATTATAAGACCTTGACTTGATATTATGCGGTTTGTGGTGGTCATGTGAGCTAACCAGTTCCGATTAAGGACATAATCATAGTACCCTAATGGTTACTGACTGTTGCCTATCTAATTTCTACTCGCTCTATATCCAACACAAGGAGTTTAATTTATCACAAAATCATTATTATCATATTCATTATCAATAATATATTCGTTATTGTTACCGTCTATTTTATAAACCAGATCTTTTCTTTTTTATTTTTTTTTTATTCACACTTCTTACTTTGTTTATTTATTTTCCGACTTTTAACACGAATCAAGTGGCAAAATAGCAAAAAGCTGCAAAAAAATTCCCAAAAGCCGTCCACAACGGTCACACTGCAATATAAGAAATTAAAGGAAAAGTTGGTTCATAATTGTCAGTGCTTTGTAAAGTTCTTTAAATAATGCAGTCGAGCGTGGTGCATACATTGTAATATTGTAATATTCCTGTCATTATGTCTATTAGCGCAATATGGGGAATATTCGATCTAGAGAAAAATAACTGAGTGCTACAACAAGGTCAGTACTATGGTCAAGCGGAGTCCTATTATTTTCTGCTATAAAAACCCTCTCCAAAGAGAGGGATACACTTACTTGACGCGCGGATTACTGTGGAGGGTAGGGTGGCACCCCACCTGGTTGTCCAGTGGGGTAAGGAGGTGCTCCACCCGGTTGTCCAGGGGGGTATGCTGCCTCGCCCCCAAGGGGTCCAGGTGGGTACGGTTGTCCTGGAGGAGGGTATGCCCCAGATGTTTCTGCAATTCAAGCGTAAAATTCGGTTTCAAGGCCCCCAGCTCTTCGAGGTCTAAGTGTATCATCTACAGCACTGAGAAGTTCTGTATATGCATCTTTTTCAAAGATTCTGTGAAGCTTTTGAATATTCACTTAGACATTAAATCAATTCACTGTACTTATTAATTGTACTTTAAGTTCATGTAACAACGTCTGCCTTCCTTTACAGTGTTGTTATGTTGTTACTCCTAGTATTGCAACGCAGAGTGATCTGTCACTACAATTGTAGCCTTTGGAATTAACAGTTATATATCGGACAGGTTCTAGGAAGGGAAATCAAGTGTTTTGTGGACTGGACTTTTTCTTCTCTAAATTAAAAAAAAAAATTAAAAATGATTGATAAATAAATTGGATTCAAGAAGTGACGCTTCCACACGGTGCCTATTTATCCATTGTTTTAAAGATCCTCTTGGGATTTGCAATCGTGGTTTCTTGTGGAGAAGGGAAAAACAGCAAGCTGGAAGAGAGACCCCCCAGAAAGGACGAGAACTAATAACAAACTCGACCCACGTTTGGCTCCAGGTTCCAGAATAGAACATGTACCACAAAGGTGGAAAGCAAGCACCCTTGCCCCTCAACCATCCTTTATCCCCGATCTAGACTTTGACCTCGTCTGTTGGACCCTGATAATGAGATGACCAACAGTTTCAACCAACCTACCTTGCGGGGGGTAAGGAACTCCCGCCCCTTGATTGTAGGGGGGTGGTGCGTAACCTTGCTGAGGCCCTGCAGAAGGAGGGTACATGGCCACTTGCTGAGGTTGGGAAGTAGAATGTGCTACAGCCATCTGTTGTGGCGCCCGTGCCCTGACTTTCTTTTGGTAAACATATTTGTAGAAGACGAAGACACCAATGGCAATCACAACAACTGCCACCAAGACGCCAATCACGATACCAACAGTCTTAGCGCTAACGGGGGCTGTTCAATGAAATAGATAATATTTTTTCGAACTGCCTAATTGAGGAAGGAAGAATTAAGACCTCGTAAAGAAGTCTGAAAGGTCAAAATAGCGACATCTCAACCTGTTGTAATTATTCTCAATCAAAGGTTTAAACGCCTGTATATATGTAACTCAAAAACATGTCTCATTATCCTATATTTTTACTACACTGTCGTTGAAAAAGTGGAATCAAAGATCGCAGGGCCACTCAGCAATATCAAATGGGCTGTCAACCCTCTGATTGTCCTTCGAAATATCTGATTAGTTTATGCCTATCATGTGATGTTTCGGTCTTAACAATGGCGGTTTATCTTCGAAGGGAAAAAACGACACCCAAAATACCACGCCAGTACTGATACTACTCCTAATTTGCTAAAAAGAGTGTTGAAGCTTTATGGTCGAGTTCACAGCGATATTCAACAACATAATTATTGCTTGGAAATCCAAAACTCGTCAGCTTGCTAAGAAGCCTGGTTTCTAGTTTCCCTTAGTCCGCCAAGGCCAAATGTATAACGCCTGGGATATTTTCTGCAATATGGCGGGCATATGGAGTGGACAAGATTTGTTTTCTTGCGCAAACCACGGAGTGACGGCCGCTACGTCGCACTTTTCTGAACGCGATTGATAACATAGGATGGACCTTCAAAATGGGACCGGATCAAAAGTTACGAAATTTTGCACCAAAACAGAATGATATCGGAACTTACCTATCGGATGCAAAGAAAGGTATGGAGCACTTGTGAAGAGGGAAAAGTTCAGTTCTCACCTCATGAGATCTTGGACACCATTACGTACAATATTGTCTCGTGAAACGCCACGTAAAAAATTTTCAAAAGTTCCGTGCCAGAAATAGCTTCGAAAAACCTTTGAATTTGTAAACTAAATGCAACTGGCTTGTCAGTTCCAAATAATTTAAAATTTTCCTTACATATTTTCAGAATAAGAGGATTAATTCTTGGCTGACATTACTTTTCAGCTGCACCATCAATAAAATTCTCTTACGATGTCGCAAAGTTGAATGGATTTATAAAATAGAGCAAACAATTCAGGAAACTCTTCGGAGCCCTAAGAGACTATTTGCGCAGCACTTACTTTTATCATACATGACGTAGCCAGCAACAAACCCCCGCTGGTTAGTAAACCTGTCTGACTTAAATCTGATCCAAATTCTCTCCTTTGATGATGTAAAGTAGAATGGGTTTTTTTTACCGCACTTTGACTCTTTGAGGGTTTTAGACTTGTCATACGAATCATGATCATTTCCATCTAAAAGGCAAAAATAATAACACAATTTAAGAGGAATTAAAATTTTATTGTCCCTTTTTGTTCTGATCTCCAAGGCAATTAATTAATGGCTACAACAATTTACTTTGACGCATGTGTTTTCCTCTGATCTTTTTCCTCATTCTCCATGAAATATATTGGAGGTAATCACATATACACTTGTGAAAATATATCCTCTTAAATATGTAATTTGGGTTTTCAAGCCACAAGGAAACAAAAATATCTAGAGTTCTAGAGTGTTAAGTTACAAATTTAAGTGCTGTGAAGTCTAATCCAAGTCTAATCCTATATAATAAGCTGAATTACTCGTACACTGAATCACATATTGAAGAACTGACACCAAGACAATATCACCATTAAGCATAACCATTACAATTTCCTCAAATGTGATTTGAGGAAATTGATCACAATAACCATTGCAAAAACCACTTACCCTGAAAAAGAAAAAACTGGGAAATTTCCAAATTTTTTGCTTTAGACATTGTCCCTACTGGAGATGTTTGTGCTAATTGTATTTTTTTTTCAGAAATTGCATTGGTTATGATTAATTGATAACAGTTAATCATACAAGTGATTGACAAATTGGACTCCCGCTTCACAGTTGTCCAATTATGTCAATCATTTGTATAATTGCAGACCGAGTTGGACTCCACTCAGTCTTATTACCATTATTAACAATGTTTTGTCTCTTAATTATAGAACAAATAGATTCTATGTTGCCGGGGGCCTGTACAGTAATAGATCACAAAAGACTTCAAAATGTGGCAGGAACATCAATGACACACTTTTCTGCATTTCTTCTGCTACTTTTTTGTTCTTACTGCATTTTTATGTCTTCTATCATCTACTACTGTCGTAAAAGACCCACGGCAACATGGAATCTGTTTGTTAATTGGATCATTTTTAAAGAGTACTGAAATTCCTCCCACCTTTAACTTTGAGTTTGTCATCATCACATGATTTATCATATTCCAAATCAAAGTCCATAAAAGCTATTTTAATGCTCCTCTCATTTCCAACCTCAATCTTCCAGTAACAGTCTCTGTGGGAGGGATAGTCTTGGGGCCAATTTGGAGAGCTTATCACACCAGATGTTGCAGTGAGGGTCTTTGTTGAGAAACATCTCTCTTTTTCAGAAAAAGAGAAAAAATGCTACAAATCAAACTCAATAACCATTATTCAAGTTATGTTATACTGGGACTGTTTGTATTAACTTACTCTGAATAATGTAGCAACTTGACTAGTTGTAAGATATTTAATTTGTTGTTGTTGATACATCAAAGTATAACAATCATTACAGGCAAAGGCCATGCCATTAATAGCTGCTCCACAGCCCCTCTCTAAATAGTTATTGCTAGTCATCTCTCCATATTTGTAGGTATATACTTTGATAAATATATATGCCAAAATAACTATAGGCGATTTGCTTTAGGACACATTAAAACTAGAATAAAATGGAGCTTTTAAGGCAAAGTAAAAAAAAAATGCATACCTCAAATTCTCATACTTAACCCTTTAACTCCCATTAGTGACCAAGACAGAATTTCTCCTTTCAATATCAATACAATACCAACCAGATAGGTGTTGAGAATGTAGAAAGATATCAGTTTGGGGGTAATTAGTTGATCCAACACTAAATTCTCTGAACTAACATGATACTGAGTATTGTGTGGTTGACAATAAGGAGAATTAAAAATTTGATCTGAGAGTTAAATGGTTCTGCCTTATTACTGAGAGCATTGCTTTCAATTAAATTATATTGTAGCTTGAGATCATGCATATATTGATAATAAATACAGTTAGGTGATAGCTAGGGTTCATGTAGCATGCAGGAAGTGGAAGAAAATACAAACAGAACTGTATATAATTTTTTTGACAGCTTTGAACACATACCTCCTACACCACTTTGACGATCTGTGAATTCCATAAAACAATGGTATACCAGTTAATGTAGTTTGCACTTAACATATTTAAATACATGTACCTCAATAAAAACATATGATAAACATATTATATAGCATTACATTCATATATGGTATGCATTAAGGCAAAGAAATGCCATCTCTTAGAGATAAGATACATAATTATCAACCAAGACTGTTTGATACATAAATTTTTATTGAAAATCTGTTATTAATATTAAGTCTGTCTAATAGTGAAATTCAAACCATCTTCACAGTGACAGGTCAATCCCTTGCTCATAATAACACAAGTGTTGCATACATAATTAGAGCCATTTTTGCTGTTATCATGTTCACTGTTCAACTTCACATCAAGTAAAACATGTGATGGCAATACACAGTTAGGGCATAATTTAGTTTTCATAATGGAATTGTATTTAATAATTTGTTTATTTTGCTTACTTGTCCTGCCCTCAGTGTCTTAAATAAAATAGAACCCTCACAGCTTTACCAAATGTTAAATTCTTCTGGCAGACTACCATAGGGTTTGTGCACTTTTGAAATAACTTTCCACAACTTCTGTGACCATATTTAAGACTACTCTTTGTATGTTTTCCAAGAGCTATACCTCCAAGAAGCTGGTTCCAAAGTGTAAAAAAAAAAAAAAAAAATTGCGATGGTAATTTTTTATGAGTAGTTTCTCAAAAGTATTTCTCTCACATTCAGTAGTTTCCATAACTTTACAGTACCCTACTAAAATTCCTGAAATCATCAGGCTAGGAAAATGATATTTAGTCTTATTATAAGACTTTCCAGGTTTTCCATGATTATCACTGAGTACCCACCCATTACCACAGCTTCAGTTGTCAAGTACTGTGTCCTCTCTAACACAAATTTTTTTTCAAGAATTGATTATTAATTGAGGAACATTACCAGATAGACGGAATGATGAGTAAGAGGCTTGAAATCCTTTGCCACCACCAGAGGCATTTGTCTTGAACACTAAGCGCAAGCAGTTGTCTGATGAGTAAACATCAAATGGCTTGTATCCATTTTCAGAGCAGTATTTTCCAATTGAATGCCTGTTAGACACACATCCAATGAAAATCTCCACTGAATCTTCAGAACAGTCTGGCATTTCACCCCTGACATCAAATGTTGACCACGATAGTTTTATGCCATATCCACTTCCAACTTCAATGTCATATGTGCAATCCAATGAGTTTTCATAAGTTGAACGACTTGAGAATGATGGTGAGGATACTGTACCACTGAAACTTGTGTAATCTTGGTCACAGCCTAAGGATTCTATGAACGCAGACAAACATAGTGAAACAGTTACTGTGTACCAGTCACAGTACAATATCATAAATGATAAACAAAAAAGCTTTCATAAGACATAGAACTTTTAATTTAAGTTTGTCAGGGTTCATAAGAGTAACTAGCATCTAATATCTCTTTACAATACCACCCTCAAATTGCATATTAGGGTCAAGAGAATCAAATCAATGATCTCCAACCATAGAAGCTCTCATTAAACAAATTCTCCTTGTCAGTACCTCATGAAAGGTGTAGAGAACAGTAGGGAGAAAATACACCCAGATGCAAGGGTGTAAAGGGTTATTAACTCATGGCATGGTCTCCACATTTCAAGTTTATTGTAATTATTAAACAAAATTCTCTGATAGCATAATTAGTGAACTAATAGGGCAGTGCGCATGTCAGTATCATTTACAGGAAAGTCTAGATATCATGCCTGTGAAACTGGACAGTATGCAAAATTTTCATGCACTGGAAACCTTTAACCCTTTAACTCCTAGAAGTGATTCATAAGTATCTTCTCCCTATGATATATAAACATTATCCAGCAAACAGGTTACAAGAATATTGATACTTATCAGGTCAAAGTTGTTATCTTGATCTGACACCAAATTCTCGTAACCTATTTACATGGAAATATGAAGCAGCTAGAGGGAAGAATTAACTATCAGATCTTGGTAGTTAAAGGGTTAAAAGATGGGGTATTTTGTCCTGTACACAGTATGGCAATGTCATTGTAGTATCTGAGGTTATTTCCACAAATTCACCCCATCAATATATTACTGAAATTGAAGACTGATCCCAATGAAATACAAATTTGTCAATTTGTGGCAGGTACGGATAAATTACTTAACTATCCTGTTCATGTGTACTAAATCAACGACTAAAGACTTTACTGACTTGGGAGAAATTCACAATTTAGATACTTAGAATAAAAAGTGTCTTACCAACATGGCCAACATTCACTGCTAGAAACACTGAGAAAACAAAAGAAAAAGTTAGTTCGTGATATACATTCTGTAACAGCAATATACAGGTAGGTAAGTTTTGCTAATTGAATATTTGACAATCTTGATCATATTTACTTTTATGAGCCAGAAAATTTATTGAGATATATGGGGAAAAAAAACACTAGAAAAATGTATCATTAAATTATTTGTTTACAAAAGCATACTGCCTTGCACATAATTATGTAACCATTGACTATACGTTAATTTCTTTCTGTACATTTATGAGAGATATAAATTTACCTGTTATTGTGTGAAGAAATATTGTGTTCATATTGCGGATATCAACTTGGACCATACGACTCGGACCTGCAGATTGAAAATAATGTTCGATTCTAATACTAACATTGTTCATTGTTTACACAGCACAAAACAGTTATAAACACGAAGGAGCGACGCATACGTAGTATCGAAGCTATACCTTGAAAATAGAGATTCGCTTTTTCCCATCGATCCTAATTGAAATATGGATAAAATTTCCGCACAGTCCCATATGCATACTACACTATGCATTAAGTTCTTGGATAGAGTAAACAATGACAAAAACAATACATCGCCATTGGGAAAACAGATTTGTTTTGTTTACAACAGTATATGGAGCTGTGCGGAAATTTCATCGAAATCTGTGAATCAGTTCAAATACGACTTTAGGTATATTCTATAGAGTTCTAAACTCAACTTTTTTCCTTGTTTTGTTCAAATTTGGCCTTTGGTGACCTGAAATCGTGAGTTAGTGGCTAGAAAAAAAATTTATCGAAATAAAGAAGTAAAGGCTGGCCGGGGCTGTCTTTTAAGGTTTCATGTGGTATCTGAAAGTTAAGTACTCGGAGAACCAGGTAGGAGGCAGATTTTTACTAAAGGAAACGAAGGAGTGTTAATGATACTAACTGTAGATTGTAAATTCTACATGATATATTAACACATTAAAGCATCACCGGCGGGCACAGGTGGCCAGAATGATAACTCTAAATGCGAATTTTGTCAGCAGAATTGTCTTTTCCGAAGCGCCATAGCGATTAAAATAGCCATAGTTTAAAGTGTTTTGTTAAATGGCGTTCCTTGAATAGTACACGATCACAATGTTGGTCTCCGGAAGCCGATACATGTCAGCTATTAAGCACGCCACACTCGAGTTCATTCCATGCGTGACGAACGTGACACGAGATAATTTTTATGTAAACTAATACGAGATTGCTTCAAGATGACCCTTTTTTATTTAGTTCGAATTTTTTAGTAAAATTCGTAACTCATAGGCCTCAAAAGGCAAGTTTTTCATTCATACACATAAGTTGATACGAAACATTGCTCTTCATCGGCCGCTAACCGTCAAGATACGTATGTCTTCTGAATTTATTTACAACTTAGAACTGACAGCAGGTGAATTGTGCGTGATTGCTGTGTGAATATTGTAATATGCAAGTCTTACGTGTTACGTATTCAAAAATGTTTGCGTCAAGACTGCTTGGCATTTCACAATTTGTACTGTATAATTTTTACCTGATATTTCCAAATAAGCTTAAATCGTGCCTAAATCATTCCCTTTGATCACGATGAAGGGCAAACGCTCGTCAGCTTTGCAGGGTGCCAATTTACATTACCAGCCCAGTTCATAATACCACCCAGCGACGCAGCACCACACTTTTTTTGAGAAACTTACCCCCTTTAATCATCAAGATCGATTTAATTCGAGGTGTGCGTCTAGAGAGTTAGTACGTTCTTACGAAGGCAAGTATTCTACATATCTAAGGCAAACACTTACTTGAAAAGAAATACGTGCGCTTTATCAAATAATATAATAAAAGGCTTTATTATAATTCAAGGCTTGCTAAAACGCGCTATTTGGCACTGTTTCAGGTTCGTTTCAGATAAAATTAAAAATGGCTCCTTTGATTAAAAAAATTCGACAGAAATAGGAATTTGAAATTGTAAAATTACTCAAACCACGGCGGTGGACTCACGCACGTACAACTATTTTCAAAACAAACTCGATTTTACCTTCAACGCGGTAACTGATTGTCAGACAGCTCACTGATGAAATCTTTGTTACGCTGTTTGAAGAGATCTTCAACCTTTCTCCGCTGCTGATGCCGAACACAGACCAACAACAATGCAAACGTGCTAAATAGAATCTGTTCTCTTCACCGCAAGGAGTTCTGAGTCACGAACAGAGTACTAACACGTCAATGTTATTTCCGGAGGTTAGGATGAGTGTGTAAGTATAGGGTACAGGTTTATGTTTGATCAAGCTTGTGATGTCAAACGTAAAGGAGTTCAGGGTGACACGTATTTTGTACCAACACGTTAAGAATCTTTTTACCGAAAGTTGTGTTACATACATTGTACCAACATGCCATGTTTATTGTCGGGGCTGAGGATTAGTAGAATGGTACGGAAGTTGGTAAGGTACATGTATATGTATGATCAAGCATCATTCTGTGTTATACGCAAAAAGTTCTAAGTGTCACGTACATTGTACCAACAGGACAAATTTACTTCCGGAGGTGACGGGTTAGACGTGAGAGGTGAGGGGTGGACTGGGGCAACTCTGGTCTCCGCCTTGGGAAGAGAATTTCAAGTATCTTTTCTCGGCTCAAGTGGTTACTTTGATACAAACTCATTCTAATACATATCAGAATACCTGGTCAAAAAAGATTTTATATGAGGCTCGTTGGGTTACTGTTATTGATGCGCTTGAATGAACATGGTTGATTTTGATATAGAGCAACTCCTTCGTTTTCACCTGACCCTTGAGAGTGATTGGCATTTAATTTCTCCTTACAATTTCAGTCCCGAATTACACATTAGATGAAGAGAGTAAAGGAAAAGTCGCCAACAAAAGGAGCTCTTGATCGAGATTGTTAAACAAATTCTCTTTGTCAGCACTTAGAGAAATGTCTAGAAAGTAGTGTGGAGAATATGCATACTCATCGAATACGTATGTCAGGGTGTAAAGAGTTAGCGAAGACTGGCTGTATATGGCAACTTCCGATCGACGATCGGTAAAGTGGTCATTGATTCATTGATCCTGTGAACAGCGTCCAGTAAAAAGGAAGAGTGCGCGGATTGGAGGGCGTTTTGATTGAGTGTCAGGAAATCATAAGAACAATCGTGACACAAATGGGAAAAAAGACACGTGATAACGAGCCAATCAAAATTCGACTAAAAAACAGATAAATAATCAAACTCATCGGAGCACGCTTCAAAATAATGAGATCAAAGTTATTGAATGAAATTGCGTCTACAATGAAGATAATTATAATACTTATTAAAATATACACTGCGGTCGTGCAACGCTTCTAACGAGTCTCTGACATCGAAACATTGGCAGACTACCATTCGGATGGCTTTGGTTTCTACAGCGATATTAGATTATCTTATTTCTTTACATTTCAACGTTACATTTATCTAAGAGAGATAAATGTAACGTTGAATAGTTCAATGCGGTACCTGAGACTTATCGTCAAAGCTACTTTTCTGTTCTTTGTACTTTTTATGAGACTGTCCCAAATTTTTACCATCCCTGCATTCCCATTTCCAGAGACTATTTTGACAATCCTTCCTCTCATTGCGTTCATTGAAGTATCCTTGAAAATGCATTTTGAAATTGTAATATTTCTCTTGCCTTCAGGGGTAACCAGACTTAATGCTCCATAGCCGCTTCTTTTCATCTCCTTCATGAATGTAGAAGTTAATGTCACAATTCCACTACTTAGTAAAACGTCTACAGCCACGCACTGGCGTTTATGTTCTCCATGATTTCCTTCCCATTGTTGAACAGTTACATTTCTGAGCGTAAAATATAACCTGCGGGGACACCAATGACTTTTCGGTGCGCCTTAAGCGGTTCTTCCAATTGATATCATGCAACCATACCTGGCTTTGCATTTACGGAATATAACATTGGTAAGGTCGACTTTCAGGAGTCCATGTTTGCTATTGGCAAAAAGTGATCCACCGGCACCGGCTTCATTATTGTGGAAGTTAGAGTTTATTATTCTTAACGATGTATTAATACGATAATTTAAGGACAGGCAAGAACCAGAACTTTCTGAATGTGCAGATTGGTTATTGTTTCGGCCGCGACGAAAATTAGATACGTCATAGCTACTTAATTAGGTTAATCACCGTTAATAACATTAGTACTGCAAGCTTCCTCCCGAAGTCGACATCTGAGGCCATCGGGTATGTAAAATCTGTGGTTCGTTTTCTTTGAACTTTGTTCATATAACCTGATAAACTGTTTGTAATCATAGGTTTCGAAAGACTCATCAATAAACAATAGAAAGTCCTTTGAAACGTGGCTATTTTATACTGTTAACGCTTCGGTCGAGGAAACAGTTATAAAAAATGGAGTCTCCAATAACTATATCAGCCCTGTGTGACTGAACCACAATGCATTGTCCCCATGTGTTGTTATGGCAACTCAAGGAGATGAACTTTACTTTTGTTTCTCTAGCATGTGAGAAATATAAGGCTCGCCAACTTTACATTGCTTACTTCTGATTTTTAACGTTTGCGATGTAGCTCGATATCTTCGAATGTTTCGTTCGTGATTGCATTTGAAACGTTAAGATCTAGAAAGGGGCCTTCGTTAGAGAAACTTTTGACCCTACGGCAAAGAATGTGGATGTATACTACGGAATAAATTTTAAAAGCTCCAACGTAAACTTCAGCTGCTCCCCATTTCCCCTCTGGAAATGAAATCCCTTAGTACACGAAACGTGTGGGGTGGAGTAGAAACCCTTCATAGTCAAGTTGTTGTTGACGTATCGGGCGAGACGTAAATACACAGGGCGTGAAATTGCGCCTAATACAGGCGCCAATGCGACTAAATTTTTCCCTTTGGCGACCAAATCTTGAAAATTAGTCGCCAAATTGGCGACTAGAATGTTTCATCACAACCTTACCGAGAGATATAGGGAATCAAAAAGATTTGCAAAGATAAATCCGCGGCAAACTTCCTCCTTTAAGTTTGTTTCCAAAACTCAGCTCAAGCATCTCAATTGATAACTAGACGCCATCTTGGATTTAGGTGAGCTTGAAGGTTGTATATCATCCATCCTAGTGTCCACTTTGTAGAAAGTTAGAGATCTTTTCCCTAAATTAATTTTGGAGGGTCTATCTTAAAAGTTGACAGCTTAAAAAAAGGTTTTGTTTGTCTTTGAAAATGGCAACCAACTGTTTTTGAATTGGCTACCACTTTGAAGAATTTAGGAGCCAAGTGGCTATCAGAAAAAAAAATTAATTTCACGCCCTGACCTACGCCAATGCCTACGCGATGAACCGCTTGAGAAATCGACTGACAGGGACGAATTTGGCTGTCACAAGTTTTAGTGTCACTTCCATAACAAGAAACACAAACATTCACAACGTTTGATCCTGAAATTGTCACGGATTACAGAATAGAAAGTGTTTTAGGGAAACTGCAAGAGGACTTCTAGAGTATATAAGCATTAATCCTTGGTTTTTCTTTTTGTTGCGAGTTTTTAATCTTTTTTATTTTTAAATCTTAAAATGTTTCAACATTTCTTAAGGATAAGCTATTTCATTTCTTCATCGAGAACGTAAAAAAGTCTCTCTTGGTTTTTATTTTTTCGAATTATCACTGTTTCGCTGGAGGGATGAATGATTGACAATATATTTGTGTAACAAAAAGAGATCTAAACTGTGTATTCAGTTTCTTGCAGCGCCACATCACAACTTAAGCATAACGTTAGTGTGCCGTGTTGCCTTTAATATGGAAAATTCATAATTTGTCGTCGCAGTTTACGTTACGTTCTCAGACCACGAAAATGTTGGTGTTTTTGCGGTAATAGGAACCTTAAGCAGTCAGGAAAAAAAATGAAATTCTGCCTTAAATTAGAATTTCAAAAATGACTGCATTTGTTTACCGTCTCATACGGCGCCACACCCCAACTTCAGCATAACGTGTAAAGGAAGCGTTGAGTTCCAAATGGAAATTAAAATAATTTGCCGTCGCGGTTTCGGTTCACAGACAACGCAAATTGTGGTGATTTCACGTTGTTGTTTTGCATGGGATGGCTAAGAAATGTACAAAGTTTTAAAACGCACATCCTGAGCCATTGTTCTGCCAATTAGATCTTTTGTTTTTCCATGTCCTCGTTGCCGTCGCTGTCGTGGTTTGATTAAGGTCCTTAAAGTTTCGCAGAGGACGGCTAAGAAATGTACAAAGTTTTAAAACGTACCTTCCGAGCTATCACGACTCGCCTATCACGACTCAAACAACCCTGACTCGATTTAATGATGTTAAAATTTAATGTTTCAGTTTTTCCTCGTTAATGGTTTTTACTGCCTGAGTGGCCCCGGTTTATGTTTTAGTACGAGTCCAAATTCCTCCGTGCTGCAAAAGTGAAAGAGCTTCGAAAGTTGTATTAAATTTAGCTGTGAGTCCTGAGACACTGCCAAAGAAACAGAAACTCCTCTTGGTTTTGAGCCAATGAATTAGCGGAACAGCAGAACAGAGAAAATGTCTGCATGCAGCACTTCTTTTGAGATTTGGTAGAACGCTTTGGGCGTAAATGGCTTTTGATGGAAAATTTGACGTGGATTCAGTAAAAGGTCTGACCAGAGTAATATATTTAGCGAACGACTTTCTTTAAAAACGTAGCATACGACGAGTAAACCTCGCTAGTCACTTCGGTCTCGAAACTTTACATCCGTCCTAATAAGTTACATTTTCTAAAGCTCAAAATCAAACAAACAGCTAAATTTGATTCATCCATAGACTCCGACAGTTACACGCTGATCTAACAGTGTTTATCTTTCCAAGCGTTTCTTTCTCGAAAGCCTCTATACTTCGTTTAATTTGTTTTTATTGTAAAATTTTTAATGAGACGTTTATTTACAACTCAAATAGCCTTTCCCACCTATTTGGACAGAATTTAATGGGGAGCCAAAGCGAACGACCGCGTCTCATCATAAGCTGAGCCTGGTACTAGAGTTTTACATCTCAAATGGTACTTTCGTGCGATATGTCAAATGACGTTGGCATCCGATTAGCATTAGTGAGATTCATTAATTAACCAGCGAGGTTTCAAATTGATCACAACAAGTTCAACCAAACAGGCTTATTAATATAAGTAATAGGACCGAGTGGAGTCCAATTCGGTCTGTAATCATACGAGTGAATCATTGCGTTTGTGATATTTTTTCGCCTTCACGAGCTGTTTGGGGCGTCTTCAAACGGCCCATGAAGGCAAAGAAATACCACGAATACATCGATCAACATTTCATTTAACTTTAATGAGATGTTGTTTTTGCCAAATTTCCTGAAATTCCTCCGGTAATAAATCTATTGTCTAAAGCGATTGTCCACGTGGACGGAATTTTTTTTCCAGTTTTCACGGGAACAGGATAATTTGGTTTTATCAATTGAGTTAATGATGTAACTAGGCCACCGTAAAGAGTTTCATTCTGATGAAGGGTTGACGTTAACCATGTCAGCTTTGAAACTCTTTACGGTGAGCAATTTCCATTATGACGTGGGTTGATAATACCAAAATATCTTTTTAAACTCCTCACCGACGCAGCAACGCAGTTTCTCTAGAAACTTATCCCTTTTTTCCTTGAGAACAAGTTCAGTTCTTGTGGAACGTAAGCTCCGACTACAGAAGCGCTCTTCAATAAGGTTTTGAGTCTGAATATCTAGACCCGAAAATTGTTTTGACTGTTTACCATTATACGCTGAAATGCACCGAAATGCGCTAATGAACTTTTATGCTAAATCAAAATTACAGAATGTTTCTTTCGCTTTCAATGTTTTGCCACCCGCCGGACAGTGTGACCCGTTTAGCCGTAAGAAGATAGAGATCTTCGAAAATTTCACCAAATTTAGTAGGTTGATTACTTTTCACCAAATTACGAGACAAGTTGAAAGTTGTGACGACACCGGAAATTGCGAATTAGCTTTTCGCTTTCTACCTAATTTTAGTTCCAAAAGTTTCTTGCTTCGAAACAGTTGGGTCTTACGAGAGGAGGAAATCATAATTATTCATGAGGGCAAAGTGTTGACGAGTCTCATGACGTATGTAAACGGTTTGTTACCGGCTATCTTGATTTTGGCCTTGTCAAGCGAAAGCTCAGGTATTTTAATTTGTCATGATCCAATTAGTTTCGTACTTGATGGTCATTACCTTACTGCTAGAATCGTTTTCTTGTTATCTCTTCAAATCGATACTTACTTTGGAACTTAGTTCTCCACTTAAACTATTCTTGGACAAACATTCTAGCAGTCATTCATTATTTGAACTTCACTAAAGCTAAAAGGGGCTCTACCTCATCTAAAATGTTTGTAGCTTGCAATGCTTTCTTTAAACCTTTAACCCCCAATGAGTAACCAAGACAGAATATCTCCTTTCCGGCTGGGCAGTATTTTGAAGCAAACACGTCGGTCACTACCTCAAGCCGATGAATAACTTATGAATCCTCTCTTTTCTCTCACTCAAATCACTTTGTTTGACAGAAAAATATCTGTTTCAGAATGAATTTGTATAAACAATAGTGTCATTACGTTGATTGACAAGCGGCCTAAAACCGTCTGCAATTAATTTTAATCGTTCACAAAAAGTACCTAGAACGTTAAAACGTGAGGTATTTGGTTACAGTTAAACTGAACGATGGAACTTTCATTCATTTGATACCTGAATTTTCTCAAGCAATTTGTTCGCAGTGAAAGAGCGAGCGAAGTTTTAATTTAAGTTCTATAACAAATATACGCTCTCGGTGAGTCTTTCCAAGTCCGTTCAATTTGAACATTTGTACCGTAAATTGCACAACAGAAACTGAAGGAAGTTTTTGAGAAAAGGCCGCATTAAATCCCCTTGTCTCTCGTTGGAGTGTGCCATTCGAATTTAGTTTTTGTGAAGGAAAGACCAGATTTACACGCGCCATTGCAGCAAACAAACGAGCAAACTCTCACAACTTCAAAATGAAGAAATTGAATTTACTCACAATTACTGTCCTCGCCGTTTACTTAATGAACAGAGGTAAATCTTCGTACATGAATGAATCGTCGATGAGAGTGAATAATACTTTCCATTAGATCATTGACTGTTTTTGAAGAAAACATTGTCGTGACAGTCCTTGCCAAACTAGTTCCGTTGTTTTTCAAATGTTCTTACGCTTTTTTTACTTACGCGCTCTCTAATTGACAGGTGTCAGATTGTGACAGATACTTGTAAAAATAATGTTTCAAAGTTTGTTTGGAAGCCTTTTAAATTATCTTTACGGAAATGAAAATGTTTCGCTGAGGAATCTCTCTTGAATATGCATCACCTCTATTTTAACTATATTTTACTCGCTCAAAAACTGTTCTGTTTATGGACGATCTTGCCGTATTTACAGCCCTAAATCATTCAGGTTCTTTCGGAAAGAATTTCGTCAAGTTTCAAAAAAATAAATATATTATTTACCGGCTAAGGGTCGGTCCGTATCGTGAAAAACTGTGACCTCGGTTTTGAAAATGCTCAACGGTCACAGTTTTTCACCATACCGACCTCCCAGCCGGCAAATAACATATATATATATATATCAACCAGACAAGTGATGAGAATAAAGAAAAATATCAATTTGGGGATAACCAGTTGATCAAGTACTAAATTCTATGAGCTAACATTGTAAGAAGTGTATGGTTGGCAGTAAGGAGAATTGCAAACTTGATATAGGAGTTAAAGGGTTAAGCTTGTCCGGTTGAAATCCAAAATTGTTGGTCAATTTTAAACCTTGATTGGAACTCTTACTGTTGCTGATCGGATAAAAATATCACTTCAAAAACTTTCACTCTAAGAGCGAACAATCAATGCTTTGAAATGATTGTTCCCCTCGTTCCCCTTTGAGATCACATCAAAATCGTACTAAATTAAGGGGAACGAGGAAAAATTATGTTTTATCGAATTGTAATAGTACGATTTGGAAACAGGACTATGATCCATGTGTATGCTTGCCGGACTTTGTTTTACTTTTAATGACACACTCACTATAAAAAACATAGTTATCTCCGGTAGACATGAACTCACTAATTTCTCATGCTGATACGAAGCTCCATGCAGCGCCCAAAGCGCTCAAATGCAGCTTTGATATTTAAAGAAAGGTGAAAATGGCTGCCACAGGACGTGGGTACCTTGCATTTGGTCAGTTCGTCTGTCCATTCATCCTAGGAACTGTTCTTCCTTTACAGACATATTATTCATCATTTAGTCCTGCAGAAAAATACTTTTAAGTTCTTACTTGATGAGAAATATAAATAAAAAACAACAACAACAACAATAATAACGGATCGTTTATGGGCAGAAGACAGGGAAAGTTTGACATGCACCAATTAAATGACCACACGGTTTAGAAACTTGAAAACCTTGAATGAAAAGGCATTTATTAATTATTATGCTCTGGAATTCCTCTTGCTATTTTCCTAATAATACTTTATAAAGATCTGATTTGTGAAAATTTCAGGTTCGAACATTCTGAATGTGTATGTTTCTCTTCATGGAAAAGACACCAAAACTTGTGGCAACCAAAGTCTCCCCTGTCAGTCCATTGCTCAGGCGGTTCATCGCGTGGGCTATGGCGGGAACATCTATCTGGATGGACGTGGGACCAAGAAACGCCCTTATGGTTGCCGAAACGGTCGCAATATTTTGCTGGATCATCCAGGTATTTACATAAACAAGAGCTTGACTGTTAGGGGATTCTACTCCACCCCACACGTTTTGTGTACTGAAGGATTTCATTTTGAGAAGACAAATGGCGAGTCGCTGACATTTGCTTTGATGCTGTCAGGAATCGATTTTCAACAAACTCGGCTAAATTGTAATGACTGCCAGCGTATCATGATCCACAAATGTTCTTTTCATAATGCTTCAAGAGCCTTGGCCATTAAAATACAGAACGTTACATCTTTTCAGCTTGATTTAAAAGGCAATTCAACGTTCCGAAATAATTCACAATGCATCAACGTCCTTTTACTCAATAATACTAAAGGAAAAAGTCAAGACGTTACACTTGAAATAAAAGATGCAATGTTTGAAAGAAATGGTCTTTACTGGCACGGTACTGGCAAAGACGTCATAATGTTCAGATCCGTCGAAAAAAAAGGTCCTTTAGTTTATATTCACATATTTTGCTGCAGAGTTAAAAGTTCTTACAATGAAGGCCCCTTCCTACATCTTGACGTTTCAAATGCGATTACAAACGAAACATTCGTAGATGTCGACCTACATCACCATGGAAAACGTTGCGGAAAACGAAATCGACATTTATATTTCTCACATGCCAAAGAAACAAAAGCAAAGTTCATCTCCTTGACATGCCATAACAACCCAAAAAAACAGTGCATTGTAGTTCAGTCAGACTGGGCAAATATAGTTATTCAAAACTCAACTTTTTACAACCAATCTGTCGATTCCAAAACGTCAGGTTCTTGCTTGTCTCTAACAGCTAGTATTGATGCATCTTTAAGAATCGTGAACTCTAACTTCCATAACAATGAAGCTGGCGCCGGCGGATCGATTTTTGCCAATAGCAAACATGGACTTCTAAAAGTCGATCTTACTAACGTAACATTCAGTAAATGTAAAGCTGCCAGGTATGGATGCGTGATATCAATTGGAAGAACCGCTCAAGGCCCACCAAAAAGTCATTGGGGTCCCCACAGGTTATATTTTACTCTCAGGAATGTAACCGTTCAGCAGTGGGAAGGAAATCATAGAAACGAAACAGAAAGGTGTATAGGTGTAGATGTTGTGCTAGATGGTGGAATTGTGACATTAGAGGGATCCACGTTTACGAAGAAAATGTCAAGAGGCAATGGAGCTTTCAGTCTGGTTACCACTGGAGGCAAAACTAACATCTCAATTTCAAACTGCACTTTTAAGGACACTTCTATGGACAAATCGAGAGGGAAGATTGTCTACATAGTCTCCGGAAATGGAAACGCAGGGATGGTTACAATTTCGAACAGTTTCATAGAAAACGGAGGAAACAGAAAAGTAGCTTTGTTCATAAGTCCCAGGTACTACATTAAACTATTCAACGTTACATTCAACTCTCTTAAATATGGATTACAAACAGTGTCATCTCCGCCAAAAAACGGCTCTTTTCCAATTGATATTCTCATTGATAAATGCTCCTTTATCGATAATACACATGATGCCATGTTTACACTTCTTGATCCAACATCAGTCCAACTAACCATTAAGAACACGCTTTTTAGCACCAGAAGCGAAATAGTAAAATGGGACCAAAGTGACTTCGGCTATGCTATTAGCCTCGTCATCCCGCCACTTAAACATGTCAATTTTTCAAAGGCAGTAATTCAACTTGACCATAACGAATTCCACCGCAGATCGGCCAGCTATTTTGTTCTTTTATTCGAAGGCTTCAAAAACGTGACAGTTAAACACTCTTCCTTTCGTAATTGTCGTGTCAGTGCTTATAAACTGGAATGGGATAATCATAAAACCAGTTTATTTTTCGAACCAACAGCAGGTGCCATCTCTATCTTATTCAATCCAGACAAACCGCTCAGTCTGGGATGTGTGAAATCCAAAAGCGCTAAAGAGACACACCCTTCATGGAACTATAGTAGTCATGTGCTCTTTGAAAATACAAAGTTTGAAGAAAACTTAGGAATTGAAGTTGGGGCTGTCCATATAAGCAATGGCTTCACGAAATTCCGAAGATGTGTGTTTGTCAACAACTTTGGCATTCGCAGATGTGGACACGTTCATTCTGCATTTGGAACTGGCCGCGTAGAATTCGAACATTGCTCTTTTTTGAAGACAATGGAAAGTGCGACAATTTCAGACGGCTCTCAATTTGATAAAGGTGTCTTCCTTTACTCTGAAAGTGGAGGTCCCTTGATATTTAAAAACACATCAATGACCTCACTAAAATTTAACAGGAGCTCTTATCCGATTGTTGACATTTCCAGTGGGGGATTTGTTCACATGGATGAAAAGTCCGGGATGAAATGTAACAAAGGAGAGGCTCTTCTATTGGAAAATGGTACGCATTTTCAATACACGGAGAAAAACAAACGCATTTGTGTATTAAATGTTACCGTTTTGAAATATTCGTGCAAACCCTGCCATCCGGGCTACTACAGCCTTCAAAAGGGGGTCTCCGAAGGCTTATTGGTAGCCTCTAGGGCTGAGTGTCGTCCATGTCCGTTTGGAGCCACCTGTATTGAGAGGAACATTGTTGCGAAACCAAACTTCTGGGGTTATGTAGCACCTGACAATCCATCAATGCTGAAATTAATTGCTTGTCCTGAAAATTATTGTCCATTAACTTCGTCAATAGACTACAGCAGCTGCCAAGGAAACAGAAACGGTACTCTCTGTGGACGGTGTGCTGATGGGTTCACTGAGACTCTTTTATCGACTGAATGCCGCAAGTCTACCAAATGCAACGACAGTTCTGTGTGGGTTGTGACCATATCGCTAACAATCACACTGGCTATCTATCTTTTGACCAAGCCCCCAATCTTGTGCACCCTAGGAAAGCAAATCTTATGGTTCAAGAAATCAGATGAATATCAGCCGGGAGAAGGATCGGACTTCAATGGTGGTGGTGAACATTCCGAGAGTGGCTTCTTGAAAATTACGTTTTACTTTTATCAAGCAGCTGAGAATTTGATAGTAGGTTCTGTAGAAGAACTTATTGGAAAAATTCTCTTCATTCACTTTGTCATCTCTGCCTACAACATCCACGTTCAATCCATCAATCAAGGACTTGGCTGTCCATTTGCAGGACTCACCGCTGTAACAAAAGAGCTCTTTCTTTCTGGTACAGTGTTTTTGACAATGACTAACCTTGTTCTAATCTATGTAGTGCATCATGTCGTCAACATGTTTATGGGAAAAGGCAAGCCCTCCCTTATCCGTTATATGGCCGTTGTCATGGAAGTGTTGTTGCTTGGATACGAAAGGCTTGCAGAAACAGCCCTTAAGCTAATGCACTGCGTCTCGATCGGATCTGGAAAATGTTATTCATCGATGCTAATGTCCCATGCATTCAATGGTGGCAATATCTTCTTCTTGCGTATATTGTCATCTTTCTTGTTCCTTTCATCGTCGTTCTTTACTGGGGATCTTTCAAGCTGTACAGATCTTCCATTACAGCAGGAGAGTTTGTTGCCGCCAGCATGGTTCCACTACCATTTCTTATATACTGGCTTGTCAAGGGAAAGCTGAAAAGGAGAGGCCAGGAGTCTTCTGGCCAGCAGGTCCTCAACACAGATGTTTCGATTATACTCCATGGTCCTTTCCGTCCGCCAACCGATATTGACAACGGAACCCTTTACTGGGAGAGCGTGTTGATTGGTCGAAGACTAGTTCTCATCGCTTTTGGGGCGTTCATCACAGATGTCATGTTACGGATGCTCTTCCTGTCTGCTGCATGCTTACTGATAACCCTCCATCATGTTTTGAAGAATCCTTATCGACATCCCATGGCGAATAATGCTGAAACATTATCTCTTGTAACCTTATCTCTCATTGCTATCATCAATCTGGCCAAAGCAACCACATTATCATTTGGTATCACGACTGACGGGCCGAGTGTGGCGTATCTGAAAGCTCTTGAGTGGTTTGAGGTGTGTGCTTTGGCATTTGTCCCAGCGTTAATGTCCATTTTGATGTCATTCGCCATTATGTCTCAGCTTGTGAGATTTGCTCTTCTTCTGATTGAGAAATGTTTGAAGTGTTGCAGGAAGATATCTTTCTATCCACGGTACGAGGACCAAGAGCAAAGATCTCTCTTGGCTACTGCTGAACAGAACTTTAACTAAACTCAGGATGTTAATATACCGTTCCTTGATCGCAAATTATTCTCAGTGTAATATGAATTTAGTAGAATTGCTTCGGTGATATTAGAAATTTGCGCGCTCTGATTGGTCGAAGATTGCGTCATATCTCTCAATCATCTCTCTCGAGGTAATTATAGCAGGGGCGCTAATTTCGCTAATTAGCTGCTTTGCATTTTGTCAATGTTACGCAGGAATTGATAAACACAATGGAAGAAAATACAATTTTAAAGAGCACAAAATATGATTTTAAGTTTTGCGTCACACTTTTCAAAAAAATATGTAAGTTTTGCTGATTGAATAAGTGTTGCTGTTAAATTCTAATGGAAGTTTGGTTAATCCCAACAATTGCAATGGAATAGTTTCTAAAATAAAAAGAATTTACTATAGAATTTGAGAGCATCATAGCAATTAAACTCAAACAATTATTCCCTTCAAGCTCAGTGAATATTGTTGAATAATCTCCTGGGGGATTATTTAACAATATTTACTCTGCCTGTTGCGTGAAACTGTAAAGTATTTCATATGTCTTACATGAACGCTAAATTAGGCTTCTTACATGTACATGCCAGTAGGTATCTTGTTTAGAATCTCAAATACTACTCCGTTTTTACCTTAATATTCTTTCGGTTGTTATCACAGTAGCTTCCCAACTCATTTGGGGCTAAGATTAACTAGTCAATCAATTGATCTAAACGGTACCAGTTTCTTTTAGGATCCGAAAGAAAAAAAACAATTATTCGGACCCTTAATTAGCTTCTTGTGAGATCTCCATCAGATTTTAGGATATCAGTATGTATTATATATCAATCTTACAGCATTTTTCATTAGTCTTGAAGTTCGGCTTCTTCTTCCCTTCAATGACACACAAAATGAGGTTGAATTACAGATGCAAGAGGCTAATGATAAGGGTAAAACCTGATTTTGCACGGTAACGCATGGTTTTACGTCCGAATTACTTGGCGTTTGTGACACGGGATTAAGCTTAGCTGGCAGTAAAAAAGAAAACACTCTTTTTTAAACTGACTTGACCGGTTATAAATTATTAAAGAAGAAAAGCTGTTATTACGATGTATACGTGTATAAGCGTATAAAACAACATGTTTTGAATAATTTAAAGTTCATTACTAAAGTATTTAACGGACTTCTTTGTCTTTCGATTGGTAAAAGATGGGATGTTACTAAGACGTGGAATGGGAAATGGAAAAATGAAATTGGATATTTCCCATTTCCCATATACCCTTCCCCTTCACCATTCCCCATTTCTCCATTTAGTAACATCCGTAAAAGATCATTCACAGATAACTTCGAATTGTCGGTTACAATGCATTCATTTCGTATTTTTAGCGATTGACACGGTTTGAGCATATCCTTTTATGTAAACCCACCTAAATCTTAGATTGAAAATGGCGAAATACTTAAGCTAAGAATTCACATACTTTTAAAAACTTAGGAAAAATTCCTGAGGCCCTAAGGATAGGTTTGTCTCCTAAATGTTTTTACAGGGACTTATTCGTAATTGCTGACCTAAACGAGCTCATGTCCATCAATCTTTTAATTCAGACCTGTGCTAGAAATTTTTTTTTTTTTTGTTCGTGCAAAGAGCTCTGGAGGGAAATATTACCGTGAGGCAGATGATTGAACTGGGAGTTCTTCCCTGTTTTATTTTTTCTCATTGCTTGAGGCAGCGATTTGCCGTTTTCCACAGAGGAGCACGTACACAACAACGCATGAACAGAATCTGCACCAAAACACAGTCAGACGCATTATGCATAAGGAGATCATTAGTTCTAGGCAGGTTACGTGGCGAGTGTCGGCCAATTAAAGGGATAAAATGTGTGGCAAAGTGTAGTGTGGGCATTACGAAATTACCGAATCCACTTAGCACGCGCTTCACTGTCTATAATCAATCACAAAATGAAAGCGGGAATCAAACTATTGCCAATTATTGTTCTCTTCCAAAACTTTTGCAGGGCGAATGATGATTTTATGAAAATTTGGATTCTTTCTGCCACTGGGAACGAGACGTCCAGAGACCTGGAATGTAGTTACATTGTTGAGGTTACCAGTCTCTCATCGCTATTCAAGAGTGACGTTTACAAAATGGCGGACAGAAAGTTTGAATAACACAAGCAGTTTGTGAAAAATTTCCCTTTCTGTTGTGTTCAATCGAAGCAAATGTTTTGGTTAAATTCCCTCCGGGCACTAGTTAAGGAATTGATGTCGGAAATGGAACTTAAGAGCCTGCTATGTTCTTAAGCTTCACGTTTTATTTTATAAAATCAACCTGATCTCCCTCCCTCTCACACCGTTTAAGTCTCACGCTCTGGTCTCTCTCATTTTAAATATAACATATGATCCTATTGTTCAATCATCTGTCACTTATCGCAAAAAATCAACCGGAAATCAATTAATGCTGAATAATCTCTCACAATTTAAAGACCATTTGGATAATGGTGATCCTTTGAAGTTGACGCCTGATTTAAAAGATCAATCTAATGAACTTATATCTTGGCTGCACAGCATTCACAAAATCAGACTATAAGAGATATCCACCTATTTTTCAACAAATAATTTCCGTACTTTCTTTTGCTCTCATCGATTGGTTTTGCCCAATTTCCTAAAATTGTTCCGGTAATAAATCTACTGTAGAAAGCGATTATCCACTTGGACTGAATTTTTTTTTTTCAGCTTTCATGGGAACAAGTTCAGTTCTTTTGGAGCGTAAGTTCCGGCTGCGAATAATTATGAAGGTGGCTAAATAAAAGGCGCCACAGAGGCTCCGTTCACTGAAAATATGCAAGTTTTGAGTCTGAATACTTAGACGTGAGAGTTGTTTGGACTGTTTTCCTTAATGCACTGAAACTGAAATGTGCTGAGGAACTCTTTTGCTAAATAAAAAATTATATGTTTCTCTTACTTTCAATGTTTTGCCACCTGCGAGACCGTGTGACCCGTTTGGCTGTAAAAAGATTGAGTCTCCGAGCTGTAGATCTTCAAAAATTTCACAGAGTAGGTTAACTACTTTTCACCAAATTACGAGACAACAGAGAGTTGTGACGACACCGGAAATTGCAAATTAGCTTTTCGCTTTCTAAAAAAAGGAAAAAAAAGAAACAGTTTGGATTTATGTGAGGAGGAAATAAGAATTAATCATGAGGGCTATGTGTTGAAAAGTCTCATGGCGTATGTAAACGGTTTGTTACCGGCTCTACTGATTTTGGCATTGTCAAGCAAAACCTCAGGTAATTTAATTTGTCATGACCTAATTAATTTCGTAACCGAAGGTCAGTATCTTTATATTAGAGTCGTTTACTTGGTATCTCTTCAAATCGATGCTTATTTTGGAACATATATAGTTCCCATTTAAACCATTCTTTAACAAATACTTCAGCAGTCAATCATTATTTCAACTTTACTAATGCTAAAAGAAGCTTTACCTTGCCTAAAAAAAAATTGTAGCTCGCTTTCCTTTCTGTAACCCTCGATGAGTAACCAAGATAGGATATCTCCTTACAATACCAATACAATATCAATCAGATAAGTGATGAGTGTAAAGAAAAATATCAGTTGGGGATAATTAGTTGATCCAATACTAAATTCTCTGAACTTACATTATATGAATTGTATGGTTGACAGTAAGGACAATTGCAAATTTGATGTGGGAGTTAAAGGGGTTAAGCTTGTTCGGGTGAAAACCAAATTTTTTTTGGTCAATTCTAAACCTTGATTGGAACTCTCTCTGTTACTGATCGGATAAAAATATCACTTCATAACTTTTACTCTAAGAGTGAACAATCATTGCTTAACATAAGTCGTTCGCTTTCGTTGCCCTTTGAAATTATACCAAAATCACCCGAAATAAAGGGGAACCCTGAAAAATAGGTGCTTTTACATTAGCATCGAGTTTCGGAGTCTAAAGATGAAATAAAAATAGCTGTCTACTCAATTTCGAGCTTCAGCAAGCGCAACGTGTTATGACGGATGTGAAGTTTCGATATCAAGAGAGTTAAAGCACAATGTCTAACAGTTTCTATACCTGTCATATCTTATCAATGTAAGGAAGTTATTTTCAAATTTTACTTCTTTGTTCAGACCCCCCACTGAGTTACCGAAAAATTCCTCAGCAGGAGACATTTTAGCTCAAAAGCGTCTGAAGAAAATTAAAATCGTGGACCGAACAGTCTTTAATAGGATCATTTTAATGAACAGAAAAACTTTCGGGGGTTTTGTGATGCATCCGGTCGTTCCGTTCAACTTGCAACTTCGTAAATGAGATTCACAAGTTAATTTTGTGATCAAAAGATCGTTCACGTTAGATTACTGTCACCAACCGGAGAAGACTTTTTAATACTTCATCAGTTTGTTAAGACGTTTTGGGAAATTCAGATGTAATTTGCGCAAGCTTTTTTTACTTTTAAAGCGTGCACAAGTTAGTTTCAGCTGAATGCGGAGACCGGAAGTAAAACTGACAGAGTAAAACAGTCCCATACATGATCTCAAGTGCAAAAGCAAGTTGTTCGATGACCTGTCGGTGATAGACACGCAAGATGGCATCGGTTGAGTCATTTTGATAGTCTCCACGGCATGCTATATACACTGTTAATAACATTTTACTTTTTATCGAATTGTAACAGCACGATTTGGAAACCAGGACTGTGATCCGTGCATATTTACCGGACTTTGTTTTACTTTTAATAACGCTCATCGTTATCTCCTGTTGACATGAACTCACCAATTACACATGCTAATGCGAAGCTCCATGCAGCGTTCTAAGCGCACAAATGCAGCTTTCATATTTACAGTGAGGACACGAACTATGAACGCCAGACTCTTTTTTCTGCCTTTTTTTGATGATTTTTCAATAAGACCTCTCGAAGTAGACAAAAGAATTCGCATTTTTGAAGCGCTGTCCAATCACTTCATTAGCGGGAAAATATAATTTAAGTTTTTTCGTGCCAAAGTCTCGGCTGATTCGGCTGAATTTTTTTAACGTGAAATAGCCCAGAAGTTATGTTGGTAAGTACAATTTGGTTCACTAACTTCGAGCAGTTTTTAGGGTTTCTGATAATAATAATAATAATAATAATAATAATTATTATTATTATTATTATTATTATTATTATTATTTTCGTGAAGATGAATGCAAACTAGGTGTCAATCGGCAGCAAGGAATATACGATAATGGTAGGGCGACTTTGTTCTAAGGGACAACTTCAGGTTCCACCAAAGACATTTTGTGGAGACATTATTACGAGATATTCCTCGCGAACATGGCGTTGATCTACTTTTCCAGCCTGTTTACTCACCCCATCTTAACACTTGAGAGTTCTGTTTTCACCAGGTAAAGTGCTACCACAAACAAAACACATCTTGGACAACAAATGAAATTGAAATAGCGATTGGCGAGGGTACATCAAAAATAACTACTCCTAATTCAATATCATACTTCAGAAACTGCGGCTAAGTCAGATTGACAGTTTTGTTATTCTGCTGTTATTTTTAGCCTACCTTTGAGAAAACAAACAAACTCGCTCTTGCCGCTAAAACAGTGTAAATCTGATTGATTAAGCTGAGGACAAAACAGATAGAAGACAAAGCTTTACTGATAAGAAACTGTCCCTTCTATAATATCATAAGAGTAACTCAAAACGTGAACAATTTCAACCCCGTTCACGGTATTGTAATCAATAAAAGTGCAATGTAAACAAAATTGAGACCCGGCACTTGCCTGAATAAATTTTAAAAAACGCGACAAATAGGAACACAAACGAAGCATGTCAAATTCTTGTATATAAATACTGCAGCATAAACAAAGATAAAATGCGAAAAGGTTAATTGCAACATTTACACGCCATCGGTCGTTTCAGTTCACAGCACACGGAGAGGATCAACAATTCTATGTTTGTACTCTTCAATTACATTAAGCAATCTCCAGTCGTCAGTTTCCTGTAATGGAACACTACATCTCAGCGCTCACTGTAGAATCATTAAATCCCTGTCCAAGGCTGAACGGTCGATGTACTTTTGTTTTCCTAACCGTGGACGTATGATAGCAAAGAAACTTGAGCTAGACCCAACCTATTGACCAGTTCCCAGTTGGCTTGTTAGCTCAGTTGGTAGAGCGCTGCGCCGGTATCGCATAGATCATTGGTTCAAATGCCGTACGGGCCTGAATTTTTTTCTTTTTCAGGTTTTATTTCAAATACTAGCTCAATAGTGTTCATAGCTGCGAAGATCTCTTATATTCGTTGACTAAGCTCGTTGGCGGGAAGCGGAAAATACTTCGTTGTCGCTTATAACTTTCGCATACTTTTGTTCAAGCTCTTTCAGTTCACGCTGTAATGTTTGAATTTTGGTCAATAATTCTGGGTGCTTGGCCTTGAGCTTGCAAGAGTTGACATCGTAACAAGGGGTTCTCTTACAATTGTTCCTGTTGTGGTCGGAGGTATGGCAATAAGTACACACTTTTCCGCGCCTATCGTTCGCAGCTGGTTAATCTTCTAAAGCTTTTTGTTTCCCCCGTAGGTGATTTTTAGCACTATCGACTTGCACTTCTAGAAGCGTGACGTTTTCTGAAAGTTCAACAGCTTTTCGGTTTAATGGACTTTAAACCATCTCAGGGTTTTGTTTACATACGGTCGCGCTTGCTTCTAAACCTTCTAAGTTAGTTGTGGCCTCAGGTGACTCCTGCCAGAAAGATTTGTCAGCACTGCTTATATTTGCACATGGTGCCATATTCAGTCGCTTTGTCTGTAAATGAAGCCGACGACAAGTTTCCGTCTCGAGAAAAAGCCAACGACTAATTCATATACGCGTCACGCGTTGTGTGACTTGGTGTTAAGTTACGAGAGGGACCGTTGGAAATTTCAACACGTTATAAGGAATAGTATGGGGAACGAATTATGGTCGATTTACAACGATAAATATTTCGAAATATGAATTTTTTTTACACGTAAAATCAATAACGCTTACTCGCATCCTGTGTGTCCGTTGTAATTTCTGGCGATTTCTTCCGTTTTAGGCTTGCTTTACTATCACTGTTATTCCTGTCAAAAGACTAAGTCTTCGTCTTTTGACAGTGATGGTAAAGCAAGCTTAAAACAGCAGAAATTGCCGGAAACTACAACGAGTGAGTTTGGACGAGCGAATTCCCAAGACATTCACTTGCAGTAGCGAAAAAAATTATAGATCCTTAATATTAGCGGCGAAATGTATTCTAATAAGTAAAGATTTGGTAAAGCATTTGACAATAAAAATCTGAAATAAAATATTATAAAACTTAACACGACGTTTCGACGTTTCCAGAACGTCATTATCAAGTGAACTAGAATAATAAAATCGAGTATATATATAATGAAGCGGTGAATAAATTACAAAGCGTTAAAAGTTAAACAAAGAGTTTGGCCCTAATGGAATCGCTCTGGGTGTTTAAATTGGGCCTTATTGTTTTTATGTACAACATTTCATAAACAAGACAATCCCATTTCGTGCCACATTTTTTAAGCATTCTAAACTGGCTCTCATTGAGTAAGTCAATGTTCCCATGGGCATCTCTCAGGTGGCGACCAATGGCAGAGTACCGATGATCAGCAATGCGTTGAAACAAATGGCGCGTCGTATATCCGACGTAATTTGAATCACACAAATCACATTTAAAACAGTAAACAACGCTATGCTGACTTACGATGCATGGCTTGATTTCTTTAAGCTTTAGGTCCTGCTCAAGTTTCTTACTGGTGTAGACTGGTTGTACATCAATGCCGATTTTTTAACTGAGATCGCGCATTTGTCTTTTGGCAATGTTCGCTGAGACTTGATCTTTGAAAGGAATACTGACTCTTAGAGTTTCATCAGATTTTGTCTTAGTATCTGGTGTAGAGGAATAATCACATTTGTCGATAATACAGTTCACCAAAGAACTAGGGTAACCAAGGCGATGAAACATAGATTTTAGATGCCTACACTCATCGACGAATGCTTGATGCGTAGAGGACAATTCCTTTGCACGATGAACCATTGTTTTGATAAGACACTTCTTGTAGCGCAAATCGGTGTGACTTTGCAATCGAAAATGAAGTAAAGGCCCGTGTTCGTAGGTTTACGATAGACCTGAGTCTCCAACTTGTTGCCGTTCTTTGTTATCAAGACCTCGGTCACAGTTTTTCACCATACCGACCTCCCAGCCGGCAAATAACATATATATATATATATATCAACCAGACAAGCGATTAAAATAAAGAAAAATATAAATTTGGGGAAAACTAGTTGATCTAGTACTAAATTCTATGAGCTAACATTGTAAGAAGTGTATGGTTGGCAGCAAGGAGAATTGCAAACTTGATCTAGGAGTTAAAGGGTTAAGCTTGTCCGGTTGAAATCCAAAATTGTTTTGGTCAATTTTAAACCTTGATTGGAACTCTTACTGTTGCTGATCGGATAAAAATATCACTTCATAAACTTTCACTCTAAGAGCGAACAATCATTGCTTTGAAATGATTGTTCCCCTCGTTCCCCTTTGAGATCACATCAAAATCGCACTAAATTAAGGGGAAAGAGGGAAAATAGGCACTATTAGATTAGCATTGAGTTTCTGAGTTTAGAGATGAAATAAAAATAGCTGTTTGCTCAATTTTGAGCTTAAGAAAGTGCAACGTGTTATGACGGATGTGACATTTCGAGCTCGAGAGAGCTAAAGCACAATGTCTGACAGGTTTTTCTTTATTCAGAACTCCACTTAGATACCGGAAAATTCCTCAGCAGGGGACATTTTGGCTCAAAATCGTCTGAAAAAAAAATAATAATCGTGGACAATAGTCTCTCATACAATCATTATAATGAACAGAACAACTTTTCAGAGTTTTGTGATGCATCCGGCCGTTCTGTTCAATTTGTAACTTCGCAAATGAGAATCATAAGTTAATTTTTTTTATCAAAAGACCTTTCACGTTTGATTGCTGCCTCCTCAATACTGTCACCAACCCAAGAAGAGTTTTTGTTATTTCAGCAGTTTCTTAGAACGTTTTGGGAAGTTCAGAAATAATTTGTGCAAGCTGTTTTACTTTTAAAGCACGCACGAGTTTGTTTCAGCTGAATGCGGAGACAGGAAGCAAAACTAAGACGACAAATTAGTCTTGGCCTGCAGAGCAGGCGTAATTTTGGCGGGCAAATGCTCAGTATTTTCTTAACGAAAATTATAGCCGCCATCTTTGATTTTAATGACAGCGAGAGGCTGGGGAGAGAAAGAAATTTGTACCAAAGGAGTGGTTGTCGGTAAGAAATAGGGAGAGTGGTAGGGGTGGGGAAGTAAAGGTTATCGCCCTTTCCCCGCCCCCTACCTCACCGCCCACTCAAACTCAAAATCAAACATTGCCGGTCGGATAAACAATCGCGAGCTTATAACGTTAGCTCGCATGATAAGACGCCTGCACTGCAGGCTAAATTAGTCCCACATATTATACCGAGCGCAAATTGTTCGATGACCTGTCAGTGATGGATACGCAATATGGCATCGGTTGAATCATTTTGATAGTCTCCGCGGCATGCTATAACACTGTTCATAAAATTTTATGTTTTATCGAATTGTAATAGTACGATTTGGAAACAGGACTATGATCCATGTGTATGCTTGCCGGACTTTGTTTTACTTTTAATGACACACTTACTATAAAAAACATAGTTATCTCCGGTAGACATGAACTCACTAATTTCTCATGCTGATACGAAGCTCCATGCAGCGCCCAAAGCGCTCAAATGCAGCTTTGATATATAAAGAAAGGTGAAAATGGCTGCCACAGGACGTGGGTACCTCGCATTTGGTCAGTTCGTCTATCCATTCATCACATGAACTGTTCTTCTTTACAGACATATTATTCATCAATTAATCCTGCAGAAAAATACTTTTAAGTTCTTACTTGATGAGAAATATAGATAAAAACAACAACAACAACAACAATAACGGATCGTTTCTGGGCAGAAGACAGGGAAAGTTTGACATGCACCAATTAAATGACCACACGGTTGAGAAACTTGAAAACCTTGAATGAAAAGGCATTCATTGACTATTATGCTCTGGAATTCCTCTTGCTATTTTCCTAATAATACTTTATAAAGATCTGATTTGTGAAAATTTCAGGTTCGAACATTTTGAATGTGTATGTTTCTCTTCATGGAAAAGACACTAAAACTTGTGGCAACCAAAGTCTCCCCTGTCAGTCCATTGCTCAAGCGGTTCATCGCGTGGGCTATGGCGGGAACATCTATCTGGATGGACGTGGGACCAAGAAACGCCCTTATGGTTGCAGAAACGGTCGCAATATTTTGCTGGATCAGCCAGGTATTTACGTAAACAAGAGCTTGACTGTGAGGGGATTCTACTCCACCCCACACGTTTTGTGTACTGAAGGATTTCATTTTGAGAAGACAAATGGCGAGTCGCTGACATTTGCTTTGATGCTGTCAGGAATCGATTTTCAACAAACTCGGCTAAATTGTAATGACTGCCAGCGTATCACGATCCACAACTGTTCTTTTCATAATGCTTCAAGAGCCTTGGCCATCAAAATACAGAACATTACATCTTTTCAGCTTGACTTAGAAGGCAATTCAACGTTTCGAAATAATTCACAATGCATCAACGTCCTTTTACTCAATAATACTAAAGGAAAAAGTCAAGACGTTACACTTGAAATAAAAGATGCAATGTTTGAAAGAAATGGTCTTTACTGGCACGGTACTGGCAGAGACGTCATAATGTTCAGATCCGTCGAAAAAAAAGGTCCTTCTCCAGTTTATATTCACATATTTTGCTGTAGAGTTAAAAGTTCTTACAATGAAGGCCCCTTCCTACATCTTGACGTTTCAAATGCGATTACAAACGAAACATTCGTAGATGTCGACCTACATCACAATGAGAAAGGTCGCAGAAAACGAAATCGACGTTTATATTTCTCACATGCTAGAGAAACAAACGCAAAGTTCATCTCCTTGACATGCCATAACAACCCAAAAAAACATTGCATTGTAGTTCAGTCAGACAGGGCAAATATAGTTATTCAAGACTCGATTTTTTACAACCAATCTGTCGATTCCAAAACGTCAGGTTCTTGCTTGTCTCTAACAGCTAGTATTAATGCATCTTTAAGAATCGTGAACTCTAACTTCCATAACAATGAAGCTGGCGCCGGCGGATCGATTTTTGCCAATAGCAAACATGGACTTCTAAAAGTCGATCTTACTAACGTAACATTCAGTAAATGTAAAGCTGCCAGGTATGGATGCGTGATATCAATTGGAAGAACCGCTCAAGGCCCACCAAAAAGTCATTGGGGTCCCCACAGGTTATATTTTACTCTCAGGAATGTAACCGTTCAGCAGTGGGAAGGAAATCATGGAAACGAAACAGAAAAGTGTATGGCTGTAGAGGTTGTGTTAGATGGTGGAATTGTGACATTAGAGGGATCCACGTTTACGAAGAAAATGTCAAGAGGCAATGGAGCTTTCAGTCTGGTTACCACTGGAGGCAAAACTAACATCTCAATTTCAAACTGCACTTTTAAGGACACTTCTATGGACACATCGAGAGGGAAGATTGTCTACATAGTCTCCGGAAATGGAAATGCAGGGATGGTTACAATTTCGAACAGTTTCATAGAAAACGGAGGAAAAAGAAAAGTAGCTTTGTTCATAAGTCCCAAGTACTACATTAAACTATTCAACATTACATTCAACTCTCTTAAATATGGATTACAAACAGTGTCATCTCCGCCCAAAAACGGCTCTTTTCCAATTGATATTCTCATTGATAAATGCTCCTTTATCGATAATACACATGATGCCATGTTTACACTTCTTGGTCCAACATCAGTCCAACTAACCATTAAGAACACGCTTTTTAGCACCAGAAGCGAAATAGTAAAATGGGACCAAAGTGACTACGGCTATGCTATTAGCTTCGTCATCCCGCCACTTAAACATGTCAATTTTTCAAAGGCAGTAATTCAACTTGACCATAACGAATTCCACCGCAGATCGGCTAGCTATTTTGTTCTTTTATTCGAAGGCTTCAAAAACGTGACAGTTAAACACTCTTCCTTTCGTAATTGTCGTGTCAGTGCTTATAAACCGGAATGGGATAATCGTAAAACCGGTTTATTTTACGAACCAACAGCAGGTGCCATCTCTATCTTATTCAATCCAGACAAACCGTTCAGTCTGGGATGTGTGAAATCCAAAAGCGCTAAAGAGACACACCCTTCATGGAACTATAGCAGTCATGTGCTCTTTGAAAATACAAAGTTTGAAGAAAACTTAGGAATTGAAGTTGGGGCTGTCCATATTAGCAATGGCTTCACGAAATTCCGAAGATGTGTGTTTGTCAACAACTTTGGCATTCGCAGATGTGGACACGTTCATTCTGCATTTGGAACTGGCCGCGTAGAATTCGAACATTGTTCTTTTTTGAAGACAATGGAAAGTGCGACAATTTCAGACGGCTCTCAATTTGATAAAGGTGTCTTCCTTTACTCTGAAAGTGGAGGTCCCTTGATATTTAAAAACACATCAATGACCTCACTAAAATTTAACAGGAGCTCTTATCCGATTGTTGACATTTCCAGTGGGGGATTTGTTCACATGGATGAAAAGTCCAGGATGAAATGTAACAAAGGAGAGGCTCTTCTGTTGGAAAATGGTACGCATTTTCAATACACGGAGAAAAACAAACGCATTTGTGTATTAAATGTTACCGTTTTGAAATATTCGTGCAAACCCTGCCATCCGGGCTACTACAGCCTTCAAAAGGGGGTCTCCGAAGGCTTATTGGTAGCCTCTAGGGCTGAGTGTCATCCATGTCCGTTTGGAGCCATCTGTATTGAGAGGAACATTGTTGCGAAACCAAACTTCTGGGGTTATGTAACACCTGACAATCCATCAATGCTGCAATTAATTGCTTGTCCTGAAAATTATTGTCCATTAACTTCGTCAATAGACTACAGCAGCTGCCAAGGAAACAGAAACGGTACTCTCTGTGGACGGTGTGCTGATGGGTTCACTGAGACTCTTTTATCGACTGAATGCCGCAAGTCTACCAAATGCAACGACAGTTCTGTGTGGGTTGTGACCATATCGCTAACAATCACATTGGCTATCTATCTTTTGACCAAGCCCCCAATCTTGTGCACCCTAGGAAAGCAAATCTTATGGTTCAAGAAATCAGATGAATATCAGCCGGGAGAAGGATCGGACTTCAATGATGATGGTGAACATTCCGAGAGTGGCTTCTCGAAAATTACGTTCTATTTTTATCAAGCAGCTGAGACTTTGATAGTAGGTTCTGTAGAAGAACTTGTTGGAAAAATTCCTTTTATTCACTTTGTCATCTCTGTGTATAGCTTCCACGTTCAATCCATTAATCAAGGACTTGGCTGTCCATTTGCAGGACTCACTGCTGTTACAAAAGAGCTCTTTCTTTCTGGTACAGTGTTTTTGACAATGGTTAATCTTGTTCTAATCTATTTTGTGCATCATGTCATCAATATGTTTATGGGAAAAGGCAAGCCCTCCCTTATCCGTTATATGGCCGTTATCATGGAAGTGTTATTGCTTGGATACGAAAGGCTTGCAGAAACAGCCCTTAAGCTAATGCACTGCGTCTCAATTGGATCTGGAAAGTGGTTATTCATCGATGCAAATGTCCCATGCATGCAGTGGTGGCAATATCTTCTTCTTTCGTATATTGTCATCTTCCTTGTTCCTTTCATCGGCGTTCTTTACTGGGGATCTTTCAAGCTGTACAGATCTTCCATTACAGCAGAAGAGTTTGTTGCCGCCAGCATGATTCCACTGCCATTTCTGATATATTGGCTTGTCAAGGGAAAGCTGAAAAGGAGAGACCAGGAGTCTTCTGGTCAGCAGGTCCTAAACACAGATGTTTCGATTATACTCCATGGTCCTTTTTGTCCGCCAACCGATATTGACAACGGAACCCTCTACTGGGAGAGCGTTTTGATTGGTCGAAGACTAGTTCTCCTCGCTTGTGGGGCGTTCATCACAGATGTCATGTTACGCATGATCTTCCTGTGTGCTGCATGCTTGCTGATAACCCTGCATCATGTTTTGAAGAATCCTTATCGACATCCCATGGCGAATAATGCTGAAACATTATCTCTTGTAACCTTATCTCTCATTGCTATCATCAATCTGGCCAAAGCAACTACATTATCATTTGGTATCACGACTGACGGGCCGAGTGTGGCGTATCTGAAAGCTCTTGAGTGGTTTGAGGTGTGTGCTTTGGCATTTGTCCCAGCGTTAATATCCATTTTGATCGCATTCGCCATTTTGTCTCAGTTTGTGAGGTTTGCTCTTCTTTTGATTGAGAAATGTTTGAGGTGTTGTAGGAAGATATCTTTCTATCCACGGTACGAGGACCAAGAGCAAAGACCTCTCTTGGCTACTACTGAATAGAACTTTAATTAAACTCAGGATGCTAATATACCGTTCGTTGATCGCAAATTATTCTCCTAAAATCTCAACGTAATATGAATTTAGTAGAATTGCTTCTGTGATATTAGAGATTTGCACGATTTGATGGGTCGAAGATCGCGTCATATCTCTCAATCATCTCTCTCGAGGTGAATATAGCAGGGGCGCTTAATTTCAAAATGGCTGCTTTTCATTTTGTCATTGTTATGCAGGATTGATACAATTTACAATTTTAAAGAGCACAAAATATGCTATTAAGTTTAGCGTCACACTTTTCACAGAAAGATATGAAGTTTTCGCTGATTAAATTAATGTACTTCTTAAATTCTAGTGGAAGTTTGCAGCTATCTAATTAAACTCAAAAAATTATTTGTTCAGGTTCAGTGAATTATATTGAATAATCTCCCGGGGGATTATTCAACAACATTTACTCTACATGTTGCGTAGAACTGCAAAGTATTTCATATGTCTTACATCGAAGCGCTAAACTAAGCTTCATACATGTACATGCCATTAGGTATCTTGTCTAGAATCTCAAATACCACTTTTTTTTTTCTTTACTATTCGCTCGGTTGATTTTTTTTTATCATAGTAGCTTTCCCAACATAATTTGGGTTAAAATTAACTAGTCAATCATTTAATTCAAACGGCTCTAGTATTTTTCTTTGTAGGATCCTCGTGAAAAAAAAAACAATTGCTCGGACCTTTCTTGTGAGATCTCCATCAAATTTGATGATATCAGTTTGTACTATACATTAATCTTATAGTATTTATCATTAGTCTTAAAGATCGTCTTCTTCTTCCCTCCAATGACACACAAAATGAAGTTGAATTACAGTTGTAGGAGACTAATGATAGGGGTAAAACTTGATATTGCACGGTAAGACATGGTTGTACGTCCGAATCAATTTAGCGTTTGCGACAGAATTTAGTTGAAAAAGGTTAACTGGCAGTTTTAAAAAACCACTCTTTTTTAAACTGACTCGGCTGGTTGGGAATGAAGAAGAAAAGCTCTTAATACAACGTTTAGAAGTGTATAAATCAACATGTTTGGAATAATTTAAAGTTCATTAATAAAGCATTTAACGGACTTCTTTGTCTTTCGATTAGGAAAAGATGGGATGTTACTAAGACGTGTAATGGAAAATGAAAAAACAAAATTGGATATTCGCTATTTTCCATATACCTTTCCCCCTTCACCATTCCCCATTTCACCATATAGTAACATCCGTAAAAGATCAGTCACAGGTAATTTCGAATTGTCGGTTGCATTCATTTCGTGTTTTAATTGATCGACAAGGTTTGAGTATATCCTTTTATGTGGACCCACCTAAATCTTACATTGAAAATGGCGAATTACTTATGCCAAAAGTTCCTGAGGCCCTAAGGATAGGTTTGTCTCTTGAATGTTTTTGCGGGGACTTATTCGTATTTGCTGACCTCGACGAGCTCATGTCCATGAATATTTTAATTCAGTCCTGTGGTGATGCAATAGTGTCATTACATGACAAGTGGACTAAAAACCGTCTGTAATTAATTTTGATCGTTCACAAAAAGTACCTAGAAAGTTATAACGTGAGGTATTTGGTTACAGTTGAACTAATCGATGGAACTGTCATTCTTTCAATATCTGAATTTTCTCAAACAATTTTCTAAATTGTACAACAGAAACCGAAGGAATTTAAAGAGAAAAGGCCGCATTAAATCCCCTTGTGTCTCGTTGGAGTGTATCATTCGAATTTAGTTTTTGTGGAGGAAAGACCAGATTTAGGGTGCGTTCCTTTGTGAGGATCCGGATTAGGATTTGTGATCCAAGACCATACAGATCACGTTGCATCAAAGGAACGGAGCTTTAGTTCATCAGATCAGTTACCACGACAGCTGGCGCGAAATTGTAGAGCGCATCAGCGGAATCGCGCGCTAAATTTAAAAACGAAAACAAGATGGCCGTCGCGGATGGGGCAGCTGTTATTTTGTCAATAGAGGAACTTTCCGATGATTCAATACTACAAGAAACGAGAAGTTGTGAAGATGAAGAATTTCTATTGTTTCTTTTGATAAGGGAGAGGCAGAGCCATGTCCGCATTGAGAATTATTTGGAACGTACTAAACCACTCTACATTGTTTCAGATTTTTTAAGTCATTTTCGGATGTCAAGAATTACAGTCAGCTGTTTGGAACGCCTGTTAACTACTTGCCTAGGTCTGTCTCATGGACATGAAATTGAGCACCGCTGGGCAAAATGATTAATTTCGGATCCTTCGCCCAAAGGAATGCGTTGGATCAATGATCCAATGATCCAATGATCCGTCTTTAGATCACGCAGATCAGTGATCCGATGAATCCTTGTCCAGAGTGGATTTGATAGACCACTGATCTGAAAATGGATTTGCTCGAAAGGAACGTCACAGATCAGAAATCCAGATCCGGATTCTTCTAAAGGAACGCACCCTTACACACGCCAGTGCAGCAAACAAACGAGCAGACCCTTACAATTTCAAAATAAAAAATTTGAATTTACTTAAATCTTCGTACATGAATTAATCGTCGATGAGAGTGAATAATACTTTCCGTAAGATCATTGACTGTAATTGAAGAAAACATTGTCGTGCCAGTCCTTACCACACTAGTTTCGTTGTTTTTCAAAAGTATAAATGTGGTTTCTTTTTTCTCATCCGCTCTCTTATTGACAGGTGTCAGATTGTGACAGATACTTGTTAAGATGATTTTTCAAAGTTTGTTTGGAAGCATTTTAAATCACCCTTATCAATAATTACAAAAATGGAAATGTTTCGGTGAGGCAACTCTCTTTAATTTCCCTCACCTCTATTTTGCTCGCTCAAAAGTTGGGAAAAATTTCCGCACAGCCCCATACTTCATTATGCATGCACATCTTATTGGTGATACACTGAATAATAAAGCCTCATATATGGATGCATAATGAAGTATGGGGCTGTGCGGAAATTTCGCCTTCGTTAAGTTTACCAAAAAAATTGTTATTTACCGGGTAAGGCTCGGTCCGTAAGGTGAAAAACTGTGACCTTGGTCTTGAAAATGCTGCCTTGTAACCTCGGTAGGGCCTCGGGCAGCATTTTTTGAAGACCGAGGTCACAGTTTTTCAGCATACGGACCGACCCTTGGCCGGTAGATAACATATATTTCTGCGAATGCTTTTCTCAGATTCATTGTAATCACAAACACATTCCATGCGTGACGAATATGTCACGACATATATAGACTAAACATAGGCATACTATGCATGCAATATTTATTTTTGGGGGGGTGGGTGGATTACTTGAAGCATTGTAAGTGGTGTCTGCATTCTTACAGAAGGAAAGAAGAGTATTAACGCGGCAAAGAACGAAAATGTCAAATTAGCTCATACACAGGTATTTTGTGGTAGATTGTGTGTGTTGTGTGAATAACTGTAACCAAAAATAAACTGTATTGGTGCCACGGATACCTATTAGTACAAAATGCAGACTGCAGACCGGATACTAAATGTAGACTAGGTACAAAATGTAGACTGCAGACTGCAGAGTGGGTAAAAAATGCAGACTGAGAATCTAAAGAGTTTTTTCGTCTGGTATGTGATAACATGTCATCTTACAACTGACCGAGCGTCACACAATCGCTTATCCGCGGTCAGCTCTCACTATTATTTGCACTATCTTGGAATATTCCTGGCCCATTTCTGGATGAAAATCGATCGTAATATAATTTTAAGCCTTCATATAGTCTTCTCTTTTTTATCAACGTAATAAAAGTAGATGTAGATGTAGATGTAACCGAGATGTCACTATTGAATATTTAACAAGCGCATCATTCGAGAAACAATTAGCAGCTTTGCACGTAGTCTGTATTATCATCTTTTTAAGCGGTATGTGTTTATTTTGTTGACAAAAATGCGGACTGAGACCAAAACTGTTCCTTCGACTCGATATATTTTCGACGTTGGTAGATCACATCATATTAACTTACCTCCGTAAATCATTCATTCCAATTCCAGATAACAAAATCAAATACACATGCAAACGATGGTATCTGAATTCGTCCTTGGCCAAACATAAACGACTCCACAAGATAACTTTCTCCAGGCATCGAAAACATACACAAACTCGTCCATAATTAATTTTAATCAGACATTCATGTAAGGATAGCACCGAGCAAACCAATCCAGAAAAATATAATCGGCCACTCAAAAAATCATGGATCTTGCAACACAGCTCAGCCGTTAAAATGTTTGGTGCAATTCATCAACACCTCAAGCAATATTTAATTCAAAAATTTTTCCATTCACTTTCGTCGTGAAGGAACAATAACCATGATCGTGCTACAATGCACAGAACTTCATTTTCTCTAGAATAACTATCCACCATTTTCACAGCATGAGTAACACGTTTACCATAAGTAATCTGATATCTTTCATCTGTCCAGTAGTATCGCATTTCCCATAAAGCGCGGTAAAATGCACGTTAAAAACAAAGAAACTCCAACATTTCTCATTCTAAAAGATGATTCCTATTTACGAACCGCTCTCTCCGAGTCCCCCATCGTTGAAATTTGAACACCTCTCAAACCGAAGAACGAAAACGATGCTTTGATTGGTGCGAGATACATACCCTAATGCGGCTATCTGATTGGTGCAAGATGCATACCCTAAACGATCTGATTGGTGCGAGCAACATACCACTCTCTGTACGCTAACATGGATGTCAATTTTTTTTCCAATAAAAAAATCCCAGTAAGAGATTACCTCAAGAATAGCGATAACCTGTTTTCAATTTAAGTCGAATTTTTACGAGAATTCATAACTTTCATAGGCCTCATTTTACAATCATACATGCAAAATGATACGAAACACTACTCTTCCTCAGCCGCGAACTGTCGAGATACTGATGCCTTCTGAATTTGTTTATAACTAAGGCCTTGGCATGGCTGTGTGAATATCGTAATATGGTAATTCATTTCTACAGCTGCAAGTCTTGGGTGTTACATTTTCAAACCTTTTTGCGTTAAAACTGCGTGGTATTTCACAATTTGAAGTTTAATTATCATCAGAGATTTCCAAATAAGCTTAAATCGTGCTTAAATCACTTGCTCTGATCACGATGAAGGGCTAACGCTCGAAACGTCAGCTTTGGTGGCCAATTTACATTACCTGCCCAGTTGATAACACCAAATGTGCATTCTTATACCACCCACCGACGCAGCACAATATTTTTTAGAAACTTACCCCTTTAATCATTAAAATCGATTTTAGTCGAGATGTGCATCTAAAGAATAGTACGTTCTTGCGAAGGCAAGTATTCTACATATCTAAAGCAAATATCTACTTGAAAAGAAATACGTGCTGAGAAAATAGGGCTCATTCGAGCAGGATTTATTGCGTTCCCTTCGGTGGAATTTCTTAGGATTTGCTGGACCGTTAAACATATTTGTGCCCTTCCTAGTGCCCGTTGATAAGAAAAATTTATGGGACCAAATTTAAGATAGAGGAAGAAAACTCAACCTTGCAAATAGCGAGGAAACTGCTTTCGTAACCCCTTATTTTTTTCAGCCTTTAAATGATCGGCAGGACAAATTTCACAAATTGTGAACATTTTGAGAAATTTCTCGGAAGCAAATTGAAATAAATCAAAGGCAAAGCCAAATTATTACTGGCGAGCGCCTCCATTCGTGGAGCCTTAGCTTAGTCACGAGAATCATTTTGATAATATCTACTACAGTAAACGATAGTCTGAAACTTGCTGATCCCCTTTTGATGGCTTTTAGTGATCTTGAAAAGCAAAAACATAAAAACTTTCTCGAAAAACATTCCGCTGGCGCGCGCGCCAACACTGTGAAAAGACCCTGTAGAGCCTCCCTAAATCATTCGCTCTGATCACGATGAAGTGCTAACGCTCGAAACATCAGTTTTGGTGTCCAAGTTACATCACCTGCCAAGTTGATAACTACAAATGTACCTTCTTTTACCACCCACCGACGCATCACCACAATATTCTTTAGAAACTTACCCCCTTTAACCATCAAAATCGAGTTTAGTCGAGGTGTGCGTCAAAAGAGTTGGTGCTTTCCTACGAAGGCAAGTAAACAGGTGCGCTTTATCAAATAATACAATATAAGGCTTACTGAAACGTGCAACAAGTCTAGCGTGCATAATCAATTAATGTACAAATGTATAAATTCACAAATCACAAAATATAGTTTAAAAATGACATTTTAAGCACCTCCTTTTGAGGGGAGATGAAAACAAACATTACGGGAAACCGTAGCAAATTTCAGTTATGAGGCTTGGTAGCTTTTCAAGCAAACTATGTAGCAGAAAAGGCCTTCTCAAAAAAAGCCTCTCACCTTCAGATTGGTTAGTATCGAAATCACCTGCATCTGTAGGTTAACCAACCAACACCAAGGACCAATAAGGATAAAGTAAACTGGATCCTCAAGCCTAACGTCATATCACTTTGCCTCGTGCCACCCACCAGGTGTAAAATATGGTTTCATTAAAGGCGAAGCAATAAGATTGCTTAGAACTAACTCTTCGAAAAAAGCACTTGCAGAGGGCCTTTTAAAATTCAAACAACGCCTCAAAGCAAGTGGGTACCCAGAAAACATCATAAAAAAGGTCTCTGTCAGGGGTCAACTTTGCCTCTTGACAATCGACTCTTAAACATACACAAAAGCCACAAGATCACGAACGTTCATTGCCTTTTATCACAACGTACCACCAGGCAGTTAAAATTTTAAAACAAATATTGATGGAACATTGGAGTCTGATATACAAGCAGCCCTTGCTGAAAATAATTTCTACAAAACCTCCGATCATCTCCTACAGAAAAGGAAAATCCCTTAAAGACATACTTGTGAGACCAAAACTAAAATTTGAAGGCGATAATGCGACGCGACCAAAAAAGCCACATGAGAAGTCCGTGTCGGTTTGTCTTTACCTTTATTCTCATGTTTTACATGATAAAAAAGCAAAATGTTGTTAACGGTGAAGTCATCTGTTCTCCAATAGATCAGTAGTAAGAATGAATCAAAATACGTGGACAATTCAGCCAATCAGATGATCAGCTTCTCCTCACTCATGCAGTATGTTTTGTAGCAGTCGCTACACCAAAGGTCCTTGGATGGTCTAAAACCAAAATATTGTTCCAAGACATAAACGGCTGGAAAAATGTAAGACTACTCACCGGCCGAACTATGCGATCGAAATCAGGGGCGGTTTCAATATCATTCACCATGTTAGGTTGTTTTTAGCATCACCTTACCTTGTACATGCGCTCTACATCTGCCGAATTCACGAGGGACTAAACAGTTCAGAGCCCTTTCACAGGTTGGAATAGCCTTTATTCAGGATATTTCGACATTTTTCTAAGTAAATTATTGCTACAAAAGACACTAGGGTAGTAAAAGCTAGTTAGATACACGATAAATAGCAAGATAGAACAGAATAGAACAGGATTTTTTGAAAATACATGTGCTTCTACCAATTTTAACTAGAAATGTAAATAGACTTTGAAACACCTTATTTGAAGCACGCTGTTTAAAGGATGAAACGTTTTGATTAAACTGATATTCATAGCACAGGTCGACTGACTCTATGGCCACTCACCTCTCCCCCGGGGCCTTCTATCTAATCTCTCTTAGCTCTATATCCGACACAGGGAGTTTAATTTATCACAAAATCACTACTACCATATTCATTATTAATAATATATTCGTAAATGTTACCGTTAATTTTATAAACCAGATCTTTTCTTTTTTTTCCAATTCACACTTCTTACTTTATATAGTTATTTTCCAATGTATAACACAAATTAACTGGCAAAATGACAAAATTATGCAAAAGATGGCGATCGTGATCTTTCTCTTTCGCTTTTCTCGTATTAATAGCTTCAAAAAAATTTCCAAAAGCTATTCACAATGGTCACACTGCAACAGAATAAATTAAAGGAAAAGTGGGTTCATAGTTGTTAGAGCTTTGTAAATTTCTTTCAAATAATGCAGCCGAGCGTGGTGCATACACTGTAATATTCCTGTAATTATGTCAAGAAGCGCAATATAGGGATTATTCTATTTCTCTTATTCATTTTCTGCACCAAAAAAAAAAACCCTCTCCAAAGAGTGGGATACACTTACTTGACGCGCTGATTACTGTGGAGGGTAAGGTGGCACCCCACCTGGTTGTCCAGTGGGGTAAGGAAGTGCTCCGCCCGGTTGTCCAGGGAGGTATGCTGCTCATCCCCGAGGGGTTCAAGTGGGTACGGTTGTCTTGAAGGAGGGTATGCCCCAGATTTTTCTGCAATTCAAGCATAAAGTTCGGTTTCAAGGTCCCAACTCTCCAAGAACGATGTGTATCATCTACAGCGCAGAGAAGTTCTGCATATACATCCCTTTCAAAGATTCTCGGAAGCTTTTAAATATTTACTTAGACATGAAATTAATTCACTGTACTTATTGATTGTACTTTCAGTTCATGTAACAACTCTGCCTTCTTTTACAGTGTTGGTAGTCCTACTCAATTGTAGCCTTTGGAATGGACAATTCAATATCGGACAGGTTCTAGGTAGGGAAATCAGGTGTTCTCTCAATTGGACTTTTTTCAGTTCTAAATTTTAAAAAAAATTTAAAAATGATAGATAAATAAATTGGATTCAAGAAATGACGCTTCCATAGGGTACCTATTTATGCATTGTTTCACAGATCCCTCCTGGGATTTGTAGTGTTGGTTTCTCGTGGAGGAGGGAAAAACAGAAAGCTGGGAGAGAGGACCCCACTGCCCCCCCCTCCCCTCCCCCAGAAATGACGAGAACTAATAACAAACTCAACCTACGTTTCGTCCTAGGTTCAAGAACTGAACCTGTACCACAGAGGTGGAAAGCAAGGACTCTCAACCCTGAACCATCCTTTATCCCCAATCTAGACTTTGACTACCTCTGTTGGACCTTGACAATGAGATGACCAACAGTTTCAATCAACTTACCTTGTGGGGGTAAGTAGCTGCCGCCCCTTGATTGTAGGGGGGTGGTGCGTAACCTTGCTGAGGCTCTGCAAAAGGAGGGTACATGGCCACTTGCTGAGGTTGGGCAGTAGTATGTGCCACAGCCATCTGTTGTGGCGCCCGTGCCCTGACTCTCTTTTGGTGAACATATTTGTAGAAGACGAAGAAACCAATGGTAATCAGAACAACAACTGCCACCAAGACGCCAGTCACAATGCCAACAGTTTTAGCGCTAACGGAGGCTGTTCAATAAAATAAAAAATATACTTTCTTACTTGCCGAGCTGTGGAAAGAAGAATAAAGGATCTCCTAAAGAAGTCCGAAAGGTCAAAATAGCAACACCACAGCCAGTTAGAATTATTCTCAATCAAAGCTTTAAACACCTGTAACCCAAAAACATGTTTCATTATCCTACATCATGAGTACACCATCGTAGGAAAAGTCGAATAAAAGAACGCAGGGCTTCAGATTTGAAACCACACAGTAATATCAATCCTCCGATTGTTTCCCGAAATATCTGATTGGTTTATGTCTATCATTTGATGTTTCGGTCTTAAAGGGCATGTAAACCCCAAAAACGTTCATTTTCTTTTCACATAGATGTTTAGTAAATATATCAAGTACACCAAAGGTACCATTCGTTTATTCTCAAAAGTCCATTTTCACTTTGTAAAAGCTCTTCCAAATTCGAAACATTCGTAAATGGCGCCATCTTTCCTGTGACGTCACGGGTGGACCCTCCAAAGTCTCGTTTTATAATCGCGTGAGGCACGAAGGAGTCTTTTCTACAGCCGTTGTTTGCTGGTCTCGTCATGATTTTTTTACTTACAGTTTGCTTCAGTATATTCGATTTTTTTCGTAATGGTGAAGCATTGTGTCGTCCAGTTTTGCACTGATTCAAACAAAACTGGGCATACAATGCAAATATTCCCAAATGACGCAAATTTGAAGCGACAATTTGTGAAATTTGTTCAAGTGAAAATAGCCGATTTCGTCGAGCCGTTCGAACGTTCTGTTGTTTGTAGCAGTCATTTTTCTTCCTGGTGCTGTACCGACGATTCAGGCCTCACCAGAAGCAAATTATTCGGAAGTATAAAAACGACCCATACAGTCGGCAGACGACGAGGATTCGGAAGTGGCCGACCGAACTGAGAAAGAAGTTGAGCTCTTCAAAAGTTAGAGGTCAACGGAGAAAGTACAAAATCGATTTACATGAAAACGTTTCGTTAATTAAACAACAATAGCTTTATTGGTTCTCTAAAAACATCTTTTTTCTCATCTAATGAAATATTATGGGGAAGCCAGTTGTTTGGGAGCCAGCGCTGAGCCCGTAAAAGACACTGACATGTCTGAACCTTTGCCTGAATTCGAAACACGTATCAAAGAAAGAGAATTCGTTGATATCAGTGTGTAATAACGTAATCTGGAATTTTGTCGGTTCGATACAAAGAATTCTATACAGGATCCCATAATCAACCCTTATGTTCTATAAGAAAATCCAAGCCAGCCCCACTTGGTGCTTCCTTTGAGAAATCCTGCAGAGAAACAGCAGAAGAATTTGTGTCACGGTTTTCACAGCAGTGAAAATACATTCAAAGGTCAGTAGGACAATATTCATCATTTTGAGTACAACTTAAAAGATCCTGATTTCAGCATGCAAAACTATCTTTTCAATATTTCAAATCGAAGCAAACACAAACAGGGTTGGATAATTATGAAGGCCACACAAGTAAATGTACATGATACAACTTGTTTATCGATGGAAATGCTTGTGAGATGAAGGATATTGTTTACCGCACAAGATAGCACAGCGACCCTAAAGTGTTTGCCGAGGTATCCCCAACACCAACGAACAAGCTATCTGTAGGCAATTTAGCCAAATTTCCTGCCAGGAAAGAAGTGAAAAACAACTAGCTCTAGTACTGTATTATTAAATTAATGGCAGAAACAACTCAAGTAAATCGATCTCAAAATGTAACAAAACAGATGAAACAGAAAATATTTAGCTTAGTCGTTTCCGGTGTGATTATCTGTGCTTTGCTGCTGCCTGTACACGTACTTGGCCGTCTCCAGCACCCAGAAATCGAGGCAAATTGACTGAAAACCTGGATGCTCAGTGATACAACTTATCTGGGTTTCAGGCCATTTTGCCACAATTGCCCGATTTCCTTACAACAAACACTTTCATGAGTTGTCGGCATTGGTTGACAAGTTCCACACTCGCACCTTTGATAATTTTATATAAAACAATTTCAGAACCTCAAGTTAAAAAAAATTCTGTTGCCTTCCTTTAGATTGTACCCTCGCTTTATTGCATTTTCATGTTAAGTACAAATAAATCACAAAGTAAATTAAATACCAGTCTGAGTTTCCGAGACGGTCGCATCGCTGTCGACATGTTCTGTACTATCTTCGTGCGGATCGCTTCGGTGAACCTTACGCGGCTCATATTGTTAAGGACGTGGCCCAGACTCTCCTGAAGATTCTGGATTATCCCCAGCGCTGTCATGTACTAAGCTTAAGGCATTCGAGTCGCTATCTTCTGAAAAAACATCTTCCGAACTACCGCTACTTACACGAACTCCCGCACCAGTTCTACTGGGGAATATGTGTTGCGCAATATTTTGGTTCCACCGCTTACGTCACGACTTCTCGCTATTGTTTTTACCGGAAATGGAATTTCAGTTGAAAATGCCGATTTTCTCCTAAAATAAGTCGAATTGGACAAAACTAATTTCAAATTCGTTTTCTACGCCACTTTTTACATAGTATAAGAAAAGCATGTATTTTTGGGTTTACATGCCCTTTAACAATGGTGGCTTATCTTCCGGAAGGGAAAAATAGTTCTAACTCCATCCAAAATAACACACCGGTACTACATGCTTCATACAATCTTAATCTCAGCATCAATTCTCTTCTTTTTCTTTTTGACTTCATCAATCTCTTCCAGCACACACTTTTTTACCGTTCCGATTCAGTTTTTCTTCTGCCTTTCTTGATCAAGGTATTTCTCGTACCGTTGTCTTGACATCTTGACTAACAGCAGCAAGGGCTTGCTCAGTTCAGTCTCCAATACTCCTCCCACACTGTTCACACGGTCACAAACAATCCTTTGAGCCACTAGAGTATGTTCCTTCAAATTCTCAACTTATACCTTTTTGTTGACACTCAAACCTCTCTCAACTGTTGCCTGACCATGTGACAAAATTAGGATAAGTTTTACAACACTGAAAAGACTCTTGTAGCTCTCGTTTGCCATACATTCAAAGAAGAGAGTATCCAATCTGTCTTCCGCTGATTGGAAGTTAGCAAATCTTTCTGACCCAAAAACTGGAATGCTGTCCAAGAACATAGCAAACTGTTGCAGGATAGTGTCACATTCTTCCTCTTTAACTCTTTTAGCATTAACTAGCAATCTCAGGACTTTCTTGAATTTTGCTGAACAAGCTTCCTTGTTTGAGGCAATTTTGACTGGATTTAGACATGACAAATGCTGAACAAGGGAGTAGGACGCTGGACTCTTTTCCTACATCTTATCCAAGACTTGAATGAAAAAAGTTTTTCTTTCCATCCTAAACTCCATAACCTGCCTCTCACTTGGTTTGCAATTACCAATGCCTTTCAACTTTTCACTAGCAAATCCAACATCAATTCTCTTGTTATTCACATGAATCTTCTGGTCAGCAACTTTGACCTTCACTAGTTGTTCATCACTAGCATCTTGAAGTATGTCACTTTTAATAAATCTCCTCATCAGAGACCTAATGATCATACCTAGATCATCACTGACAAATGGTAGCGTAGGTTTCCTTGTTTGATACTTTGCAAGAAATAGCTGCAGTTGATTTGCAATGCACTTAAAGAAGTGTACCTAGCTACAAAGCATGGGTCTCATGGGTCTCCTTGACAACTTCATATGATTTGTTTTGGGGCCAGTTTACCCTTCAATCTTCTGTAGCTTTAACATAATCAGCTACATTGTCCCAAAGCATCAGCGCTCTTTGGCAAACTGGTACATTCTCAAGCCATCTATAGGAGACAAATTTCAATGGCATCAAAGGGCTGCCAGATATGGAGATGAAGTCTTCTCTTCTGGCAGGAGCATCCTTAAAGAGATAGTACAAACTGGAAAAAAACGAAGACACTTGCCATCCAGTACCATCCATGCCTCTTTTAAAACTGTTGTGCACTATATGCACACCACAAGACCTATTGTTTACGAGAGTGGTACCATAGTCAGTGTTAACTTTCTTCTTTAATTCTCCATAAAACTTCCAGTTAACACTTGGACCATCCGTGCTGACCTGTATGATGTTCTTAGCTTGCAAACCACTAACACACTTTTGGTGAAATGATCCATTAAGCTGTCAGCAGTACACACGCACAGCACACACAGCAGTACCATGGCCTACATTAACAGTAAACGATAAAATTTGTCATCAGCTCCTTCATAAGCACCTAAACATCAGCGTACAAGGTAAAAGAAGAAACAATATTTTACCTAGTCCATAATTAAAGACTCAACACTCACCAAGAAATTCACTGTTGAAATATTTTGTTGTGACTTAGTTGGTTTGATCATTCCAGAACCTCACATGGGCATCCATTTGCTTCTCCTGCATTTTTGTGTTCAGTCTTTCATCAAACAATACAACAAAAGGTCTACTGAAGCTGTCTTGGAGCAGCTTTTTGAAGTGTTCAGCCAGACCAAATACACAACAATACCTTGCTTTTTGCTCTCCACAAGCAAATTTCCTAGCAATTTGACTGTCAGGGAACATTGCTGAAAAGAGTTGAGAAGTGTCCTTGGACGAGTTAAATGAATAGTGACTTATAATAAGTTCCAGTATCCAGAGTGTTACGGCTTTAAGCACATTATCCTTAGACACATGTCCTTTCATAGATGGTTGTGATCCTGGAGTTGCATCGTCTTGAGGCAGCAGAGAGATTGTCATTACAACTTGTTGTTGTGATTGCGATGCTTCTGCTTTTCCTGCTTCAGCTAAAATTCCATTTCCACATGGTACAAAGCCGAATGAGGATAGTGTCATTGGCTGTTCACCTTCAATTCTACTGTTGTTTTTGTGCCCTTCACTTTTCATGTGAAATTTCAACGCAGACTCTCCCATGTTTGAAATGTCGACCATTCGATCGCAACATTTGCATAAGGCCTTTTTCCTGTCAGCTTTAAAAGCAGTCGAACAGCCTTTGTACTTGGAATTAAGTTCCAAATTCCGATTGTAATAGTTGACCTTTTGAATTCATTTAAGACACAATAAACAGGACCAGAATCGAATAAATTTCACACTTTGAGCAACATTTCCCTCATGGTTTCAATTGCTTAGAGGGGGGGCGGCACAACAAAGCTGAGAAACCCCACTGAATGCGCGGTTACTTAGATGATTTGAATAAGAAACACTGATTTGTCCTTCTATAAAAAGCTTCGCCGTTTTTGAGATGATAAATGAGTTTCTCAACTGATGTTAGATGCTAACGCAATCTCTTCAACCTTTTTAATGCCAAAATGAACTTATTTTGCTGTATTCTTAGGTATTCAAGGACTTTTTCATAAAATTCAAGCACTGCTTCTTCAAATTCAAGGAGTTTTCAAGGAGAAAATCTTTTGCAAGGAGTTTTCAAGGGCCTAGCATTTTTGAAGGAGTATTCCAGGCCCGTGCGAACCATGTACTAGCACTACTCTTAGTTTGTTATAGCAAGTATTAAAACTTTATATTCGAGTGCACAGCGATGGTCAACAACATAATTACTGCTTGGAAATTGCTGTTCCTTTTTTTCCAAAACTGATCAGCCTCTTGAGAAGCCTGAATGAGAGGATTACTTCCTGGCCGACATTACTTTTCAACTGTACTATCAATAAAATGTCGTAAAGTTGAATGTATTTGTAAAAAAGAGCAAACAATTCAGGAAATATTTTAGAGCCTTCAAGGACTATTTGCGCAGTACTAACTTTTATCATACATGACGTAGCCTGCAACAAACCCACAGTGGTTAGTGAACCTGTCTGACTTGAATCTGATCCAAATTCTCTCCTTTGATGACATTAAGTAAAATGGGTCTTGTTCACCACAGTTCGACTCTTTGAGGGTGTCAGACTTGTCATACGATTCATGATCATCTCCGTCTTAAAGGAAAAAATCATAATACAATTTGAGAAAAATTAAAATTTTACTGCCCCTATTTCAGTTAATTCTGACCTCCATGACAGTTAATCAATGGCTACAACAATTTACTTTAACCCATATGTTTTCCTCTGATCTTTTTCCTTATTTTCCATGAAATATATTGGAGGTTATTACATAAGATACACTTGTGAAAACATGTTCTCTTAAATATGTAGTTTGGGTTTTTAAAACATGCGGAAACAACAATATCTAGTGAGTTAGGTTACAAATGTTAAGTGCTGAGGACTCATTCTGATGTGTTCAATTAAAAGAATCAGAGGCATACAAGTATACAAGTTGTATGACTTCCTGACTGTGGCACTGCATTGAAATAACAATTAAAATTACATAATAAGCTGAATTAAACATACATTTTGATTGGTTCTTACTCATGAACTATTGGAGAACAAACACAAAGACAGTGTCACCATTGGCAATGTTTTGTCTTTTAATTATAAAACAAATAGATTCTATGTTGCGGGGGGCCTGCACAATAAAAGATCACAAAAGACATCAAAATGTGTTCAGAAAATCAATGACACACTTTGCTGCACCTCTCCTGCTACTTTTTCGTTCTTAACACATTTTGATGTCTTCTATGATCTACTACTGTAGCAAAGACTCACATCAACATTGAATCTGTTTGTTAATTGGATCGTTATTCAAGAGCCCTGAAATTCCTCCCACATTTAACTTTGAGTTTGTCATCGTCACATAAGAAATCATATTCCAAATGAAAGTCCATGAAAGCTATTTTAATGCTCCTCTTGTTTCCAACCTCAATATTCCAGTAACAGTCTCTGTAGTTGGGATAGTCCTGGGGCCAATTTGGAGAGCTAATCACACCAGATGTTGCAGTGAGGGTCTTTGTTGAGGAACATTCCCCTTTTTCAGAAAAGAGACAAAAAATATTACAAATCAAACTCTATAACTATCATTCTAGTGATGTTATACTGGGACTGTTTGTATTAGCTCACGCTAAAAACGCAGCACTTGACTATTTTTAAGATGATTAATTTGCAGTTGTTGTTGATACATGTAATTGCAGTCTAACAATTATATCACAGGCAAAGGCCATGACATTTAGCTGCTCCACAGCCCCTCTCTAAATAGTTATTGGTAATCACCTCTGAGCCAGCGTCTCTTTTAGGAAAAAAAGACTAAACTTATGGTACAACACAAAAAAACAACCCAAGAAAAACCTGTCTCTGTATTTGTAGGTGTATACAGTGATAAATATATACATATATATATATATATATATATATATATATATACTTTTTTTGAGCAGATGACCTACTAACTATATGTGGTTTGCTTTAAGGCACTCAATAAAACTAGGATGAAATGGAGCTATCTTAGGTAAAATAAAAATAAAACAATAGACCCTTAATTTTCATACGTAAGTCTTGTTATCAAGAGCATTACTCACAAGTACCAGTAAATCATAATGTAGAGATCACGCATATATTGATAAATAAATAAAACCAGGTGATTAATAGAGTTCGTGTAGCATGCACACAGTGAAATAAATGCAAACAGAACTGTTTATTATTTTTTTGACAGCTTTGATTGCATACCTCCTACACCACTTTGACGACCTGTGAATCTCATAAAACAGTGGTATGTCAGTTAATGCAGTTTGTACTTAACATATTTAAATACATGAACATCAATAAAACCATATGATATACATATTATAGAGCATTACATACATGTATGGTATTCGTTAAGGCAAAGAATGCCATCAATTATTAGAGACGAGATACATGATTATTAATCAAGACTGTTTGATGCATAAATTTTAATTTAAAAAAACTGTAACTATTGTTGTCTGCCAAATAGTGAAATTCAGACCATCTTCACAGCGACAGGATCAATCCCTTGCCCATAATAACATGAGTGTTGCATACAAAACTAGAGCCATTTTTGCTGTTGTCATGTTCATTCTTCAACTTCAGATCAAGTAAAACATGTGATGGCAATTCACAGTTATGGCATAATTTAGTTTTTATAATGGAATTATTTTTAATAATTTGTTTATTTTGCTTATTTATCCTGTCAGTGTTATTTAAAACTACCATTTTGAATTTTTTCCGAAGAGCTATTACTCCCAGAAGATGGTTCCAAAGTGGAAAAAAAAAATTGTAATGGTAATTTTTTAATTAAAACATTCAGTAGTTACCATGACTTTACATGAACCCCACTAAAATTTCGTAAATCACCAAGCCTGAAAAATGATATTTAGTCTCATTACAAGACTTTCCAGGTTTTCCATGATTATCACTGAGTACTCACCCATTACCACAGTTTCGGTTGTCAAGTACTGTGTCCTCCTCAATGCAAATTGTTTTGCATAAATTGTTTATTAATTAAGTAACATTACCATTTAAAAGGAATGATGAGTAAGACGCTTGAAATCCTTTGCCTCCACCAGAGGTATCTGTCTTGAAAACTAAGCGCAAGCAGTTCTCAGATGAGTAAACATCAAATGGCTTGTATCCATTTTCAGAGCAGTATTTGCCAATTGAATGTCTGGACACACATCCAAGGAATATCTCCACAGAATCTTCAAAACAGTTCGGCATTTCACCCCTGACATCAAATGCTGACCACAATAGTTTTATGCCATATTCACCTCCAACTTCAATGTCATATGTGCAATCCAACGAGTTTTTATAAGTTGAACGACTTGAGAATGATGGTGAGGATACTGTACCATTCGAACTTGTGTAATTTCCATCACAGAACAAGGATTCTATGAACACAGACAAAAGTAGTGAAACAATTACTAGTCACAGGACAATGTCATAAATGGTAAACAGAAAAGCCCTCATTAGACAAAGAACTTTTAATTTTTATGGTTGCCATGCCATTAAGCTCAATTTTTGCTAAAAATCTAGAAGGAATTTATAATTTAGATATTAAGAATAAAAAGTGTCTTACCAACAAGGCCAACATCCATTCCTAGAAACACTTAGAAAACAAATGAGAAAATCTGTTCATGAGAAAAATTCTGTAACAGCAATTTACAGGTAATTTTAAGCTAATTGACATTTGACAACCTTAAAATTAAATAAATTTCAGGAACCGGCAAATCTGTCGAGGTATATGGAAAAAGAAGAACACTACAAAAATGTATCATAAAATATTTCTTAAACGAATGCATACTGCCTCGCATATATATAAAAAATTTATATATATAAACATTCACAATACGTTTATTTCTCTTTAATACATTAATGAAAGATAGATTTACCTGTTATCGTTTGAAGAAATATTCTGTTCATATTGCATATATCAACTTGCACCATACAACTCAGAACTGCAGATTGAAAAAGAATGTTCAATTCTAATATTAAGATTGTTCATTGGGTACACAGCGCAAAACAGTTTAACGCGAACGAAAAAGAAAAATAAATAAACTGATTATAAATAGCGACGCATACTCAGTATCACAGCAATACCCTGAAAATAGAGATTCACTTTTCCCCATCGATCTTAGTTAAAATCTGTGAATCAGTTCGATACCACTCGAAGTATATTCTATAGAGCTCCAAACTAAGTTTTATCCTTTTTTTTTTTTTTTTTCCAATTTAGCCTTTGGTGACCAGAAATCATTCATTAGTCACTAGGTTCAGTACTCAGAGAATCAAGAAGGGAAATAATGAACGCCTTACATTAATGAATGAATTTGTATATGCAATAGTGTCATTACATTGGTTGACGAGCCGCCCTAAAAAGAGTTAGACTAATAGTCTTGGGTCCAAGTCGTGGGTCGTGAGTGTGGGTGTGGGTACAATTCGTTTCGGTAATAGTAATAGAGAGAACAGTTTTTTTCTCGTGAAACGTATTTTGGTTATATAGCCGTGAACGGTGAATCGCCTTTTTTTCATGGAAATCGGGATAATACTGTTTTTTTTTTTCTCGCGAAACGTGACCTGGACCGTTATTGTTTCTCTTCCTTTAAGAAAATTATCCGGTAAGCGTCTCAAAACAAGACTGCGAGTAGAAACATGAATATGACTAGCTGATCATCATTCTGGGCCCCAATTTTATCAGGCAATTTAACACCTTTTACCTTTGTTTCATATTGCGTGAAACGTGAATGGCAATTTTAGTTTTCGTGAAAAGTGATCTAGGACCCCCCACCCCTTACCATTCTCAATTATGGTCTAAGTTGACATAATTAACATGACATAATGTATACAAATTAAACAACCCTTCCCCAACTGTAAGGAGCCAGTAACAGGCCCCTGCCAATTGTAAAATATTATTGTTTATTCCAATAATATCACATCAGCTCGGTGAGACTACTATTTCATTGATTCACTTACATATCAGTAGTACATAATTAATTTAACCAATTTATTCCCGCCAGAAAATCTACAGTTAATAAGAATTAATTTTTAATGGTAGTACTATTAACACTATTGTTATTTAATATGAACTATTAACCACTAATTGTTAATTATTACCGACACGACTTGTACCCACACCCACGACCCACGACTTGTACCCACGACCCACGACCATTAGTCAAACTCCTTTTAAATCATCCTTATCATTATGAAAATAAAAATGTTTCGGTGAAGCATCTCCCTTTAATTTGCCTCACCTTTATTTTAACTACCATTTACTCGCTCAAAAATTGTTCAGTTTATGGAAGATCTTGCCGTAATTACAGCCCTAAATCAATCGGGTTCTTTAGGAGAGAATGTTGTTAAGTTAAAAAAATATATATATATATATGTGTGTTACCCCGGTTAAGGGTCGGTCTGTATCGTAAAAAACTGTGAATTCAGTCTTGAAAATGCTGCCTTCGGCCTACTGTGACCTCGGTCACCGTTTTTCACCATAAGGACCTCCCAGCCGGCAAATAACATATATTTATGCGAATCTTTTTTTGTCAGTTTCAATGTAGATCACAAACACAAATAAACAAACATATTAAAGCCGTCGGGTGCAGGTGGCCAAAATGGTAACCCTAAATGCAAATTTTGTTAGCAGAACTTTTTTTCCAACACGCTAAAGCGACTAAAATGGCCACAGCTTGGGGTGTTCTATTCAATGGCGTTAGTTGAATAGTACACGGTCACAATGTTGGTCTCCTGAAGCCGATACATGTCAGCTATTGAACACGCGTATATTTTAACTTACAGTCCAGTTCATTTCATGTGTGATGAATATGTTACGAGATATGTAATCTAATAAGAGATTACCTCAAGAAGCGATAGCTTAATTCCAGCGATGACCTGTTTTCAATTTAAGTTGAATTTTTACCAGAATTCATAACTTTCATAGGCCTCAAAAGGTACGTTTTACAGTCATACAAACAAAATGATACGAAATATTATTCTTCCTCAGCCGCTAACTGTCGAGATTCTTATGCCTTCTGAATTTGTTTACAACTAAGACCTTGGCATGGCTGTGTGAATATCGTAATATGGTAATTCATTTATACAGCTGCAAGTCTTTCGTGTTACGTTTTCAAAACTTCTTGCGTTAAAACTGCGTGGCATTTTATAATTTGAAATATAATTATCACCAGAAATTTCTAAATAAGCTTAAATCGAGCTTAAATCATTCGCTCTGATCACGATGAAGGGCTAACGCTCGAAACGTCAGCTTTATTTTGGTCTATTTACATTACCTTCCCAGTTGATAATACCAAATGTGCATTCTTATACCACCCACCAACGCAGCACCACAATTTTTTAAAGAAACTTATCTCTTTAATCATTAAAATCGATTTTAGTCGAGGTGTGCAAGAATAGTGAGTTCTTGCGAAGGCAGGTATTCTACATATCTAAAGCAAACAGCTGCTTGAAAAGAAATACGTGCTGAGAAAATAGTGCTCCTTCGAGTAGGATTTATTGCTTTACCTTCAATTTAATTTCCTAAGATTTGCTGGACCGTTAAACATATTTTTGCCCTTCCTAGTGCCTGCTGATAAGAAAAATTCATGGGACCAAATTTGAGATAGAGGAAGAAAACTCAAAATTGCAAATAGCGAGGAAACTACTTTCGTAACCCCCTATTTTTTCAGCCTTTAAATGATCGGCGGGAAAAAATTTCTCAAATTGTGAAAATTTTGAGAGATTTCGCGGAAGAAAATTGAAATAAATCAAAGGTAGAGCCAAATTATTACTGGCGGGCGCCTCCATTCGTGGAGCCCTGGCTTAGTCACGAAAATCATTTTGATAATATTTACTACAGTAAACGATAGTCCGAACCTTGCTGATCCCCTTTTGATAGCTTTTAGTGACCTTGAAAAGCAAAAACATAAATTTTTTTTCGAAAAACATTGCGCTGGCGCGCGCGCCAATATTGAAAAAATACCCCATAGAGCCTCTTTAAATCATTCGCTCTGATCACGATGAAGGGCTAATGCTCGAAACATCAGCTTTGGTGGCCGATTTACATTACCTGCCAAATTGATAACTACAAATGTACCTTCTTATGCCGCCCACCGACGCAGCACCACAATATTTTTTAGAAACTTACCCCCTTTAACCATCAAATCGAGTTTAGTCGAGGTGTTCATCTAAAGAGTTGGTGCGTTCTTACTACTGATTAACGCATTAAAGCATCACCGGCGGGCACAGGTGGCCAAAATGATAACTCTAAATGCAAATTTTGTCAGCAGAATTGACTTTTCCGAAGCGCCATAGCGATTAAAATGGCCATAGTTTAAAGTGTTTTGTTAAATAGCGTTCCTTGAATAGTACACGATCACAATGTTGGTCTCCGGAAGCCGATACATGTCAGCTATTGAGCACGCCTATATGTTAACTCACACTCGAGTTTATTCCATGCGTGACGAACGTGACACGAGATAATTTTTATGTAAACTAATACGAGATTGCCTCAAGATGACCCTTTTTTATTTAGTTCGAATTTTTTAGTAAAATTCGTAACTCATAGGCCTCAAAAGACAAGTTTTTCATTCATACACATAAGTTGATACGAAACATTGCTCTTCATCGGCCGCTAACCGTCAAGATACGTATGTCTTCTGAATTTATTTACAGCTTAGAACTGACAGCAGGTGAATTGTGCGTGTTGCTGTGTGAATATTGTAATATGCAAGTCTTACGTGTTACGTATTCAAAAATGTTTGTGTCAAGACTACGTGGCATTTCACAATTTGTACTATATAATTTTCACCTGAGATTTCCAAATAAGCTTAAATCGTGCCTAAATCATTCCCTTTGATCACGATGAAGAGCAAACGCTCGTCAGCTTTGCAGGGTGCCAATTTACATTACCAGCCCAGTTCATAATACCACCCAGCGACGCAGCACCACACTTTTTTTGAGAAACCTACCCCCTTTAATCATCAAGATCGATTTAATTCGAGGTGTGCGTCTAGAGAGTTAGTACGTTCTTACGAAGGCAAGTATTCTACATATCTAAGGCAAACACTTACTTGAAAAGAAATACGTGCGCTTTATCAAATAATATAATAAAAGGCTTTATTATAATACAAGGCTTGCTAAAACTTGCTGTTTGGTACTGTTTCAGATTTGTTTCAGATAAAATTAAAAATGGCTCCTTTGATTAAAAAAATTCGACAGAAATAGGAATTTGAAATTGTAAAATTACTCAAACCACGGCGGTGGACTCACGCACGTACAACTATTTTCAAAACAAACTCGATTTTACCTTCAACGCGGTAACTGATTGTCAGACAGCTCACTGATGAAATCTTTGTTACGCTGTTTGAAGAGATCGTCTACCTTTCTCCGCTGCTGATGCCGAACACAGACCAACAACAATGCAAACGTGCTAAATAGAATCTGTTCTCTTCACCGTAAGGAGTTCTGAGTCACGAACAGAGTACTAACACGTCAATGTTATTTCCGGAGGTTAGGATGAGTGTGTAAGTATAGGGTACAGGTTTATGTTTGATCAAGCTTGTGATGTCAAACTCAAAGGAGTTCAGGGTGACACGTATTTTGTACCAACACGTTAAGAATCTTTTTACCGAAAGTTGTGTTACATACATTGTACCAACATGCCATGTTTATTGTCGGGGCTGAGGATTAGTAGAATGGTACGGAAGTTGGTAAGGTACATGTATATGTATGATCAAGCATCATTCTGTGCTATACGCAAAAAGTTCTAAGCGTCACGTACATTGTACCAACAGGACAAATTTACTTCCGGAGGTGACGGGTTAGACGTGAGGTATGAAGCTTAAGGAATACGCTCAATCGAGTGAGAGGTGAGGGGTGGACTGGGGCAACTCTGGTCTCCGCCTCGGGAAGAGAATTTCAAGTATCTTTTCTCGGCTCAAGTGGTTACTTTGATACAAACTCATTCTAATACATATCAGAATACCTGGTCAAAAAAGATTTTATATGAGGCTCGTTGGGTTACTGTTATTGATGCGCTTGAATGAACGTGGTTGATTTTGATATAGAGCAACTCCTTCGTTTTCACACTGACCCCTAAGAGTGATTGGCATTTAATTTCTCCTTACAATTTAAGTCCCGAATCACACATTAGATGAAGAGAGTAAAGGAAAAGTCGCCAACAAAAGGAGCTCTTGATCGAGATTGTTAAACAAATTCTCTTTGTCAGCACTTAGAGAAATGTCTAGAAAGTAGTGTGGAGAATATGCATACTCATCGAATACGTATGTCAGGGTGTAAAGAGTTGGCGAAGACTGGCTGTATATGGCAACTTCCGATCGACGATCGGTAAAGTGGTCATTGATCCTGTGAACAGCGTCCAGTAAAAAGGAAGAGTGTGCGGATTGGAGGGCATTTTGATTGAGTGTCAGGAAATCATAAGAACAATCGTGACACAAATGGGAAAAAAGACACGTGATAACGAGCCAATCAAAATTCGACTAAAAAACAGATAAACAATCAAACTCATCGGAGCACGCTTCAAAATAATGAGATCAAAGTTATTGAATGAAATTGCGTCTACAATGAAGATAATTATTATACTTATTAAAATATACATAAAGCGGTCGTGCAACGCTTCTAACGAGTCTCTGACATCGAAACATTGGCCGACTACCATTCGGATGGCTTTGGTTTCTACAGCGATATTAGATTATCTTATTTCTTTACATTTCAACGTTACATTTATCTAAGAGAGATAAATGTAACGTTGAATAGTTCAATGTGGTACTTGAGACTTATCGTCAAAGCTACTTTTCTCTTCTTTGTACTTTTTATGAGACTGTCCCAAATTTTTACCATCCCTGCATTCCCATTTCCAGAGACTATTTTGACAATCCTTCCTCTCATTGCGTTCATTGAAGTATCCTTGAAAATGCATTTTGAAATTGTAATATTTCTCTTGCCTCCAGGGGTAACCAGACTTAATGCTCCATAGCCGCTTCTTTTCATCTCCTTCATGAATGTAGAAGTTAATGTCACAATTCCACTACTCAGTAAAACGTCTACAGCCACGCACTGGCGTTTATGTCCTCTATGATTTCCTTCCTGTTGAACAGTTACATTTCTGAGCGTAAAATATAACCTGCGGGGACACCAATGACTTTTCGGTGCGCCTTAAGCGGTTCTTCCAATTGATATCATGCAACCATACCTGGCTTTGTATTTACGGAATATAAGATTGGTAAGGTCGACTTTCAGGAGTCCATGTTTGCTATTGGCAAAAAGTGATCCGCCGGCACCGGCTTCATTATTGTGGAAGTTAGAGTTTATTATTCTTAACGATGTATTAATACGATAATTTAAGGACAGGCAAGAACCAGAACTTTCTGAATGTGCAGATTGGTTATAAAAAATGGAGTCTCCAATAACTATATCAGCCCTGTGTGACTGAACCACAATGCATTGTCCCGATGTGTTGTTATGGCAACTCAAGGAGATGAACTTTGCTTTTGTTTCTCTAGCATGTGAGAAATATAAGGCTCGCCAACTTTACATTGCTTACTTCTGATTTTTTACGTTTGCGATGTAGCTCGATACCTTCGAATGTTTCGTTCGTGATTGCATTTGAAACGTTAAGATCTAGAAAGGGGCCTTCGTTAGAGAAACTTTTGATCCTACGGCAAAGAATGTGGATGTATACTACGGAATAAATTTTTTCTGCGACGGATCTGATCTTTACGATTCCTCTTCCAGTATGGCGCCGGCTTAGACCATTTTTCCAAAGAGTGCGTCTTCGATTCTTGGTGTAACTTCGCGACTTTTTACTTAAGTATTATACAGTAGAAGGACGTGAATGCATTGGAAATTATTTCGAAACTTTGACCTGCCTTGAAGATCAAGATGGAAAGATCCAATGTTCTGTATTTTGATGGCCAAGGTTCTTGAAGCATTGTGAAAGGAACAGTTGTGTATTGTGATGCGGAGGCAGTCATTACAGTTTAGTGGAGATTCTTGAAAAACAATTCCTGAAAGCTCATTTCCCCTCTAGAAATGAAATCCCTTAGTACACGAAACGTGTGGGGTGGAGTAGAAACCCTTCATAGTCAAGTTGTTGTTGACGTATCGGGCGAGACGTAAATACCTACAGAGCGTGAAATTGCGCCTAATACAAGCGCCAATGCGACTAAATTTTTCCCTTTGGCGACCAAATCTTGAAAATTAGTCGACTAGAATGTTTCATCACAACCTTACCGAGAGATATAGGGAATCAAAAAGATTTGCAAAGATAAATCCGCGGCAAACTTCCTCCTTTAAGTTTGTTTCCAAAACTCAGCTCAAGCATCTCAATCGATAACTAGACGCCATCTTGGATTTAGGTGAGCTTGAACGTTGTATATCATCCATCCTAGTGTCCACTTTGTAGAACGTTAGAGATCTTTTCCCTAAATTAATTTTGGAGGGTCTATCTTAAACGTTGACAGCTTAAAAAAAGGTTTTGTTTGTCTTTGAAAATGGCAACCAACTGTTTTTGAATTGGCTACCACTTTGAAGAATTTAGGAGCCAAGTGGCTATCAGAAAAAAAAATTAATTTCACGCCCTGACCTACGCCAATGCCTACGCGATGAACCGCTTGAGAAATCGACTGACAAGGACGAATTTGGCTGCCACAAGTTTTAGTGTCACTTCCATAACAAGAAACACAAACATTCGCAACGTTTGATCCTGAAATTGTCACGGATTACAGAATAGAAAGTGTTTTAGGAAAATTGCAAGAGGACTTCTAGAGTATATAAGCATTAATCCTTGGTTTTTCTTTTTGTTGCGAATTTTTAATCTTTTTTATTTTTAAATCTTAAAATGTTTCAACATTTCTTAAGGATAAGCTATTTCATTTCTTCATCGAGAACGTAAAAAAGTCTCTCTTGGTTTTTATTTTTTCGAATTATCACTGTTTCGCTGGAGGGATGAATGATTGATAATATATTTGTGTAACAAAGAGAGATCTAAACTGTGTATACAGTTTCTTGCAGCGCCACATCACAACTTAAGCATAACGTTGGTGTGCCGTGTTGCCTTTAATATGGAAAATTCATAATTTGTCGTCGCAGTTTACGTTACGTTCTCAGACCACGAAAATGTTGGTGTTTTTGCGGTAATAGGAACCTTAAGCAGTCAGGAAAAAAAATGAAATTCTGCCTTAAACTAGAATTTCAAAAATGACTGCATTTGTTTACAGTCTCATATGCATACGGCGCCACACCCCAACTTCAGCATAACGTGTAAAGGAAGCGTTGAGTTCCAAATGGAAATTAAAATAATTTGCCGTCGCGGTTTCGGTTCACAGACAACGCAAATTGTGGTGATTTCACGTTGTTGTTTTGCATAGGATAGCTAAGAAATGTAC